CCGCTATAATTAATTAGCGATTTGCCTAATTTCTAATATTTCCCGTTTTTAAAAATTGTTTTGTTTGTTAGGAATCTCGGACTTGAACTATTGGTCACTGTCTTGTGTCTTTGTGGTAGAGGTTTAGCCTGGAACTAATGTTGTGGTATGTTGTTAAACACAGTGTGTGGTGCCATGTATTAAACTATGCTGTCTAGCTTGTTTATAAGCACGAAGAAGCTCTGTCTAGCTTAGTCATTAAATCAAGTTTTTAGTCTATCTGTATTGGTTTAATTGTAACAAGGATAGGTCCGGCTGTATAGGTTAAGATACTATTACATTTTGTGCCCATTCATTAAGTAAAAGAATGTCACGATTAGCTCCGGTTAGCTTCCCATGAATACGGAACTACCGTATTGTTTTATGAGATGAGTGGCATCGTTCTTTGAATATTAAATGCTTTTAATCCGGGTTCAACGTGTTTGTAGTCGGGAGTTTATTGTATATCAAATTATACACTAGCGGTCTATGGGTCAATAAAACAAAACCCTTTTATCAACAGAGGTTTCATTAGTATCCGGGTTAATAAGACAGCTAGTGACGTAACACAGTGGTCCGAGCGAAGCGAGGACCACGCGCGTGGCCTGGCTGCGCTCGGCCGCGGCTTTGGCTTTGCGCGCGCGCGCCTCGAGGGCGCTTTATAATGGACCTATGTTGCACATCATTATAAAGTGCTTTTTTGTGTTTCTGCGACAAATCATTAAACCCGTATATCTATTCTTTTAAAAACAGTTTAATAGACCAACAACAGATTTCGTTCAGAGTTCACATCAAAAGTTATTGTTAACATTTTTCTTATCAACATTGCACCCATCAACCGCAAGTTACATAAAAGCCATCATTAGCAAAATGGTTTAGCTAAGGTAACAACATGAAGAAGAGAAAACAATTCATCAGTCTAAGTAATAACCAAATGCGTTCAACCAGCCCTCCACTTCGGTCATACCAACTGTGTCCTCCATCGCATTGTTGTCCAATGAATACTGAGTAGACGTAAATGGCGGCTCGAATGCATCTTCATCGATGTCTCCCAAGAATCCGTCGTCCATTTCATTACCGCCGTCTTCGTCATTGTCCTCCATGTCGGTATCCTGGCCTCCGTCCAAAACGACCCCTCCACCCCCATTATCCGACTCAAAGCAAAGCGTTTTCATACCTTCATCCGAACTGTCAGAGTCATCCAAAGTAATGACGGGCGGCTCTTCTTTGTCTTCAATGATGATAGGATTTTCGGCACTGCCAAGTGGATCGTCTTTCACGGTAATCACGGTTTGAGTGTTCGGGAACGTAAACTTCTGCGGAACGAGGACGCACTTTTTCACTGGCAATGGCGCCTTGAAGTGTGGAGACGGTGGAGTAGGAATAGTCGGAGGGACAGGCAGGGTGTCTTCAATGGTCGTACCGTCAGCGAACGTTGCCTGGAATGTAATAGTACCCGAGGAAACAATGGCGTGCTGGCTAACAGGAAACTCCATATGCATAGTAGTCGGCTGGTCAGCAGTAACAGATACTGCCAATGGTTGAGTAGGCTCAGTGATGACAGCCGCCGGCAATGGTGGAGTAGGTTGAGGTGGCTCAGTGATGACAGCCGCCGGTAAAGATGTAGCATGTTGTGTTGGCTCAGAGAAGACAGGTGGCGATGGTTGGGGGGTGGGCTCCCGCTGCCGGGTAAAATCGTAACCGCCAAAGTCCGGGGTTGGAGAACGGCTTGACGGTGGAGAGGGTGTTGGTGACTGGATTACCCGCTTGGCTTGGTTTTGCTTCTTCTTCTTCGGCTTGGCTTTGGAAGTACATGGCTTCACTGATGACGAAGACTTGGCCTTGAGCTTCTCTTTCTTCTTTCGGTCACGCTCCACACTGCCTGCCATTATAATGGGGACCGTATCCAGTTGTAAGTTGGTACGACGCGGATCGGGAACAATGTCACAACTCAAGAAGGTAACCGACCACTAAACATATTATACGGATGTACCACTAATTTTGTGAAATAAAATAAAAAATCAATATACCTCCAACCGGTTGACCGCATGTAGCAAAAGGTCTACCACCTTTCCCGGCTTACTCCATGTACAGCTGCCGACAAACTTCTTGACACTTGCACACAGATCTAATAAAATAAATTTTCATTGTTTAAGTTCAAACCTTTTAACAAATAATAACGAGAACGTACCGATATTATACTGGGCACACTCCCGTTTCTCTTGCTCCGAAAAACCGTCCCACTGGGTTTCCAACCCCTTGATTATACCTAACAATATTTTTTTTCTTAGAACAATAATATTAAATACTTTTAATAATAAAAAATTATAAAGATTTTTAAAAAAAAGGGATAAGACTTACCACATTGCTGGCGGCACCACTCCTGATAATCCGCAAGATACTTGAAGGGAGCCATGGAGTAAAAGATAAACTGAACTAACTGAAAATATGAGGGGATCCAGGCAGGTATTCCAAGGTAGGTGGATTGGATTAAAAAAAACTTTGGAATGAAAAAATTTGCTTGGCCGCTGAGGTTTTATACTCAAAAAAGTGTTGGTTTCAACTCTCAAAATTTAAAACAACGTATTAGCTATTGTTTTAGTTACTTGTACTACGCCACCCGTTAACAGAACTCTGTTGACCAGACTAAAAATTGACGTTTAGACTAGTAACCAACCGTAACGTTTCACTGAACAATACCACCATTACTTGTATTACCGAAAGTAACTGGAACGTGCTAATATCAGAGAGAAACCTACGTGGGCGTACTTCAGTTTCAAATCAACCAGTAAAAATCGTTCCTAAAACAATGAGTGACTGAAACGCGCTAATATCAGAGAGAAACCTACGTGGGCGTACTTCAGTTTTGAATCAACCAATAAAAACCGTTCCTAAAACAATGAGTGACTGAAACACGCTAATATCAGAGAGAACCCATGTGGGCGGGCTTAAACTAATACGAGCGTACTGATACAACAGCCAGCTATTACACAGACTTGAAATTGGGCATCGGCTTCACGCGCACACACCGAGAGTGCGCGCGTGGTCCTCGCTTCGCTCGGACCACTGTGTTACGTCAGTAGCTGTCTTATTAACCCGGATACTAATGAAACCTCTGTTGATAAAAGGGTTTTGTTTTATTGACCCATAGACCGCTAGTGTATAATTTGATATACAATAAACTCCCGACTACAAACACGTTGAACCCGGATTAAAAGCATTTAATATTCAAAGAACGATGCCACTCATCTCATAAAACAATACGGTAGTTCCGTATTCATGGAAAGCTAACCGGAGCTAATCGTGACATTCTTTTACTTAATGAATGGGCACAAAATGTAATAGTATCTTAACCTATACAGCCGGACCTATCCTTGTTACAATTAAACCAATACAGATAGACTAAAAACTTGATTTAATGACTAAGCTAGACAGAGCTTCTTCGTGCTTATAAACAAGCTAGACAGCATAGTTTAATACATGGCACCACACACTGTGTTTAACGTAGTTTAATACAAATCGCCACCCACTACAACATAACACAGTTGGCTAGTACAACATTAGTACAACAGTAGTACAACATACCACAACATTAGTTCCAGGCTAAACCTCTACCACAAAGACACAAGATTGTGACCAATAGTTCAACTTTAATACTCCAAGTAATGCTGTACGTGGAGACGACGAATCCGACCCATACGATAATATCGCAGTATAACTAGGGGTTGGGCTACACGGTGATGAACCAATAGCTGGCGAGCACACTGTGCTAGGGGTTTTACCTTGAGCTGACACGACTGATAGATACTATATAAACCCTAGCATTTCAGTGCGACTGTTCAGTTGGTAGCCAAAATGGATATGACACAGATGAGCAATCGCTTCGGGAGTTTTGAAAACTGGCCGGATCAGTCCCTTGCCCCTGAGGAACTGGCAAGCCAAGGGTTCTTTTATCAAGGGCAGCATGACGAAATCCACTGCGCGTACTGTGGCTATATTATGGGTGACTGGGTGAACTCACGGTATAAACCATACTACCGACACCGTTTAGCACGTCCAGACTGTGTTAGGGCTATGGAAGAATCCGGATCAAGAAAACACATTCCGCACTCACCGGCAATGAAAGACTACAAGACACGCTTTGCTACTTACGCTGAATGGCCTGCTAACAAACACCAGCAACCCAGAGATATGGCTGCAGCCGGTTTTTATTATGAAGGCCGAGATGACTGTGTACGCTGCTTTCACTGCGGTGGTGCACTTTATGCTTGGGACAAAGATGATGTTCCGTGGGAAGAGCACGCTTGGACTTACCCGAAATGTCCGTATCTTGTACAAACAAAGGGCTCAACATTCATCAACGATGTTCGTAAAAAACGCCAAGAAGCCGAAACAACATGTTGTGGACTAACACGAAAAGCTCAAGCACCTACAACTTCTGAAGACCCCAAAGAGAAATTACGCTGTAAAGTCTGCTATGAAAATGATTCGGGAAATCATGTTCAGACCATGTGGTCATTTAGTTTGCTGTGCAAAATGTTCAAGCAAGCTGCTGTTGTGTCCGATTTGTCGGGGTGTCATTTTCCATAAGTGCTGGGCTTTCTTCTGTTAGTTTTTATTGTCTGTATCATGCATGTTCATTCATGTTCATAGAAAAAAGAGGGTGGGGAAAAATAAACCAAAGAAAGGAGAACAACCGATTAAAAACCGGCTGAAAACCGAACCGATCACGAGCCGAACCGCGGACCGGTCGAAAACCGGACCGATTCGGAGCTGACGCTAAACTAGCGCTATATCTTCTGATGTGCAAAATAAAATATGGAAACATTACCCAATGTTTTGTAGCTCGTTAAATGCCAACATGAAAAGTGAAAAACTGTTCATCGATATCTGTTTTCCGCGAAGCGGACTACAGCAAAAAAGCAACGCCTTCCGTACGCAACACACAGCCAAGCGCAGACCGGCCCATTTATTTGCTGGGGATGTCGGTGATTGCCGTGTCTTTGACAGCTACTGTGACAAAGAAACAGGCGCGGTTGAACACTATCTTTTGCCGGTTGCTTCATGCTGTAAGTATTTATTTTAGCGGCAAATATGCGCTGTAAGCAGATGGATGGTACATGGACTTCTGTGCAACTTGATTGTGCTCTACAGGTCAACGCCCTGCACCACCGCAATCTCTCTACCCTTTTGGGTGTGACCTTTACGTCGGCTGGAGTTTACCTTTTATACGAGTACAATGTTCGAGGACATTTGCGCCATCTACTGGCCAGTAATAAACTGCTTACGGATTTGTTTTTTCGTCTGTCGTTCTTACAAGATATTCTCGAGGTAAACTGATTCATTTATTGAGCATACAATGTGCTTGGCATATAAGAGGCCCTTTAATTAGGGGATGACCTTTATCCATCGTTCTCTTCTGCATTGCCACGGGATGCTCAACACGGAAGTCTGCCTAATAGACCACCGATTTGCGGTGAAACTGCTTCGAAACGGCCAAATTCATATGGATATCGCGTTAACAAAAACACCAAAGAACTCGAGGCGGGGCCAGTCTTACAACGATCATGATTCTCCATCGCAAAGATCAGATATTATTCAACTGGGAACAATTATTTTGGAAGTTATCACCACTGGTAAAGTATGAAATTTGCGTTCTTGTGCAACGCAGAAAGTGTATTCGGATGTCTACAGCATAATAACGCTAATTTTTGCACTTGTTGCTGGATCAGGTGTGCAGCAAGGTACACCGCATTATGATGCCTTAGCGCCTTACCTACGCCGATTGGCAGAAAGCTGCATGGCTGAGCTAAGCAGACCATCGGCCAATCAGATCCGCACGTCACTCAACGCGATAGCCAAAGAATGCCGAATCGGTACAGTACCATCCATGCTACTGGAGGAACTGCAGCGTCACACGGATCAACTAGAAAATCTTGTCAGAGAACGCACAATGGCACTCGTCGTGGAGACACGGAAAGTCGATGAACTACTGCTGCAAATACTGCCGGCGTACGTCAGCATTCTTTTACAGCATAACAGTTCCGTAACAATGTAAAGGTCACAGTTGAGAAAGTGCGCAATCCAACTTAAGCAGATTGTAGCAGTTCCGCGATAACCACTAAAATTATGTAAAGGTCACTGATTGAGCAAATGCGCAACCGGGAGCAGATTACCGCGGAATGCTTTGACGCGGTGACGATACTGTTCAGCGATATTCCGATCTTTGCCCGTCTGGCAGCTCAGTGTACACCGATGGATTTGGTGGTCTTCCTCAATACCATCTACATTGCCTTCGACCGCATTGTTGCTGAATCGAAATGCTACAAGGTGGAAACGATTGGTGATTGTTACGTGGTAAGCTGTATTTTAAAAGACTTTGAAAGCTTTTTTGTTATACTGCGGTGCAAAAAGTCAGAGACTCAGAGCGTAATTTAGGTTTCCAGTGGGGTACCACTGCGCAACGGTCACGAGCACGCTTGGGAAGTATGCACATTGGCCATTGATTTCTTGAGAACAGCCCGCACAGTGGCGCTGCCCAATGATCATATTAACCGGGCAGCAGCTCGCATTGGCATTAACTCGGGTATGGAAATGTTGAGCTAAAATACACTAAAGGTCTCCTCCATTAAATTAGTGCCGCTGCTTTACAGGACCGATCGCAGCCGGGGTTATTGGCACTCGTATGCCTCACTACTGTTTGTATGCATTTGGTTTGATGATCTGCTAGTCTCTTATAAAGGTAATTAAGTCCAGTTCTGTTTGGAACAGGTTTGGGGATGCTATGAATACAGCCAGCCGAATGGAATCCCATGGCTACGGTAAAATGTTACTTAGCAAAATACTCATTTCGTTCCTCCTCAGTATTATAACCAGGTGTCATCAAAAGCGCAAAATATCATATGAGTTTAGTGCATCAGCTGAAGATAACTTTTGCGCTTTACATTACTTAGTGGACAAAATTCACGTGAGCCCGTCGACCAAGAACTTGGTCGTGGTTCATTCGCCGAATTTGGATAAGTACTTCACTACGCGTGGTACAATTCAAGTTAAGGTAACTCGTTTCACAAGATACTGTGCATAGTCTCAGCAGAATCTGTGAATAATCTGTTTTAAGAAAACCAGCAAATATTGTCGCAGGGAAAAGGTCAACTGACCACGTATTGGCTGCTGGAGTCCCCGCTCAACTGGTAGCATGTGGAAACCTTCAATCTATTTTATGAATTATGAGCGCATCGCTGCAGTCATGCAGCTTTAGACATATTGTGGAAAAATTGGGCGTGTCGATATTCTGCATTTTATTCTGAGTTGTCTAGACATGGAGATGCTGCTTGTCAAGAAAAACTCATGTAAAATTAATAGAAAATTTTTCTCTACCAAATTTGGCGAATGCCAACTATTCCAACCCGAAATACAATCGATTTTTATAAAACCTTAAACTAAGTAATAAATAAAAGCTCAAACCAACAAACGGTACTGATACAACCAATATCACCAATTCTGGTCAGCGACATATATACAGTTAAACTTCCACCGTAAAACCATCACAATTCTCCTGCACTGCGGCTCTGCTGCACCATCTGATAAAAGCGCGACTCGGGTCGCTGCAGGAGCTCGTCGGGACGGCCCTCTTCACTGATCTGTCCGTTGGCCATGACGACAATGCGATCGCAATCCAGCACTGTCTGTACACGGTGCGCAATGGTCAGAATGGTGCTGCCGGTCAGAGCTGCCCGGATGGTCTGCTGGATCAGCAGATCCGTCTCGTAGTCGATGTTTGCTGTCGCTTCGTCCAGACAAATAATCTACGAACCATTTATCAATTATGCAATCAGTGCACAAAACAGACAACTGCTCGAAGAATGTCTTATCGTTTTCTCCACAGTTTTTCACGACAACCTTACTGCGACTTACATATGATTTAATTTGACATTTGACTCGTAGTCTCTAATAATTTTCGTAGATTCTTTAAATGAAAAAAAGACAATCAAAATTTTTCTTCTTAAAAGTAGGATTAAAACTTCAGAAACTTGATAGTTATTTCATAATTTACCCAAAAAAGATAGGCAGAACAAATTAATAACAGTCAACAATGAAAAAAGTAAAAAGCACTAAAACATGGACACTAAAAAAAGAAATACTGCACAATAAAGATTCAACAAAACACATTTTGTAGTGTGAAATGCATGCAACATAGTTATTCTACAATTTATGAAATTTTTCACGACACCCATTAGTAGACACCCATTAGTATCTTGGAAAGCTGGCGGTGGATGCGTGCGTTCTACGAGGTCGTATTTACCTTGCTCTTGCTAAGCAGCGCTCGCGCCAGAGAAACTAACTGTTTCTCTCCAGCCGATAAATTCTTCCCGTTTTCACCGACTTCCCCACCAATCCACCGCCGAGTTTCTCGACCAAAGGCCGCAAATGGCACACTTCAACCACGCGCCAAATTTCCTCATCGGTGTGGGTTTGCAGCGGATCCAGATTGTCGCGCACCGACGCATCGAACAAGCACGCCGTCTGGGGAATTATCGTCAGTTTCGACCTGTAATCCCAACCCATGTAGGTATAAAGTAAACGATTAGAAAGTGAAAGAAAACCACTATCACGTCAGCTGAAAACAAATTCCTTATAAATTTTGAACCGCACCTTAAATGCTGCAGATTCAGGTAGGAAATGCGAACCCCGTCAATACTGATCGTTCCCGCATTCGCTTCAATCATGCGAAACAAGGCTAACATCAGACTCGATTTTCCTGCACCGGTTCGTCCGACAATGCCAACCTACAGAATTCATCAATAAATTATTATAAATTACATTAAAACAAATTGTAATTAGAATATATTATTGCCGAACTATTTATCCAGCACAAAATTGCGACAGCGCATCTACAACAGGAAACGTATTTCTTACTCTTTCACCGGGTTGTATGCTCAGACTTATCCGATTCAGAACATCTGGTAAATCCTCACGGTAGCGCACCGTCAGATCTTCAATTTCAATCGCCCCATTATTCGGCCAGTTCGGCTGAGTCTGAACAATTAACATGGCGATAATTAAACTCAAAGGTTTTTGTCGATTTCGTCGGATTTCTTACCATTAGCGGCCCGTCCAGTCGTTCCGGCTCAACATCGTCCATGTACTGTTTGATTCGTTCCACATGAACCATTCCCTGAAGATTAGTTTTGTAAACATAGAATTGGCACACGATCATATAATTACGCAAATCACGAAGAGTGATGCAGGAAAGAAGCACATTATTTTTTTTAAGTCGACTTGTTCTATTTTGAAATTCCCGAGCATTCACAACCATGCAGGGAGATAGCGTAGAAAAATGGCAAATTGCGTGTTGATCGAAAATACTGAATAGCTAAAATGCACATCGAAATGTCAGTTAAAAATTTTGCGGACTGCATTTTTGAGTTATTTTGTTTTATTTCCTTTTATAAATTAACTGCGGTAAATTTAATCACCCTGTCCGAGAATTTTGCTATTCAGTGCAGTGATACAAACCACCCAGTTGCAAAGTGTTTTTCGTAACACTTAAGTCGTTCTTAGGTCTTACCTTTTCCAGATGAGTAAAGGAATCAATCAAAGCTTCCAGCAACTGCACCACAGAAATAGCATACGACAATGCCAAGCCGATCGCCGCTGCAAAAAAACGGTTAAATCTTACAGATTAGTTTAATAGTTAACTGCACGCAAAGAGCAACGACGGAATAAATCTAATGTGATAATGGTATTACAAAATACCATCATATGCCCAAAAGTCGTCCAGCAAAACAGCGAACTTTTCATTTCTTAATCCTCCTAAGAACGCTTTAAAAGATATTCTCTAGATTGTATTCACATATTAGGAAGTCGAAGGAGAACAATCCAATGTTCGGAGGTTCATATTTTTTAACACACTTCGAAATAAAATACGTGTCAGCATAACATTTTACCGGAATGTGATCCTGCCAAAAATCCAATGGCCACCACTCCGCAGATCATCACCGTCGCGATCATGGCTAGCCACAGTGCCAGCCATTGCTCCGCGGCAAAAGCGGCGAACTCCACTTGCAAGTTTAGGGATAAAATCCCGTGGAAGCGTGTACAAAACTGCTCTTCCATCCGCATACTGCGAATTACCGACAGTCCGTGCAGTGTTTCACTGTACAGTGAGTACTGCGGTGATAAGGTCACGGTGTTCAAACGCTTCAATTCCCTACACGCAAAAATTCAAATTTCAAAATTATTCTATCTACACATTTTTTCAATCCTTTACATGTTAAAAATAATTCGAATCTTCTGCAAACGGGATACATATTTGAGAAGTCAATTGAGCATTCAGTAAGAAAGCAGCAGTACGGCACTTGATTTCAAAACCGACCCATGGTATCTGCCATAACACTATGATTCCTTACCGAGCGCGATTTAATCTGTCTAAGAAAACTTGTGCGCACTGTTAAGAAAGCTGAATACATAATATTTCTTTAAAAAATTATATGTAAAATTTTTTGAAAAATCACAAAACAGATGATGATAGAAATCGCATAGACACAACGCACTACTACTTGCCTGGAAGTGTAACGATAATATTTCTGCATGAAGTAATAAACTGCTCCCATTGGTATCAAAATTAGCAGAAACCACGGCATGGAATAGCAGATGACCAACAGGGTCCCAACCACACCAAATAGTTCAGCGAAGAAGATCAGGAAGAACATGGGCACGTGTTCGTCGGTATTATTGATATCTTTGGAGAAGCGGTTCAGAATCCGACCAGACGGTGTCGAATCAAAAAACTGCATCTTCGCTTTCAGTAAAACATTCAGCAACGCATTGTGCAAAATGTTGGATGCTTTCAGCGCAGACAGGAACAGGATGAATGGCCAAATAAAGCTGACTAGGGCGGCTTCCCCAGCCAACCCACCGTAGACGTACAGAAACTCCTTCACTGACAATGTGTCATTGGAAGATTCTCCATGCGCGGTAATCCAATATGAGATCCAAATGTCGCAAGCGTTAACACCAGCTGCAAATGAATGTCGGAATTAGATGCAAATAAGTGATTCGTGTCGACTTAGCTATTCACGTAGATTTCCCAACAATAATTTATCCAACAACTAATTAAGTGGCAGCATATCCCCTAAACCGCACCGACAAGATTCAGCAAATGTATAAAGATATTCATTCAAACTTCAAGCTACAAGTATTATTGTTCATAAATAGGAACGTCTCCTTCTGCAGTACGAAAGACACTGTAACCTTTTGAAAGGCGCGCAATAATCCTACATGCGAAACACCTAAAGGCAATAGGAAAACATCATTGGTATACATATTCGTAGTGCGATGCCACACTCAGTACATATTTCACCCGAAACACCAGGAAAATGGTGGTGGAAAACGAGGGTAAACGATACAGTAAGTAGCCGAAACAAAATACACCAAAATTTTTAAAATTTTTCTTGCTTTACCTTGATTGAGAACCATTAGAATCCACACCGCCACGACTGCGTACCAGCCCATGGAGCGGAAGTACGTCAGATACACCTCGGTTTTGACAACACCCGTCGCGCTCTCTTCATCCTCAATCAGTGGCGCCACTTCCTCGTCGTCGTCGTCACTCGCTTCATCCTTGTCACTGCTCTCACTCTCCACGGTTTTCTGCCTCTGGATGCTGCGGCCTCTCTTCAGCGATGGCCTGCGCCCATTCTGTGTGGCATCATCTTCGATGACCTCGGATAAACTCAAGACTTGTTCGGGTGGACCATCAGCAGCAATGCGTCCATCGGCCATAACCACTACTCGGTCGCATTTTCTAAAAGCAATCTGAAAGTTATGCCTGACTAACGGTATTTTCACAGCCATGATTTCGGGCTTGGCAATAATTTCAAAAATTGCTGGGGTTGCACAGGAAAAGTTAATTTTCAACTGAGCTAACAATCCCCAAACACCCAAACTTCCCCCAAACAACAAAAACGCTGATACGACTATGATAATGCACTGCCAATAAAACGTCGGATCCTGAAAACTGATATAAAAAACACGAAATTCTAGCTGAATATTTCTCATTGAGTAAGCTACCCAAAACTCCATGTGTCAAAACTTGAATTAGGATGCGAAAATATCTAGAAAATCTTCTGCAGATTTCAGTATGTTAAACAAAGAGTTCAAATTAATTGTGGTCAAACCGTACTCATACCTTAAATGCTCGATGTTGTGCGTAATGAAAACTTTGGTAGTATCCTTCAACAGTCCCAGGATACATTTATTATAGATAGTGGCGGCGACATGCGGATCCACGGCTGCTAAAGGATCGTCCAAGAAAATAATCTGTTTTCGTTGATACACGGCACGAGCCAGTGCCAGGCGGGCCTTTTGTCCACCACTCAGCGTCACCCCCTTTTCTCCAATTTCTGTTGCATCACCGTTGGGCATACTTTCAAGATCTGCGGTTAAACAGCAGCAGTCCAACACTTGCCGGTAGAATAACGCATCGGTCACGGTGTTTTCGCCGAGTAAGATATTTTGCCGAATTGTCCCTTGCAGAATCCACGCCTCTTGTGGAACAAATCCAAACCCTGAAAATGTTCGAGATATCTAAGTACTGTAACTCGGCAACTTATAATCAAAAGCTTTCTGTAACTTTAATCATTTCGGCTTTCGATATCATAGAGAAGATTTGCAGAATTAGATGTAATCAATAAGAAATCTCGAGAATGAAATGACCAAAACACAATCTGACTCAAAATCTGGAAAAAACGTATTTGCCGAATTTTTCAGTGCAAACGAGGAGTGCAGAGTTGCGGTATTACTGTACCTTCATTAAAAATACTTTCATTTAACGCAATTTCTCCGCTTAGTTTGTGCATTTCCCCAATAATAGCGTTTAACAACACGGTCTTGCCCGATCCGATTTTGCCGGTAACCCCCAGAAATTCTCCCCGCTTTATTCGCAGCGTTATATGGTCCAAAACCGGACTCGGCTCTCCATGAAAAATTTCATCGCTGTTTTGACAGGAGAAAGTACTAGCTTTCATCTCTACAAACGTTGAATTATTTTCCGGTAGCAGGGTATACAGTTTAGCGAAAGACAGATCGGGTAGGCGGAAGAACTCTTGTAATCGCTTCACCGACACCCACATTTCCACTACGCCAATCACTTCCCTACAAAACAATTATCTCATACCATCATTAAAACCCTCAATCTCACGAAGCAACTTACCATGACATCATCATAAGAGGCCCGTTTAGCATTCGAAAAACGGCGATACTCGGGAAAACCTATAAACAGTTTGGGTTTTATTTATAAAAAAAAAACATATCATCACGAGAATAAGGAATAACATACACTCCCGATTCTAATAATTTCACATAGAATTTGCGCACAAATAGTTGTACCTTGGCAGCTGTCAGTTGATTACCAAGCAGAACATAAATCAGGAAAGTCGTCACAGCCCTTTACCAAAGGAATAGGGAAAATGTTAGTCAGATTGCAAACGCAACACACATAACAACTTACATTCCCACAGGAACTAGCTGCCATAATGCCGAACTCCTAGAAAAACAAAAGATAAAAGGTATGCTAATTATTTAGTCAAAAAAGCACGTCTAGGAGTAAGTCCCAAAACGCGTAAACCGGCGTTTCTCAATCAAGATTAAAAAAAATTTATAATCGGTGTCATTGAAGGACTGTTTTTCATTGCACACCGTTATAGTAATTATTGACTATTAAAGGATGGGATTCACACCAGAACTTGCCACCACACTACAACACAACAAGAAACCTACAACAATCAAATCAAACCTACACAGCAACCAGCATATTAGTCGAGCGCAAATATTTCATCTCCGCTTTCCTGGCCGCAACCGCTCGTCCCCGAAAGAACGATTCCCAAGCATGGAACTTAATAATCCGGATACAATTGAGAATCTCTCGCATGATCTTCACCCGCTTGTCCGCCGTGGCCTGTTTGCTCTCTTCGTAATGGGCAATTCGGGCGGCCAACAGCTGATTAGTAATCAACAGTAACAACACCACACCGATGCCTCCCAGGAACGAAATTCCCATCTGCCAGTACAATAAATACAATCCTATACCGATCTGAATGGGCGAATTGATGAGTTCCAGAAATATCATAATGCCGTCAGCTGCGCGCTGACAATCCGTGCCAATCAAATTAACGACTTTCCCTGATATTTCAGAATTCGATAAATCCGCACCGTAAGAGTGGAACAACTTCCAGTACACGTTGTCAACGAGAACTCCATCGACTATCCTAAAAGCAAGCAATGGTGAGAAAAAAAATACTGTAAGTGAACAAAATTACCGTTCAACGCTTTAATACCGTGAGAAAATGTGGCTGAATCACCGCACTTCGAGTATGCGTAAGCCAATGCATATGCCACTGCACTACTTTCGACTTCTTCAATAAACTTCCGCTTAGAATCTCACTTTTCAAAATTGAGCCAAAGTATAATCTTAAACTCAGATCTGCGCAAATTAAAACTAAAATACTGTCATTTGGAAAAACATTTGCACCGGTCATCCTATACCTGCACTTTTTATAAACGACATTCAAATTAATCCGTTCTGCAGTAAAACTCTCGCTCAGACCTTGAAATTTTCTAATTCCATAATAATAAAATTAGAGAACGATAAATCAACTACAATATTACATGAAAATTCCGCGAAGCCAAAATAAAACGAAAACTATTTCAAGAAAACGTTGGCAAGCTTCACCTTACAATTATTCTTTTCATTTTTAACAAAAAACGTCAACAAATTAATCATTAATATACACTGAAATGAGTGGAATCCCCCAAAATTTCAATTTTTCGAAAATGTTCATAATGATAAATAAAAAACGGCAAACCCAATTCACCCAATTCTCCGCGAAAGCAAAACCGAAATTAAATAATTTTTATTAACATTTTCAACGGTTACCCTGTGGCGGTACTACATATTTTTAAAAACGGCAATAAAATTACAGCACGCAGCTCGAAATTCAGCAACAATTTTTTTCCGCAAAAATGCTTACATGGTCAGCTTGGCACAGATGAACGAATAATGCGCATGAAAAAAAGCGCTCAACAAATTAGCCAACACCAGCAGTCCGGCCCACTGCAGTCCCTCCAGCAGATTCCCGTCTCCCCGTTCAAAATACGATATCAATTTCTGCAGTATCACCGGTTCCGAATAGGACGCCGCAACCGAAACAAGCATCAGTGCGCCGATAAATAAAAACACGCCGCCCCACATCCTCCACAAAATCCCAATCAGAAACACCTTCGATGTCTTCGCGTTGGCTTGCAGATGGTCGCGCAGCACTTGCCCGTGCTCTAAAAATCCCCAGGATGCGGGAAAATCAAATAAATGCTCGTTTGTGCGGATGAATTCTCCCTTGCGAATCAGTTTGATCACCCAGAACAGAAAGACTTTGGAGACGAAACTGGACTCTTCATACGCTCGGTGGACCGTCTCCCAATTTATTTCTTCCGGGAGTAATCCCTCCCCATCATAGGACGGTCGCCGACGCTGCCAATTGAGGATCGGAGGAAAATAGGAACAAATTATCACAATATTGGCTGCGAACAGCAGATACGCAGCGATGCGATACACTCCAGGCAGGGCGACAAAAACCCCGCCAGTCCCCGACCACAACTCGAAGATGTAGCCCGCCGCCACCGGGACGTAGAAAATAAACTGTACAAGCTGCGGCGTGGGACGGGAAGCGCGGGAATCGACGATGCGGAGCAGGAACCAAGTGCGCACCATCATGAGGATCCACGTCGCGAAACTCACGCCGTGCGCCACATGACTGGCCACACCGAGTTGTTTTCGATAGGCACTGGTAGCCAGAAGAATAATCTGTCGGGTACTGATCACTACGAGGATGGCAGCGCATCCTGCGAGGCGGAGAACCCAGGCGAGGCGATAATTCCATCGCAGCGAGGAACGCTGTGAGTATCGTTTGGAGATCTCGGATCCAATGCAGATACAGGTGAAGATCAGCAGCAACACATGGGTGACAATGTGGTACACGTCGTGGAAACATTGCCCGAAATCCTGGATGCTGGGGATCCATAATTGCAGGCCGCCATTGGGGAGGGTGGTGTTGGGATATTTGGAACAGAACGTTTTCCAGTTGGAGTCCATTTCTCTCGCTGGTTGATGCTCTCCGATCTTACAGTCGAAATATTGCAGGTAACTTTAGTACTGTGCTTCTTATACCGCTTCTCCTGATCATTCTGCGACCACACACCGGCATCATCCAGCTCGCGCGTGATCGTGTTTCATAAAAAAAAACGGATTGGAGGAAAATTTGCGAAGTGCAATTTCCGCCTGCAATCTGTAGACGATTTCACAAGCCAGACGCCAGCACACAGGGACTTTAGAGTTGGCGCCGCTATTGCTTTATTTGAAAAGATGCAACTCAATTCGCGTCGGCGTCGTTGTACCCTGTACAGCATACGGAAGAAGAGGCGGTGTAAACAGAGGCTCAGTAAAGTTGCACCGATTTAATGAATGAGGCGGCTTTTATTTTTGGATGAGATCATATTGATTTGAATGACCGATAAGCAGAACATATTCACCTTATGTAAATATTGCAGCCTTCTTTATTTTCAGTGTCCTGTGTCGAGGGGATGACATCACCTCATCAGCAGAAAAAATCTGCTTATAAAGCGAATTCACAATTGTTATTTTTGCGTTTTTATATTGACCGTTATCACCGGAAACTGCGGTAATTATCAAATTATCAGCATCGCGCATCAGTAAGCGACTAACTTGTAAGCGGAGAGTATTATTCGGTCGTGCGCCGAGACGTTCGTGTTTAAAAAATAAATCGCAATCATTGATAAACGTTGCAGCCCGTGACTAAAGCGCATCCATGAGAAGAATTCACACGATTCATTTTTCGAAATTCGCAAAAAAATGTACAGGCACTTCCACTATCATCTGCCCCAAAAACGAAAACAATCATTGCAAGTTTTACTGCTAAACCATTTTGAAACATCTTGCACGAAAAGAAGCAAATTAGTTTATACAGATTCTCCTGTCAAACTGCTTCGCAAATACAAGTTTAAGATCCATAAAACTCATTAAAGTAATCATATGAAACGCTGGTGTCTTTTATCGTGTACACTCACTGACTCAGGACCGAGATTCGACACAAAAAGCCTTTTAAAATGTTTCTTCAATGTTCCTTACAGCCAATTTTGATGTCATATCCGGAACAAAACTGGACTGCCATTCTCCGAAAGGACAATCTCGCCGGGTCGTGCCGCTCGGGGCTGACTTTCCTTAATGCCGCTCTTCATAAATTTGGGCACAAAACGGCGCAAGGCACTAGCCGAAGTCGTCGGAGTGACAAATTGATTCGCAAAGGACGGGCGCCGGGGTTTGGCTTTGGATTTGCGAGCTTCTGATGCTTTCTTCTGTTTGCTCCTGCAAAAGTGAGATGACAAGCCATAAATTTCATCAAGCAGAATGTCTATTCCAGGCATGTGAATAAATGAAAATGCTTTCAAACCGTACTTTTTGCCAAAGTTGAGGCGAACTTTGACGACTTCCGGGGCTGAAAATTCATTTTCAATGTCGTACACATTATGCTCAGGATGCTGCGGGCCTTCGATGTTCTGCGGAGGAACGTTCGCTTCGTTTTTGGATTCAACAACTGCAACTAAAATAAACGGGATATACAAACTGTCCAACCAAACAATTGTTCAGTATAAAACCTAATTTGCTGAGTTAGTAAATACCTAAACTGCTAAATACCAAAACAGATTTAGTAAATATCAATACCACATGGCACATATCCTTACTATTCATGAACTGATTTAAACGTAATAAATAGATACCTATAGATTTAAACCAGTGTGCATAAAACAGTTTACTAGCACCACACATAAGTGACACAGCACTCAGCCAAACCTTAAAATCGTTGTTTGGTGATTTTTACATATGTGACTGTACCATCTGTTCAGTTCAACCCACCAGCTTCTTGTTGTTCCAGAAACCGCTCGAATTCCGGGCAAGTCATATTCAGCTGCTCTTCGGTGTATTTTCGGCAGGCATTCTGAAAAGCAGCTTCCTCTTCTTCATCTAACTTTTTCATTCTCTCTTCGTGCTCTGCTTGATTTTTGTCCACTGTAAACATACAGCAATAATTAGACGGTGAACGACAAACAGCTGCCCAGTCACCAGTTTTCATCAAAATATTTGCTTATTACGGAGCGAAACACTATGTAACGTCGGTAACGAATAAAAAAAAGCATCAGGAAGAATCGAGAAATCATCGTGTATCGGTATCTGTACGAATTGTAAAGATATATAAATCTGAAACAAAAATTTAATTATTAACCGAATGCAAATCAACTCACAAGTCAATATTCCGATATATTAAGCAATGATGATCACATGCATTTGAGCAAATAATAAAAATGTACGAACTGCCAAAACGTATAGGTAAACGTTAGGGTAACCGGTAACACAATAAAAGCACTTATTGACTTACAGTATCATTATCCTGATTGTCTGTGACGAAACTTAGGTAGTAATAGGTACGAAGATACGGTAATTTTGAACTGACTTCGAAAAGCATGTAAATCCGACAGCACAAAAATACCAACGGCCCAGACATACTTTGTCCCTTTAAAGTTTCCTGGAATTGCACCAAACGATCCAGCAGCATCTTGTTCTTCTCTGAGAGTTCGGGTTTATCCGCGATCTTGCTGACGATGCGAGAGCCAGTTCTGCCAAACAACTCTCACATTACACTATTACAGAGCGTATATCCCAGCCAACGTCAACAAAAGCACCAGCTAATATGGCTAACTTTTTACTGTTAACTGGTTCATAAAATTCCATAAAAAATTAAAAATGCATACTTGTTTCCAGTCCGAGATTTGTTCGCAGTGGACGCAGCTTTTTTCGGTGGCATTTTGGCCGTTCCACAAGAATCTCCGCACAACAAAGATTTTAGCTTCCCTTACTTCACGAGCAAGTTGTAAATGGTTCTGAAGAGGCACCTATGAAAGAACAATGCAACAGACCACAAACTACGAAAATCATAGAAGTTTAAAACATAAAAATAGCTAAATTAATTTTGCTGAAAGAAATTTACAGAATGAATATAAATGAATAATACGCGTAGCAAAGCCAGCCAAAGCCAGCCAAGGTTCGCAAACGTAAAGCTTTGTCTCGAGCCTTGACTGGCTTTTGTAAGAACGGGGAATGTTTGCAACTTCACAAACGTAAGTTCGCGCACGAATAAATAGCACTTAAACCTGGCGCAATGTAATGAATCCTTAGTGCGAGAGTGACTTCCGGAAGAAACAGCCCAAATTGCAGTAGCGCTATGTTTTAAAGGCTGACTAAAAAACGATTCAGAATTGGCACAAAGTTCGTATTTGCATCAGTATTATAAAATTCAAAATTTCGCAAACCGTTTGCAATTTAAAAGTTTTTGTAAGATCTTAAAGTAATCCAGACCATAGCAGCGTGCGGGCGGTTCGGCGGATGTACCCGCGCGCAGTTCAAAAAACGTATTTGAAGTCTGCAATGATCATTCCCTGTATCCATGCATCTGATTTTCCTGTTTGGGTTTCAGTAACTTTCAAACGTGATTTGTGTTTCGAGATTTTTAATTAATTTTTTGAGTTTTTTGGAATTTATCCATGTCGTGGTAGCGTGATTTGCATGGAATAGTTTTTTTAATCCTCACTGAAACGGAAGTCAGGTAAAATTGTGCAGTACTGCATGGCATACTTAGCAGGATCTGTAGTTCGTGTCAGTTAGTCAGTTAGTCGGAGGTAATCTTTGGATTTTCATTTTGCCATCATATTCCTTTTTATTGGCTCTCACGGTCTCTCAGCTCTTTATTCTCTAAACATTCCAAATTGGGACAGATTTTTCTCTAACTATTGTTGATTGGTATAACATTTGACCGGTTATATATTTGCATGTGATCAGACATGGATGGTTTGCAGTGACGTCGATTTTCTGCAGATTGGAGTACGCCAAACGGAGAAATGCAGCGGTATAGTGGTTCTCAAGTGGGAGAATGGGGCAGGCCCGAGCAGTATAACTTAACATCGGAACAACTGCAGATCATTGAAGAGCGCGCCCAACGTCGGGCCAACCTGAAGAATGAATACTTTCGCACGCTGTACAATCCCTGGAAGAATATGTCGGTCGAAGGCGGCACAGTCGTACGTGTGACTTTCCAGTTTCTGTTTGTTTCTTCCTAATGCTTGCTGTAGTATAAATTGATATTCATAACTGTATCTCTTTAAATAAAACTATCTGTATCTGCGCATCTAAATACCCTAATTAAAATTTTAGTTTTGATAATTGCTCATGTGAATCGGCAGTGCAAAAAACTTTTTTTAGTGTATATTTTTAAGTCTTCATTCTTCAGCATAATAATGATATGATTTTATTTGAAAAAGGTCTGAATTTTTTTGTTTAAGCGGCTTAAATTTTATTGCTGCGAAAGGTTCAAACCTTTTGCAGCAACATGCGTTTTACGTATCACGCTGGAATTTTCTGTTTTCGATTTTGCAGAATTCTTAATACGTGAATATTTTCGGGTTTAGTGGTGTAGCTTTATGGTTCGTTAAGTGGGAATTGGGAATATTTTTTTCTTGTTGTTCTTCGCTTTTTTGCTTAGCAGGATTTTTATTTCCAGTTTGATCCTATGATGCAGCGTTTCACAGCGACACGTGCTGATTATTACCACTACTTCAAACCAAACAAGGCTAACTTCATGATTTTCTTCTTCTCGTTCATCTTCCCAGTCACAGTCCTTGGATATCACAGTTTTTATACGCAGGTAACGCTTGATAGATTTAAAACGTCTTGTGCTATATTAAATTGTTATGCTCAGTGTTATTGGTATGTTTTCTGGTGTTTTGTGATACTCATGTTTACACACAAGTCACAACTATGCAAAAAAGCTTTGTTACTTTTAAGATGATTCGCTTTTACAATTATAAACTCAGAGTCTCAGACGTATTAGCACTGAATGCAAGGAGGAATTTTTTACTAGTTTTCAGCGCTAACAGTTCTGCTAATTAATAATAAGGGAGTATTGCGGTTATGTTTTGGATCGTTTTCACAAAATCGCGTTATGAAGTTATTGACGGCTTCCTTGTAACTTGTGTTAGAATGTCGGGATAGTCATTTACGATTTTCGTAGGGTTTTTCTAACTTGTTCATAGTTTGCGCGACAGCTGAGCGACCACAAAGCATTGCTGGAATAAAATCTTTTGCAAAAAGTTTTAAAAACAGCGCTTCGATTTTTTTGACTGTTGTAATTTTTGTAGGAGAAATTTGACCGACGATGCCGGAATGCCGAAGTGCCGTGGCGCTACCGCATGCATCGTACGCTTGTTTGATCGTGTCACTACTGTTTTCAGGATATACAGATATTAATGGTGTGAGTGAAATTAGCGAAAACAATGGTGGTGCATACACTATGTCATATCTAATTGTAAAGCGTGCTTAAAGTGGGAAAACATTTCTATTTTCTTTGCATTTGTCGCCGTGTGGCGTTGTTTTATGTTGCATTCAGTCGACTGTACAAAAGTAAACGTCTCGATACATCGAGCTCCAGAAGATTTATAGCTATTACAGATTTCAAAGATATCGTACAACATGAAATGAATAAGACTTTGCCATAAATTGGCATTAAATAATCGTCATATTATCGATATGGATTTAGCTAGCTTGAATCACGGGCATTTGCTGAAAAACGTTAGCACGTTTTGTACATACATTTGGCCAACGTTTTCAAGGCCGAGTTCAGAAATGCAGTGAAATCACGACCTGGAGGCTAATGGACGGCTCTATTCGATGACACAGAGTGTTGGTTTCCCAGTTTACAAATGCCGGGAGGTAGATTGTCGGTTTTCTGCATTCGGTTGAGCAACGTGCCATCAAAGGTGCCATCAATTTTACGGTGAAGAATAATCTGGATACAGGCGATCTTCCTGTAAATTGCAAATACCGATAATCAGCAGTTATTTTAGAAGTTTATATGCTTATGCATAATATTACTAAACCTGAAGGTTTAGTAATACTATCTATGGCCTTTGTTGATTGGGTGAAATCAAGCGGTCACTTAAATCATTCTTTGTTGTAACAAGATATGCATTACTCACACGCACATACATAGTATATCTGTACAGTTAACTCGTAAGCATTAATAAAACAATGTATTTAAACAACCACGGCTTATTGTGTGCAAAACTGTTTGCTGATTAATCCAGAACGGTGTAAGTTAAACTAGACACGCACATACAACACAAGTACTAGTATAGATAATAAACTTGAGCACATAATTATTAAACCCACGATAATAAATATATATATATATAGATTAAGATATAACGCAATTATGTTAGTATATTACTGTACACCACTTACCGGTGTCAGTTCACCAATGTAATAGTCTTCCAGGATTTCAACAGCCACTCGGGAGTGACCTTTATCGATAAAAGCAGATGTGGCATCGCTACCGGCGAATTCCAGAATTATTTCCATTCCGCCTGGATGCTGCCAATAAGTGCATAATTTGGTGCACAAGTTATATAATTCCAGGATGAAAGTTATATAATTCCAGGATGAAACATCTTTTTTAGAGTTTGTAACATCTTTTCTACAACTCGCCATTGATTTTTGTTAGCTGGACTAGTTATGTACATCAAAACTCGCTTTTTTGTACACGAACAATTTCGCTTTACCGTTTTCCCGTTCAAAAGCAATTCGAATCGCAATTTGCACAAGAGTGCTGCATTTCTTCCCATTAGTCCACTGATAATTACAATTCTTTTGCCAACACATAAGCGGCTGCTGTACATACTTATAAACTCTAACAGGGACGCTGTACAGCACAAAAAAAGTTTTCTTGCTGCTGTAATATGGTTTATTAGCTTGTTTTCATAGTTCTTACAGAACTTTACTTACTTGTGGGTTGGTGCACTGTTAGTGTAATTAATACTATGCCCGCATGATAGCACTGCACCCGCCCTGTGGCGACAGCACCATACGCGCATTCATACCGCACGTGGAATTTTGACTTCTGCAAAAGCCAATTTTTTAGTTCTTCACGTGCGGGAACTTTCCTACATTTTAGACTCGTTTGAAGACCCTAGAATATCGTTTGATTTGGTCAGATTTTCTGATTTTCATTCTTACTTGATTGTTTTTAACTCTAGAAACGTGTGTTTGTTTGTGGTTTCTTGTTTCTGCGTGAGTGCATGTAGTGAGCATCTCACAATGACCGACCTACCTGAAGAACAACGCGATTATGGCTTCCACACGAGCACTCGCGTGTTCATGTCTGCAAACTCCGTGAAAAAACCTGGTACGTATATTGGTTTTGGTTTCTTTTTGTGTGTTGAATGCCATTTTTTAGTGCTGGATCTGCCCCATAACTGGGCGATGATCGAATCAGCAGAAGATATGGAAAAGCTTGGATTTCCTGGAACGATGTTGAAAGCTCGATGGGCACATTTGTATGTAGTGCCACATGGTAAGGAAAATGACCTTTTTCACTTTGTTGCTGTCTTTTTTAATTTACTGTCTGATCTAATGTCATGGAATATTAGCCGTCAACTGACAGTGTACTTAAATGTTTCAGTGAACACAGAACGAAGCCTTTTTTCTTCCCTGGATTTCCAAGACAGTGATGTGTTTTCGTCGGCTCATGCTTTGAGGGAGGTTGAAAATCGTATCCGCCAGGTGCTGCCCGAACCCGTTCAACTGAAGATGTACCTGCTGAAGAAAGTCCTGCCGAAATTTGCTGGAATGCTCAATGGAGGCACAGCTGAATTTTACTACGATACGATCTACCATTTGCGGTTGCTGCAGGTTGTGTTCGAGTGAGTATTATGAAATTAATATCCTGGCCCGCTGCAGTTAAAATGAATTATATAATTACAAGCGCAGAGGGGTAAAATACGGAAGCGTTAATTATTATATATCGTGATACACAACCGTTATAATTACTATTGTTGTTAATGTTATTCACGTGGATTTCCAAGCATGTGTTTTGTGATATTGCAGTTACATTCACTCGGACTTAACGCGACTTCCGGACATCCCGGAATGCCTGTTCAAAGCGTTTTCTTACGGGAATCTTAAGCACGGGCAGGTGATGCGCTTTGGATTTTTCCTGCTGCGTGGGGGGTTCGACGTCGATCTGTATGCAGAAATGGTCTGCCCAGCTGGTATGGATCTGATGCGGGTGAATCATATTGTGGATAAGAAAGTAGTGGCTGGTTTCGTTGGCACATCCAAGCCTGTCTACTACGATGTTGAGCACCACCTGAGCTCCTTACTGGTTCCACTGATACTGCGTGGCCAGCGGCCAACCGCGATGAAGATTGCCGACCGGTAACATCTCCGGAGCAAACACAGTCTGTCGTCACTTTTGTGACCAGTTTTCTTTGTAGACTTGGATATCCAAGACTTTGTGAAGAGTTAGCGCGTGGTGGAAGTCAGGTGTTTCAAGGGCCGGCTTGGGCGGTGTTTCGCAAAGTGTACGATCTGCTGCGGGACACGCGACGCATGACTAAACTGCGCCTGCACGATTCCCGCACCATGGTATGCGAATAAAACATTATAAATATTTTGGATTGGATTTCCTGAATTTAGGAAGAATATCGGCTGTGTGATCAGTGCATGGTCCCTTGGCTGACGGGAGGGCACGACGAGGATTTTGATAATCCGAATTACTGGAACCACCGCGTCGTCTGCCCAAACATCCATGCAGCGTATGATTGTCGGGTTAGCAGTGGAATGCTGCAGCGTAAGCCGCGTGGTCCCTGGATTTCCGGGATGATGTTGAATGTTTTTAAGAAAGACGGAAGGGTTGTGCCGCTGAAAACAGAGTACATCCTCACTGCAAGCAGCGGCAAACCTGTCCACTCGGCGTACTTCTCTTGGCGCATCGCCATGCCTGCTGAACCGGTTGTGCGCGATCTGCCGGACAGCGAGAGTGAGGCTTCGGACGTCAGCGACTCGTCCGACGGTAGCGAGTTTTCCGATGATGAAGAAACCTCCAGCACCAGCAACGCTTCTGATTCCAGCGGGAAAACTGTTTCGACTGGACAACGGGATACTAGTGACACGGCTAGTGAAAGCGGAACTGTTTGCTCTGGTGAAAGCGGTCAGAGTCGTGGAAGCGTAAGTTATTACGTTTGATTCAGTATTGTAATTTTAAGTTAAATCTGGAATGCAAACTTATTAGTATTTTGTCTGATTTTAGATCTACCAGGAGAGAATGACCTACTATTACGAGAACCATTACTACTAGGAAATCCTGGACTAGTTTGGAGTTTGGTTTCCTTTACGCTGCTTTTATTCGGCCATGATGCAAACCTCGGATTCGCGGATTTCCATGATGATATGTATTTACTAAATGATCTTGAATGCTTTTATACTTCTTGCACTGTGTGCACTGACTACAGCTTGTACTTTACTTTTGTTGTGATTTCATGCTACTTCGTTGCGTACTGAAATAACTGAATTGATTCAGTTGTTGACTGAATTGAAGTTGATTTTTGGAATGTAAGATGTTGCTGAAGCGTGTATCTGCTATGATTTGATCTTTTACTTGTGGAATTGGCCTTTGGAAACCGGGAAAAAAAACTTCAGTTTTGATTTTATTTTATTTCAAATTTACAAGTCTGAATGCAAACAACTGGGAATCTTGGCAACAGTAACTCGTAATCCAGTACTACACTTCATGATAGCACAAACGGCATCTGTTGATGGTACAGCAACGTATTCAAAGCGATCACTTAAATCAAAAAATACTGGGAAATCCGGGTCATTTAAAAATAACACAGAATAGTTATACTCATAAGATTTTCCGATTAAAAAAATTTTAACCTTTTCCGTGTTATCTTCCACAGCAACACTCCACACCACTGAAACAATCTGTTTAGCGGATGTGAAAACAAAAGACGAGTTCCGGCCTGCGCTTTCCGTATTTTCGGCCTTACAGGTGAAACCGGAGTCGACCACACAAGACTGCGAAAATCCCAAAATGGTAAAATCGTCTCCCACGGCACCTTTAAGTATCGCCACGGTCATAGCATGGAAATCCGGGAATCGTTTCACAAATGATAATTCCTTTATAATCACACCATTCAGAACTGCGAATGTTGCCGATGAATAAACAATTATGGCTCCCTTTTTTTGCTGAGAATTTTTTAATCCGCTGCGAAAAAGGTCACGTTCTGCCGTGCTGCCGCCTCCAAAATCGCTCTCCAGGCACGTTTCACACAAGGCCAAAGTGGCTGTTTTTGCAATTTCTTTACTCAGGTGTTGACTGCCATGGATACGTTTCGTGATGGATCCAATGTTTCCCTCGAACTGGAATGTCCAATAGTGATTAACTGGACCCCAGTCTTCAATCTGGCCAACAATGTGCAGCAGCTGATGTACGTTGGATCCCATTTTTTCTTTTCCGTATATACTTTGGAAATCCCTGATAAAATTATGTACCTCCAAATCTAGCGCAGGAAGCAGCTGTGACCGCAGATTGTCACTCAGTAGAAAGTGGCAGAGGCGCACTAGTTTCAGATAATGAACGTACAAATTAAGCGTCAAATTTCCGTTGAATGCCACAGGTCCGAAAAACAGCAACAAGAACATCAGCTCGCCACCATTAAACTGCGTATGGTATTCTGCTATAGAACGTACCAAACGTTTCACACATAAGTGGGGCCTGCACAAAGATAACGACCAATCGGAAGCCTGGATATCCAAGAAATTGTTTGTGATCCAGTATTCCAGCATGGTCTTGAAAATTCCTTCACAAATCAAATGTAAAAAATCAGACGGAAAACTCCTAGGAAAATTGGCAACCGGAAGGGAGAGGGCACACAGTACAGACATTCCTCTGACGCCCAACAGCTGATCCTCCATTTTCTTTTTCTCGTTCTTATTGTAGTTGGCCGCCTTTCTCGCCAGCTTCATGTGCTCTTCATGCCGCCGTAAAGGTAAATCGTTCGTATATTCAAATATATGCGTTCCGGCATGGCTCCCCTTTTGACAGCATGTTGTACAGCTGTAATATCCGGTGTGTCCCTTTATCTCCATAAGGCGATTGCGCTCTACTGTATCGCATGGAAATAATATAGGAAAGACTTTTATTAATGCTGGATTTCCCTGTATCTCGCAATCTAAACCATGTATCATCAATTGATTCATCTCCGCAATGAAAGGTGCGAGCAACGTCTCCCGCGGCGGCATACTACGTCCTGCAATTGCCATATTATTTTTATTCAAATGCTGCATGTAATATTTATTTAAAATAACAAAGAATGGTTAATTGTAAATCAAAGCTAAAGATGACCAGCGAACTTTAATAAGATAACCAAACATAATTACACAATTAGTTAAACTTTCCTTAATAACAACTTAATTTGATAAAAAAAGTTTTTAAAAATTACAGACGAACATCTGTAACTGCAAAATAACTTACCACAATATATAAGAAAAGGAAACACATGCCTTTGCCGATCCGCACTTGTCATTTCGTTAATGGTAAACTGCCCGACATAGCACGTCTTTTTGTTGGCGGATTTTCCTTTATGAGGAGCGACGTTGTCCAAATGAATTGACAGGGAAATTGACCGGCAGCCGGCTCCATAGTTCTCTTTGTGACATCGATACATCAAACCGTCACTCAAGTCTAGGATTTCCCCTTCAGAATTCGGTTGAAAATCAAATTTGACTTTACGGTAATTTGCTTTTAAAAAGACTCGCAACGTCTCGGCAACAGATATCGTCGTGAAATAAAACAGTTTCTTTACGCACTCATCTTTGACGAAAATCATTTTGTGGTCGGTTGGACATTGTAATTCATTTTCATCCATTGCTGGAAATCCGAGATAACACTGATGCTCCGGACAAATATAATGCACGCAATAATTGGACAGATATCCATTGAGCAATTTTGTAAGTTTAAACCACGAATCTGGGAAATCCCTGTTATCAATTGGCAGAACTAACGCGTCTTTCTGGAATAATCCAATCGTGGCTTGCCGGGATAAATTATGACGTCGCGCAAACGTCAGCTGAATCTGGATGTATTCGCCGAGTGACATGGGCGAGCCTTCAAAGAGCGGGGCGTCCAAACGCTCGTGTCCCAGTTTGGCAGGATCGCTATCACAATCTCCATTTTCCAAGTCTTCGGGCTCTGTTTCTGAATAGCTGCTATTTGTTTCGCTATCAGATACATCGTTTGAATCGGCAGAATCGTCGCTTTCGTCGGAAATCCAAGGTTGTTCAACAGTAGGTAATAAGTTGTCCAGGCAATGCTCTCCGCCTGCCACAAGCTTTCTTTCCCGGCTCTTTTCGATCTGGCGCTTCTGCCGTGCAGTGATCTCCTTGGAGGGATCATGAAGATGGGAATTATAATAAACTCTGGGTCGTTTACTCATTGCTCTGGGAATTCCAACATGAAGTTTCACAAATAATACAACTTACAGAATACCAAAGAATTCACAAATTACCAAATATAATTTGAATTATGAAAACGTCATCGCGAAGATCGCCTCTCTGTTCTGATTGGTCGCATCAATTCAAACGGTTCAGAGGTTTTGCTGCAAGCGTTCATTCGCGTTCATTTAATCGAGCTGACAACGGAACGGTTGCAAACGTGAATTAGTTGTTCCAAGTTCAAGCCACAGTAACACGCTTATTTCCCCCCTGTTTCTTCCTGAATGCGTATCCCATCCCATATTTTGGTCATTAAACATGTCGGATTCTGGTAATTAAACGTTTGGTATCACGAGTGCTAGCATATCACCACGTTTTTTCTTTGTAGACGAGAACGAGAATCTGGAAATCCAAGAAAAGAACAAAAGCAGGAAAACGAATAAACCACCAACTGGTTTGTTGTAAACTTAGAACGGTGAAGCATGGTGGAACGTTAATTCTTTTAAATTTTAGAGAAAACCTCCGGTAAGCGCCCAGCTCGTCCTGTTAAAGAGCCATCCAAGCTCAAAGGCTTTGCAGTTTCCGTAACGAAAGCTAAGCCCGCAAATGGTAAGACTGTTTTTTTGGAACAGAATAGATAACCTGGAAGTTCAACTTCTCTCTGTTACTTATCACTGGCAATGTTTTTAAACTGGGAAATCCCGGGAAATTTGTTGAGAATTTGACATATTGGTGCAGCTATGTGAATTATTCCAGGTTTGGTCCGGAAACAGCCAAAGGTATCTACGAAACCCGACTTCACTCCTATGAAAAGCCTTGTAGATATGGCGAAATCTATTGAAGCTCGGAAATCCATCACTCGTAAGTTAATTTTCTATATGCTCTCCATTTTTTCGAAGTAAGTAACATCTTTTTGAACTAAGTAACAAAAACGTAACATCCTTTCTCGATGTAGCCTGATTAGCGTGTTGTCATGTATTTGTGCTGTATTTCAGTACGTAATTATAAAATCGTATGCCCCAATTTTGTTGGCATCGATTTATTTTAACACTGTTAAGCAGGTCCAGTGGAAAACGAAAACGGCGACTCGGGCACAAATTCAGTGGATGTCCAGGTTTTGTTTCGCTTTTTTTACATACGAGTAACTTCGTGGCATTTCCTCGCTAATATCGGACTGTCTAATAACGTTTGATAAATTCTGAACTTAGCTCCACAAGGGTGTTCCGACAAAGCAGACCGATAACTTCGAGAAAGCTGTGCAGTTGCTGGTTGAGAGGAAACGTAAGTACGCGCCAACCTGAAGATAGCAACCTGGAAATCCAACTTCTTAATTTCTACATGTAAATCGTCAAATAGCATGCTTAAGCTTTCAGATAACAGTTGATTGCAGAAACACTAGTGATTCGCTTCAAAGGCGACAACATCGTGGCACTGAAATCCTCTCTGGACTTCGACACTGATCCTATTTTTCCGGACGCCGCCTCTGTGGGAAGAATTGCGGACGACGGGTTCACATTGGGCGACCGTCTTCTGGCAACGTATGATGATCGCACGTACCTGTCGGAAATCCTGGCTATTTGCAATACGGTCGCTCATGCGATTTCTTTGAAAGATAAATTTGAAAAATCTTGGGTAATATTTATTGCGTGGCAACAATATCTTTAGAAAAGTTTATTTCAACTTTCCTTAAACTCCCTTAGGAAGACAGGACCAGTTCCGCTGAAAAGAACAAGAAAGAAACACAGGCACTACTGCGCAATGTGGCGAATGCCAACGGTGGTTTGTTGGCTCCTCCTCCTGAGCCACGTTCTCTGTTCCGCGCACTACCTCAGGTAATTTCATTACAAAGTTAATTGAACATGTGCAGTATCTTTCGTTGTAGGTGCCATCGTTAGCCGCTCCCAGTCAAACTGTTCCTTCAGCTGGTGGTATGAGCCGAAGAACTTATTGCCATATAGCCTGACAACAAAACTATTTTAATGTTATTTTTTTTTAAGTTAAAACGCCCGGATTTCCAGAAATGCGAGCTGATAAAGAACAAAATACAGCGGGTTAGTTGTACCATTTCAGATTTTTTTGTCAGCTTCACCTTTTTTCTGGGTGCAGGAAAAAATCCGTCAGACATTTTGCCTGGATTTCCTGAACCATCCAAAGAACAGCCAAAGGAACGTCGTCATAAGAGTACGAGAATAACGCATACAAGTGTAGAAGAATGAAAAGATTACTCCATTGCAGAGAAAAGAAAGCGCGATACAAGCAGTTCATCGGAGTCGGACTCTGACGAAAGTAAAACTGGCAGTTTTAGTTAAATTTGTTCAATTTTGCAGATAATGTTTTCGTAGGTTCTAAACGTCATAAACGAAAGCATCGTGATTCATCTAAAGGTATTTAATTTTTGGAAATCCACATTCGTGTTTTTATTCCTAAAATGCCCTCCACAGGACGCGAAAAGAAACGTCGTCGAAAGCATAAGAAGGACCGCAAACGACGAACGCCTTCGTTTTCGTCAACTTCCGGTAGCTCTAACGGTAAAAGTTTAGCAAAGACTTTGTGAGATGCACAGAGATTACGTTCTGTCATTTCTTCCATTAAAACTACCGTTATTTTGATAGAATTACTTCCAAAGAAGTCGCTTGCGGGAAATGGTATGATTTGCAAGTTTTCTAAGTAAATATTTGAAAATCCTGAAATGAAATTTCTTTAGAATATCCATATTTGGTCAAAACTGGAAAAAAGCGTGAACTCGCCCCTTATACTGGCGTTTTTGTGGACTGCTCGGATCTCCAGGTGTTGGTGGATCGTTCAAAATCAAAGGCGAATCTGGCCTGCAACTTGGCTACTTTCCTTCTGGGAGGAGAAGAAGGAGTCCGACGCTTTTTATCTGAAGAGAAGCCGTCAGAGCGAGCCGGTATCGCAAAGATGCATCCGAATTTGCTGAAAGCCATTGAGCGTAAGTTTTGCAGCCAAATTTCTTTTTCGAAAATCTCTTTCTAATTTGGAAATCCGTGTCTTACGTAGTTTTTCTATTATTAAGGTGCCTGTTACTTTGCAGACTTTGTTACGAAACTGAAGGTCACGCAGTGTCCTGGCGATGTTCCTAAGAGCTTTGGACAAACAATTGGTTCTCATTTCTCTAAATATCGTGTGCAGTTTCGCAACATGCCCGTAGCTGAAGCGGAGGACGCTAAAGAATTGTTACCATAAGAGTAATTCCTGGATATCCATTTTTGTTAGTTGCTGTCCTAATCAGCAAAACACTTTAATTCCGAATTTCAGTTGAGTTTACTGTTGACGAGAAACGCAGTTTTTTTCGGTCATTTAAGCTTTTAGCGTGATTTTTAGTACATCTGGATTTCCAAGTTTGGTTTTGTTTTTGGTGAAACTGTCGGTGGAACTATTATTTTTAACGTTTTTGTTTAATTTAACAGATTTATTTTTCTGGATACCGAGTTTATTGGGTACACACATCGATGTGTGTTTAGAATACGCGCGTTGTACAGCGGTACAACGCACAATCATGTGTTTTGGAAGTGCAATAAAACAGCAATAAAAATGATTTTTTTTTCGCAAATGTGCCATAAATATTGTGCAAATGATGTGCGTTTCATCCCGAAAAAACACACCGGAAGTCCCTAAAACGCATCTGTGCGATACTTCTCCTGCAATTTTAGGAGACCAATTCAGAACAAAAATTCCACACTCGAAATTGCGTAAAATTTAGTATAAAATAGCCTAAAATTGATCAATTTTCTGCGATTACTATCGTGCGGGATATGAACAACAAACGAACATTTTTCGATTAACGACGGTCACGATAGTCGCATGATACAGCTTAGGACAAAATGGTCGCATACCCAACATCTCCACATTCAGTACAAATGCAGCGCAGTGCACTGTACGACTGAGTTCAAAATATCCGTTTCGTACAAGTGCACTGCACCGCTTGCGTACAGAATGCTGGGTATGGGGCTATGCGACCATTTAGTCCTACATTGTATCTTTCAACAATTCGGCAAAATCTGAGCGACCAGTTTTAGCGCTAATGACTTTTTTAACCGAAATCACATGATGATAGTAGAATATTTTCTCATTATTATCGATTATTCATTATTAGAACTCACATATTATCTCGTGCCGGTCATGAAAGCAAGTTGACCGCAAGCTGCCGGTGTATACGAGACACACCTCCGCAATTCAACAGTGGAATGTCAGCGCAAAGTAAATGAGCTGTTCAGATTTGCATAAATCAGATTCAGATTTGCTTTATTTGGGATTTTTTGGAAGTCAGCATATACAGAGTAATAGCTACAATTTTCTAGTAAGCATCTGTATTCTTTCTTTGCAAGCACTGCACCAAATCACAATCGGCTATTTTTTAATTTGAATTCATTTAATGCAGTTCGGATCACTTTAATAAACCCCGTTATACAATATAAAAATAGGTACAGTATTTGTGCGCTATAACCAGATGCACCTGCGCAATGGTTACTGGTTATCCCGAAAACTCAATAACCCATTTGGTATTATTTTTTTCTTGGATACGTATTAAACCGAATGTCTTAGTCAATAATTTTCCCTAATGTAAAATTGATTAAGTCGTCAGGATCGAAGGTTAAAGAAACTGATATTGTAACTTGTACAAATGAAATTAAACAGATTAACAAACCCATTCTCTAAAATTTGGTTAGTTTTTGTGAATAATGAATTCAAAACTGCTGATAAATACTCTGCGCTTTCCACTCTTAGCCAAGCTCATCTTTGATTTCAAGTGTACAATACTCAGTAGCATGCTCTGATGCTCGTAATTTTACCTGTTGCAAATAATCCGTTACGTTGTATATGCGATTCCATACGATAATCCAGCAAGAATCGTAAGAAAAGTGTTTGGAAACTTCTTTCAGTGTGTAATATGCCGGTGATTTTTGATTCACTGCTGACAGTTGTAGTTCACCGAACGGCTCATCTTTGGTAAGTATAAGCTGGAAACGAAAAATTGACGACCAGAAGGCATTATTATAAATTAGACATTAGACATTACAGCGAGATATTAATTTCATGAGAAAATTATGACTAAAGCGTAAAACTATTTAAATAATGACGATAAATACTAAAAGAAAAATATTAGTGAAGTTTACCTTGATATCCATTACTCGGTAACCTGCTATTAAAATTTCATCTGGTCCAGTTATACAGTAATAATACAGTAGCGCATAATTTGCCTTTGTCAAAAACCAAAGCTAACTTCCTGGCAAAAGGGAAAATAAAAGAATGTAAACAAGTGCAAACTTTACGTGGTCGCAAATGGAAGTATTAATTTCGAAAAGAAAATTATTAAGCAGCCGATCAAGTTGGAAGTAAACGCCGGGTATGAGGAAAAGCAACACTGATAAACCAGCAAAGCAGGTTTTTCATCGAAGTTAAACGCACTTGATATACCGCAAATGCAGTAGCCACACTGCTCGCTACATATTGTACTTTCATCTATTACGAGTAGTTCTGCTTAGAACATTGGGTCTATACTGTATACTGAAATATAAATCTAAGTAGGCAAGGGCATACCGGTACAACTTACGGAAAAAGTTGTTTTTCGAAAACTAAGTAAGTGCACATTTGCATCTATCGGTAGAGCGGATGTACGCTTTGTTACCACCATTAGCACCTAAAAATTACTTGAAAAAATCAACAAAGATTTGGATTGGTGGAAATTTGTCAAAACCGTCGGTGTGGTCGTACACGATTTTTGCACCGTACAGTATGTAGCTGCAGCCTGCAGGGCATGCAGAAATTGCGATTACTGTACTGAATTTTTATGTTGTCCCAAGCAAGGTCATGTTTGCGTGTTTATGACGCTGTTCATAACAATATTATTATTGACCTTCAAAAGTAGCGGTATGGAAAGTTCCCGATAAAGTTTTTCCCGATAAACTTTAATCCGAATTCCAAGGATTAAATCGGGTTACGGCTACTAATTAAAAACCGGCCACGGAATCTTTCTTCCGCTAACAATAAGTTTAATGTCACATATGAAAAATATGCAAAAACAACATGAATTATTTTAAAAACTCAAAATTTGGGCAAATTTACTGTACAACTTTGTATGTTTTTGTTTTATAAGTTTGTCATCTAAGCAATTTTATCGAATCCTTCTCTCGGGATGGAATTGTATAATAATTAATTTAAGAAAAATAATGAAAAAACTTAATAAGGTTAGCGATAGATATTAAACTGAAGGTCTTTAAACATGTTACTTTTTATGCATATCGCATTGCATAATAAATTACGGCACAACAGGTATATATATTAGTTTAATAAATATTCCCAATTCACAGTGACGCCATTCGAAGAACACGCAACCACCCACACAAAGCGCAGTCAATTTATGTTCGTATTAGCGCGCCGAAATATGGTGCCAGGATGCCTGGCATGACAATATCTACGGTAGTACTCTCTCTTTCGATTTTTGCCTGTATAGCGCAAGGATTTACATGTAACTACTGGATAAACGAATCCAGTTACCGCAGTATCCAAGAACAAACTGATAACGCCCAGACGTTAAAGTGCCGCAAATCCCGGAAGAAGGATCGATAATTATCCCTTAATTAAACGGGTTAGCCATATGAGATAATTCAATGTTACCCGGCCGCCAGTGGAAGAACCGACAGTCGTTATGCATATAAGAGAAAACGTGCTTTTTCGCTGGTTATCCTAAACGGACTTCCTCTTCGCCGGTACACCAACCGCTTTACACGCACAATTACAATATCAACGTATAAATGTGTTCGCTGAATGTCTTCATAGTCCGGGTAGTGCATCTCGCGACCGCATTTTAATTTAACTAATTAGCGTTTTTCTCCCAAACTCTGCCTGCTGGTATGCTGCAATTGCTGTCTCAGGTATGTGAATATCTGCCGTACCAAAAGATGAGGAACTTTATTTCCCGTGCTTTATGCTATCGTGTCTCGTTTTTAATGGACGTTTAATGATAAATAAAAATAATTAATTTGGAATACGGCTTTTGTTTACGGGCTTTTCCAGTATTACACCGACATGCGTAACGAATTAGCCGAAAATTCTTTAATTAGATGAACAGGGAAATTATTTTGTCGTTCGTAATCAAAACGCAAGAAAAACTCAGAAAATTTATCGAATTGTTGGAAAAACATGCAGATTATTACTGTGTGCGCCGTGGCGATTTCCGTGATATCCGGTGCGAAAAAGACCGATTCGGCCAATCTGACTGCATGTTTCATCTGGGAAGATGATTCGTATTATGCCACTTATCTGAAATTAGCACCGGCACTCGACATGGGCGTGGATCATGCCAATAGTTTTGTATTGCCTAAAGGCTGGAATATCCAGGTGGTCTACCGAAGTTCCGGTGCGTCATGCTCCAAAACCATGTACTCACTTATCCCCGGTGTCTACGATTTACTGGCCGATGGCGTGCAGTGTGATGTATTTTTGGGAGCAAGTAAGTAATTACATACGTAAGCATTTTATGCTTACAACTTGATAATTGGACTAGAAATAGTGCGGATACCACATATAAAGGAATTTATTTGAATTAGCTAGCACCTGATGTTTGGTGTTGTTTTAAATCTTAAATGCATTATTGACAGAGAAACTGAAAAAATGCACGTAAACCATGCGCGGTGTATTTGAATAAAAAGATGCATGTAAATTTCAATAATATTTTGTTGAACATAGAATGATGACTACCATAATAAACTATGAAAATGTGCTATAACGTTTTCGATGCGGGATATTTAAAATAACTGTACCGGCTGCTTCTTGGTTTGATCAACTTGCAGTAATAAGAAGCTGGAATGTGTATAGAGTAGCCTTGCGTGCCTTTGGAACATTAATTTTATTTCCGCAATTTCTTTTGATTAAGCGACCTCATAACGGTCCTGCCCTTGACCTTAACTACGCCCAAATTTATTGCACTAAAAGCATTGCTTTTAATAGTGCAATTCGATCCATGCAGCAAATGGCTTGAATGTGTGACATATTGTGGATTTCTCAGGTTGCTCGTACACGGCTGCTGCTTTATATGGCTTTGCAAAAAAACTCAACGTTCCACTGCTGTCACTGCCAGCCGGGGGCGCATGGACTCTCCAGGACTCCAGCCTGGATGATTTTCCGCTTCTGTTAATGCCGGCATTCGGTTACGGCGATCTGGCGGAATTCCTTATCAGTTTTTGTGACCTTTATAATTACAGTAACCTGGCCATATTTCGCGATGATTCCTACCCATATTATGGATCCATGGCTGAGCCGATTGTACGCTTTATTAAAGAGAACAGTCCAGATCTGTTCCAGGGCACCACAGTTTTGACGGTGCGTTCTGTGGGGTTTACACGCCAGCGATACAAGACACTGTTGGCTAGCGCCAATGATCGAGCTAGAGGTGCGTTTTTGTGTAGACATTGCCATTTGTTTTTCTTTTGTTTTTATATTTTGCAGTCAACCTTCCTACTGTATAAAAATAGGCAATAAATTATTGTTATTTTGTTTGCTTAATTAAAAATTAGTTCGTTGCATTTGTGATTTAATTACAGCTGCTTTTTCGTAGTGTTTCTGATACTAATACATTCGAAAGGGATCCGCGAATTAATGGTAAGTTTCTAATAGCCGTGCCTCGTAATGAGTCTTTAAAGAACAGCAGTGCTCTCCCCTCTCCATTTTTACTTTGCACGTCAAAATGTTTCCACCTTGCATCTTAATTACTGTTTTCTTTAACGCGGTAATGGGTACTTTTGCAGCTCGCTGCCAATGAAATCGGGTACACTGATGGTGATCACGTGAGTCCACGTATATATGAACTGCCAATAATTACAATAATACAAAATATGATACTATATAATTATAAAACGGCTAATCCCAAGCACATTTACGTGATAAACTGTACAGTAGTTACGCAAAAGTGTATATATGTTTTATACTATAAAAATGCGTTTTTTTTATGTAATTAGGGAAAGCAATTCTTAGTGTTATTATTCACGTACCATGAAATGGCACGCATTCATGCTAGTACTTATTTAAGTTGTCATTGAATACATGCATATGTAAGAATGAGTATGTTAATAAAATACCTAGTTATAAATAATAATAAAACCTAGAATTACTTTCCGTTAGTATCGTATAATGCGTCCTCAGACGTTATACGTGCATTACCATACCCGTGTAACGAAGAACGTTTCGGAATATGGGATTTAACAGGAAGATATACCGAATGTCGAAAATCAGGGTTTTTAAAATCATTCACTTGGCACGTCTTGTGATCATTACAGTAGTGAAGAGACGGTGCTGTAATACTGATGCGTGATTAAGAAACCCAGAGTTCGTAGAAGAGCTCAATCGTGACAAAAACAAAGATAGATGCTTTTTGTTTCCAGTCGTTTGTCCACTTGGTCTGAAATTCTGTTGGTAATGTTTTCTACAAAATGGGCGCAAGTGGCATTAACACAGCTGAAGAGGACCTTGCGCCTGATCAACATTCAGGAAGCGACGCATTAGTTTTCTGGAGCATTGCCTACTCGAGTAACAGAAGATTCGGCTCCAGATTTGGTTGCCTAAGTAAATTAATTAATGTCTCACTAATATTAATAATTTAGATACGCTACTTTTATCCACTCCATCTGCCTTTCTGCATTACGGTTATACAGTATACCTACTCGCATATATTTCGGCGTCAGGTGAAACAACCGGGCAACTGCAACATTACGAGGACAACGTTAACTCAACGTACATTTCTCTTAGTTAATACAAGTAGAAGACAAGAACGGGGGTTTAGTATAAAATCCCAGAAAGTCAATCTTATAGAGAAGAACATGCGAAGATCACACATAATTAGCGCTAGCTGCAAGAATACAAAGACCATATGCATTATGCATGTCTTTAATAACTATCGTACAAGTCACAAACTGATCAGTTGTCTCGTTTCATCTGATCCTTTCGTCAATTAACCTACATACTTTCGAGCAAAATTACCATGAACCAATTTAACAGATCGCAATTTGCACAAAGTGATGTTTCTATATATTATAATAGTTATTCTGTGTGCAACGCTTACTGGTTAGTTACTCAGCTCGTGAAGCAAATAGCGGCACTTAGACGTTTAATTTTATAATTACGATGCTGTACTTGTTCCACAATTGAAGCAGTAATGTTATATCAGGACACAAATCAAAATTCATAGGTCAGATGCTCTAGATATACCTTAAATGTGGCTTTTTTATGCACAGGTATTCCTGACTATACAGCTTTACGAGTTGGCGTACTGGGGTCGGATCGCACCCAACATTGGTGACGCTTCTGACAAGGTGCTGAGTTTCTGCAAAGCCTTAGTTGAAAAAAGCAAAACTCCGACGCAGTGTAATGCATTTTAATTAATTTTGCAGTTGGCAGCGCAAGCCTTTCGACATTTACTGTTGATTGCGTTTTACGAACAAGAAGCCCCAAATGAGGAAAATTTTGGACGACAGCTGCGAAATATCGCTCGCAACAAATACAACTTCGTTATGAATCCTCTGGAATCGGTAAAAACAGAACAAACAAAACATTAATAGCTACTTTTATGAAGAGCAAATGTTTTAATCAGCTGCGCAAAATTATCATGTAATCGACCATCTAAAGATATCAAGTACATATTGCAAGGCGCGATGGATTTACCCATTTGTGCTATATATAATTACAAAAAATACCGACCTAATTTTTGACTTTACGGTAATGTTGCTAGCTCGCTACGATCTACTTGACATTTACTTCTTTTCTTAGATCGATCCCATTGTGGCGGGTCATTACGAAGCGATTATGATGTACGCCTCAGCGGTGACGGATCTGTACAACGATTCTTCCAATACCGTTGATTACCACAACGGTACTTTGCTCATCACCTACATGTCCAATACGTCGTTTACCGGCTTCGAAGGGAAAACCATGTGGATCGGTGAGGATCGTCAGCGGGATAAAGATTTCCAAGTGTCCTATTTTAACCGGGCTTCCATGAAATTTGAAGTAACTGCACATTTTAAATTTGGCATTTTAATTAATTTAGGGATTGACAGCGGCATTGGGGATCATTAGGTGCATTTGCTAAAACTCCACAAATGATATGTTTCACATTCATGTGTGCTGCGAATTCTTGATGCATAATCAGTAAACAGTAACTAAAAACATATATGAATATTCCATTGTAACTAATTGTAAAGCATGCATATATTCCATTCCAAGGCAATACGTCTCTCGTAACCTTAATCTGCAAGCCCGTCATCGTGTGGAAAATTCTGGTAACGTTTTACTGGTTCTTTTGCAGCCATTTTTACAGTATTTGCAGCATGCTGTCGATGGAGCAAAAAATGCAACCTTTAATCATGTTAACGAGTTAATGTGGCCGCGTCCTGGTGGCAAGCTTCCTCCTAACGAACCGGTCTGTGGATTTCGTAATAACAAATGCCAAACGAGTACGCTATCGACGCCGCTGCTGGCCACCGCTGTCGTCGTCCCCTTGGTGTTCGTCATGTGCATAGCGATTGGAGGCGGGATACTGTTCGTTAAATTATGGTACACATTCAAACGGATTTCTGTAAATTATGCCATACTTTTTGTATTTGAGAGAAACTTAAGTAGAAAATTTTCAGCTGGGTGTCTCTCGATAAAAGCAGTCGTACGCGTACAAGCGCAAGTACCGTACATATGTACAGACTGTATATACAATACCCATACGGCATACCTGTACCTAAAGAGCAACAGTTGTTTTTGTTATTAGAAGCAACGAGAAGTTCTATAAACCATATAATAGTATTATTTGCTCTATGATTGATTCATGATTTTCCATAAATGGATACTCTGCAGCAGCGTTAGTATTCAATTTGGCAGGAAACTTCGTCTGCAATACAATCCTAATTGGTGGAAAATCCCTGTGGAAGAACTGGACGTTAAGCAGAACAGGACTGCTAGTGGATCGAAAAGAACTTTGGTAATTTTACATAACATTTGTAATCTCTGCTACATTTTATCACCGGCTGAACTAGGTATAATACAAGAACGTGGCCTTTTAAAGGTCACGCTGAATCACTGATTTACTGAGAAAAAACCGTAATTTACACACCCCTAGATATTGGTCATCCGTCATAAGTCATTTATGACGTTAATATTGTACAAAAAAGCAAGTTTCCCATGTCACGTGCAGTGGATACAGCAGTAAGCAAATAGATAGTAATATTTCATAATAATGCATTTATTCTACTGAATGCATTGTTTTTAATTTAGAGAAGCCATTCGACAGCCGGAACTGGCTATACCTCGTATTTGGTGGATATTCTGGCATCGTATAACGGAGTTCTTGTCGAGTTGACCGACGTCGTGGACCTGAACAAGCGACCAGATAAAACGCTCACTGAGGAACTTACCGTGGCAAGCAGTGGCTTTTTACAATTCGAGTTCATCGACTGCATTAAATATTCATATCAATTATCATTTTCCGAAAACGTGCCTTATGTGCAATGTATTTATGTTGTGGTAATTTGATTGTTGTTATATCGCATTACAAATACGAATAATTGTTTAACCACACATCCGTACTTAACGACCTTTGGTATAACTATCGATCAAATCTTTGCATTCGTAATATTGTAATTAGTTGAGCACAAATAAATAACACTAAATTAATTGCAGATGAAAACTGTCGATAATGGAAATCTACAACACTTTATTGGCATTGCGCTGACTGCTCAAGATGTTTGTCAGTATATCGTGGCTGAGTTGTGCTCCAAAGGATCTCTGACGGACGTCTTGGACAATGAGATGCTGAAACTAGATTGGTTTTTCAAGAATTCTTTGATTCGGGATATTGTTATGGTAATCGAGCAATTTATCAGAGATTCCTACAATTGTAGTTTGGTTTATTACGGTAAGTTAGCGTCAATGCAAAAAAAAGCACTTTGCGAAACAGGGTGATCATATATTGTAACTTATTCAAGTCATATTTAGCAGTCATGCTGTAGTATTACTTTCATAAGCTTCTAACGTGATAAGCAAACTCTTATGTAAGGTTTTTTTAAAAGACAAGGATAAATTCAACGAAAATTATTTAATTGGAGTTTAGAGAAAATGGAATTTTTTAAATTTCAGATATGTTATAAAGCCACATATTTTGTAATTGTATAGTCCGTATCCCACCAATTTTATTTAGCATTGTGACCTTCGTGTCCCTCATGATGGGATATATAAAACATACTGTATTTAAAATTACAACGTGCGCTTATAATATCGCAGTATCGCAATTACACATAAATCATCATAACTTGTCTCGGTTATACGAGGTATATTTTATCCGTAGCTCCGTAGGTATAGCACATTCGGCAACAGATGTTCAACAAAATAAAGGTGACTGCCAATTGCGGCTTTCGTATTTATTTTATCCGCGTCACCGTGAAAGATAATAAATTTTCTTATGCAACTGTACGCCAGTATACGGAGGCCGGTGGGTAGAATGAGATCTCTTTACAATACGTATACAGAGATGTTATTTTTTTCAAGGGTATGACCTACATCCACCTGAGTCCTATTCACTCCCACGGCTTTTTGACATCCTTCACGTGCCTGGTGGATACACGCTTTACCTTGAAAATTTGTGATTATGGGCTTACGATATTCCGTAAAGCCTCCGATTTGTTGCCCTTTCGGCCCGGTGATACCGAAAGGTCACTGACCAAATTGTTATGGCGTGCACCCGAGCTGCTGCGGCAGGCAATGCCGCCGAAAGGCACACAGGTACACAAACGGAATTACATTGGAAATTACATTATTAATTACTTTACAGACAAGGAATTGTTTTGTGTTTTCGCTGGTCCAACAGCAAATTAGGTACATGGGTTTTGTTTTTTCCTAGAAAGGTGATGTTTACAGTTTCGCCATCATAATACAGCAAATTATTCTGCGCAGCGGACCGTTTGAACTACCGAATGATCCTCTGGAATTATCCGACAAGGAGATTATTCAGGAGGTAAGTACAATACATAATATTAACTCTTTGTGTTATACTGACTGGTGAGTGTGTTATTTTTCATTTGCTTGCAGTTACCGAGCGCACAGTTACGCCATTGTACATTTTTGCAAATAAAATCTTTATTACTGCAGCACTTTACTCATAATGTACTGTAATACGGTATGTACCATAGTATGTGCAGTTTTCCAAGAAATAGTTTAATCAGCTTTAACGTATGCTCGATTTACATGTATATACAGTATACTTCGCTATTTATGCTTTATCCGTAATAATTTTATCCGTACTTTCGAAGTGCGCTAAAACCCAGATCTAGAGTGCATAGCGATTATTAGTAGTGTTTGTAGTGCAAAGGCGTTATTTGTATATCCACTGTCTCCACATAATTTTGATAACACTCGTAGCTGTTTGTGATTAACGCAAAAAAGAACTCTGCCCACCATTTCACAGTGGTGATTCAAATTTGTTCCACAGTTTTTTTAGCGTTGCGAAGAGTTATCATGATAACGTTGTGAAAATTCGTCATGTTATCATAGCAGTTCTGCTAAGTACATAAGATGTAGGAATACAGATATAATTATGATATTATTATTTCAGCTGCAAGTGTTAGTAGAATAATCAAGTATGCAATACACCATTATCCTGAAGAAGTGAGACTGTTGGTGTTCAGATTATAGCGGCCAACATCCCGCCGGTGCGTCCGCGTGTGCCTCGTTCATCCTGTTCTAACGAACTGTACGATCTGATGGAGCGCTGCTGGGAGGAAGTACCGCTCGAACGCCCGACATTTCCTAAAATTCGCGAAGGTTTAAAGAGAATTATGGGCAATATTGGGGATAATATTGTGGATTTGTTGTTTAAAAAAATGGAACAATATGCATTGGATTTGGAGCAGAAAGTTGCCGATCAGACGCGGCAGTTTATGGATGAGAAAAACCGCTCAGAACAGTTGCTCAGCCAGCTGCTACCGAAGTAAGAGTCCCGCGATTAGCACAAGTGGCGAAGTTTTCTTATACTGTTAAATACTTACACAAAAAAAACTGCTAAAAACATTTGTGGGAGTAATTATCATTCCAACAAAATTGCATAAGTTTTGAAATATTGTAGTTGCAACTTGCATGATACTGTATTCTACCGGTAAGTTGTAACTGAACATACAGTATTCGGTACCAAGTGGATCGCTGTTACAGCTTTATATTCTTATTTGCTAATGCTTAAGTAGTTGCAATAATAAGAAAAAAGTGCACCCAATACCAAGTTTCTTGTAATTCAGTAATTTTTTATTTCAAAATCACCAGACAAGCTTGCTAAACTTTTACTTATATGTAAATGCAATCATATCTGTAGATTCTCTGGGCGTTTCCGCGTGTGTGGGAAAACGCTTCCATAACGCGCTTTTGTAAATAAGATGATTAAACCCTTAAACGTGATAACCGTGCTTTTCCTAGAAAAAGCGCTCGTAGTAAAATTCTGACTTGTTGGCAGATCGGTTGCGGCGGCATTAACCAAAGGTATCACCGTGGATCCGGAGGCGTTCGAGAGTGTGACGATATTCTTTAGTGACATTGTTGGTTTCACCACAATCGCCGCCAAGGGCACACCCATGGACGTTGTCGATCTGCTCAATAGCTTGTACACATTCTTTGATAATGTCCTGGAGAAATTTGATGTTTACAAAGTGGAGACGATCGGCGATGCGTACATGGTAATGCAAGACGGGCACTGCCTTTCTAAACTACTTTGTCTGATATTAGCTTGCAAATTTAGCTAACAGTTTCTCGTGTGCTTAGGTCTCTTCCGGCCTGCCGGTGCGAAATGGTAATCGACACGTGACAGAAATCGCGTCGATGGCCTTGGATCTCTTAACGAAAATTGAGAGCTTTGTGGTACCGCATCGACCCGGTGAACGAATACAGATTCGTATTGGAATTAATTCCGGTAAACATGAAATCGGCAGTCACATATTAAACATTTTGCTTTTTAAAAACTCAGTAATACATCAGTGCAAAATTTTATACATACTACAAAATCTTTAAAATATGCATTGACCATTTATAGTGTATCGTATGCGCACCACGCATATATATATTTAATACGAGTATATTTTTTGTATGTACAGTTTTTTTAATTCTTAATTGTGCAATGCTGGACGCAGTGAATTGACTTACGACTGTTATGTCGCGATTTGAACATCAATAAATAACGTAAAGATATATATATTATTATATTATATAATATTATGGTATTTTTGATTATGCGTGTGCATCTGGAAACGCAGGCGTAAACAAAAAGTTTGAAAAACGCAGTGCATGTATGACTTCAGGTCCGTGTGTGGCAGGAATTGTGGGACTGAAAATGCCGCGATACTGTTTGTAAGCATGCGTCCAAAAAACAAAGAGCACAGCGCTACTCATTCTAGCAAAACCAATCTTCTTAGGTTTGGGGATACCGTTAACGTTGCCTCCAGGATGGAATCTACCGGTGAACGTAAGTCTCGCTTATATATTTTGTACACGGAAACGTTAGTTACAAACAGATACCACAAATTTTTCGTTTTCGATGAATGCTATACACAGTCTATTGTGGAGTTATTAAAACATATGGTGCGGCCAGGAACTTGCATTGCTACGTTAGTGCAACAGCTGACATGCAGTTTACAAGTCATATTTTTATGCAGCGTCTAGGATCCAGATTGGTGAAGAAACAAGAAATCTACTGGATAATGTTGGTGGATTTCTTATTATGGAACGCGGACCAATTTCTGTCAAGGTTAAATTCTAATAACGGAAGCATAATATACCTACTTACAAGTTCTAAATACGTTGCCGTTGCGACTGTACACATTTAACTTTTTCTGAATATATCATTAGGGAAAGGGCACAATGGTAACCCACTGGTTGTTATCCCGCACAAGAACGACCAGCGCACCGGTAAAGAAAGATTCGAGCGGATGAGATAACTAATATATTTTGCTCACAATTTGTTAAGTGTTCAATGTTGTACACTTTTTTCCTTATAACTGTTCCTTTAATAACGGACTATGTAATCTTACTGTAAGTATTAAGTTTGAACTGCAATCTTATTACTGGATCCAGTTTGTCACTGTATCCCGGAAACAAGCGTTATTCATTAATTATTTGGAAATCTTAATAGCTTTAAAAACCATATGAACCAAATTAAAGTTAGTTGATTAGAGTGGACTCTTGTATAACCAATTGATCGTACCGAGAATCGGGAGACCGGAAGCGATGACACCGTTTAGAGAAGTTCCTTATACGTACGACTCTTACAAAATTTTAACAACGATAATGAGCGAGTTACTCTCTATGTACTCGTATCATATACAATGTATAAGTGGCAAACTGACGATTCAGATTTACCTGCGGGGGTAAAATTATTGTTCAGATGGTGTGCTTTCGGGACTTCGCATGCATTGTTTACGTAGTACGTGGTCTGCAGGTTATGCCCCATTTTTGATTACTTACATACCTCTGCGCTCTTTAGTAACATCAAAACTAGGTGTCTCGATCTGTATTATTATAACTCTGCCGATACTTTTTTAGAAACTCGATTTACTGTAGTAACTACATAAGTCTGCATTTATATTATAATGTTTTTTTGGTATGATAGCGACCGTGATTGGTATATTATTGTATTTCTGTACGTTTTCGTGTGGTCAGTGGTATAATAAAATTAATAAAAGGGTTGCTTCCGCTTGTAAATAAAAATAAGCGGGATAACCTGCCCCAATCGCGTCTGTGCTGGGTTGGCTTAAATTTTAGTTGTGGTTTAAGTATGGTCGGAACATCCTGGTAACTGCAACTACGAATGTTGTGATCGTAGTTCCCATTAATTTTTAAGACTACGATTTGTTGTACCGTAGTGATACGAGTCATGACTGTTATATCGCGATGTAAACATGAATAAAGAGCAGAAGTATTTGTTGTACAACTTTTTCTTACAACTGAAGTATGGACCTAGGATAACCATCAAAAGGTACTCCACTCTCAAAACTCTTTCTACATCATAGATTTGGTACATTTAAATTCGAAAGCATAAGTATTCATGGCGCGTGAATTTTTAATTCACTACTACGCTAATCTATCTGATGGTTTAGTTAATAAAGAAGAAATGCACGAAACTTAATACAGAGGATAAAATCCATTAGAATATATATATATATATATATTGTAATGGCTTTGAGAGGACACCTTTGGCAGTACTACCTCTGTACTGGTAGTGCATTCTAATCTACCATGTTACTATACTACCCAAGTGCAAATGTACTGTACAATATCAAGCTGTACAATATCAAACTGTGTTGTTTGCTATTTTTTTGTGCGTCTGCGTAAAAATTTTGTCCACCCACGTACAAAGTTTGTTGCACTCGTTAATGAAAATAGGTAATAAACGAGCTACAATACTTATTTGTGAACTGATTTTCGTGACCATTTTCCGAGGCAAACATGTTATTGCATAATGCATTGTCATTGTACAATACCGGCAATATCTATTTCGTTATTACTAAACACAAGTGCAAAATAACTGGTTTCTAGGTGCTGCTCGTTGAGAAACAAAGTGATTCAATTCCCTCAGGTTATATTTGTCCGTCTTCTAGTTTACGTCCACTTGTTAACGGAAACACTTAATCACTTTAGTGTAACCTTTTTGTAATGGAAAAACAATAGTTTTCAATATAACCTGTACCGCGGATTGCCGGCATTAATTAAGAAAACATGAATGAAAAGTTCGGAATTCTCCCAAGTGTGATTAAGCCGCCAAAATAAACAACAAACAAAGCAACACTTTGGTATAAAAACCGAGCAACGACCGCTGCAAAAACCATTAATCCCTCTCATTCAGTTTTTCTGAACCTTTTCAGTTTTCTAATTGTAATTTACCAACTCTACCACAACGCAACCATGCATCTGATGAAGTATTTCCTTCTCCTCGTCGTCGTCCTGGCTCTTGTGGTTAGTTTAAAGTGGCAATCCAAACTTTTCAATAAAATGGCCTTTAAATTTGCTTGTCTTAGTTCTAAATAAGTTTTGTTCAAAAGCCGTTTGATAATAATAAATTAATATTAAGCGATAAAGTCTCGTTACAAAAAAGTCCAGTAAAGTGAAAGCGCAATATAAAATTTATAAAGAGCACACATGTTAATAAACATGGGTTGTTTTGCTTGCTTCATATATCAAACATTATAAAGTGAACAGATGGTCAGCTATTTAATACTCCTTATTACATTACAGTTCGCTGGAGCCGAAGCGGGCAGACCAAGCGGCGGCGGCGGCAAAGGCACCCAAAGGTAAGCATTAAAAGTGAAATCTTAATACGTTTGCCGATCATATGAACACTTAGTACATGAAGTATCACAGTGAGACTACAGCGAACAGATTGCCCCTGATTCTGAATCGCTGATCCTGCCTATAGGGTACGTCGTAATGTGGTGACCTTTTCTTCCAGAGTCTGGACAATAAGCAGAAAGAAGAAATCAAGGAGAGAAAGTCGAAAGGAGAGAAAGCTAAAGATATTGCCAATGAACTCCATCTCCCAGAGTTACTGGTTGAAGCGTTCTTCAACCATATTTAAACTCCTGCGCTCTTACCCAATTGCAAGTAGTTCTATGACGGAATATTTGGTGGAGCTGTCAAAGATACTATGTCTAGTCTGTGTTGTTTCACCAACCTCTTCTACAATACACTGCATGTGATACTATGGTGTGCTTTATAATTTCATTTCGATTTCGTGGAAATCCGCGATATGTAGATGTCGACATTAATCGGTTGACATCCAATTATTTCACCGAGTTTATACGGTGGTGCTTGTATAGTTTTGCATTTTATGCAACATGTTCGTCCAATTACTGACAGTGACCAATAAGTGAATAAAGTAATACGAATCATAAAATACATTGGACATTGTATCTTTATATGTCTTCCTCCGATGCCTAATACATAACTATCTTCGACTTTCATGCAAAATTAGCTTCAAGGATCAAATATTCGAAGCTGTGCAGTTCCATTAAGATACAGTACTTTACTCAAAGGTACATCCATTTTTGCGATTACGGATAAACAGATTAAGCCCTTATTCTTGATCAGATAATATCATTTCGTTAATTAACGCTAATTTTCTAACCATAAGTGTAATAATTTTGTAAGTGTTTTGTAATTTTGTAGGCACTACTCATATATAATATTCAAGGTACGCATCCGGAAACTGCATTGTGCAGGACTGTAATGTATGTACTGACCAGTGAGTGTCTGTATCAAGGAACAAAGATCGGATAAAATCAGAACGTTGCACAATTGGCTTTGTTAATAATGGAGTGCATCCGGTTTGAGCTCGGAACTATGAGAAGGCGCAGGAAAAAAGCCAACGCGAAGTTGAGGCGCGGATGGTATTTAAACTTGGATCATCTAAACAACATTCGTGCTGCCGAGTTTTAGTCTTTCCTCTACAGTTTGCCCTTTTATTTTTCGCACTACAGCTGGGATTACTTACAGTATCTATTTTCCACTACAAGTCTCCGCAGTTCCCAATCGTAGCAACCATGAACTTTATGAAGTGGTTCCTCCTTCTGATTGTTGTCCTCTCGTTTGTGGTAAGTGACAACCCTTACCATAAGTTCGTGTAGGATCGTACACTGCGATAAAAATTTGCTTTGGTTTGCGTATTAATATTCTATGTCACGACTGCGAATTATTTACGGTTACGCTTAGTAATTTGTTTCTATAATTTATTTGTAACCTGTACTTAAGTATATAAAATAATTAGTCAGTACTGCAGTTGCATGATTACGGTATTAGTATTGTAGTATTATAAGTGTTTGTTTGCTTGATTTCGTCTGCGCGGCAGTTTACGTAAACATATGCATTTACCATATTACAGCAGGTTAACTATTAAAATTTTCTTCAAAATTACAACTAGTTTTTGCGTCATAAAATAAGTAATTTTTGCTATTTTTGTGTAGCTGGTGCAGGAGACGGAAGCCAGGGGCATCAAATTGCCGAAGTTAACCGAGGCCCAGAAGGGCAGGATCCGGACTCTGAAAGAGAAAGGCAAGAATGTTGCGCAGATCGCCAGTGAACTCGGCGTCGACAAGCACCTGGTGGAGCTCTTCTTCAATACCATCTAGGCCGCTGCACGATGCACCCTATTCCATGCCGGACATCCGCGTTGACTGTTACATTTGTTTGTATCTGACGAGTGAATGTTGTTGTGCATAAGTACCAGAAAGCGGAATTTGTGAAAATGAAATCGTTTTATTTGTACGCATGAGTGTCAGTATTTTTATATTGCTCGAAAACTTTTTTTATATATACTTGTTTAAATTTTTTAGCTGCTCTGAAAATTTATGAGGTCATGCAAAATCTGAAACTCTAATAAATGTAGAATGACTGGACGACCTTTTCACTCACTGTCACGAATAGTGACACAAAAAAGATTTTCCTGGTAGTAAAGTGTAAATGGAGTACTTCGTACAGATATAAAACGAAAAAGTATTAACGATAAGTAATTGACTTGGGTTACTGTTAAATTGGATAAACTGTATAAACACGATCATGTACTTGTACGTATTGCACTGGTAACACAAACTGCACATCAGCGTAATCCGGAAGTACTGTAGTTACAGTACAAGTTACAATAGTTGCTCATCGTCACCGACAACTTTATAGAGAAAACAGAACATTATTACGAAGTATCTCATCGTCAGTAGAAATACTCGTACGTGTGCTTAACTATACTATATCTATATAAGTGTGCGTCATTCCCAATCTACCACAGACCACTTACTCACGATTTACGAAATGTTACGAGTACCATTCATTGAAATGTGCAGATAATGAATAATTATGTATTATGACTGGCATAAGTACTTATTTTGTGTACTGCTAGCGGTAATAACGTACTACCCGAATTTCTACAATTCTTTACTCTTCCGGTATTTGCAACATTTATTGCTTAATAGATCTACAATAACTAGTCTGTTTTGAGAAGAATTAATTTTCGATTTTCGCCATACTTTTACACGATCAGCAGATTCAGCACGTAACCTTGACGCATTTGAAAATTAGTTCACCGAAAAAATTATTTTATTTTTCGAGTATCTAGCGTGCAGTTCTCTCAAGGAATCGGAAGTGCTCATGCAGACAACGTTGGTTAATTACAGCAGCCATATCCGGAGTGATCAACTGCACTATTATAGTTACGTACGCCGTTACGCAGATTATATCGGCGTATGTTCACGGCTAAATCGGCATATCACGATTAAAATAATTAATGTTGATAAATGCCCGACCGCATTAGCCGGCGATTAGACGGTGCACTTTGCATTTATTTCCACTTATTTAGAAAATCTGCTTCCGGTGTCGAATTAATGGCGCTCTGGATTTTTCCTTTTAATTTGCCCATCCGGAGCAGATGAATATCCCTTGAGAGGGCAACACCGTCAACAAATTCACCGACCGCATAGAAAAGGGGAGAAAATACCTACGTGCACAATTAATTGACAGGGGAATTCAAAAGGAGCGCGCGAATCCCATTCATTGTCCTGGGTGTAATGTTATGCAATTAACGGATCACGGCGCTGCTACGGTGCATTCGCAGCTCACCGCGCATTCATACTTACTCATTTTTAAACTGACAGAAATGTCGGTGCATTCACTATGTTCATTGTGCTGTAACGCTTCATACACAGTAATTACAATATTAATTTTTGCCCTGATTGCCCTGCCACACCTTTCCAAGGGAACGTCAAAGTACGATAATGAGCCGACGAAGCTGACGGTGTGTTTTATCTGGGAAGATGATTCGTACTTTTCCAATTATCAGCGTGTTATCGCAGCGGTGGATTTGGGTATCCAGCATGCTAACAAATTTGTTCTGGAAGATCCCCTATCGCTGCAGTTGGTGTATCAGAGTTCCGGAACATCCTGCACGCGGACACAGTTTTCGCTGGTGTCCAATGTGTTCAACCTGCTGACATCACGGACGAAATGCCATTTGTTTCTGGGCGCTGGTGAGTACTATCAAAAAAATATTAGCTGCTTTTTAGAGCAACTGAATATGAATACCGTAAACTGTTTCCACTGAATTAGTTTATATGGCCGTTCAGGAAAAAGCATTTGTTTGCGTTATGATTTTTGAACAAAATTTAAATTATCTCTAGTTCCGTAGTAATAAATGCACTATAGGCACATAATATATCGGTATATATGGAAACCGGTTTCGCATTCATGCTGGTTTAAAGTTTAATTAACTGAAAAATAGCATACACATTAATATATGTTTTGATAGGTCTATTATTTTTGGCTGTTTAACTACGTTCAGGTAATATGTAACAATGCATTAATCTAAAAACAAGAAAAAATGTTCTGGAATTTTAAATTATTAAAAATGTATAATAATTATGTAAGTCAGTAGATCGGGTCTTGCCACCAGCTTTATGAACATCTTGGCAGATGATAGCGTGTTTGACCAGCTGTACTCACGTATACTTTTTCTACTCATGCAGACATACACTTTTTTATATCATTTCAGTACGTTTTGTCAGCTTTCACAAATTACCTAAATTATGCTAGCACCAAAACCTTCTGTGGGAAAATTAGCCAAACATTTACTGTAAAACCTGCAACCATTAACTACTGTACAGTGCTCTCACATGCCGTACATAGTTGAATAATAGCTTTACCGTATTCTTTTGCAGCTTAAGTCTTGCAGGGCGGCAGCACTCTATTTCGTGATTTATCAGTTTGGATCTGAAAAATGTAATATGAAATGAGTAATTACTTTTTCGCTGATTGCAGGTTGTCCCTACACGGCCTCCGCTCTACACGGTTTCGCGCAAATGGCCAACGTTCCCCTGATGGCCATCCCGGCTGCCGGCGCCTGGGTGTTGCAGTTGGATTCGCTTATCGATGATTTCGACTACCTCCTCCAGCCGGGATACGGTTATGCTGACTTAACTAACTTCGTTGCCGGCTTTCTGGAGATGAACAACTATTATCACACCACGATTTTCCGTGACGACTCCTACTCGTACTATTCCGTCCTCTCCGAGGCATTTCTGCGTTTTGTCCGTGATCGCAATCCCACCCTGTACATGAACACCGTGGTCACCGCTGTGCGCAGTAAACGGACAACAAAGCAGATCTATCGAGATCTTTTGAAATCGGCTAATGAACGATCCCGCGGTAAGCGCACATGACTTTCTACAGTTAATTAAGCCATGGCTCCTATTACGTAATAAGCGGATCGAAGTGGAATTACATACATTTCTGATTGCATTACATAAATGTTGGTAAATAAGAAATGCACGTATACAGATATGATATCTGTATATGTGTATTTCTGATTTACCATCATTTAATTAAAAATTTATTTTCACCGAATTAAGCGCGGATGCAATGGCTATGGACGAAACAGTATTTTTGCTTTCTTTCAGTTTTCTTAATTTTTGGACATGCCAAGTGCGTAAGGGATATTATGGTAGGTCCTTGGAAACTTTTCAGTTTTTCTATGGGTGTGCAACTTGGTGTACGTGACACTTTTCCTTGCACGTGCGCGTTCAAGTAAAAAAGTCGTTAACTATTTTCGAATGTTTTATTAATAATGATGTTTGTAATAAATAGGTGATTAGGTGCCGTTTTTTCACTGATTAGCCGTTATTCTGTAGCTTACTGCATACGATCTCGGCATGACTCAAGGTCAACACGTGAGTTCACATTCCATTTTTACCAGATGGTAGGGCACTGTCAAGAATTTTTTTGTCATTTTCCAGGTATATATGGCTGTAGAATTATTTTACTTGGAATATTGGGGAACAATCGATGCGACAATTGGAGTAGAGTCAGATTTTGTAAGCACGAAAATACATGCAAAAAATGTGCTGAAAAACATAACTATTTAAACCGAAATACTGTATGTACTACCCGGGTAGGTGTTACCAAAAACAGGGCAGCGCTATTGTGCATGTAATATCTATACTATATAATGCCCGATACACTTTAAAGCCTTTAAAGTTAATTACGGCCTAAATATTAATAAGTAGAGTGACCTCTGGAAACATTCTTCAGCTTCTACTTTGCCGATGAATGAAAGACTTGTATCTTGCATGTGTTTAGCAAGCCGTTCAAGCGTATCAAAGTTTGATTGTGATAGCCTTCATGGAGATCAAACCACTACATCAAGGTGACTTCGATGATCTCGTGAAAATTTTAGCCAGAGAAAAATACAACTACACCTTTAATCCACTGGAAAAGGTAGGGATAATTTTTTATATGTACGACGTTGATCGCTGCACTTGCATTTTATGAGTACAGAATATCGTACACTGGATTTCTCATGAGTTTGCGCGCCCGTGCGGTTTACACAGAGTTAGATTTGGGGAAGATATCGCGCACCATTTCATATCATACAAAACATTTTATGTACAATAATAACAAAGTTTTGCTGAAAAAGCTACAAAATTTACAAAACCATTTAAATTGAAGCTCTGCTTATAAAATCCTATTCTGTAACATGTAACTTGTAATTTTGGCTGCATTGTAGATGGACGTAGTAGTGACTGCCCATTACGAAGCAGTTTTGATTTATGCCGAAGTTGTTAACAAGCTGCACAAGATTGGCGCAAATTACACAAACGGGGATTTGATTGTGGATAAAGTTATTAATGCATCCTTCGATAGCCCCCTTATGGGCGCCGACCGAATTTATATTGGAAAGGATCGTCAACGAGAGAAAGACTACTGCATGAAAATCTATAACGAGCGAGCCGACGAGATGCAGGTATGAAAAGACCGGTAACGACTAACGCGTACCAGCTAAGGAATTAATAAAACGCTGACGAAGTAATTACAAAGCCTATAGAGCAGCAGATTTGAGAGCGGAAATTGTTTAAACGTTATACAGGTGCATGATGCGGAAACTAAATTTAATCAGCTGCAAAATGTCTGTGGTAATTATTGTCATCATTAAACCGCTTAGTAGCGGCTTTAATGGCTTCGGTAATACAGTTTCACTAAATTAGCTGTAATTAAATATAAGCATTTAGGCGCTTAGAGATCTGACCTTTTATTGTCCCTTTTACAAGACATTTCTCCAACATATGCCCCATGCCGGTGGAAATATGACGTTCCACTTTGTGAAGAAACTCCGCTGGCCCAGCTGGGATGGCAATCTGCCGCCGGATGAGCCGCGTTGCGGATATCGTGAAGACAAATGCAAAGAAGAAGGCCTGTCCCCGGCGGCCCTGGCTGTAGCGGCGGTGGTTCCCATTATTGTGGTGCTGGCGATGATTGGCGGCGGTATATTTCTCTACATCAAAGTCTGGTACGTTTGGTAAACGTCGCTTGTGCGGATAAACACATCCTGCGTGATCTTAGGGTGAGTAAACAAATTATTTTTAAACTGACAGGAAATTCCGGGCTGAATATAATCCCAACTGGTGGAAGATTGCCGTGGAGGAACTGGACATTAAGAACACTCGCACTCCCAGCGGATCCAAACGAACATTGGTATATTTTCATCCAAAAATATTCTTTATTGGTGTGTAATGATAAGTACTAACAGCAGCATAATTATCGTTAATACGAGTGCATGCTAACTAACTGTAGGGCAGGATTCCTGACTCAGGACGTGTAAACACTACAAAACTCTCTAACGCGAAATCGCAACTTTCCTTCCAAATATAACGGATGAGCGTTTGCTTTTTCTATAATGGAGGGATTAATTATAATGCACTACTCGTATGGAAAATAATGTATTTGGTTTTCTGGATTAGCAAAGTAAAAGTACGGGCGGCGTCACCAGCGGATTCTCCTCGTATATTGTGGAGCTCTTTGCCGGCTTTCGTGGTGTGCTGGTTGGTTTGGTGGATGTCAGCGACACGAAAAAGCAAGCAACGAAAGAGCTGATTGATGAACTAAATACGGTAATAATATTACCGTGTTATATTATAATGAACTGAGCTGTACGTGTCGAAAGAGTTGTCAATCCAATGCATCATATTTGAATTAATGAAAGAGTACGAAAAAAATTTGGCGTTTAGATCAGGCCGATCGAGCACACCAATTTGCAAAAGTTCATCGGTGTGGCTGTGGATCAGAACAATGTTTGTGCGTACATTGTCGGGGAATTATGTTCCAAAGGATGCTTGGCGGATGTCTTGGAAAATGAGCTGATTAAACTAGACTGGTTTTTCAAGAATTCCTTGATCAGGGATATTGTTTATGTGAGTGCACGTAACAATACGGGCACCATTTGCATCAAACTTTATCAAATCTCCAAGAAAAGTATAGTTAACCATATTCATATAGGGAATGACTTATCTCCATTCCACTAATGTTGTGTCACACGGAGATCTAAATTCTTATGCTTGTCTGATTGACACGCGATTTACATTGAAAATCTCCGATTACGGTCTTCCATACTTTCGGAATCCGAAAATTTTTCCCGCGCCCAAGCCCGGCGAAACGGATCGGGACTACAGTATGCTATTATGGCGAGCTCCGGAGTTGTTGCGCCAAACGATGCCACCAAAGGGCACTCAGGTGTGAACACTTACAGAGAATGTACATGCCGTTACTACTAAGTTATTACGCACATCTGCGCTAAAACATTCGGCATTGTTGAATCTCTCTTTATATTCGTACAATAGATTACGTCGCGATTTTCGTTTCAGAAAGGCGATGTGTACAGTTTTGCAATAATCCTGCAGCAAATTATTTTGCGTAGTGGACCATTTGAGCTTCCGGATGATCCCTTAGAACTTTCAGATAAAGAAATTGTTCAAGAGGTATTCAGATCGACGGTTACTCCCCTTCACAGATTTTGCAATTTAAAAACTCTCATGGCTAAAACATAAAGCAAATATTTTATTTATACAATTATCTTATTGGACACCCTAGTTTGAAAAAAACTTGAAAAAACTGTTTATGTTCTGCAAGTACTAAAGTGTTCGGTATCTGTGCGTTCTAAAGGTCATCGCTGCTAATATTCCTCCGGTTCGTCCGCGTGTCCCACGATCAGCCTGCTCCAATGAATTATATGACCTGATGGAACGCTGCTGGGAAGAGGTGCCCGTGGAGCGACCAACCTTTGCGAAAATCAAAGAACGCCTTGTCCGCGTAATCGGCAAAATTGGCGATAATCTCGTAGATCTGTTACTGCGCCGCATGGAACAGTATGCGGGCGATTTGGAGCAAAAAGTGGCCGAGCAAACGCAGCAGTTTATGGAAGAAAAGACCCGTTCAGAACATTTGTTGAGCCAGCTGCTGCCCAAGTGAGAGCCGGATCTATGCTGAATATACGATCCTTAATAAGTTGTGCAGCTGATATACCCGTAGTAACATAGCAAAATTTCAGTTTTGAAATGTCAGTATAAGTCTATATATAAGAATATTTTTGTTGACTGATTTTATTACCTATGACCTTTAATTCACTTTTTTACTGTACGTCATTGCTATATCTCCTTAATATATTTAATGAGCGAAACAGTTAGTACTTTCTTACTTTGACAGGTCCGTTGCGGCGGCGCTGACTAAAGGTCAATCCGTGGAACCGGAAACCTTCGACTGTGTGACCATCTTTTTTAGCGATATCGTTGGTTTTACAACCATTGCTTCCAAAGGAACACCCATGAGTGTTGTTGACCTTTTAAATAGCCTGTACACATTTTTTGATGGAGTGCTGGAAAAGTATGATGTGTACAAAGTGGAGACGATCGGCGATAGTTACATGGTAAGTGTAATAACAAATGCAGAAAAGAAACAACATTTGTAAATTAATTATCAGGATATCTTACAATTACATAGTATCTGTACTGTGCGCCATTTTTTAATACATAAGTTGATCAACGTTTTTGTACAAAAATGCTTAGGTATCATCTGGATTACCGATAAGAAATGGAAATAAACATGTTGTGGAAATCTCCTGCATGGCTCTAGATCTGGTGGAAGGGATTAAAAAGTTTTTTGTTCCACACCAGCCTACAGAACACATACAGATTCGGTCAGGAATTAACTCAGGTGCGCCCGTAGACAGCAGAATCGCAGTTCCCACTCAGTGTGTACTGTGTAGTGTGTACTCGTAGTCTTTTGGTAGTTTAATTTAATTCTATGTTAGCTGGAAAAAAAGGTTTTTGAATATGAAACAGTAATTTTTCATTTCTTTTCTCCTTCCACAGGTCCCTGTGTTGCTGGAATAGTTGGTACAAAAATGCCTCGATACTGTTTGTAAGTGACCTTTGACGTATATTGCTGACTGTATAATATTCGTACCTACAGTATGCAGTATTTGTATGGCACAAGAGGATTTTATCGTATACAGTTTTTTATTTAGCTCGCTGCAAACGTTTTCATGTATCCCCTAAATTCTGGTGTATGAGTACCATAATAAAGTTCCAGACAGTGATAACAGATTGCGCAATTATCATGTCGCTGTAGATTTGGAGACACTGTTAATGTGGCATCCAGGATGGAGTCCACGGGAGAAGGTAACGCATATTTGACTTAATTATACTGTTATTGGGTTTTGAATTATTATCACTGAGATTTGCTTATTAACAGCCATCGGATGAAAAATTCTTTCTAGATCTGATAGGTAACTCGTAAACGACTAGTGCTGATTAAGTTTTTGTTACACGAGTGCAACAGCAAATAAGCAGCAAGATATCCAGATTGCAATTATATAAAAAATTAAAACATTCGGTAACGTTACACTCGTACGGTGTCCAATAACGTTATACCTGCGTCATTTATAAAAGTAGTGAAGAGAACGGTATATCGCCATATTATCATCTCAATTATAGTTAACTCACGGCGTTTATCCAAATTATTTTAATTTTTAGCAATGAAAATTCAGATATCCCATGAAACCAGGCAGCTGTTACTGGGAATCGGTAATTTTCTAATGGCCGAACGTGGAGAAGTGGCCATCAAAGTAAGGCAGTGTGCATTAGTAACACGCTGCAACTTGAACGCTAAGGCTGAGAAATTTCCTTTAAATTTTAGAAGTGCTCGTGCTTGAATCCTCTTTTGCGTTTCTATAGGGAAAAGGTCTGATGACGACGTATTGGCTGCTGGGAAAGTCCACCTACTAGGCCGTATTTTATTCTTTATGTTCGCTTATTTACTTGTTAGTTCTAAACAAAGGGGATAGGAATGTGCAAAGGATTCCCTGGGTGCGCAAACTTGCATTTAAATCACGCAGAATATGCCTTGTCGTGACGACGAGCGCAGTGAAGAAAAAACGATAAATATGCGAAGGTATTACGCACATGACAGGTGACCGACGACGCTGGTTCTGGTGCTTCCAATGCACTGTAGTTCAAATGCTACTGGTATTTAGAGCAATCATGTACACACATCAAAAATTGACAAAAAACACATTCAATAAGCGTGTGAAATTACTGGTAAGTGTAAAATGTTTTAAGTAATACAAATGTGGTGTGTATCGTGACATCACACCGGACTACATATTCCGTGCAGTAGGCATCGAAACACTCGGACCTTTGGGACCAGACGCCTCTCGCATGGTCACCGAGCTCGGGCAGATGATACGCAAAGAAACGGGCGAGATACGGGCGATTGAGTATCTGCGCCAGCGGTTCAGCATTGAAATTCAACGCGGGAATGCGGCCTCCGTCATGGGAACAGCACCAGCATCGGCTAATTTAGATGAGATGTTCTGTAGAATTAGACCGTCTATTTCTGTTGTCGGTTGAGGCTGTGGATTAAGTATACATCTTTATTAAGATAGAAAAATAGTGTGAGTTTTGTATACCGCCAAATAAAAAGCAGTATCAAGCGAAAAAAAAATGTGGTGTGAAAAAGTATGTACTTCCAGACCTTTATAATTTGCAAAGTGATTAAAGATGCTAAATAATTAATGCTGTAGTCACAAAGTGCTTTTGAATTTGCGCTGAATTACCTTGACCACGTAAACTTAAAGCGAATATATATCAAAGAACGCAAAACTGGAACACATTTGAACGTCGCCAACCTGGTAACTGCGAACACGTACCCTGGATGGATGACTGGATCCAGGGTCATTTTGCCCGAACGAATTAACACACGTTGACGGTCAACCCGACCCGGTCGATATTCCGGCTCGAAACATTATGTTGGGCCCACCGTTGCATAATTTACGAGATGGAGTAATTGCCATAACCGGATGTTTTTGTTGTGTTATGCATATGAAATTGTTGATACTATTGGAATTTCCCTGAGGTATTGTAGCGGCATACGGCCACTTTGGGAACGTAAACTCGGTATAGATCTTGGTCCCATGTTAAACGTAACGGTATAATTGTGGTCGGGAAGAGAACGACACTGAAACTGAAGGCCGGGTGCATTTACACTAATAGATATATGATTACACGTGCGACATATGCGTAACTTATTTCTGTCACCTGCGGGCCTGCGGCTGAGCAGTTAAAAAAGGCATCGTATATTAATTTTCACTTATTTAGTCGTCAGAGTTTTATTTATCGTGCATTATTTACATTAGCGGAACATTTAACATTATTTTTAGTAGCTCACAATAAAATTTCGTTTGAAAATGCTAAGTCAGATCATCAATATAAGAATGATTTAAGGATCATTATTTGCAGTTAGATTGTCTGCCAAATTTGTTTATATAGGCGAGTACAATGTGCGATAGACAAATTTTGCATGCTAAAAATGAATTTTATTAAAGCATCACATTAGTCACAGCATCTTATTGCGTATAACGCAGTATTTTTAACGAGAGTACGTCAGACCCGTTTTTCCATTGACGGCTTGTTACAGAAAAGCCTAACCGAAGGAAGAAAGCGTTCTTTACCTTGCTATCGGAATTTTAAAAAGCTTTTTTAATGCTAACACCATCTTGTAGCGGAAAACGGTGGTCCATACTTCATGTTGTAATTAATTATTTGATTCGGCATGCTCCTTCAAGGTACACGCACTCGCAACAAGCAGCCGGTCGTGATAAACTTGAAAGAATCTGCAGCGCACCGTACGTTTTAATTATCGCGATCAATTATCACCGACGTATATTCCCTGAAGGGCAACAGGATCAGAGTCTTTATTTCCGGCACGTTTTCACACTACACAGTCAACCGTCCACTGTGCAGCGTTCCCTTGATCATTGTTATCGATCGCAGGGGTGGGATACTATGGCGCCGGTAATTGTGTATTTGACAGCCAAGAGGCACAATCCGAACATCTTCCGCTCCGGTGCGCTATCACATTCGTCCCGCACCGGTCGAATATTTTTACTTAGTTAAATCATGCATCTCTTAAGATATTGTAGCAAATTATTGTATGTTAGAAGCACTTTAGTTTTTGTATTTTTGAACGTTAGAATAGCTAAACCTGAAAATCTGACGATGTGCCTGGTAACAGAGGATGATTCCTATTATTTTTCGAATATCAGAGCGGCGGCGGTGATTGATTTAGCTATGGAACAGGTTAATTCTTTTGCGGTTTTGCCGGGCGATTTAAAACTGCAAATTATTAATCAGACTGCCGGACCATCGTGTACGCAGCTGCAGTATACGGTTGTATCTAATGTCATGGAACTGATACGGAGTGGTACAAACTGCTTGTCGTTTCTTGGTGTATGTAAGTAAGCAACGTGCCGATTTTTCTTCTTATATTAATTTTCATGTTAAAATTTGCTTTATGACAGATATTCATAAAATAAGCTGGTATTATTAATTCATCTGGCGTACCTGAATCGTCAACCGTTAGTTTTCCGTTCAGTTAAATTTATAAATACCGTAGTGATTTAATTTTTGCAAAGAAGCAGAATTACAAGTCTAAAATACACTATGCGATCTACGAAAACATTTTGGTTGTTAGTTTAAACCCTACCTCAGAGAGCTCCTAATTATAGCCGTTACAAGTAGCAGAGCTGCAAAGCTTATCCAGAACATTTTTCTGATTAATGGGATACGCTGTCAAGCTATGTCGAGTTACGTGGGCAATGATTAAACTTCGATAAATTATGTACCTATTATGCTGCATGTCATTCAGGATTTGGAGAAACAGAGCGTCCATGTGCCATGTTTTATACTTCATGTTAATTAATTTAAATCACTAAATTTGTTGTACGTAAGCAGGGCTGCGCTTGCTGAAGATTATACAATTATTTCACGAAACGTAATACTGCACCAATGTGGATGCTCCTTTTCATATCATGTGTTATGAATCTGCTACAAAACCAGGTGGCGTCCAATCCTGATTAGGTGGTATTAAGGTGTAATGTAATTTTATGTAATTATTAATATCCGCGCACAGGTCATAGCGTAGGTGCGCACACCATGTCAAATTGAACTGACTAACCAAGTGGATGCAGCCATAATCGAGTTACTTTATAGGCAGACACTCATATATACGAGTTTTTTTCACAGCTGTTCTTTCTGCACCGAAACGAATTTCGTTTAAGCAATGCTGAACTTACTGGTGCTTTAAATTATTACTTTAAAAACATGAATAAATGACAAAAGTTCAACTATTATTTAACGTTCAATTATTCAGCTTGTCCCACATCTGCAACCGCACTGTACGGCATCGCACACAGCATTAACGTCCCGATCCTGGGTATACCAGCAGCCGGTGTGACCTCGCTGTCAACGGACGACGAAGTCAACACATTTCCCTTGCTGGCCCGTGTGCCTTTCGGTTTCGGGGACATCTGCCAGTTCCTGCGGATCTTCATGGAGACCTACAATTACAAGCACGTCTCCATTCTGCGGGACGACTCTAATTCCTTCTACACCACATTGTCCACCTTCACAATGCGGCATTTCCGCAGTAATAACGCGGAGATTTTTGCCAACACCCTAGAAATCCCCTTTTTCTCCAAAGGGGCCACCAGAAGTGTTTATGAGCAGTTACTCAATCGTGCCAATGACGTATCACGAGGTATGACTTTTGTATTGCGTGCATTAACTAAATAAATATTCTACGTATACGCGAGCCGGATTTAAAGCGTTCTCAGCGTACGTTTACGTAAGTATTTTACGCGTATGTCAACATACGAGTACATTGGTGTAAGTAAATGAGATCAAAGACCACTTAATGTCAGGTCAGATTGTAGTTAGAGGGGCTGTCGGGAGCCAGACAGGATTCCGGGGTTGCCTTCTACCGCCTCGTGTATTACTAATAAAGTATGAATACTTCTCGTACAGAAATCAAAACAAGTGCGCGAATTCTCATGTTTTGAATTCTGGGAATCAGCTTAGTTACGATGTGATTTTTCCACGAATAAATTCAGGCAATACAATTTTTTTAATATTTATTTGAATTAAATACTGGCGCTGTTAACTGAAAAATGCATATTTTGCGTTATGTTCTGCACTGTGCATTGTATTGTAACTTTAATAGAGCTTTATATATGCTCACGAGTCACGGCTCACTTACGATTAGAATGCTGCTAATGGTACGTAAGTCACTAACGAATAACGCTGTTTAAATTTTGTGCTTTGTACTTGTAGTAATTGTATTGTTAACCAATGGAACAATCGTCCGTCAAATAATGGTGAGTGGATATTTTTCTGTTGTACTCGTAGTTCTTAATCACATTCTACTAAATGTGTTACGAGATTAATTTTCAAAGTGTACGGTGTATGTGGGACCGAAGTCAGCAGATCGTAGTAAAGATTTCGACTACGGTAGTTACGAACATATTTTAAATTTTGTTCGGTGAATTAGGTTGCAGCGCAGGGTATGGGCCTTACCACTGGACAATACGTAAGTCAGGTTTGCTATCTGTATTTTAGTTATAACAACCTTAATTAATTTACTGGAGATAGAAATGTTCCCTCGTCCTCGTAATTCGACAAAATTACAACTGGTGAAATAAGAAAAATGAAACAAAAATCTTGCCGTTTTAGTGTTGAATGCCCATGCTAATCATTTACTGATTATGCAGGTGTTCATTGCCGTCGAACTGTACGAACTGAGTTGGTGGGGAAAAATTCGGGCGAGTGTGGGCGATCGGTACGATACGGTAAGAGAAACACTGAGACCATTTCCGTCCGACATCTCACTCCAATTGAACAGTGACAATATTCAGAAATAATACTGGGCGTTGGCGTATTAAAGCAATATTAAACTGCTAGAAAAATTGCGACGTAATAAAAAAATGCATCCTGATTATCGTGGTTGCCAACAATCTTAGCATGTTCTGATCTTTGGCTTTGAACGTATAGATTGCCACCGACGCCTTTAACTGCCTGCTGATTATATCGCTGTACCAGCAAACGGACAATGCAAATGAAGACAATTTCGAAACAAAGGTCAAACATTTGGCCAAAACAAAATATAATTATTCCTTTGAACCAATGGAAAGGGTAAGATTCGTCTGAAAATATAAAAGTAATATCGTATGCTTTACTAAATTGTATCCACTTCCTTGTAATTGCTTACTGTATTTTTGCTTTTTTATTTACACTGTTTCTTTGCTAATATACGAGTACGTACTATCTATCATCTTCGTATTCCTCATATCTAGATAGATCCGGTTTTGACGGGCTTTTACGAAGCTATTATCGTTTACGCCCAAGAAGTGGCCCTGATGATCAAGGCCAAGCTGGATTACACCAACGGCAGTCTAATAGCCAGCCGCATCACCGATCCGCGCTGGGACTATTTGGGCATCGGCGGCCGCATCCGGATCGGTGACGACGGTGAGCGGGATCGCGAGTTCGAGATGAAGTCCTTCAACGGCGACACGGGCAAATTTGAGGTCCAATTTCGCAGTGAAACCGACGTACGCATACCACACGTGGTGACCTTTCGGAATAAGCCAGCACTTGATATAGGTTATAATGGAGTACCGCTACATGCAGGAACTGGATGGGAACCGGACGTTTCGTACCGTGAAAGACTGGCACTGGCGCACGTGGAATGGACGTCTACCACCGGATGAGCCGGTGTGTGGCTTCAGCGATGAGAAGTGTGTGGACCGGAGTCTGCCCAAAGGAGCGGTGGCGGCCGCGGTGGTTGTACCGATCCTGGTGCTGACCGGTCTGGTGACGGCCGGTGTTTTTGCATTCCTTCGTCTGCGGTGCGTTGATTCGTTTGCTCTACCGGGTTCATTTTTTACTACGCGTTGGGTGACTTTAGCTAGAATTTGTACATATTATTCCAGAGACGTTCATGACTATATTTGGTTTTAAATCTTTCAATATATTTCTTCTCATCAACCATGGTCAATTTTTGTCTCGCTTGCGGTTTATAAACAAATTAAGTATTTCGTCGTCGCCTTATACAACGTAAACACCAGAACGTGTTTCCGTAAACAGGCGGATGAGAAAGGATTACGATCCAAATTGGTGGAAGATCAACACAGACGAAGTAAATGTCCTTCAAAAGCGCACAGGAAGCTCAAACACGTCAAAGAAAACTCTGGTAATTTTATACCTTTTTACACACGTGTACAAGTACCTATGATTTTTCTGAAGAAATATATGGCGATATCTTGCACGTTTTCTCCTGTTTGTTGTGGAGACATAATAAGAAAGAACAAATTTTGCAAAATGGTCATACGCTTTGTATTGCAGACGAGTCATTCCACAAAAGGTTCTTCCTTCAATGCCAGCGGCATGATGACGGACCAAATTGTCGCATCGTACAAAGGCGCCACGGTGTCGCTCATTCCCGTCACAGACGTAGCCAAGCCACCCGGTGCGGATGTGGCTGCTTGCATGACCTTGGTAAGGCAAATGCTATAAATATTTTTTACCTTGGTTATAATGGCAGCGAAAATATTGGATGTATATACTGTAATATTATGAACTGTGTCTGTACAGATAAAAACCGTTGCTCATCCGAATCTTCAGCGAGTGATTGGTGTATCGATAAAAGATGAGCTCTGCGAATACGTCATTGAGGAAATTTGCTCAAAAGGATCGGTGACCAATATTCTACAGAATGAAATCATCAAGCTGGACTGGAGTTTTAAAAACAGTCTCATCAAAGATCTCGTCACGGTGCGCACATATTGCTAACGCAGAACTATATAGTCGACGAATCACATAGCGGCTAACCAACGCGGCAATAAAATTACAGGGTATGGCCCACCTCCACTCGACGGCCATTGGCTCGCACGGCCATCTCAACTCCCACGTGTGCCTGGTGGATACACGTTTCACACTGAAGATCTCCGATTACGGTACACCGTGTTTTCGTAAACCGGCGGAATTGCAGCCATTCAAAAAAGCGGATGTCGAGCGGGATTATGAGCCGCTGTTGTGGCGCGCTCCGGAACTGCTCCGGCAAATTATGCCGGCAGCCGGCACACAAGTAAGACGTGATATCGGTTACGCATTGTCATTATAAAACTGTAATCACAATCAGTTTGCTTTGGATTGCGGCAGAAAGGCGACGTCTACAGCTTCGCCATAATTCTTCAGCAAATAATTCTACGAAGTGGTCCGTTTGAACTGCCAAATGAGCCGCTAGATTTGTCGGAACGCGAAATTTTGGAAGAGGTGACAACGAAAAACCACTTTGTATACGAAGATAATTCGACAATGTCTGCACTTTTGCGCTGGTAGGTTGTCAAAGCAAACATCCCCCCGACACGCCCGCGTGTTCCACGTGCTTCTTGCTCAAATGAACTGTATGATTTGATGGAGAAATGTTGGGAGGAGATCCCGTTGGAACGACCGACGTTTGCCAAGATCAAGGAACGTCTGCGGCGTATCGTCGGTGACCTCGGCGAGAATATTGTCGATCTACTGTTTCGCCGCATGGAACAGTATGCGGCCGATTTGGAGGTTAAAGTCGCCGAGAAAACGCAGCAGTTTATGGATGAAAAAAATCGCTCCGAGCAGCTCTTGTGCCAACTCTTGCCTAAGTATGGAAAGCAAAGTTTACCCTAGACAGACACGCATCGAATAAGATAAAACATGCTAGCTATTTAGCATTTCTGTTAGTTAAACTGCGCTAAGGCGGTTAAGTTATATATACTTTAGGTACCACCTGGATAAGAAAACTATTACGCAACAAACACTATAAAATATTTTTTTTATTATTACAGTAAAAAACGGTACTCAAAAAAATAATACGCACAATTATCATATAAATATTGCACGAATTGTTTGTTACCATTTTCTGATTGTTCTCTAAATGCATTATAGACCGGTAGCAGCAGCATTAACCCGTGGCGAGCACATCGACCCGGAAGCCTATGAGAGTGTGACAATTTACTTTAGCGACATTGTCGGCTTCACGACAATATCTTCCACCGCATCCCCCATGGATGTGGTCAATTTACTCAATAATTTATACACATTTTTCGATGGTATCATCGAGAAGCACGACGTTTACAAAGTGGAAACTATTGGCGATGCATACATGGTAAACAAATTGGCGTCTTTTCACACTGTCGCCTTGAGAAGAAATAGTAATTTTGACTTAACTTCAAAAATCTCCTCTGCATAAAATATGACTGCAGGTTGCTTCCGGTTTGCCAGTGCGGAATGGCAATAAGCATGCCGCGGAAATTGCTACAATGTCCTTGACCATTCTCAATGGTGTCGGATCGTTAGTAATTCCCCATCGACCGACGGAAGCCACTCAGATTCGCATTGGGCTAAATTCAGGTTCATCTGGCACACGAAGGCGTTAATGAGAAAAAGCTGACAATGACCTTTTATTTGTAGGTCCATGCGTTGCCGGTATAGTCGGCTTAAAGATGCCACGTTATTGTCTGTAAGCAGTTTGAATATTAAGAGTCTCCTAATTGTGAAAGCCCAAAAAAGCAGTTTGCTTATTGTTAACATACATAAGTAATAAGAAACAATCATTTTCTTACGGCAGTTTTCTCAGATTCGTAGTAATTCTCACAATGAGTCTAACATCCTTAAATCATTTCCATTAGGTTCGGCGATACAGTGAATGTTGCATCGAGAATGGAATCGACTGGAGAACGTACGTTGTGTTTCTGTATTTTATTTCTAAAAAAAATTATTTAAATTACATTGTAGTATTCGTACGTACTCTGTAGACTGTTTGCATCATTTTTATCGTATGATTTAGCTACTGACTTTATAATCCTATAAAAGTTATAACTGTGTAAAAAATGGCCCATTTTTCTAGCCATGAAAATCCAGTTAACAGCTGAATGCAAAGCCTTACTGGAAAGTATCGGTGGCTTCCGGATAACCGAAAGGGGCGAAGTGTTCGTAAAGGTCAGCTTTTTTATTACGCGCCTAAATCATAGCATCCCGATTAGCCCCAACTTATAACAGAGCATCCGCTAATTCTTATACCGTACAATTTTCAGGGCAAAGGAACACTCGTGACCTACTGGCTCCTGGGAAAATAATCCTATGACATCATTCAATTAAAGCGATCCAGCTTAACCTCGAAAGTTGGGTCATCGACTCCATAAAAAGCACAAAATTTTGTCAGTTCCGTAGCGTAAAAGTTCAGTTAATTTTTTGATTACTTTTATTTCTAACTAGCTGCAATTTTTCTTTATTCCTGCTAAGTTTGTAACATTTTTTCGACCCTAATATGCAGTCCTACCGCACGCCACTTATATTTTATTTACTGATAGCACAATAGGAGATAGGTAAATCAAAGAAAACGAAGAAACCCAGTCAATTTATAACTGCCATAATTTATAAGTAAAATTTTAATGGATCGCCACTGGGTAATAATTATACAAGCATGCTGAATATAGGAAGTGTAAGCGGCAAGAATTGTGAGATAGAAAACGAAACTTATTGATAAGTTATTCAACTGATACATATTAATTTGTCACAAACTGGCGCTGACATGAGTATACCGCGCAGATGCCGATATGTACCGTACGTACATGTTAAGAGGGACAATCAGATCTCAGAATATGTAATTATGGTATACAGTATATAGGGGGAAAAATGTGTCTATCCGAACCAATCCCTTGTACTTCTGATGTAAGCCAGCTGGTGGTTTACGTTGTGGCTTGACAGTGTTTTATGTAAAGCGCTGCCATTAAGATTGCAGGTACTGATAACAGGTAAGCAGCACTCGTACAACTGCAGGTAAACAGGCTAAAACTGTGTTATAGGCTTATAGCCCGGACCTGCCTGGTGCAGCTAATACCACATGTACCGTCAATGCCGCACAGCCTTAATAGCGGCGCTGTACATAAAACGCTGTGCAGCCACAACGTAAACCACCAGCTGGCTTACATCAGAAGTACAAGGGATTGGTTCGGCTAGACACATTTTTCCCCTTATATATACACACTGGGGTACAACAGCTACGACGACAAAATAAGGTACGGGTTTCTTGGTGTTGTTTAAGTGATTCAGATTCCTTCAGGTCATTTTTGTCCGCCTTCTGGTTTACGTGCACTTATTATTGGAAAAACATTGGTGTGCAAAACAACCAAAAAGCGATTGAATATAATCGTTTCTTGAATGAAAAACAAAAAGACTCGTAACTTATACCGCGAACCGCCGGCATTAATTAATGAAAATATCAATGAAAGATTCCGAATTCCCCCAATTGTGTTCTGTCAAGCGCCAGAATAAACAACAAACAAAGCCAAGCTGTGGTATATAAACCGAGCAACGACCGCTGCAAAAATCGTCAATCACTTTCATTCGGTTTCTAAACATTTTCAGTTCGTTTTCAAATTGCAATTTACCAGCTCTACCGCAACGCAACCATGCACCTGATGAAGTATTTCCTTCTCCTCGTCGTCGTCCTGGCTCTTGTGGTGAGTTTAAATTGGCAATCCAAACTTTCAATAAACTGGCCTTTAAATTTGCTTGTCTTAGTTCTAAATAAGTTTTGTTCAAAAGCCGTTTGATAATAATAAATTAATATTAAGCGATAAAGTCTCGTTACAAAAAAGTCCAGTAAAGTGAAAGCGCAATATAAAATTTATAAAGAATACAAATGTTAATAAACATGGGTGGTTGTTTTCCTTTCTTCATATGTCAAACATTCAAAAGGGAACAGACGGTCAGCTATTTAATACTCCTTATTACATTACAGTTCGCTGGAGCCGAAGCGGGCAGACCAAGCGGCGGCGGCGGCAAAGGCACCCCAAAGGTAAGCATTAAAAGTGAAATCTTAATACGTTTGCCGATCATATTAACACTTAGTACATGAAGTATCACAGTGAGACTGCAGCGAACAGATTGCCCCTGATTCTGAATCGCTGATTCACACTAAAGGGCAAGTCGTAATGGTGGTGACCTTTTCTTCCAGAGTCTGGACAATAAGCAGAAAGAACAAATCAGGGAGAAGAAGTCGAAGGGAGAGAAAGCTAAAGATATCGCTAATGAACTCCATCTCCCCGAGTTACTGGTCGAAGCATTCTTCAACCACATCTAAACTTGTGCACCGGTACAGTTCCATGACGGAACATTTGGTGGAGCTGTCAAAGATTCCTTTGTCTAGTCTGTGTTGATTTCTACGGGTACATTGCATGTGATTAATTGCGTGCTTTTATAACTTCATTTTGATTTCATGGAAATCCACGATAGATGTCGACACAATTGGTTGACATCCGGATCAATTCACCGAGTTATACGGTGGCCGTACTTGTACAGTTTTGCATTTTATGCAATGACCAGTCGGTGAATAAAGTCTAATACGATACCATCACAGAAATGTTTTGTTTTCTTCGGGCACATAATTTGCACTGAACACCTACGGTAGGCGTATTCAAAAGATAACAACAACAGCTTTTGAATACCGGCAAATGAAAATCAATCAATACGACTGTACGAGTATTTCTTTGGGCGAAGAGGATTTACAGAGCAAAAACTACGGTGCCGAAGATTTTCACCTAGCTGAAGTCTGATTCCCTTGCCGGTACATCACTGTTCACGAACATCTGTTCAGAATCCAGAGGAGTACCTAACACAAGTATGCCTATGTAGCTACAGTGCTACTCTTCTTTTGCGGAATGATTACTGACTGAGCCTCGCCACCGGAAATAAAATACAGCCAGTGGCTTGCTGATCGTGCATGCCACGTTCAAATTTTCTACCAAAATATCCAACTACTTATCTACCTTTTTACTCAATTTAACTGCTTATCTACTTATCTACCAAATCAAGGGCTGCCGTGCCGGTGCCCATTCGTTGTATGAAGTACGGGGCAGTCCTGCGCGATCGATCCGCGGCCAGTTCGCCCTCATTGCTCAGATTCAGACATTCGGGTATCCTCCAACGCCTATGTAGGTTTTTTGTGCATTATGCGCAGTAGAAACGACTGGTAACGTGTGTCATTACGATCCGGAGCTTATCTACAGAGGATGATTTCGCAATATGCTTCCAGCAAGGGAAGAAATTCCCGATAATTTTCCTTTCTGTCCTTTTTATCTGTTTGCTATGTAACCTTGTTGAATAAAGTGTGCCTAACTGATCAGATTGATTTCTTGACTTCGAGCGGTAAACATGGAACAAAAAAACTAATTTGAGACCAAGGTGCCGTGTGCTGGCGCTATAAACAATTTGTAAAAACAACAAAAAAATCGCCGAGCGACTGATGAGCAAAGGAATCGTTATTTCTCTTACTACGATGAACAAGGTTTTGGAACAATATGGGCCCGAGAGTGAAGGGCCCAATTGTGTTCGCCTGTAAAGCGCCCTCGAAATCAGTGCCTACACAAAGTGCGCACCAACTCCCTTATCGCCAAGGTCATACGGGCTATCTCGACACTGAATCCAAAGTCTCAACGACAGTTGGAAAGGAAATTTGGGACATCCCAATACATGTATGCTCTGAATGGTCAAAACAACTATACCGCACGTATTCGAGATATCGCGCTGCAGAGCTCCGTTTTTTAACATACCCGTTCTTATCTCTATGAATCATAGCTTATGCACCATGGTGCGCTGCACTGGCCGTATACCAGCCAACAGAGAAAGATGTCTGACTCTTCGTATTTTTGCCTCCAGTGCTTACTTATCGGTTTTTGATACGATGGAATCACTAGTGTCATGGCTTTTTAAACTGGTACCAAACTCCCGATCTTTCCACACTGATTTTCTAAAGTATTGCACTCATCGTACAGAGGCACAGCCCTATCACGAACGGTATAAGCATCAACCGGGCTGCACCGGCGCAAATGTATGCGATACTGATTCGGCCTTGCCTTTGAAAATTAAACTGCTATAAGGCTGTGCCTAAAACAGGCGGCTTCTAATCTATGCGTCACACCTAATATGCAGCGCTTGCCGTTCTTCATCCCAATTCAATAAATTGCTTTAAATTTGATATTAATTTTAGAATTAATAGCCACCGAAGGTTCATTTCGTTTATATCGGTGTTGATGGCAGGTTTTGATTAGTATTATTATCACAGCAGCTGTGTCCCTAATCCCTATCATTTATAAGTTTTCGTGTTACAAATGAAGCAGATGCGACAATAATTTTCGACAATCATAACGAAAGTTTTCACAGAATCGCTCAAAATCCACTGAATTCAGTAGGCATATTTACTACTGTTCAAGGTAACAGCAGCGTGCGATTTCGGTTTAAACTTTCAACCAACCAGCCAACCGATTCAAATTTTAGAGTATTTCTTAAGTTAACGGAACTGTCTGTGTTCCTTTAAGATACAGAATATTCGTAACTTTGCACGCAGCAACAAACTAAAAGCTGAAAACGCAATTTTTAAGTTACAGAGCACCTTAAGTGCGCACCGAGAGGGCCTACTGTAAACTTATTACTACACTACTACAGCACTATAAACATCGTTAAATAACTAAATGCTATTGTAATTATTGTAGTTGCCTGCGAAGGTTGAAAATAAACAATAACAATGGTGTCTGATTAATCAGGCAGTGCAAGATGAACAGGGATCGAAATACGGCGAAGATGCAGATTTTACGGTACACTCCAATGATTCACTGGGGCCGCTTAACTGGTCAAAATCATAAAGGGTGGCATTTTACAGGCTGTTTCTGAACTACTATCTGATGTACCTACGCTGCTAGTGTGCTGGGCTTGATGGTAGTAAATTAGCCTTAAGTTCCGGAACGAGTTAGTATCGGAATTTCCATGGTATCTTTTTATAGTTTAGTATAGCTACCTTCGAATAATCTTGCAGAGCATAAAAAAAATTTGCTCCTTTGATCGAACATGTAGGGCGCTTCCGGCCGTATAAACCGTACCATAACGATGCACGCGCTAGTTATTCTTATTTATCGCTTAAAATTGAGCTGAATTATTGATCTGCTTATAACTTATTGATTTTGAAGTTTGCTGCAACTTTTTTTTACTGTAAAATGGAACCTTCGGTAAGTCAGTGATCGATACTCAAATTTGTATTAAAACTACTAAAATCTGTAAAAGGATGCCAACTGCCAGAATGATAACCAAATAGAAGTAATGCGCCGTCCAGGGTGGTTAGCAAATCCCTTATCAGCTGTATTCAACAGCTGACGGTATGAAAATTAATAGAACTTGTAACCTTGTTGATTCTGATTGCCACTTGACATTCATCCCTAGCTGCAAAAGCGAAGACACTACTAAGCTGCCAAAAGCAGTTCCGAAGTTTGTCTGGTTCCTTCTTCTTTTCAACGGTGCTCCGGAAAACAGCTATTCGGGATGTATTGTCGTCAGGTAAGTCGGGTACGGTAGTTAACGTCATCGGAAACTTTGTCGTTGAACTCGTGGTAGCTGATAGCTTTTGCGGTTTTGCTTTTTTCGTTTGCGTTCACGTCTCAAATATAGTTTGGTGCTACTGGCGCATACTGTAACTACTGTGCACGCATGTTTTGTGTTTGTGGAACGGTTGAGTTGTGTGCTGGACTCCGTACAGTAGCGAAATCACCACGATGAATTACTACCTAAATTGTACAGGGCCTCTCCTCCTTTGCGCGCCTGTATTCGCAAAGCAGCCGAGCCTTTGCTGCTGTTCCCCAGCCACGGACACATGCCAGACCCCAAACGGTCGCTGGTATCAGTTTCGGTACGTCGCTGCGAACTCGAAATACAGTATCCCATTGATCAGCGCTGATTACGGCATTGTATTTGAATTATCATAGAGTTGACGGATGAGCAGAAATCCTACCAGGTAAGAGTAAGACGACAATTAATTATGAATGTTACTGTATGTATATTTTACTCTTAAAATAGGAAACCTTGCTCGGTTCGCTTTGGTAGATTTCCAGATTATCCTTTTTTTTCAGTTTCGTGATTGTAACTTGTGCTTACCTAATTTACACATTGATAATTTAACACAAACAATTTCCAAAAATTTTGGACCAAATAAATGCATCTACAATTAATACAATGATATAGTCTATTTATATACGTTTTTTTGCAGTCCTTGTTCTAATTGGGTATTTTAAGTTTTAGTGTTAACAGCATCTGCTTTGTATAAGTTAAAAATAAATTCATGTCTATGCGTTGGTTTGCGTATTTGATGTTATAAAGTTACATGCTGCAAGTTGCAGGAACTCTGTTGTTTGTTTCTGCTCTCTTTGGATTGCTGCGGATTACTAAGTGGTTAATTTTGTAATTTCAGGAAGTTGTACGGAAATTTGCGCGCGAAGAAATCGCTCCCAGAGCTGCAGAATGCGATAAAACTGGTGAAGTACGAAGAGGAAGATACTTACAATAAATTGCGCCGTAGTAATTTTCACGTTAATAATCATGGACTTCAGCCGTACCTCTTGACCATTCTTTAATGGCTTGTGCTTATCCGAGGCTCAGCCGGCTTATTTCCGATTCCCGCATTAGTTGATTGAAATCGTATTTTGTTTTTTTTTCAAAGTTGTGGATTTTGCTAATTGACGCTTTTTTGAAATCGTTCGCTGTGTTGCATCAGTAACTCCAAAGTGGTTTAAATTGAAGCAGTTTTAGATTTGAACTACTGTACACGAAAAAAGTTGCCGGAAGTAAGCTTACACCGTTTGTGCACGATTTTTCCGTTTGTATAGTATCCTTGGGATATTATCACGAAAGCGTTTGGTCTGGGCTTGATGAATTTGCATGTTCCCCAGGAATACGGGTATTTAGTGCAGATATTCCATTAACTTTCAGTCCCTTGCAACTACAGTACGACGTAATTGCCTGGATATGCTAAATTTGCGTTATTGCAGAGGCGCTGGATTGGGAAGTATGGATGCGTGCGTTATAATCGAAGAGCTGGCATGGGGCTGCACCGGCATGACATCGGCCATTGCCAACAATGGCCTTGGGGTAAGACTTCCATAATTTGTATTGTTCTGTATAAAGTTATTTACGAAAAATATTTATGTTGTTTCATGATTACAAATGTATTTATGCGGTTTTTAAACGTATAAATGACAGTTTCTGTTGGTTACGGAGTATTCAAAGTGTTTTTCAACGTACGTAGTCGGCGCGTTGGAAAGTGTAATACATTTTTTTGGAATCTTTCGAAATAAGTGGCTCTGGAACTTTGGTTCTGTAATGCGCATTCCGCGGTCAGAAATGTGCTCTACCGAAATTACGTGTTTTTACGTGGATTTTTTACAAATAATGGCTCATAAGCCTCGTATCACGTAACTCGTCTGGATTTTCAAGTTTCATGTAGTTGCAGAATTACCAACTCAATTTTATAGCAAGCACCAATAATTCTGGCTGGTACGCACGAGCAAAAGAAGAAGTACCTCAGCAGCATGACAAGGAGTACCGGAGACAAACCGGTGATATGCGCATACGCTGTGACGGAACCACAAGCCGGCTCTGATGTGGCTGGTTTGAAAACAAAGGCCACTAAAAACAAGGATGGTTCTTACGTTTTAAATGGACAAAAAATGTGGATCACTAACTGTAAGTCACAGTAAGTCTTTTCGGTAACCGCAGTAAGATTTGATTTTAAAACACGATGCTACTTCATGAAACATCATGATTATCACGCAGTTGTACGATGCTTCGGAATGAGTAGTTAATTCATTCACCATAAACGTTGTTGAGAATGTTGTGTATGTTACAGCCGGAAAAGCCGATTGGTTCTTTGTTTTGGCACGGACATCGGACGATTCTAAAACACCCACGAATAAGGCATTTACTGGTTTCATTGTGGAAGCAAACAGTCCGGGAGTTACGGTGGGACGGAAGGTGCGTTCACGCAGTTTACAGCTTTCATTCTGCGAGCTGATCATGAAGAAAACTTAACCGTTGCATTTTGCAAATCTTGTTGTAGGAATGGAATATGGGTAAGCAACAGTCGTTGTACAGTATTCGTGTAATTGCTTTATGCTTTGCGCAGTTTTCCTGATTAATCGTAAGTTATGGAAGTTCATCCACTAACGTATTTGTACCTGTACGATAGGTCAACGTGCCTCGGACACGCGCGGCATCACATTCGAGGATGTTGTGATACCGAAAGAGGTAAAAAAAAAACATTATACGTACCATCCTGCCTATTATCTGTAAACAATATGCATCATACTAGATACCGCGCAAATTTGTTGTAAAACATCTATTTTTTATTTTACGTGTAAAAAAATTGCAGATCTTGAAATTATAATAGTTGCACAAAGTAAATGCACTTAAATTGAGAAAAATACAGCTTACTAACAAAATAGACTGTTTTCGCACAAGACGTGGTTGCATTCACTACGCATAACTGCATTGTGCATATATGGTGGTATATGATAGTAACGTTCTCTTATTTTCTGACACTTGCCTGTTAAGGTATTCTGTATTAAGGTATTATGCAAAGGATTTTTTTGTCAAAAAAGTATGGTTTCCGCCAAAAACTGACTTAATTTCTGTGATTTTATCTGAACAGAATGTTGTCGGTGGCGAAGGCGGCGGATTTAAAATTGCCATGGGAGCTTTCGGTGAGCGGGCATTTCGTGCAGCGGCCCCCAGGATCTGCTTAAATCGATTTAATACTTAGAATTACAGTAATACTTGATATTTATTCTAATAAGTACTAATACTTAGTATTTATTTGCGCCTTAATTAGTTCAAGTTACAGTAAGTACTTGAGTATACATGTATAGATTTTGGTGACGTAAGTAATGATAACAAATAGAATTGTCAAGGAATTATGTTTATTTTACAAAATAATTACATGGGAATTGTTTAACAGATCAGACGCGGCCGGTAGTGGGAGCGTGCTCGGTGGGCTTGGCGCAGCGCGCCATGGATGAGGCTGTCAAATACAGTATGGAACGCAAGACTTTTGGCAAATTTCTTTTCGAAGTAAGACTTACTGGTTCAATAACTTCATTGTCAGTGTCAAAGTGCGAAAACTAAACGCACTCCTGGTTTACACTTACAGCATCAAAGCGTGGGCAATATGTTGGCGGATATGGCTATCGGAGTGCAGAATGCCCGTTTAGCAACATACAGAGCGGCATGGGAAGTGGACGAGGGCCGGAGTAATACCTTTTATGCCAGTATGGCAAAATGCTACGCTGGCGATGTCGCCAACGAAGTTGCCGCGAACGCTGTTCAGGTGCGTTTTGCGAACGACTTTTCTTCCATCTTTTGAACTGCGAGCGCTAAAAATTTAGTTTTGTCCGAGAGCTTTGTTTTGTGCTGGAAATATCTTTGATGTGTGTGGGTTGCTCTATTTTACAGTATAATAATTACTTTGGTCTATTTTACATATGAAACAGCTTGGGGACACTTGATTTTTGGTGTGTATTTATTAGTTTTTCATGAATAGATTTTTGGTGGTAATGGATTTAACAGCGAATATCCAGTGGAGAAATTGATGCGGGACGCTAAAATATTTCAGGTACGCTGTCGAATCAGTAAACTCTCAAAACCAGTGCACTTTAATGATTTTTTTGTTGTAGATTTACGAAGGGACCAGCCAGATACAAAGATTAATTATTTCGAGAGAATTGATTAAGCGTACTTTACAGGGATAATACAACAGTTTATGGTCGTATGAACAGATTTTATTTTTTTGATTGGCATGCAGAGTTGTTATTTCCTTTTGTTGACGTTATTACCAGTCCGGATTTCGGTTTCATTTGGTAAAATTTGAAAGTTTTTTCGAAAATTAATATTGTTACATTCCGGTTCTTTCAATTTAATTTTTTTTGTTAAGAAAAAAAACTGTTTTATCCCAAGATCCAAGCGATGTTTAAGACTCCCGACTAATTGTAAGAACAACAGGAAGACAAGGTAGATACTACTCTGTACAGGAAATTTAATAACACACCGCGAACAACCAACAGATATTGCAGCAGTATACGATTGACAAAGACAGAATTACAGTATTGCTGTAAACACAATTGCAAAATATTATCAATGAGATATTAATATTATGGTATTATGGTCATAAGGTAAACTTGCAGTAAAAGTAAATTTTGCAGATGGAGATATAAAAGTGTTACTTACGATTAATTCAAAGTTGTAAATTGACAAAACATTAATATTGTATCAGCATCGTACATATTAGCACAAAAGATCCAGCCGTGAAATCGTGAAGCGCTAAACGTGATTCGGTAAAATTGGATTAAGGGCGGAGATATGACAGCGTGTACGTACACCTCATATGTGGCTCCCTTTACCAGACAGGTTGACGGGAATTAGGAAGCAGAGAGATGAAAAGTTTGATCTTGATAACATGCGGTGCTGCCGAAGAAGTCAACTGAAGCCGGACCGCAGCGAAGTGACACGAACGAACACGGTCTGGAAGTCATTCCGCTTTTGAGATCCGCCGCTGGCGGTCACTTTTTCTTCTTTATCGTTCCGGATGTTCACTAACTTCACTTATTCATTGTTCGGGACTTTCGCGCCATTTTTTCATATAATTTTTTACTCATTTTTGAATTGTCCCCAAATAGTTATCGTAATTTTTTTAAAGTGCAATTTTAAACCGTTCAGTTTCTCAGTGGGCTGTCGCGTTAATTCTTGCCGTGTTTGCAGCCTTGAATAGTGGGTCAGTTTTTTTTTAATATTCGGGATCTGGCATGCCAGGCTGTACCGTAAGTTATCCTGCCATGCCTTCCTCCCTTTATCCCCAGCTGCCACAACTTGGTTCTCCACTGAGCAAGTCAGAACGCGAATCTGGTCAGCTTATTAATGCTGTCAAGAACTACGATGAACGGTAAGACTTAAGACCTAAGTGCAGTTTTAATTCCTATTGTAATTTCCAAGGAAATGATTCGAAATTTGTATTTACGAAGGTTGATTTGTTTAGATAGTTTTGAACCTTCGAAATTTAATTGTTTAATCATAATGATTAATATTTGAATATCGACGCCTATTTTCAGTTTCGAAGCCATTAATTTTTATAAGCAATTTAGTGTCACAAATGAAAAATATAATTAAATTTCGTTTCATCGATTTCGGTGCAAGTTGCAACTAGCATGGATTTTTATTTAAGCAGTGTATTTAATTTTTATTGTCAATATTTCTAAATTATCTGTGGCAGCGGCAAACAGTTCAGAATTTTCGATAAAAGGTGTTTATTATTTCGATTTTATACGAGTGTCATAGTTATTGAAAGATGGAACAGGCTGATTCGTGAAAAACAAAAAATAGCAAAATAAAAGCCAGTTGTTAGGAATACAATCAGGCTAAAATCAGCACTATCGCGAACATCTGTCCGATGATCTGTTGTGCATTGCACAAGCGGGTCACGTGGATGTAGTCCTGTCCAGGCAGCAGGTGACTCATCGCCGGCTGAAAAGGCGCTGCGTGCCTGACCAGCGTCCGAGCAGATGGCTGGTGATGGCAAATCGATTATTCACACACTTGTTCCTTTGTCTCACGGCCAGCTTTAGAGATCGCGATCGGCTGCTATCAGAATAAAATATTTACCATAGAAAATTATTGAATGAGGCGCGCAATATGCTGTGGCACCTGTCTGTCTTCTTTGCCGCTCTGGTCGTTTGCAGTATGCGGCGATAACTCAATTTGTTTAACAAAAATTTATCATGAAATTTTCCTTTGGCAATGACAAATTTTAATAGGCTCCTCGCTGTTTGAGCCGGATGACAGCGCTATCACTAAACTCAAATACGAACGTGAGAAAACGAAAGTTGCATAATAAAATATGCCGTATTTGCACACAGGACTATTTATGCAGAATCACGAAACAGCCTTTCGAAAGCACCGAACTGCTGTTGGACTTTGATCTGGTCTCCTGCAGGGTTTTCCATTTTCCCTAGTGTAACATAATCTGATTATTTTGTTTTATGCAAACCTTAGATTTTGGTAATTGGTACACTTTAATATTTTGTGCATTTTACATGGAATTGTGAATGACATCCTCTGAGTGAAGGTTGTGAAACTGCAGATGGTGACTCACTAACCTAAATTTTTCGCTCTTAAAATAACATTAATTTTGAACATGTTGGCTTGCCTCGTTAATAGGGAATTGGATTCCTTGTTGCGCCGGGGTTTCAATCCGAACAGCCAGTCTGCTGACGGGGAAACAGCTCTACACATCGCAGCTAAACAGGATAACGCGCATGTTCTCGTTGAACTGTTGTTGAGCCGAGGCGCGAATCCAAACATCCGGTAAGTCAGCAGTTTGTGCGAATTGTTTATTTTCCGAGTGAGTTGTGGTACTTATTGTTCTCCATGCTGACTTTTTTGTTTTGATATATATGTTTCACCAAATTTGTATTAATCAGTTTACTGTAATGGGTGATCGATAAGTTAGATCACCCATTAAGTTAGATATCCAAATTTTTGAAAAACGAGACAGAGCTGTGCTTGTTGGAAATTCTCAGATTAATGCACTATTTTTTCGTTTTCATCTTGTTTTTTTTTTCGTTTATTGTAGCAGTTAGGTTATATTGCGCAGTTTAATGGAAATTGAAGGAGTATTGATTAATACCTTTTCCAGGACGTTATCACGGAATTTCACGCCGGTCCATTATGCGTGTTTGCACGATCAGGCCGCCAATTTGCGCGTTCTTCTCAGTTATGACGGTGACATGTATCTCAAGTCAAGCGATGGTTTGACGGCCATGGGATATGCCCAGTATATGCGTCCCAACGTGCTGGCCGTGCTTCGGGAGCATATTAATCGCGGTAAGGAAACAACGTCCTGAGAAATTTTGTTATAAGTTTAACTTTTGGTTGTTTCGAGATGCATTTTGGACGTTTTCTCGTAAATAAATGCGTTATGTCCCAATAGGGCGTCCTTCTGCTGTGGATCGCTCAGCTAGTGCAGCAGAATATCATTCATGCTTGGATTCTCCGTTACCGTACGCAAGGGTTCCTGATGAAGAATACGAAGTGTACGCGGCACGGGAAGGGACATCCCGCAGCCGCAGTAAACAGCGGTCGCGCAACATGCAGCGCAAATCCTCTTCATCCCGTAAGAGTATTTTTCTTGAATATATTTTACTTTAATTTTTGTTCTGCGTTATTTTTAAACATTTTTAGCTCATGGCTTTATTATTTTTCACTAGTTTTAGACTCAGTTGATAACTGTGCGCGACTTATCTTTTTGCTGGTGTCTTTAAAACGAACTGCAAGCGCCGGCATCCCGGCTGGATTTGAATTCATTTTCCTTGGCTTTTATTAGTGGATCGCAACTTTGTTTTTGGGTTAGAACATTACTAGATTCAACGTTTTGTTTCTCTAGGTTCCACTTCGCGCTCCCTTAGTCGATCGCTACCGGACACTTGTTCCGACAGCAGCGATAGTGACGACGAAGGCTTCTCTCGACGTCGTCGCCGTGTTGCGTTCCGCTCTCCTAACCAAAGATTCTGGACGTCGGCCGAGGTACAATTTCTGATTCCTCCCGGCCGCTAGAGTATGCTGTTACTTTGTTATTATAAAATTCATTTTTAGGATATCTGTGCTTCCGTCGAAAAGCTGTCCGTTTCCGGTGACGCGCAAGTGCCGCGTCAGGCTCGCTCATCGGAACACTTGCGCATCCAAACGGAAGCTATAATCCATCCCGAACCGAAGCCCACCCGTCGTTCCCTCCCGGATATCGCTCTGGATACTCCCACTTCGCCGGACGTCACTCTGGATGAGTTGGTAGAATTGGGTAAACTCGCTGACAAAGAATTGCGGCAAGAATTAAAAAAGTACGGCTTCCAACCCGGGCCCATCCAGGACTCGTCCACCCGCATTGCCTATATGAAAAAATTGGTGCTTCTGAAGCGCGACGCCGATCTGAACCTGGCGGTGTCGTTGTCCAAGTACTCGCTGGAAGAGTTTGGTGAAGAAATGTCAGCGGTAATCCATGGGAGTTATCACAAGGAGCGCATGCGAGAATTGGAACATATTTTCTTGGAATCGTTTCCCCGGGAGGGTGGTGTCGGGCGGATGGGCGTGTTTCAGTATGGGAACTATTTACTGTTGGATCCGCAGATCACGCGCAATCTGCCGTATCAGGTGGCCGAGTCCAGCCGGCCCAATTTGGACCTGTGTTTCCGGTTGTTTTTGCGGGGTGTGTTTTACATTGGCAAAATGAAAAGTTTGGAACGGCCGAAAGAACATCTGCGGTTGGCTAAAAGGCAGATTGACCAGCGCGGAAATAGACTGGTGAGTCACATGAAAATTAATAATTTGATTATTGTTCTTGTGATAGTTACTTACCGTGCTAAATGTTGTAGGATACGGAAAAGCTCTGCCGTATCCGTTCAATTTGGAACAACAGCTACGGCGTCGTTATGCTGAATTGCTTCCCGTTCATATCTGAAAAGGAGGCGTTGACGCGGGAGGCATTGATGATTGAGGCTCTCGGTAAGAAAAACCCGTTGGCTTATTTCTAAAAAAAGAATTTGGTGTATTACCGCGTTAGGTAAAAATCTGATGTCAGAATGCAGGCAAAATTATTCGATTCTAAAAGTTTCGGCACAATAGGTTATGTACGGGTTTTGGTTTTTTATTTATGCATAAAGGAAATTTAATACGAGTAGATCTTGTGAAATACGTCTAATTTCTTCCAAATTTTATTGATAGGTTTGAACAAGTTGACCAATGAACGAGGTGGTAATCTGCACGGGCCTGTCAAACACTGGTCAACCCATGAACGCCGTTTGTTAGGCAGCTACTTCTTGAGAAATGCCTTTGAGGTTCTGCTGGAGAAAGGAGAGCGTCAGACATTTCGGGATGAAGTCTGAAGACGCCTCCATATATGGGTCCAATACCGGCGTTGTATAGAGTAAAATGTTCTCAGCGTTTCCAAGCTCATAGTTTGAGACCAAATTTCATAATACTTTTTGCTTTTATTTCGTTTTTACATAAACTCTCGTCGTCGTCTTTTCAGTGTCAGATTTTGATTGTATATAGTTTGTGCCTGGAAAGTATCGTTCGCGCTTGGCCAGATTGTTGCATGGCCAGTTTTATTGCAAGCCTTCTTTTTATGAGTTTTAAATGAGTTAGCGCTTCTGTTTTGTGGCACAAATAGTTATGGATTTGGATGTCTTATTGCTTTTAGCGTGAATGTACAATATTTTATGTAGCGCATGTATAATGAGTGCTTTATCGATGTGAATCGTGAAATTTAGAAGAAACAACTACGATCTTCCTTAACTTCCTTCAGCTTTTTAGAATACTGCTTTAATCGCCGCTCAGCAATTTTATCATTGATATAAGTGCCATTGACTGGGAACCAAAAGTAATGAAATTTAACATTCCCAGTTTCGAAAATCACTTTCGGTGCTTTGTCAATCGAAAACCAAGTGATTTAATTATCTCAGCCAGTAAATTTACCGTTTTTCCACGGAGTAGTTAAGACATGATTTTTAAAACAACACAAACGCTTCATATTCTTGCAAATTCCTCCTTCAATTATAACTGAAAGTCTGAAACACACCTCGGACAACACAAACTGGAAATACAGTTCCACGCGAACAAAAGCGGGATATAAACAAATGAAAGCATCGTTGTGATACGATTATTAAAATATAATGCAATTTCCTTGACAGTCAATTTATCCGTAATGCTTGAAAACAGCCCAATATAACGCCACCCACAAATACAACAGATACTGCATACTGCAATTCGCTCAACTGTACGACCGCTCCCTCCGCCGCCGTTCCGGTGATCGACTTCGTCGATCATCCCGTCGATCCCGGCGTCTCTCCGGTGTGGGCGACCGTCTCCGCCGGACCGGCGACTTCTTCTCCTGAACGACTTTCCCATTGGCATCGCGTGGCAAGCTGCGTCGATTAGACAGTGAAGAACGGCGCTCCGGCTTCCATTGTGACGGATTGGGTGTGCCGGGTGAGGAAGACTCCCTGCGTCGGCGTTGTGGCGGTGGAGAAGGGTTGGCTTTACGCGGTACAGGACTGCGCCGGACAGTTTGCTTGTTTCGCGGCGGTGATGGAGATGAGTCACTGGAATCACTGGAAGATGACGACGAGGAGGAACTGCTGGACGGCGATCGACGGGATTTCGCGGGGGGATCGGGTGAACGGCGCGGCTTCACGTCCCGTTCGGTCGATCGGTGAGTGCGGGGTGGGCGCTCAGGGGAACGGCGAGTCTTGGTGTCGCGATCCGGGGAGCGACGCGACTGAATATCCCGACCGGGGGAACGATGGCCTCTGGTTTCCCGGACCGGAGATCCACGCGATTTCTCCTCGCGGTCGGGGGAACGACGAAACTTTGCACTGCGATCAGGAGACCGTCGCGCCATTTCGCGATCAGAAGAGCGACGTGATTTCATATCCCGTTCAGGGGAGCGACGACCTCTGGCTTCGCGAACTAGAGATCTACGTGATTCCGCTTCGCGATCGGGAGAACGACGGAATTTCGTACCATGAACAGGCGACCGCCGTGCCATTTCGGGATCAGGAGAACGACGCGATTTAATGTCCGGTTCAGGTGAGCGACGGCCCCTGGTTTCGCGGACTGGAGAGCCATGTAATTTCGCATCGCGATCGGGTGAGTGACGAAATTTTGCGCTTCGATCTGGAGAACGTCGGCCCATTTCGCGATCAGAAGATCGACGCGATTTCATATCCCGGTCGGGGGAACGGCGGCCTTTCGTTTCGCGTCCAGGAGAACGGCGTGATTTGGCGTCGCCATCACGGGCTCTATACACGGATGAATCCTTCAATGGAATGTCTCGGTTAGGAGAACGGCGATCTTTGCGCGGAGATGGAGAAAATGATTTCTGCAGATTCAAAAGTCGCCATAAGCACAACTACCATATAAAAACGAAAAGACTATTATTTAAAATAATTTACAATGTTTACTGTGGAACACAAGTATCGCCCCAGGTGTGATATGCACTATAAAAAGCGAAGATGCTCGTGAAAATATTTATAAGAAACTTTTCCATAATTTAAAATCTAGAAAATAAGGGAGTATGGCAAAACCACACATCACCCGATAGCTACATAGTAATCCAACAAACAAACCTCATTTCGCAAACTGGAATGACAGCGTATAAGTAACTAACAAAAACGCGCTAAAATCTATGATTTTTTATTAAGTATTTTTCACCAATTTCATATCACGTCTAGACAATCCGTCATCTCAGCACTGAACACAGTTATAATCACCATTTACAACATTACAACACATATTCAGTGAAATCTTCAACTGATTTCCGTAGTATAACGGCTGCAGAATAACTTGACGCAGAGTTGTAAAAAATTACCTATTACTAATCAAGCTTTGCATAAATATGTCACAATTTTTTCCTATGATTTTCTAGCAGGATATGCAAATTTGTATTTATGATATATCAATGCAATTCTACTGAATAATAGAAATATCATCACAACGGCCAATGAGACTTCCAACGTAAAAAAAAATTTAAAAACAATCCCAAAATACGATTAAACTTATAAGGTAAAATCCAGATTATAAAATACAAAGATTTCATACCTCTTCGCGTTTCCTTTCGTCTCTAGATGACTGCTGTTGATATTTCTCCCGTTTCTCCTCTTTCCGCGAATTCTGCCGACTAATATCCCTTCCTCTACTTTTCTCCTCATCCTCTTTGGCTTTTTTCTTTTCATCACGTCGTTCACTCTCATCTTTCTTGCGTTTACCGCGGGGCTCCTCCTCTTCGCGTTCCTCCCGTCTCTTCTTCCCTTCCTTCTTAACCTTGGGGAAATCATCATCGGGATCCTTAATCAGCGCATATTTCTTCTTCCCCACCGTCTCCTTGGCGTCCAGCGACGTGCCGTCCTTAAACTTATCGGAAATCCCGAACGCATCGCGCAGCTTCTGATTGCGCGTCAGATTGGCCGCCGCCATCTGATGCGTCCCGGCCACCACCACCCGTCCCGTCTCCGGGTCCACCTCCGTCGTAGACTTCATTTCTGCCAGGAGGGTGGCGCGGTAGGCGCGGATATTCTCCTCGATCAACGCGGGATCGGTGCTGTTGGTCTCCAACATCTCCCGCAGTTCCAGCAACTCCAGCTCAATTTTGCGTTTACGCTCATGCTCCAGGATCTCCAGATTGGGCTCCCGATCACGGATCTCCGATTTGGCCAGATCGGCCTCGGTTTTGTAGTTGACTTTCTCACGGCGATTGCGCACGAGGGAGAGATTGCGGACGACGTACCCGTTGGTGCCTGAACCACGGGCCGTCTGCAGACCAATTCCGTTGTACATGGTGACGAGAACGTGAGGGAGATGAGTGGGCTCAACGCTGCAGCCTGCAGTTCGCGGATATTTCGGACTCAACAGAGGTTCGGTTACGAAAGAGTTCTAGTGACTGCTCTCATAGATAACAATAGTCAGTTTAATCATTCGTGCGACAAGATTTCAGTGGCAAAATTGACAGACTAAAAGAAGGAATCAAAATAAAAAAGTCACTGAAAGTGCAGAATGCAAATCAGCAAATGCCAGATGCATCGTTTTCACGTCGGAAAATGCGCAACAGCAATGGCAAGCGGAACGGCACAAACGACAAGGCCCATGAGGCATGAGCTCGAAGTTCATACCGGAAGTCGAAATAGAAATGCACAAGCATAGAAAAGGAAAATACAGTATTTTCCTTTTCTATGGCACAAGTACGAGTACAGAAGCTGTAATTAATAATTATGTAATAATAAACATTAAATTTTGTTGTTTTTCGTTTTCAGAAAATTACGCACTTATTAACTACGAATACTTCTTTCTTATAGGCTCAAAACATGCAGTCTGTGAACTGCGGTCAACAGTAAAATCGCTACGAGGACATTTGGGTGCTGTGAACATACCCTGGACGATTAGGCTGCGATGAACAGCCGGCTAAATTTATAGCCGTTTGCATTCAGATTGTGATATCAGTAGCGTTGCGAGCTACGGCTAACCAGCTGTTCATCGCAGCCTAATCGTGCAGGGTATGTTCACAGCACCCAAATGTCCTCGTACATTACAGATGTCACCATAGCATGGGCGATATTAATTATTAAATATTAATATGTCAAAAACGAAAGGTTGCATTTCGGTTCTACGCAGGCAACGCTAAAAGATCATCCAATTTCTTCGCGATCCCAACTCTTCCGCAAATCAGATAATGCCACTTTGTATGACATTCTAGATGTTTCACACGCCAGTGAGATAAAAATTTAATAACAACTGTTGAGAAACGCCGGCGACTCATGCCACTGTATTTTCGTTTCAAATCAAAAATTTCAATTCTGTATTATATTATAATTATTGTAATATTATATCATCAGTAAAAAATCGTTTTGTTGACCAACTTATACCACAGTAGTGGTATTCATGTCTCATGCTTAATCAATCACCTATTTATTGTCAATACGCGGAGTAATAAAGTCGAGCTTAATTTAATAAGGAAATCTTAGCGCATCGTGACCGCTCCTGTCTTGGATGTGCTGTATTTCAGCATCGGTGTTTGCCAACATGATCTGCGACATACTGTAGTCGCGCAACGGCGAATACTCCACTTCCGGTCCGGTTTTAGTGAGATTTTTCACAAATAATTCTGGCGATGCCCATGAACTGATAGTACCATAAGCACCACTGCCATAAGATAGGTCACCACGCAGAGCTGCAGCGGAAGGCATAGAACAATGCATACTTCTATGCATTTCCCCTGGAAGCCGTTCGAATGGTGATGCGGGAAGCGCCCGCGGTCCACGGTGAGACGCCGCATTTGCTGCCAAAGACACTGAAAAAAACCCTGTGCAGTGAAAGGTGTAAATGGACATATGAACTTTACTCCTGGACTTCATCGTTATTCGAATTTTCACATGCAGAATATTCACAAAATTAAACGAAAACCGATATTTTGCAAATAATTCAGAAATCATTTAATTAACCACGTACTGTATATATATGAGTATAGAACAGAAAGAAAGAGATTCAACAATATTACAAAAATTAAATTTACCATATAAATAATTGTCGTGCCTACGTATAGTGTGCCTGCATTACCATTACGTGGCAGTGCAAAATGTAATATACGAACTGTGGCTGCGCAGTTTTTTTAAATTGTGCATGAACAATTTAAAATTACTACATACTTTACTCGCAGTCGGTTCTTTGAATTTTATTATTGATGCAGATCATACAGTTACTAGCCCTTTACATTGATTGAAATTAGGGACAGGATCTCCAAAGGTCAGGTTGACCACCGGAAGTGACGTATACGCCTCCGGGTTTTTTAATACTCGCGACGGAATTTTCTTGAAGGATGTCACGGAATTTCCGCTAGCATTCCGGAATTTCGCCGTTTTCGATGAACAGGATACATTACTCATACTTTGGCTACTGATTTTTGAGCGCACCAAATGATTCCGAGCGCCCTGAAGCTGATCAGGAGCAGGCGGTCCAGTATACATTCCGCGCACGTCAGGATCAGTTTGTAAATCTCTCGGCGATGTGCCTGCCATGTAATTTCTCGGTGACGCATTAGTAGGAGATACAGGGTGGTATAAACTGAACTGCGTTGGTAGCACGGCCACTTCGAATTGAGAGGGTTCACGTGGTGACCTTTGTGAATTTGTGTCTGAGTTGTCGTCATTTCGCTGTGTTCCCGATCTCGCGGCAAAACTTGGATCAAGATTGAACAAATAAATTGCTGCTTCAGCATCGCCACTCCATAACCTGCGCGTAACACAAATACAACTATCAGAGAAACCGTCAATACGGCCGTCAACCCTTTCGATCCCGAGTCAAGAATTTAACGGTTTTAAAGTTTTAGAAGTTTTAAGACTTAGCTCACTTTGCACCTACAGTGAGAATTTCAGAAATACCTTTTTTGCATGCATTATGTACAATTGTACGATATCTATGTATCGCAATCGTAGATCATACTTTTTTGTAATACTCTAGCTATTTTGTTAACGATCGTTACAAAATAAACCCAAATAGTAATAATGTTAACTAAAACGAATTCACCTTTAATTTACTAACTTACGCTAAGGGAAATAATAACTAATTTTTCTTCAAAAATAAGTATTCAGAGAATTAATCCTTTCATTTTTACAGAATGACGAAAAATACGAGTTAGACTGGTCTTGCCCAAAATTATAGGTAGTTTCGTAGTTGTATTGGTAGTTACTGGTAGTACGTCATCAGACTAGTACTGATGACGTTTGATTTCAAATTCGTTTAGGGAAGCGTTTAGGGAAACGTTCAAACGTTTAGGGAATTCAAATTTTTTAGTTACTTTTTGAAAAAATCATTTTGGAACTGAATGGGCAGATACGTACGTAAGCGCGCTTACGTACGTAGACTAATTATACGAATAATCATGCTATCTTTATAATATTTGACACGAAAGAATTATTCCAGTAATATTTACGTTTATCATATGCATACCTACTAACCAAGTTCGTAATCTGATTATAACGATGTTCCATTAGCTGTATTCGATAATTAGCTGCCATTAAATCTGATTCAAGTTGCTGGATCTTTCCTGAGCATTCGGTGCAAGAATATCGTGGGGTTCCCATTGTCTTGAATTCTTGTAGTTTAGAGAATTACCAGGTTTATTAATGTCAGGATTAATAATGTAAAAAAATTTATGAATTGATTGATCAATGTTAATCGATAAAATATTTATAGATCAACGTTGTCCGTAGTATAAGTTTATTGGTTGACGAAGAAAACTGCACAGTCAGTAGAAAGAACAACACGAATAACTGATGTATATTTCTGATTTAAAATAATTGCAATAACATTGTACGTACTGATCACTAGCTTAGTATTTCTTTTGCCAAATTAATGAATAATAATGTCTAAAAACTTACGGTACTAGTAATAATATTTTAATAATAGGGTGCATGCGTAGGGCTAAATTATGTTACTTATTCATTTTTAGTCGCATGATTTTGCTCTTGCAGTTAGTAGCTTACAACCGGTTCAAATACAGCTTAAGTCATACATTTAAGTAACTGTGTAATATGCTACGAGTAATTATTACGAGACCGTGCATGCGCCATGCAGAGCTTATATTATGTATTGTACTGCAAAGCATTGCAAACCTCTGGGGAATTACTGCACGTTGTATGATGAAGTAAACGATTCGTATATAAATACGAATCTCTGATATTATTATCCAGATTATTCTGTCTTAGCTTATGTGTTTTTAAAATTTTTGTCTACTGAATTCTTGAGCGAAGAGAACGTTTGGTGCACATGCGTGCAAAAATTGCAGTTACAGCCCACTACGAGTAGGCTGTAATATCAGGATTCGTGACCCGTACAACAGTTAAAAGAACTGTTTTACGTGACTTTGTTGTTGTTTTACATGATTGTGGTTGTTTTTGTTGCACAATATACAGGGAAGTTATTACTTACAAGGATTATTAATTTTTTACATGGCAGATTCTTCATGAGAAACCTGGCAACTAACCTAAAACCAATACCACCTGTATGTTTAGAGTTAAAAATTTAGGCTTTAGAAAACTTATGCGATAGACGCTGCTTGCAAAGACAGTAAAAATAGGCACTAGCACTTCCTTAATAAACCTAATTACTGAGTGACAACTGTTGAATAAATAATTAACATTCTAACAAAATAATTCAAGTTCCAGTACGGAATTTTCGGCTTGATAAGTTTGTCGCAGTAATCCGCAGGAAGTCTAAAAATACTGAACTGCACATTGACGACATTGTTCGATGGACAGACCAGATCAAAGAATCTACAGATATAATTTATATCAGTTCATGAATATTTCATGAATATTGAATTAATTACTAGTACAGTTAATATTTTCCTTGATTTTGAATTTTCCCTGCGGTGAGAAAATTTTATGTAACATGTCCGATTATAAGGAAGTCGCTCTACATGTTGTAGGCGCCAACGTCACCTGCTCGTCCTTGCTGTTTGATAATGTATTCCAGCATGTTAAGAAGTCGGCAGAAGAATCCAAACAATTTTTCAGTTGTATTCAATGCTCCGAATTGTTTCACGGGGATTTTCTGGGCAGCGCGAATGATGGGAACGGGGTCACACCAGATGCACTACTTCTGGTATGGGAAGTGGACCGGGTTATGCAGCAGCGGCACTGGGAAAACTTACTCAACTTCGTAAGCAAATATTCAAGTAAGCTAAGGCTTTTCCACGCCCTGATCCGAGGCAAAAACAAAAGCTAAAAATTTTAAAAATCTAGAAAAATGTTTTAATCTGTATTAACATTTTGGGCATAGAACATTACTTACGATTTTCGGTGTTCACCTTAATAATACGAATAGGCCAGAAATGGCGACGCTAGATGCCACAGCACTACGATGTTAGCATGTGCATTCTGCAGCAATCGCTACATGCTGTCAAGAATAAAGTAAATTCTTATGGTTAGCAAACTACCAAAAGGTGCTGAGCGTATAACTGCACAAAAGCGGGACATACGTATGCGGGTGCGTCGGGACATACGTATTAATAATGCTTCGCATGATTAAGCTAATGCTTCAAATTGTAAAAGGATTATTCCTAACGGGTTGTAGGCCGGAATCCACTTCCCGTTGTCGTCATTGCCAATCTGAGTGCCCGAATCCTAGCCAGTTCGGTGGACTACTTGCACAGATTATCCCGTGACATACACTTCCTGTGTGATTTTTCCTTTTCCCATACACCATCGAAGTACTGTTGGCGGATGATGATAATGCGGGATAATCATTTCCAGCATGGATATTTCACGGAGCAACTGCAATGGTTGTACGAAAAAAGCCGTCACCACCATACACTGCCTATAATGTGGACAAAGCATGCAGCGTTGACGCATCGATTGAGCTGTGGTTTATTGGATATACAGGCCGCCAATCATTTGCAACTGCAGGTAGATTTTTTCTACGAGTAATTTGGTCCTACCGTGAAGAGCACTAAATACTAAATATACTAAATACTAAATTAATAATAACCATATACCAAATTTTCCAATAATCATACTAAATTTCCAGTTATTAATAGATTTTATTGTGGGTTGTACATTTACACATTTACAGAAATCCTCCGCATTGACCGTGACCTCAAAATCAGCACACTGGTTCAGTGGCTTAGATGGACGAGCATTTCTCACCAAAGTCTGCGATGGACTGCTGGCGCGTTTAACCACACGGCAATTCGAAGAACTAATGAAAAATCTAACGGAGTCCGTTATACAGATCGAAAGAGTGCTGGGTAGTCAAGAGTGGAGCTACGGTGAAGTAGAGCTGATGTATACGGAAGAAATTATCTGTTATCCGAAACTCTCAGATGGCTCTTCGTATCGTTATGTTGTGCCATTGGCCTCACCGTTGCAAGTATGGGAAGCCGGTTTACTGGTGCAGTTTGCCATTCCCATGATCCGACAACAGAATGCCGGGAATAATGAATTTACCAGAAACCGAACCGAAATAACTTACTCATAAGCATTTCGTGAACGTTTTTGTTCTTCTCATTTACCGTATTCGTATGTCACCGAGAAAAATAAATTATCAGTTAACCAAAACTCATGGTATTTTGAATTTCCCAGTATTAATTATCACGCTTCACAAAATGCAAAATTAAATCTGTTTAGAAGAACTATGATGGTATTTTAATTCCTGAAAAACAGAGATGCAGTCAAAGTTGTCAAACCATTAATGTTTCTGCAAAAGCGGACAGTTATTCATAGGAAGCAAGTCTTTCCAGTTTCCCATTATTCGCTGCTTTTGAACGGCCTGGGAAATGCCTTCAGTTGTGACATAGTAATTAATCGCTCCTTCATTTTTTCAATATCCAACGACAGAACGTGACGGACGTTGCGTTTTCCCTCCGCCGGCAGGCAGTAATTCCGCTTGTCCACGACACACTGACCGCGCGTATATTTGCCGGACAGTTCGACGCGGGTGGGCCAGATCTGCGAGCGCCGGCAAATGGACGGATCGATACAAACCGCCACCGCCCATTCATCGCACATCGTCATAGCCATGTTCTCCGGGTTTTCAACGTGTTTCGACCGCAGATACTCGATAACGCGCTCGTGGATGCGGTGGAGGAAGTGGCCTTGCGGGGTTGGCTGCTCGTTGGTGTTGTAGAATTTGTCCAACCATTCCTGCAAATGAATTCAGTTACTTCGAGCGCAAAAAAAAGTTTCTGATGGGAATGTGCAGTCATCCTGCTGCATTTAAAATTGTGGCTCCTTCGCCTATAGAGAAAAAACTGTCTATTTCAGGGAAGCTTATGCTATTTCTTCGATCTGAAGTGTGTGTGTCTGTAGGCAAATACAGCATTTTTACGCCCTTGCGTGATCTACTACCATAATGCCATTGCACTACGATTACCTCTAATTTCATAATGTTGTCGCTTAAACCAAATGCTCAAAAATTCAACAAATATGTACACAGTAACCTATATATATGGCAGTCAGTACAGTTAAAACTGCAATGTATGGAGTTAATTGCGAATTTGCTGGCTTCAGTATATGGACGTAATCGGTAGCGCAACGGTATCTCTTACCGATTTAAACTGGTTTTCGGGCATCAGGCACACTTCCCACCCGACTGTCGTTACCGGACACTCCGCACCACTCAACACAATACTGGCCGCTTCCGGATCATAGTAAAAATTGAATTCACCAGATGCTGAATGATTGCCTTGACCTATAGTAACAATTTTGCAAATTTTAATCGACCGGAGCGTAGCGGAGGTCCTCTTAATTCAGGACCAATGCAAAAATGTATCTGTGTCCGTTACGAAAGGTTGTTACGAAAGGTCATTACGAAAATGTTGCTGGCTGGTTATGTTGTTAAGTAAAATTATTGATTGTGTTAATTGTTAAGAATGGTAGCGCAGTAGCTGCCGCGCTCCGGTCTGTCAATGCACGCCAACGTGCATTTTTCTTAGTCTATATTTTAACAGTTCTCTAAAATCGTGTTAGCTGAAGTTCCATGCAGATCTACTGCACCATTCGAGCAAATCGCTTCCAGACAACATAGACAGCTGCATTCGCACCTTCATGATTTCCGCCCATGATGACTAGTTCTTTCAGGTTCTGTGTGAACTCCGCATCCAGCTTCATGGCGAGGGCCACATTGGTCAGCGGTCCCAAGCACACAAGAGTGCATTCTTTCGGATAGCGTTTGGCCAGATTAATCAATCCCACCGCCGCAGGCTCAGGCTGCAGTCTGACTTCCACGTCGGGGTACACATGCGGATCACAGTCACCCAGACCGTCGTGTCCGTGATAGAAGTTCGCCGATTCGGCATTGCCAATGAGCGGAGCAGCACAACCCCGGTATACGAGAACCTACGATGCGATATCAACTGTTCAGAAATATGTTCCATGACAAAACTGAAATTACTTTTTTTAAGAACATTTCAGAAACTTTGCCGATATGAGGCTAGCATAGAAACTTACGTCACGCCGATCGGTGACCGTCAGGACTTTGGCAGTATTTTTGCAAACTGAAAGAAAACACAGAAGTATAAGCCGTTATGGGAAATGTTTTTTACAAACATGGATCGTCTAGTTAACAATGTCGATATATGCGAGTTTAGCTCGATTTTTAGACTTAAACGTATATGCAATTCAGCAACTGCAATCAGCCTATTCATGATACATGCAAAATGAGAAAATTATTCACAAGTATCGGTACCACATTACAGTTATTCGCCAAGTCCTTCGCACTCTCAGCATACTGGTACAGTTTACTGCCTAATTGTTTGCCTAATTGCTGCTTGCCTGACTGATTGTTTACTGCCTAATTTCAAGTTTCGATGGATCTTAATAATTACCGTTATCCAGAACTGTATTCCCTCCCACACATGTCAGCGCAATAACATCCACCGTCGGTTCCGCCAAGGCCAGCAAGATAGCTTGCGCGTCATCCGTGCCACAGTCCGTATCAATAATGATTTTCCTTCTGATAGAAGCAGGTGCGGCGACTAGGGACTCCATTTTTTGTAAATCAAAACAACACCTTTACTTGAAAGAAACTCGCCACTAGACACCAGCACTGAAGCATTAAGCGTGCGCATCCAGCTTAAACTGATAATTCAATTTCTTCGATTTCTTACGCACGTTCCACTTACTGTACCACCTGCTCATCGTCTCGTGAAAAGTTGTTATCTGGCTGATGGCAACTTGGCAGTGTTACTATCGCTTTGGTCAATACGGTTATCAAATTCACACTTCGCAACCAAAAAATCTCCAGAAGCGATGTGATTTCGGCTTTGCCCGTATCGCGATCACATTCAGAGATAATTTCCGTATATTGCTTAACTTACAGCTTAAATAAGTTATTAACTGCAGGCAAATGCAAAACATTGCAGGCAAAACTACGCCATGTTAATAAATGTTGGGAAAAAATGCTAAACAGTAAACACGAAGCTCTCAAAAGAAAATATTTTTGGTATACCAGGGTACGTTCTCAATCCAACAAACAATATGAGCTTGCACGCGCGGACTACCAACCAATTGAGTGATCACGTCTACGGGCTCGCCTAACGGAAAGCCGACCAAAAACCAAAAAGTCTCTCAGGCGGACGCTAATAGTGGACAATGGTCGTTCGCGGTATTTATTCATTTTTACCTTGCAGTGTTGGTCGAACAGATTTGTTTATTATCACGGGAATACATACCGGTAATTACTATGCAGTTTGTTACATGATTGTGATAACGCTACTTTTACATGTACATGCAACAAGCTATAAGTACCGCGGATAATTAGTACAGACCTTACGAATTACCCGCGGTATTTTATTAAACTACCACAGCTGCAAGTCATTAGAGTTCGGTATGATGTCGTTCGAGCAAATAGAGTATAAGTTCGGAGATCAAGCGTCTATGTTGATCCTGGGTGCGTAAGTAAGCTACATACGTAAAAAGCAGATTTATGCAGCAGTGTTGTGAGAAGTTTGTTAATCGCAGCGATATTGCCCAAAAAAGGACTCCAGCATTCGATGTATCTGCATAAAGATACTACCTTGGTGCCTGTTAATTACCGAATTACGCAGAGTAGAAATACGTTTATCAACATTTTCTGACAAGGACACGGCTTACCGATCTTGCAGCCGGAAGCGTTATTGTATTTTATATATAAGAACAGCGATCTGTCATCAATTGAACCATCATCACGTTATTACTTGTCCGGAAAGACGGTAACGCGTCACAATGCAAAGTGAAACGATCCTCGAATAATGTAACTGGTCATTTAGAAAAAAAACTTATCTAAACATACAGATATGTGCATAAAAAACAAGAATACGAGTACTGTACACGCACATGTATTAAGCAAACATCAGTATTTGCCGTTGCTGGCTGTGAATATCATGGGACGTTTCTCATCATCCGGGGCTACGATGTTTCCAGCTTTCTCCATAGCTTTCTTCAAAATGTCACTGATGCGGAAGTTTTGCTTTGCTCTCGAGAACCCTTTTTCGTCGGCGATGTTCTTGTTGGGATTCTTTACATATATGTAGGCGCAAATGCATCCAGATACCGCAGTCAGCAGCGCAACCAGCCCGATGCACATATGCGCCACTTTCAGGGGTGTTATTAAGCTGCTAAGGTCAACGCATTCAGGAAGATGTTCTTCACAGAAATCCCATGCCGTAATGTAATAAAGTCCAAAGTTACAGCCTCGCGTAACGCAGTCCAAAGTGTTAGTAAGTAACATGACAACAACAGAAGCCAAACCAGCCAGCATGCTTAATCCGAAAACGATTTTCAACATGGGTCGACGATTTTCAGCCTGCTCACCCACAAGTATGGGACAACCTGTATAAACCGCAGAAGCACCCGCTGCGACATACAGGACAGCGGTGACGATGCGGATTGCCAAGCCGTTGGCATTGATGTGCACTCCAAGGGGTTCCATCCGTCGGATATGCAAGCTAGCTGCAAAAACGAGTTTTTTCCCACATATAATTCGAAATCGAATGGATTAGGTGCTTACTGACAAGATCCAGGATCGCCAAGCTGAGACCACATAGTCCAACAAATAAACCAAATGTTATCAACTTTGGACTATATAGTCCGTTCTTTTTTATGGAAGCAGCCATTACGTCTCTCTTCCTCACTCAAGTACTGCTTAGCAGCAACCGTATATTCCAGCAATTCCACGCAATGCTTTTCAACAGTCTTCGCAATTTTAAGAATGATACACGAAATGACGAAGGTATCGCTTTTTGGCTTGGACTTTTGTAGCGCACTTGTGATGATACCCTTTAATTATAGGTATGAAACACGCATGCAATCATATCATTTCATCGAATCAATATGCAGAATAAATAATAATTATTATAAGACTATTTCGTTTGAAATTAACTGAATGTGCCGCGCGTGTATAATCGATGAGTGTACAACTCACATTCCAGTGCATATCTGTTGATTTCACGACCTTGTTCGAATGTAAATCTGTTGGCCACGTAGAAAATTTATGAAAAGCCGATATCAATACAAACACTGCTTGATCTCGATAACGATAACCATGTATTTATGTATCCGATGAACGATACAACCGCCATAAACACAAAATTGTTCAAACTCGCCAGTTGTTCAGCTTGTATAAGGAAGTCTACAAACTACAGTGCATGTAAAGCCGGTCATGTACAGTATTAAACTGAGTAAAGGAAGCCACAACAACGTGTCCTCCACCGATTGGTTTGACGCAGACGGTATAAAGTAAAAGCAGGCATTTGCGGATGCCGAGGAGTTTTGACATGCGTATTCAGCCAGCACAGCTGAATCATTTAAGTAACTGGTGATATTGGTTTGTGCATTGTTGATTCTGACATTCTGTAACAATCAGTACTTGCTGGCACTCGTCAGGAAAACCACTCCACTTTTCTCGTCACTGGTTACAGCTACGCTTGCTTCGCCTGCCTCCACAATCTTTTTAACAGCATCGCTGACCACGAAACTTTCCGGGGATACCAGCAACGGTTCCTCATCAGAACTGGAGGTTGTAGTCGTTGTCGAGGCGTGCATGTACGCCAAAGTGCATTCAGTTACCGAACATACCAAGACGATTCCGGCAATGCAGCTTATAACTGCTATTCGAAGTGTTAGTAGACTGGTAACGATATCGGAGCATCGATATTGCTTGCAATTCAATTCAGATTCGTAGTAGGACTCAAAAGTCGTGACGACTAAGAACAGCGCCAAAGATGCAAAAGCGGCTAGGAGGTTCAACCGGACAACTGCATGCAGCAAAGCTTGACGGTTTTCTGCTTTTTCATCGGCATTCAAAGGTCGGCCAGTGTAAATTTCGGCAACACCCAGTATGACGTAGATCACACCAGCGAAGGTATGAACAGCTAGCGCCCAGATATCGTAAATATACGCTCCCCGCCGCTTGAGTTCAATACCACCTAAAATTTTGAAAGTGAAGCAATACCCTTACAATAACGTCATTTTCATGGCCATGAAAACAACTTACTAGCAGTGTCTAAAATCATTAAAGCTATTCCACACAGTATCACCAGGGCACCAAATAACAGCAATCTTGGCCGGAATAATTCACGCGGCTTTGGAATGGGAGTATTCATGCTGTTTGGTTTGAATAAGACAGTAATCGATCACCACTTAATTAATGGTGGTCATGAGAACGATCAACTACGTTTATAGGTAACAGTTCATCGAAACGTATGTAGGAAAAACTCCGTACTTATCCAATTAGGGTCATGTATCTAGGGTAACATTTGGATTAGGTGCGCCGATTTCTGTAGGGTGGATCGGTCTGACAATTAGTTCGCGACAGGACGTTTAAATCACCATTGGCGAATCTAATAATAGTGATTTTCGAAAGACAAATGCTGTAAATGTACAAAATTGCAGAAGAACGTTTGCGAAAAGCTGATACTGTAGCCAGCGAGTAGGGTCAGTTTTAACTTGTTTGTTGCTGTCGTTCCCGTACTACCCGGTAGCTTTGATGTTGTATGCGACAGAGATAGCGTAATCTTGCCGACTTGAAAATTTGCATTACAGGCTTTGTTTGCAATCTATGTATAGATACACCCCGAAAGGTTCAGTATAAACCTTAATTCCTACCGGCAAACATTGATTAAATTTGGACGTTCCAACTGCTGAAGACTACGAGTAGAAAACGAACAATAAATACCGGCTTAGCGTATTATTTTCGGCGTAAAGTACCAGTATGTACAATGAAAACCAAAATGATGCATGTATGCATGCAGCAAGCTCAACATTGCGTACTTTTCCTTCTCCTGGTCGGCCAAGCATACCGCGATGTCTTGTTGTTCCCGCGAGGTTATACCATCGATGGCGTGTAGAATGCCGTAATTCTGTATTTTGGGAACGAATCGGTGGACAAACGCCGTTCCGCGCAGAGATGTTGGAAGATTGGTGCATAAGTTCAGCGATTGTGAATACCGGCCGTCTTCCACCAATCCGAGAGCGTCACGCTTACTGTATGAGTACGTGAAAACCACTTGGAACAGGGAGTGCACTGTGCCGTCGTTAGCCTCGCCAGACACGCCGGTGCGATCGGGCTGGTGCGAAGTGTGAAAGTTGATGGTTGAAATTTTAAAATAGTAAATTAAACAGCGATTAATTAAGTACTGCCCAACTGAAATTTTTGGTTGTAAAAACTGATGCCTGAAATATTATCTGGCAAAAATCACATTAAAATTTTGGCAATTAAGTTCAATTTCCCTCCAGCTTGCCACCGAAATTTATTTTAGCATCACCATCAGCCACTGGGTCAGTCGTAAATGCAGTAGCACCTGCTTCGATTTGGAAAGAACAACAACATAATTGTACGAAATAGGTATACAATTTGTAGTCAAAACACTGCTGATTTTTGAAAGACTAACTATTGCGAGTGCAGTATCATCATAATTGCTGACAATGATCTTACTAAACCTTGCTGGATCCAGCAAAGTGTGCTTAATTTCGAGTTCTTCGAAATCCAAGAAGCATTGTTTCTGTACAGCTGGCAGCATGGAAGTATACAAAATCCGGTATACTTTCGGCACGTACCGTACGCACCTCGGTTATTCGAAATAACCAAGCGGAAATCGTAGCTGTTTGCTGGTCAACTGCCATAGTTTGAATGCAAAATCGTTTTGCTGGTCAACTGCCATAGTTTGAATGCAAAATCTTTTGCCGCAAAGTGTGCATTTCCGGCCCCTTTTTTGGACTTTCAGACGACAGCGACGTCCGTCTAACAGCAACTTGACAATCCGAGTAATCTGTCTGAAGCAGCAGGGCACGTTTGCTATCTCCCACTGGTCGCTGATCTACTTGGGGTAAATTTTTACTTCTCCAGCTGTGTAGTCACAAGTGTACCCTCAACCGGCCAAAAGGTCATGATCATACAAATGATGCTATCAGAATCAAAGCGGGCATTCGCGGATTTTATTGGCAAGGATTTCTTTAATTTTTTTACACGTGTATTTTGCACTACATTATGGGTGTCAGCACAATTTTCATCTAACTGGTGATATTGGTATGTTCGATTTCAATATAGTTATTCATCATAAGGACCATACAATATTATTCATCCAAACAATTTATCCTGGACTTCCATGAACCAATATAAGCTCGATCCTCTTATTTGTACTTAATAATTGTGCTTGCTTTGGTTATCTCCACAATCTTCTTCCACGACGTCTCTGACCACTAAGTTTTCGGAGGATTCCAGTATGCGATCTTGATTAGAAGTGATAATAATGATGTTTGGTTTCTTTGCGTAAATGTGAGCCAAAACACACTCTGTTATCGAACATACCAAGACGATTCCAATCAGGCAGCATATAACTGCCATCCTAAGCGTTGTCAGCGTGCTAACGATATCGGGACTTCGGTATTCTCTGAACATCAATCCCGAGTCGTAGTATGGCTCGAAGCTCATCACGGCAATTAAAAGCGTTAAAGATGCCAAAGCGGCAAGAAGGTTCAGCCTAACAACTATGCCCAGTAAGGCCTGACGGTTTTCTGCTTTTTCATCAGCATGCAAAGGTCGACTAGCGTAAATTTCAGCGTTACCCGCTACGATGTAGATCAGACCAGCGAAAGTACGAACAGCTAACCCGCTGACTTGAAAATACACTCCTTCCCGCTCAAGTTCAGTACCAGCTGAAATTTCGAAAATTTTCTTAACTTCATGGGCTAATTAATTATGGAAAAACAACTTACTGACAATGTCCAGGATCATTAAGCTTAATCCACATAATATCGCCAGCACTCCAAAGAGCAACAATCTCGGACTGAATAATTCACGCTTCGAAACGGCAGTATTCATGCTGCTAAATTTGAGCAAGGCGGTAATCGATCACCACCTGTAGCGGCCACGAAAATGATTGAGTGCGCTTGACTGAACCGTGGTCCATCGGAAAACCATAATAATTAATATAATTAAAGAATTCGTTCGAATTAAGGGTTAACATTTAGGCTGTATTCCGCGATTTCGATAGCTAGCCAGAAGCATTCTGACAACATTTCCCGACAAAGACATAGAAATTAAAAGGGTTCAGGTATTACTAATGACCTTTAAAGTAATTTGGTTAAAGGTAAATTTACAAACGCGATATATAAGTACCGTAACTGTGTTACGTAACTTACGTTTAAGAACAGTTGTAACAGCTGCGAATGGTGGAATTTCTCGTTGCGCTTGTTGGGTGCCTTTTCCATACTCGATCTCTATTCTGCAGACTGCAGTGCGACTGTAGTGACAGTGCAGTCTTCACGTTAGTCAGCTTATTATGCGACTAAGATATCGCAGTCCTGCCGACTTGTGGATTTTTAATGTCATTGTGACGTAAATGAGTGGATAGTAATAATAATTATTACAACGTAAGGGTTGAACGTACAATACAATACAACTGTACGGCGCTACACTCTTTTGATATTATCATTCTATACAAGTACTATACATACTGTATTTTTATACGTACTTATTCCACCTTATACTCCTGTTTTCGGCTCTTTCTTCCTGTTGCGTTTATTGCCATTATTGTTAACTGTTGTAAATGCTTAAGTATATGAATCGAAAAAACAAATTTGTTCTAGACAGAGTAGATAGATTCGGTAATCCAGTCGAGTACGTGCGCTATCCGACCATAAACTCCTGGATAACCGGGCTGAGCGCAACCTCTGAAATAAAAATAACACTCAATGTCGTGATTTTCCTGCAATCTGTGCTTTTATCAATCCATAGGATTTACATACCGTCCCCACGATGTGACCCCGACCAAAACGAATCCCGGCTGGCCATCGGCGCGATCGCAGACAAGTGGGCCACCACTGTCGCCTTGACATCTACAAACATTTTACTTAACTTACCTGGATGTGTATTCCTGTACCACTGCTTATTGAAAACTCACAAAGCGTTTAGCTGTCTTAAATAAACTCGAATCTGGATACTGTCAGAAGTTTGTTCTCACGTGTCTTTGCCGGGTGCAGCCGCACAAACCATACTGTCGTCGATAACGCCATTGTAGGCCGAATTGCAGTACGATGACTCAGTAATGGTGACATCTACTTGGTGGACAACGGCTGTTCCGCGTAGTGCGTGAACTGTGCTTTTCGATCGGTGCGCAGTGTCAGCGGTTACGAGAAGGCTATCCACCACCAATCCGAACACATCACGTTTGCGCGCATTGCCCCAACCGGTGACATAGCACCTGGAGCCGGGTGTGCCGTCGCTAACCGAAGCCAGACACACCGGCGCAATCGTGCGGCTGAACTTGGTTGGCTAAAATTTCGAATTTTAGAGAAAATACGAGTACGTATGAAAGTACACGAAAAGTAAAGTTGAGAGCGGTTAATATCACACTGAGAAGCTTATATACTTATACATTAAATTAATTGTAAAATATTCAAGACTGAGAGTGATATACGGTGCCGTAAATATGTCTATTAAATTTTGACAAAGAAGTTCTTTTTCCCTTCAAATTACTGGGAACAGGGATTCAATACAGTAGTGCCTATAGTGTATACTTTAGCACTTTTGCTGATGACTAAAATTAATCAGCAGAAATAAAAATTTCAGATTAAATAACATTAAATAAATTAGATTAACATTAAATAAATTTCAGTTATAATCGATTTAGTCAGCCGTAATTGGTACCCATTTAATTTGAAAAATAAATAAAAACTTTGCTCACGGTCAGGTTTGAAAAATTTGAAACACTGTTATGAATTCACGAAAGATCATTATCGTGTTGCGTTCATTTGTGGGGGGTATTGTTCGCGAGTTTTGCTATTTTGGCTGAAGCCAGTGAGCCTTTTCACTACGATCGAGTACATCGATCGACAAAGCGGCAGCATCTACGTAATAAGTAAACACACTGTACGCACCTCGTTCAATTCTAATAAACAGAAATCGTAGCTGTTTGCCGGTCGACTGCCATAGCTAGGATGCAGAATGATTTGTCGCAAAGTGTGCATTCTGGACCCTTCTTCCGGGCTCGCATAGCGGTGTCCTCCTAACAGCACTTTGGAATTCAGAGTAGTCTGTCCAGAACAGCAGTGGGCGGCTGTCATCACCCACCGGTCGCTGATCTACTTGAAATTAAATTCGGTACGACTTAATTACAAAGAACCAGAACCATCCAATGCAAGCGTGGCTGACTGCGTTAAATGCGTACTTACCAGTGAGCCGCCGCAAAACTGAGAGCCACTGGATGACAAAAACGCCACCTGCCATGGCCAACTGTGGGGAATACACTCCGCCCCGCCTACAATACGAGTTAAGTTCAGATCCGGTGGGATGGGAGGAATGCCGCACTCCGCATGACAATACTGTTCGTCAGCGTTGCCGGGACATTCATTGGAGACAGTGTTGCAGTACGCGGAGGGAGCAACGCAAACGGTTTTGTCGCTGGGACATGGATTTGTGCCCAGCGGACAGGGATCGACTGTTAAGAAAATGATAACTCAAATCAACTTCTGCTCAAGATAAAATAAAGACCCTGACGCTGTCAGCAACAATGAATTCGACGTCATTGTTGTTGACGCTAATTAAGTATAGTAACATTGACTATTAACTAATATACTACCTTATTACATTGGAGGATGTGTAAGTATGTAGTCACACTAGTCAGTCACTACAACGTCGTCATTTGAGTTCGACTGTGTGTAAGTATGTAGCCAATCACAACAGTGCCCGGAATACAATAAAGGTGACAAAAATTTCTGAAAAACCCTTTTTTGCCTAGTGACCTTCGATAGAAACGTTGAATCCGCTGCCTTGAATGTCATCGTCGGATCGAAAAACGATGGTCTGTGTGAAAAAGAGTAAAGAGGTCATGTTTTATACGCGCCATGACAGCCAAAGCGCAGTGCATAACCTAATTTGGGAAAACATTCTACGTACGAGGCCGTTCGTGACGCTGCGAACCCGGTTAGGTCCTTTTCCGGAAGACCTTGAAACTTCTGTGATAATCCCGTTGACAGTTTCATATAATGCCAGAAAATCGAAGTCACTTTCGGAGTCAAAGGTCACAGTGTTCAACTACACAGCAAATTCAGAGGTTGCATCTTATATATTGCAGCTGGCGTCAAACTGTAGTTCATGCTGTTCCCAAGTATTTTGTTAACACCGACCTGAAGACCTTTTCCAGTCGGTCCAGTCACAATCCAAGTACAGTCAAGATTATTGGAATACGTAGCAGGGAAACCCGGCGAAAGAAGGAATGCAGTTTTTCCTTCTTCGACGTCAACATCACCTCCACAGGCGTCACCGGCTATACACACCGCATTAAAGTTAAGATCGCTAAAACCAGGACTAAGAGCCAAGAATAACATACTTTAACTCCATATTATTTTCACATTTATATTTCACACATATATTCACATTTATTTTTCAGGTTTATATTTAGTTGTATTTTAACATTTGTATTTAACTACACATTTATATTTTACTTAATTACAGTATTCAGTACGGTAGTAACCGTAGTACGTAACTTACGTGTGAGGTCAGCGCCGATGCTGACCGAAACCTGGAATCCGATATCTGCAACGCTTCCGTCGGAGCGGAATGTAACAACCTGTATTTAAACCGATCGAAGTTTAGCAAATTACGCAGCAGTTAGCAATAAAGTACACAAATAATAACAAGGAACATCTCACAACTAAAGTGCCGGTTTGATGATTATTCGGTCCTTGTGCCCCACAGAATGCTGTTTTGCCAATTGTGAGGTGGTCCAGGTAACTACATGAGCCAAAACTGATACCAAAAGGAAAACCTTCCAAACCGAAGGTAATGGCATTAAACTGCAAAATTTTGATATTCAGCGGTCTTTAATTGATAATGTCCACGCATGCCGCAGTACATACGAGAAGTCCCTTTCCGGTTACCCCACGAACCGTCCATGTGCAGAGTGTATCATGAGGATAGACTTCGGGATAATTAGGTGACTGGATGACAACGGGACTGCTTTCGTCAACGGTTACGGTACCACCGCAAACTAAAATGACTGAGTGCCATGTTCGTTGATGATTCGTATTACAAACATTTTCTAATAGTTTTATTTTTAATGCTGTACATCCCACTCCGTATCTTAACTTTAGGTAGACATTTTTGAAAGCAGTTGATCAATCCAAACTTGTCTATACAACATGTTTATGGATGATACTTACCTTGTCCGTTTGCTGAAGCAGTTACTCCGACAGCGAGCAAAATAACAGCAACAACAAACATTTTTCGCTTTGACTGTGTAGGAATCAGCTCGAAACTTAAATAAGAATTGTATTTCTCAACTCCCGAGAACAATGTGTAATTGGTTCATCCGCTCTAATGCCGGCACTTTTAAATATGTTTAGGCTTTGATAAGGCAGTTACTGCTTATTTAAGTGTGCCGGTTATATTGTCGTTCTTTAATTCGTTAACGTATTATAAGTAGTTGTAATATCAGTTAATACTACACTTCTGGATTACCAAGTGCGCATATACCCTAGTTGATACCGTTTGCCTGGCCTAATAACAACTTTTATTTTGCCGCAGATTTAACTACTGAGCTTGGTTGGTTATCTAATTAGGCAACGCCACGATAATCAGCGCTTCTTTTTATGATTCTCGATCAATAGTCTCTGCCCATGCACCCACAGCGAGTTAACTGGCCTTATTAAAGGTCATGTATCTTTTCTGTACATTTCATTATATAGCATCGGCAAATCCAGGAAACTAGTCTGACTAACACGATGATGAATTTCATTAGCTAAAACTGTATTAATACAGCATTCTGTGGCTGATATCCTTTCTTTTCACCGTTCAACCAATATGTTAATATTGACTTGTGTTCGTTAATGTCAATCGGGTCGTCTCGGCGCACGGTGCTGAAAGCGGCCGTGGAATCCAGAAGCTTTTTCACCGCTTCGCTGATCTGGATTCGCATTGCTGTAAAATAGCACACTTGAGCAGTAAATAAAACTGTTATGGTGTTAACCAATGCAACAATTTAATTACATTTACGCGCGCAAAGACGTAACCTTTAATACTGACCTTGTGATGTAGATTCCATTTTGTGTGCAATGAGAATGGTTTCTCCAAACCTAAATCACATTACACCAAGAGTAAAAAACCGAAACTTTGGTTGATACATCGATAATCCGGCATAAGCGTCTTACAGGCAAAAGCGCGGCATTATGCGTCCGACAACACCAGCGAGGCATGGACCTGGTCAAAGGGCACCCCCATATAACAAGGTCACTACAATTCTTTAGCAAACTAGTTCCACAGATTTGGTTTACGCTTTTGCTTACCAGAATGAATCCCCAACCGTATACGCAGTTTTTCATTGGGACGGTGACGAATTTTAAATTGTTCCATTTCTTGTAAAAGCATTAATGCCAGGCGACTGACTTCGGTGCAGTGCTTCAGTCCATTGCGCACCGGTACACCAGAAGCTACCTACCAAATTAAATACGCACAGGATAGAAGATTATCGATTCAAGATTACCGACTTATAATGATCTATTACAAGTTATACCAGGTTGAATCCAAACAGCAAATGAATAGAAGAATAAGTTTTTAATTTTATGGTTTTATGTATGTGGACACTACGTTTTCGTAGTATTTCTACAAATAGGTACATATTTACTGTATATCTTTTGAAGCAGAGATGGCACTGGACAGAGAGGATTCCATAATAAAAGAGTTTTAAAGGAATCTATTTTGTTACCGCCGTAAGCTGCTGCACATAACACAGACCACAGATCACATTTAATTAACAATAATTTTTGGCATGTGCCTTTGTACTACGGTCGCATTAGGCCTAGTAATCAACATACCACATAGCAATCTCCTATGGTTTCCACCTAAAACGTGGTACAACGCATTTTTAAGCAGAATTTACAAATAGCAAGGCGATAGATTACCAGTGCTTAATTAAAAATCAGACCTTATAGGCGTCAAATTTCAAGATGCAACCGTCGAAGAGCGTGAACAGATCGTTGAGTAAATCTACCGTTTCTTCTGGCGTACTTTCGGAGGATATTGTGGTAAAGGATACAATATCGCAATATTGCACGGTCACGCTGTCGTAGCTTTCCGGTGGCACTGGTTCGTCCCGCTTTAGCTGATCTGCTATACTCCTAGTAAGTAAAACAGATACCGATATTTTTTTGGCTTTCTGGTTTACAGCTATCATTTAACAAAATGTTATGCACCTCGGTAAGATTTGATACAGTAGACGGTCGCTTTTCTCTTTTTCAATCAACATCAAATGGGTTTTTTCGTTTACTGCGTGCTCCAGATCCTGAGCATATTCCTCCATTTGGTAGATCAGTCGGTCAATCACAGTCAGATGATTACCCAAATGAGATCTGTGAGGAAATGGTTGCAAAATTAAGACAAGCCGGTGGATGACCTTTGGACTTTAGGAAGTAAATGGCTAGGTAGTTACTGACATTAGCAATAATTAGTTAGACCTGGCTACTCAGTACTCGCTAAGTGATTGTACTACAACCAGGCCTATGCCATGTGAACGCTTTACTTGAAAATATCCATGAGAATTTTGCGGACTTGTTGCAATCGGGGACGTTCCATGGGGTTTTGCGCCCAGCATTGTTTAATCAATACCAACAATTCCGGCGGAGCATTGGCTAGGTGGGCTCCTTCCAAACGCGGACGAAACTCTTTGTAATTTCGCTTCTGCAACTTGGCGATGATAACTGCCAAAATAAGAAACAACTTTATAATTAAACGTCCTTGCGTTGTAAGTACACTACTATACTAGTATTGTACAAGTATCTGTACTCAATAGCAATGACCTTCCGTCCGACCGCTATGTGACGGAGCAGGCCGAAGTGATGGACGCGGTCCGCTAGACCGACGGAAATCCGTTATTGTCCAATACTGAACGTCCAAATGAACGCATAGACACGGGGATAAAAAATGCCCCTTTTAATGTTAATCAATCGAAAAAATGGGGATATAAAAAATTGCGAGCATTTGCTGATTAAACGAGGACACCAACGCCAGTTCAGTTTCACAAAGCCATTTAATGCTTAAAGATTTGCATTTTGACAATGATATACGCTACACTACGATATCACACGTAATTAACTCTCGGTTATGTCCGCAAAAGGTTTGTTATCGAAATGTTTCACATCCCCAGTACAGCATAATGTTCTCTTCTTTTTCCTGTAAGATATACCTATCGTACAGCTATAATATTATGATACAGAAAATTATAACAACGGAAAACAAAAATGCCCGATTACGATAGAAATACAATACAAAGAATAATCTGTTGTCTCGAGTTCAACCAAAAATCTAGTCTCGCAACATCTAACGCACATGCCCCTTACCGGGCGGTGAAAGGTTATGCGCCATGAATGGTGTCTCCTCGTCACCGCCTCCTGCATGATAATGGCCAAGGAGTACACATCGCCTTCGGGACTACCGCTGTTGACTCCTGACATATTCAGGAATTCCGGTGGCGTCCACATGAGCGATTCAAAAACGCTGTTATCCGGAGATTTTGGCAGTTGCCGAGTGAAAAAGCTGGGTAGTCCATAATCAGCCACACGGCAGGTAAAATGTCCATCCACATAACAACACCTGGATGTCAGACGTCCGTGATACGACATCGCAGTGGACTGAATGGCCACCAACCCTTGAACGATATCCCGGATGAACGACAGAAGGAAATACTGGTCAAGTTTTATGGCGATGTTACTTAGAAGATCCTGTACAAATAAAACGAAATGTTAAAATTATTGCTTACAAATTAGTGGGCTCAACTTCAACCATTTTGCTTACCGGCATTTTTTCCACACTACTGTTGCTCTTACTTTTTTTTAATTTTGCTCGCTTAGTGTTTGCATTATTGTGTTTATTTTCTTATTGTTTATTTTTCTTGTTAATAATTTATTGTTATATGATTCACATATTTGGATTTACAAGTAATTAGAGGTGCTAATAACTATTTCGATTTATGTTATTTTTCAATTTATATTTGGCACATGAGCTTACAAATAAATTTCCTTTAGCGCAGTAATGGTACAACACTACCGCCCGGTGGGGTCCGTTACACAATCCTTGCAGTATCAAAATATTGGGATGATTCAGTCCCCGCGCCGCTGCAGTCTCCCGTAATACTCGGCGATTCATCACTACCAGCGGTACTTCACACAAGCGGACAATGGTTTTCGAGCCTTTCCACGTCGCCCCGATGGAATGCGGGGTCATCAGCAGCGCTGGGCCAGTCTGTAACGTAGCTACAGACAGCGGCGGCAAAACGATATCCTCATTTCCGGTTTGTAGACGATGCAGGGATTGGATGGTGTGGGGACGGGGCGTATGAACCGTCATCTTCTTGCTGCTGATGATGTAGTGTGGACTATCCAAATCCGACCAATTGCCCAGCAGATCCAGCTGGGCGATTTCGTTGCGCCGGCTCTGGGCGGTACGGATGCGACAGGTTAAGATGATGAGCAGGATAACAATGCCGGCAGAGATTCCCGCACCCATGGCGTAACGCTGTGCTGGAAAGTTAACTATGGACCTTTTTGAAAGAGTTTTTGTGGTATATATTCACCAGTAGATATACGCGATTATCCTTAGACTTAAGGTAGCGTGTCAATAAGCGATCCGCATAAGTGGCAAAAAACGGGAGAATTTACAGTTGGAGTGGCAGGCAGTGAGTGACAGCATTTTACGCCCGTTGTCGGTGCCGGTAACTGCGTTTGCATTACGGCGACTACAGATAGAGTAGCAACTAAACTCTGGAGACATCAACGGTCAACAAATGGCAGAAAAAATTGTAGAAGCAAAATTAAACGACCGCAAAGGAAAGGTGCCGTAAATAATTTTACGACGAAACACATGCCGTGATATCGATCCGTGTGATGTCCTTTACCATATCAAACCAATTCGACAGCAAAACAAAAATCGTGTATGTTTGCGTAAAATGCTTTCGTGTTGCCCGAAGTGTGTGCCGCTGCTGCATGCCGCTGCATATCGTTCCATCTGAATTTTATTTATGTACTGTACTATCCTTTATGCCGTCTGAACAGTTTGACAAAACTAATCACCTAAATCCCTCAACAACAAAATGATAGCAACATCCCGCTTACGACATACTTGTATAATCACAAATCGGATCTTCTCCGGTGTATCCGCACTGTGGTCTATCTAATGGAGGCGATTTCGTGGGATTTCTCCAGGGAATTGGCTTCACTGGGTCGAACAGGTAGTTGGGTACTAGAACATTCTTATAACCATAAAACTCAGCCACCACCTAAGGACAGAAGGACAAGAGCACACTTTAACAATTTCGGTACAAATATATCACTGATTTTGCCTTCCTACTGTAAAACTGTTTAATTAACGATAAACGTGTACGTAACTCTACCGGTACACAAAATAATATTATAAAGATATGTCATACGTAAAATTCTCCGTCATAATTCATGGCATAAAGGGCATGATCATCATTGCGATCTCCATCTGGATTTATGTACACTTGACCAGTTGCACCTATAATTCAAACATGGTTGCCTGTTGTATAATCCAGTATGTACCTGCACAGTTAACAAGATTACTTCGTAGTTCCTCCCATAATTATTATCGTATACCATACATTTGTTGTTTTGCCAGCATTATACTGAATATCCGCAACAGTAATACATCTAGTACTCCTCATCGTAAAGAAAATTAAACATATGCATGGTACTCACCGGGCATCGTACGATTCCAATACTGTTGCGAAACTTCCAGAACATTGTCCTTTTTTATGGATTTACCTTCGTTGATTAATTCCCTCATCGCCCTCCCGTATAACATGACCGAATCGTAGAAACTCGCTACGTAATGTGGACCGAAATACACTGTTAAGGAAGCTGTCGACTATAATTTTATAACTATTTCAAAAGTCAATAAAAACTAATACTCTACAACCAATCCAATGCGTCTGCACGACAATGTTATAATTGTTACAATGCAATTTTAATAATGCGATAATGGGATCCTGGTGTTCTGTCTGTAAAGCTCGGTAGGCGTACTCACATGGCGTGTAACTTATAAAAAACGTACAGTAAAATCGAGTTATTTCCTACAGTACTCTGTGTTAGTCAAAAGTACCTATAACGACAATCCCATTCTACGAGTAGTATTATTCAGCTGTAGTAGGAGATCGAAATGTTTTATATTTTTTATTTAATAAAAATGGTATCGTTGAAGAAAATGTTTTCTGCACAAGATAAATAGCGAAAAATATTATGGCATAAGTAGAGAAAAAAGGATATAATTCAGCGTCAGATTCAGTCCGAGGTTATGTTGTGCTGCCACTCTCCGAACATCCCGTGAGAAGTTCACGTACGCCGGTTCATCCTGGGTATTACGCAGGGTTACAATTAGCAGTGACTGAAAGGCATCCCGCGCCACTGCGTCATAAGCATCACCTGTAATTTTCGTTCAGCTTAAATACAGTACAGTTGTACAACTGTTCTTTAATATTAATAGGTACCACAATAATTACGTTTGGTGGTTACGCATGTAATAAGCGCATGCAAGGGCGTGCAGTTGCGCATACAAACACAGTCAATAGCAATTAAAGTGAAACACAACATACAATATATACAGTAATCAATAAGATTGAAACACTAAACCGAGTGGTCGATTTGTAATGTACAAACTGTAAAATTAAACGTAACCAAGATTAAAAAATTTTCCATAAAGTCTTTCTGGCTGGAGCTATTTGAAAATCGATTTTATTAATTTATTCGGTTTTGCGGAATACTGCAAAAACTTTTCCAGCTTCCAGAAATTTCGATACTATGACCATTATTGACCGCGGCAGGATTTAATGTTCGAACCAGCTACTTACCGGTTAGTTCTATGCAGTATTTTCTTACAATTAAAACCTGTGGAAACTGTTTTGATCACAATATTGCTCGAATAAGGAGTGAAATTAACCATATACATTGAACTACGAGTAGAAAAGACTTGTCAAGACATTAAACAGTGGATTAGCATAATCTCATGGGAGTATTTAGCATTTAACCTTCTACACCGGAAGCACAGGAAGTGAATAGAATACGCGTTACATAATAAACGACCACGTGCCGGCATCGTCATCTGTTGGCTGCAATGCCATACGTGCAGGACAAAAGGCATAATTTGGACAAAATGTCATTCTCAGTCACTTGACATAAAACAGCGGAAATACCATCCACAATTGCGCCAAACATATGTCTTACTTACCCTGTTTCCACCCATGATTATGAAGAATATTGTCGCGGAACAGATCCAGGGAAAAGAAAGCATATGATCCATCAGTTTTGCCCAGATAAAGCGCCTGTATCATGAACTGCCGTACGTATAATCCATCCATCAATAAAACAAAAACTGTAACACCAAAACAGAGAACATAATAATCCTGAAACATTTGTGCAGTTAATCCTGGGGATTCGAAAATTATTGCTATCATCGACCATACTAATAGTGCAAGAAACTGTGAATGATTAAAAATCAAAGACTCCGAAATATAATTAACAGTACAAATATACGAGTACACATACGCCATACCTCTTGATACAAGAGTAGCATTGTGTAAAATGTTATGAATTTCGCCAACTCCGCGCAATGCCTTGGTGGAAAAAGGCATCATATATGGGCGAATGGGTGGATTATCTTTTAAATTCTTTTCAAGACCTACGAGGATTGTTGATGTATTTACACTATGGAATTGTGTCTCTGCATTTAGATAAGCTTAATTAAGTGGAATACAACATTAACATGTACTGTATATGTACAAAATCATTGATAATTGTTACGCTAAGTCGTCGATTACCCCTAAAACTTTACACTGTACAGGCACGTAACGTAATTATTTTACTATGTCATGTATTTTATATCTACAAACGAAAGTTTTCTTACTGTTGGCGTTCACAGTTTTTGTGTTGTCGTCCATGTCAAAAATAACTGCAAGTTTTTAAACAGCCGGAATTAATTAATATTCATAGAAAAACAAATCGTAATTTTCCATTTTACCAGTACCTACTTGCTACATTGTTCCATTTGAATTTTGCACATAGTCGCTGAAAAAAAATCCACTGTGTATACGTGTTGTAAGAGCAACGCGTAAGATACGGGAATTTCGCCGAGGAATCAACCAGATCACCGGCCCCCGTAATGCTGGGAAGTCTGAAATATGTCTGTAGTTCTAAAGAAGACATCATGTCGTCTGTACATCCAGGTCCTAAAAATATTGGAGTAATGCGTGAATTGGAGTAATGCGTACTCTTTAGATTACAAATTAAAATGAAACTCAAGCAGCTGGCTACGCACATAATGCCAACTGTTTTTCTTGTATATTGATTATTATGATAATAAAAAAAAGCAAAAAAATGTTCCCGCAATTTTCATTTAAACTGATAATGCATAAAGTCGAAACAATTTTTTTAAATAGGTTCCGGTCGTCGGAAATACTTGAATGTTATAGATTCTGATTTGGTGAGGCAAATTACTATACTCTGAAGTATACTTGTACGCAAAACCAAACATATCATGAGGTTTTTGTACAGCGTATGTACTCGTATTGTTAAAATCTTTGCGCGCGAAGCGTTTAATTTTTAACATAACAGTGAAATTTTGTAAAAGTCCAGAACATTGCACATAAGTAAATCATTGCGAAATCATTCATACATGTGCAGTTTACAGTGGTTGCTTTTTTCTATGGTAATATATCGATTGTGGTATTTTTTATCACCTATTACAAGGTCAACATCTTCCATGCCGGCATAATACGTCTGTCCCATGGCGTCCACTTTGCTGCATTCATCCGCATATAAAAACAAAATCGGTTTAAAGATAATATTCTGCTCGGCATAAACCTTTTCATAAGCGGTTTCCAGTGCCGGTTGTACAATCTGATAATCATACGGTAGATTACTGCCATTGGTCAACAAAATCCCGGCTTTCAGGATCGTTACATTTCTTTGAATTAATTCCGTCGAATTAAAATCCAAAGACAAGTTAAGTGCCGGCACTACGCTAATTATCATGTAGATGACATAAAGAAATTCCTTTAACCTTTGGCAAATACACAAGCACGCCATTAAAATAAATGCATAAGTATCCACAGTCGTTAAGCTGGCGAAAGAAAAGACAGGCGGATCACAAATGTTGTGGCTGTAGCCGTGTAAATGCCAAGCGGAAGCCACAACGAAGACAAAACAACCCTAATCCCACTTAAATCACCGTTTTATACGTGGGATACACCGGAAGCGTGCCGTGTTACAAAAGGATACCAGTATGATGAGCATAACCGATAATCAGTCCTGCTGGGCGCTGCGCTGCTGCTTCCCGGTACGTTGTAACTAGTACAGTAACATACTGTACGCCTTAAATGTTCCAGTTGGTTTATACTGTTGGCTTGTCTGGTACCGACTCTTACTGGACTTGCTCCGGCTCGAAAGAGATGAGTTCAATTTTTACTGTGAACTCAAGCCGGTGCTGAATTTCGTTTTGTAGCACTTTGAAATTTCGGTCGTGCTTTGCTGATTATTTATTTTTATTGAGTTCCTATGGAACACTCTTTTGGTCTCTTTTTTGGAGCTTTTATCATGCCTTGACTGAAAAGTATCATTGGAATAACGTGCGTTTCGTCGCACTAATTTTAAAATTCTATTACAGAAAACCAGAAACGAGTGAAATCATCAGCACTTACGAAATTTTTATTCATTTTTTCAGCGACAATGACGAATTTTTTGACGCAAACATGAAGTAGGAAGAAGATTCTATTTCTGGCGCACACGAATCAGGTGCATATTTAGCAATTAAAGCCAACTTTACTTGTCGCATATTTAAATTCAAAAGAGGTGCGAAGCAGAAGGATCAGATTGGAAAACATAAGGTTTGAATTTCAAAAGTTAGGTTGCTTTAACAATACAGATTAATAAGATTATCAATCAGCTGTCTAACCACACAGGAACGGGAAAGGGATAACATTTACAATATACCATAACATGAAAATGCACAGAGGAAAGTGGAAAACTGAAAACACGATTATTATTCCATTGAATTTAACAATTTCGCAAATAGCTACATGCATGATACATGAATAACGATATTTTTACACAGTAAAAAAGCTGATTGATCTTATGATTTTCTTTTCAGTTTCCACTAATCTAACAAAAGCCGTACGAATATTTTCCTAAGCATTTACTTGTCTTTCCGACATCTCTCATAGTCAGATTATATGCTACTGCATTCAAGCCCCGACTCCAATATCAACAAACGTGTACAAAGCATTAACAATTTGCCAATATAACATACGTACAATTTGTATAATTATGCCGAACATATCAGCACAACGACACCTATCTTTATGCTGCGACACCGGCGGGATTCTTGCCTAACGTTAATCCAGGTAATAACTCTTGAATGGCGTTCTTAATTTCTGCAAAACAGAAGCGCACGTGAAGCAAAACTGAAAGAGTGAATTTTCTAAAGATACAATAATTATTTGTACAGTATGTATATCACTATACATGAAACTGCGAGAATGCCGATAAAGGAAAACTTACTTGGTGTAACATTAAGACTATCAATATCCTTCAGAATGCCCGGTCGATACTGGTCGCGGAGGTTTTCCGGGGCCGATTTCCAATATTCATGAATGCCGGTAACGTATTTTCCGAAATCCGAATTTTGCAGTTCCTTGGCCATTTGAGTCATTCCTTAAAACGTTAGTGAATCGTTAGGTTAAACAAACTGTTACCGAAAATTCGGAACACTCGTCTTGCTTACCACTTTTTGCAATATACTCGTATAATTAAATATCACAAATCGATGAACATACTTTGCTCATACTTTTTTTGCATTTACACAAATGTCAATACGGTATTGTCAATATCATGAAGTTGGCAATTGCTGCCGGATTGGATTACCGTAAGATTGATTCAGTTGACCCATTTTTTATAAGTATCTCTAGCACTAGAAGGCTAGCAAAAACTTCCTTATCAGACTAGCAAAAACTTCCTTACTCCCAGCATCAAAAATATCAGTATGCAATTGTTATATGATCCACGCTGATTAATTCAATCCATATTTCAACATTTTCTCACAATTTTTTGTGCTCGTATGTTTTTGTAATCTATAATTATGTTTAGGTGTTTTGGTCGATTTACACTGTAATTATTTAAGTTTACAATTAACGTTTTTATTTTTAAATTGCATTTCCTTAAAATCATCGGTGTAATTCCCAGTCGTAAAGCTATGCGCGCTTATATACTTTGTAATAATATTTCAAAATATTTTGGATATAATTTACACACAAAACAATTTATCGACTCTCATAAAATAATTTCAAAAAACACACCGCGTGCAGCGTTTGGCAAATTGCTATACATTACAGTAAATTTGCGTATATAGATATACAGTATATAGATTTGCGTATATACAATACATACATAGAAAAAGATACAAGTGTGTGCATTAGTTGCAAACTAATCATCGAAAAATACTGAGTCGTTAGTAAAATATGAATAAATTCAACTTACTCAATCCTTGCGGTCCCTTAAATAGTGTCATCTGCATGAGTGGCGACGGCGTTCCACCAGCGGCTAATTCCGTTCCATAACCTTCCACATGCACCGTCAGACCGTTCGGCCTACCACCGGCACCGGCACTGGCCCCGGACCAGGTGCCGGGTCGGGCGCTTCCTCCGCCGCCTAGCGCCTGATTGAGCAGCATAATACGCAGAAAGGAGACAATCTGGGCAAAATCCAGCGTAGTGATGAATTCGGCAGTGGCGGTCGAGATCTGGTTAATCGTCTGCTCCTGATGTGCCGCTGGTGTTTGAACACCTGGCTGCCCGGGAGCGGTCGGTGTGGGCACACCTGAAATTAGATGTTACTCAACGTGGCACCAGCGTCAAGGGCTCATATAAAAAAACCATACTTAAACTTACAATACAAAAATCCAGATTAAAATTACCCTGTAATTTCAAAATGTGTGATATGAAGTAATGCGAGTCATCAATTTTCTTGCACTCAGAACATCAAGTAACTACAGAGTACACTACGCGTACGATTGCGTTTATTAATATGGTTGATAGTCAGTAGTCACTAATCAGTATCAAGATTCAAGAACGACTACAAATTAAATGTAATATCTATATGAGTATAATACCACAGTGCAGTGCAGTATAAATACAGTACAACTGCGTCTCAAATATGAAAACTAAGTAGAAAAATAAAATTTGACAAGATGGCGGTGACCGACAAGGAGTGAATGGTAATTACTATTTTCTACAAAATATATTGTAGCATTATCAGCGAGGTCTGCGATACAAAAGCTAACAATACTATACTGTATGAATAATTCTAATGTAAGCATCTACGTATATAATCGTAACAAATCATCCTGTAGAATTAATTATTCCTTAAAGAATTTCATTCAGCAGTTCACGCATAATAGTTAGATAATATCACAGATGATTATTATATTACCTGGCGTAGCGGGGACAGTGGGTTGCGCCACCGGAACAGCTGGTCGACCGGGCTGATTAGCCGGGGGTGCCGGATTGGGAAACACCGGTCCCGGTACCGGCACCGACGGATTAGCCGGATTAGGATTAATCAGAACACCCGGAAAAGCCGGCTGAGCACCGGGATTGGCCGGATTCACTACAACGGAAGGCTGTGGGACATTGGGATTAGTGGGCGGGATCACGCCAGGTGCCGGCTGGACACCTGGAGCGGGAACCGCGGGATTAACTGGAGCAGACGGCTGCACACCGGGAGCGGCGGGAACCGAGGGCTGCGGTGCAGGTACAGAAGGAAAGAAAACCGGTGGAGCGGGAACGGCCGGGTTCGTTGGGATGGCACCGGGTTGGGGCGCGGGAGCGACCGGAAACGTCGGACCGACGACAGCAGGTGCCGGTGCAGCCGGAAATGTGGGATTAGTCAGTATGGAGGATGAGGGCACGGCCGCGGGATTAGTGAATACCGCCGGCTGAGCGAACGGGTTATTCGGCGTCGCCGCCGGGGCGGTTGGCTGTGCGACAGGAACCAGAGGGGTGCCCATAGGACCGAGAGGGATGTTGGGATTGGGCTGAGTTAGGAAAGAAGAAGGCTGTGGCGGATGGACGCCGGGCTGGGCAACCGGGACGCCGGAAATGGAAGAAGGCGCCTGCGCGGTAATGCTACTCACCAAGAACATAAGCAACAGTAGCTTCGCTGCCATTTTTCAAAAACGCGGGTTTTTCCTCAATAATAATTCCCCAAAATTTCTATAATGTTTAAGAAAATTATTAACTCTTTTGGAAAGTAGGATTTTGTTTTTCAAGGTTGACATGTTATATATGAATTAAAGTGAGCACATAAGCGGACCACTCAATCCGGAAGTGCTGAGATGGACAATACAGGATTTGGATAGAAAAAAACGCGTGACACACTGGATGGGCAGTTTTAGTGGGTTGCCTGTGTACGAGAAACCGGTAAGTGCTGATTACCAAGCAGCTGACCAGAAAACACCACACGTCATGGTAATCTGATCCGACCTCCCGTACCGGACATGACCTGGACGCCAGGTACATCTACCATCACGCACCTGTTGGCGCGGCAGTTATTAATAACTGCTGACGAGGACAGTCGGAAAAACAATAGGGAAATCATCATCAGCATTAATTCTACAAGTGCCGGACCATAAATATAAACCAACGGAGCAACCACTACACAATTTTCGAAAGTGGGAAATCAGTCGTCATTGTCGCCTTCAAAAAGGTCATCAGGCTTTCCATAGGATTTTTAGCATGAGCTTACCGGCCATCCAAGCATCCTTTCAGTGAATGAGATTCATACAAAAATAAAGTATTTCATTGAAAAATGTAATCGCTTTTACCGTACACCGGTAAACGTTCACCGGATAACATAAACTTTTCGCAAACTTAAACCAAATATCCCTTGATTTGATGTAGATGTGATCTGGTAATGCACTACGATATCCCCGACTATCCGTGCACATTATTTTGTACTATAACATACGAGTAAAATCACCGATAAATCGTTATGTCAATAATAAATAAGTTTCTCGATGTTCTCAACACTTAACTAGCAGGCACCGCATGCTTTTCCGGGGTCACAGAGTATTCAACAAAATAAGTTATAAAAAATTTAGAAACCAGATTGAAAGCTCGACGAAAAACGCTAAAAATAAAAAAAAAATCAACAACAACAATCGGTCATAAAACAAAACATTTAACAGCATCGAATATTCGAATAAATACAAGATTGTCCAACAACTACAATGAGATTTCCAAAACGCTACAGATCTTTGATGACTGAGAGGCACAGACTGTGATCACGCGGATCTGCCCAGCCACCGTAAGGACCTAAAAACAAACCACAATATTGTGTGAAACAGCTACAAACCGTCAAACAATAATTTGTAAGACCTTATGTCGTCGTTTTATTACTTAAAATGCGGTTCATTTAAATACCATAACACATTATTAGTACCATCATAATTAAGGTTTCACTCCATCAAACGAAATAATTTTGTATGAAAGCAGAGCACACGCAAGAAGCATTTACGCCTTATTAGTTACTGCCAGTAGGTTAACGATGTTCAAGCTGGCCGAATAGTATGTATGGTAAATGAAATTATGAAAGTTTTCATTTTTATGTACCAGCACACGGATCCGCTAACTTAAAAAATCAAAAAATACTTTCAGTTGTAAAAATAATTGGAAGTTAATGAATTTGCGATAAAAACAACCGTTTTCATATCACAATTTTAACCATGTGCATCTAATTTCTCCTTAGCACTTACAGCTGGAAAACAACGGCTTCAATACAGCAATAAATCATAATCCTTGTCACCGATGTGATGCCTGCTCACTACATACGTCAGCCTGGCACATCGGATATCATGATTCCATTCAGTATGTTATTCTAAGTTTGCCTGTATCTTGCTCCCGTTAGAATCGACAAGACCTTTCAATTACGCATTTACGACACTCACTCGGCGAAGACGGGACGTTCCTTCTCAACTTCTTGACCACTCGCATTTCCTTAGGGAACATCACATCCGTCTTGTTCCGCAGCAGTCTCTTCACATTCTCCAGCGTATCCACCTGTTGCAGTGTTCCACACTTTTTTTTACTGTCCCGACTAGTGTGCGTCCCACAATCGCCCACGTGCCACACGCGGGGCGCTTCCACCTTCAAAATCTGCAGCCGCTCTTGGAAACAGCCCACATTCAGATGCTGCAGTGTCCAGTCCCAGTTGTATTCATCAATGGTGCAGAAACGTTTGGCACACTGGCTGAGGACGCCGGCAAAGCGCTGATTGAGGACCATGCCCATGTTGTTGCCGCCGGAAAAGAACCAGGACCATTCCATTTGGTCCCAATCGAGATAGGGCCAGCGATGCTCTTTGGGATAATCACCGAGGATAATTACACATTTTGGGCAGTCTTTAGTCTGGATTTGAAGGGTTTTGTTGAGAGTGTAAATAATATCCGGGGATACGTAGTGATCTTCCTCCTACACAGATGAACCGATGTACTCAGTACTTACTGTAAAAACTCGAAATGTATTTCAGAAAAATTCAGTGCATGTCTTTACAGTACAAGGTACCTTTACAGTAAGTACTTGTACTTAATGTTTTTGTTACTAATTTAAATCGTAAGCGCTTCCTCAGACTTTGAAGTTTCATTTGGTTCGTTCAGCTTATTGCTGCTATATTATTGCTGCCATTAAATAAAGTTTACGAAGCGGGAAAAACTTATGTAGCTATGACGAAAATATAACAGTTTAATAAAAAACATTCATCATTGCAGAGATAAAATCTGTCAAAGCTTCAAAAATAAATCCGCTATGTGAATAAATTGGAAATGCATCATATCTGCGCATGGCTTTACCTTCAATGCAATCAACGATTCAACACCGTAATGTTTCGTTGCTTTTGAAATTTTTGTACGGAATAAGCTCTTACCAAAAATATTTTTGGTCCGGTATGATTTCTCAGAACTTTGATATGACGAAAGACTTGAGTGAACTTCCATATCCAGTGCAACTTAATTTGCGCTAACTGAGGTTTCCGCCCGTGCCCTATGGGCAATGCAGCATCTTTGGGATCTGCAACAAAAACGCAAGCTGGCAAGCAGTAAGGAAAAAGAGTACAGGAACGCATAACTAATACTTATCCGCATCCAAATGCATGTAGTCTTAAACAAACAGGTTAATAACACACTAAGTCTAAGTTAATAAGTTTTTAAAGATTACCTAACAATAAGCCATGAAATTAACAATTTACAAACTGTTTCCGTTAAACGCTACTCAAGCAAAAATATACAGTCAGAGAACGGAATAGGTAAATGTAAAAAGCAAACTGAATATTCAAACCAAGTCAGCATTATTTGCTAACTTAAACCTATTTAACTAACTTGTTTTTTTTGCGCAAGTATAAAATACATAATATATGTATGTATAATTCATTGTCATAATTATATTACGATAATTTTCGATACAATTTGTTTTCTGTATGTGCAGTATTTTTATTTTTGTGCATTAAACACAAACCTGGACCGGGATAACCATTTGGATACATCTGTATGGAATACGGATAATATATCTGCATAACTCTTGCAAACTGCATTCCCTGAATCACATCATTAATTTCCTTGGAAAACACATCATGACTAAAGATAATCAGCGATTGGTTAATCCCTCGAACCGCTCGCAATGACTGGATGATTGCCTGAATATACGGGATTCTGTCGTGCAGCTGAACGATAAAGACCGGCGTTTCCGGCGCAACACTGAATCCGCCGTGTGTCTCTCCATTGAAGATCAGCTGCAGATCATTCAGCACGCGAATCTTGGTGCGAATCTCCTGGATGGTGGCGGGAACGGGTGCGGAGGAGAGGAGATGATCAACAGGTATCGATATGTTGAGCGATGACTTCGCTGGCGATTCGTCACTGCCATCGTAGCTGATGTGCTGTGCGCGCTGCTGAAGAAGGAAGAGCTGGAGGAAGAAGACGATAAGGATCAGCGGTGAGTAGTACCATGATAATCTGGCCATCCGAGAATAAATATGCAAGAATTTGGCCTTCATGCAGATCAGCAAAAAACCTTGAGACCGCGCTACGTCAGCGTTGCAAACTGTCGAACACTATCATGATTCGCTCAACACAGCGTGGTTATCGCAACTGCACGGATGCGAGAAAACTGCAATCATTACAAGTAGAGGAACAGAGTTATCCAGGATAGGGATAATTTAAGGGATATTCGGAGTCCAGACTGTCAACTAGAGTAGCTAAAATGAACTTGAAAGATTCTGAGTGGCTTTTGCAGCTCGGTTTTGCAACTAACTTGTAAGCGGCGATTGTTGTTGTTTGAGCATTTCCGGCAACGTTGCCAAATTACCAGGTGTTATTTCCAACTACTCTTGGAACTGGAATTTGACTGCTGCTATTGTAATGGAATCGCCTTAGCTAATTCTTGCGTGCAGCTGCATGGAATGGAATTGCACAAGTTGGTAAAACGAGAAGTTCCGCATCAACTTCCGACTTCAAAAATTTAACAGAAACTGAAAAATTGTTTTGGAAAAATTAATGATGATTTATCATTTATGATTTATCTTTACAGTTGGTTTCCTGGCTTTTGTAATGATCCAGTTCGCCATTTTGCTTTGACTCCCTGTGAATCTTGAAATTTAACAGCTGCACAGAATGCGGCGTCGCGTATCTTGCTGATCCGAGGAGTGAGGTTTTATAAATCCTTTTCTAGAAAATTGTATACGATGGCGACGATAGTCAGCTCCAAATTTGCTCACCTCTCTCGCCATTTCACGTGTGCTCCCCGGAGGTTTTCATCCCGATTTAAAGTGCTGCCTGGGCCGACGCCTGGTTCAATCCAGGTCCCACGGCCCCTTTCACCCATCGCTAATGAACCCATGGAACATTTCCAGATGTCCAGCGAGCCGCGAGGTACCTTCTGCTTACATTTGCAGTTTTAACTACAGCACCACCATTTCTTTCCTGATTAACTTCTGCAATAGATGAAACCTTAAATTATCCGGATTATTTTAACGTGAGGAAATTATTTACGATCGGCGACTTGTTTAACGCGCGGGTCCATTTGGGACACGCGGTGGGCAATCTGGACGACCGAATGCGCCAGTTTGTCTTTGGGAAGCGGTTTAATCAGGTGGTATTCGATTTGGATATCACGGCACAGTATCTGCAGGATGCGCTGAATTTCATTGCACATGTTGCGTATCGGGGCGGCATTATTCTGTTTGTCAGTCGGAGCCGGGAAACCACATTGATGGTCGAGCGGACCGCGATGGAAGCTGGTGAATATTCTCATACGAGGTAAACAGTTCAGATTTTCACTGTGATCAGATTTTTTCTATGATTCTGTACTGAGATTTTGTCATAACTTATAATTTATATTGATTTGAAAATAGTAAGACGAGAAACATTGCTAACGTTACACTGAATGATCGTATGGTTGTGTGCTGCACCATTCCATTAGAAAGCATTAAGAATCCGTTGTACTACGAAAGTGACTGTTGCGAGTGCCGAGTATGTATTCGGTGTAACGCGGTACCTATTCCCTACTTTGCGTTTTGAAACTTTTCACCTTGTGTTATATTTGTAAATTATCAGTGTTCTTATTTTTTGTCTGTTTCATCAGCGTGCGTTTTAAGAGAGCAGGGGTTGGTACAAGAGGGAAGCTAGCTGCTAATTTAGTTTGTTCTTTTATTTTGTAAATTGTCGTCTGATATGATTTAAACAACCGATGGCATATTTGAACTGCTTCACTAAATGGCATTAAATGTTGAGATTTCCGCTGGCCTAGCCGCATGTTTTGTTTTCTTGGGTTGTAACGGTGGCCCATTGCCACCTGTTTTACGGAGCAAACTGCAGACAATAATTCAACAACTTATTCGGTTTATAGACCCTGATTTTATTGGTCGAAGTGGCAAACCATAACACCTCGGTGTTTATCCAAATGACACAGTCTCAGTTTTCAAATAACAAGAAATGCTAAACAAGAAAGCAAGAGTAAACTTTTCATGTTAAGATTTTTCAAATTTCGGGTTCATCAGGAATTTTCTTAAATGCCATGTTAAATTCCTTTTGAGCAGCGGCGCGTAGCCCTGGACTGTCAAATAACTCCAAAGTTGTAAGGGCTATGATTTTCGCTGCCCGGAGAGCATACGGTTGAGCATCTGGAGATCCAGCCAGGGTAGCAAATTCTTTGGTATGAATCAAGGCCAATTTGCCCAAAGAGACTTTGGGCTGGATGGTCGGTATAACATTGGATACATTGCCAATGTCTGACGATCCCATCAAGCCGGGATCCGGCTCATAAACAATACCTGAAAATGAAGACTTTAATTATTTTTCATTACTATGGTAGTAGCATAGGTATTATTATCATAGCCCTTTTAAAGTTTTTAATACAAAATTAGTGTAAAATTTGCATTTAGTTGCTGTTATAAATTTTGAAAAGGCAAAACTATTCCGCCCATTCAAACATCAAGTGAACCGTGAATTTAGTAACAGAATATCACCGACCGTGCTCATACCTTCATCTTTTGCAAAGCGGCCAAATATATCGGCTAAAACATGATTGGATCGAAGTGGCAAATAGCGCATCGGATCCCATTCCAGGCTTAATTTACAACCTATTTTTACGATCATTAGATTAAGCACGAAACGGTTATAGAAATCAATAGTACCAAAACATAAAACATCGCGGCGTTTGTCACTGACCCGTTTGTCACTGTATTGTCATTATTATGTAGAGATCGATTGAGTACCTGTTGCCAGTGCAGCACTCTCGAAACAGCGGGTAACTTTTTCTTTTAATATAGGCAAATCTTCCGGTAGCAAACATCTTATATAGTATTCAGAAACTGAATTCTCCGGAATAACGTTAACTGCTTCGGAGCATCCACTGATGATCGCATGTACCTAATGAATACCAAGTATGAGGTCAACAATCTCTGACTGAACATCGGAAACCCGGTAAAACAAAATAGAAAAACACGAGTAAGCATTTCTGTGTTGGCAAAGAGGATCACTGCTATACCGGTAGATTCGGTACACTGGCGAACCACATAAGGTGCAGTGCTGCACAATGTGGTAAGCAACTCAATTTACTGCGAGACGCTGAAAACGAAATCAAAAGGAAATAAAAATGACCTCTGTATTTACACATTTACCCTCCAGTCCGGCTTCATTTGCTGTCGGAGTAAACTGACAGAATTGTAAGCAGATATGGCGGCATCCAGGGCGTTTATACCGTCCCAAGGACCACAGGACGCATGACTGGCCTTTCCGGTATATCTGACAATCACCTGCAAATATCGTTTCTTACAATAAGCAAATAATGACGCCAGAAAACACAAACATATTCGGCCAAGTAAGAAGATGTACTTAATCGAATTAATTAAGCCGTTCATACTCCTGTAAACTCATTTCCATAGAAATATAATTAGCTAGTGTGTTATTGTTCTGCGTACGTACAGAGTAGCAGAATACAATAGATCAACATTTCCGTTGGCAATCACTGAAAATCTATTTCAATAATTCTTACCCGCTCAATTCCCAACGTTGCAACGTATAGAACATCCGAATAATGGGGATGTATCATCAAAGCAAAATCGATATCACGAAAAGCACCGTTATTAATCAGCGTAATCTTTCCTCCGCCGCCTTCCTCTGCCGGGCAACCCAGGACTACTATCTGCAACGAAATTATTAGCTGGGGTGAGATGGTAAAGCGGCAGGCTTGACCCTCGTCATAACTCATATAAACACTGATTTAATTACACTGTAAGAATGATATATTTACAAAGAAAGATTCGGGAAAATAATATACTGATCGACTGTTTTAAAAAGAATGAAAGGCCTTGCTAATTGCAGAGCTGCAGTCAGCAGTACCAAAAAAATTAGCACTAAGGGCAATAAAGTGCGACTAGAATAATCACACCGCGTTTAAAATGTGGAGTTTTCATGAGAAGATCGTAGAGTAAGGGAACTAACTTTGTTAAACGTAATATTCTGCTTTTCAACAGTTTACTATCCAGTTAAACTTACACGTGTTCATCGAAGTCTAACACATTTCGTTCAAGCATTTTGAAGAAACGTGATTTATATTTAATTGTAACGCATAATCTCTAATGGAAATTACCAAGTAACGACTGGAATCTGGCAATCTGCTCTAAAAGTTTGCGCCCATGAATTTCATACCTTCGCTGGCGATTTGCTCCATTCTGCGTGCAGAAGCACATGCCGAGCTGCACAGGCAGCAGCAACTCCGACTTCTGATGCAAAAAGAAAGAATCAAACTGTCTATCTCGAAAACATCCCAAAACACACGCTCCTCACCAGCGATCAAATTATGTCCACAGGCATGCCCGATCTGCGGCAGCGCGTCGTACTCGCACAGAATCGCCACCGTAGGATGCGATTCACATCCCGTAATGTAGTTAGCGGTGGCGATCTCCGCACGAAAAGCCGTCGTCAATCCGGCATATTCCCGCTGTACTGCAAAACCATTTCGTTCCAGGTAATCCGTTAACAGCTGGTGAGCAAAATGCTCTTGAAACAGCAGCTCCGGATTTTTCCATAGCTCCAGGCCGATGTGGTGGAACTGCTCTTTATGCTCCTCCAGAAATTTACCAACAAGTGCAGAATACATGCTCAATGAAAGCTGCAATAAAGAAGCAAATTATCATACAAATAAATTAACGGCTAGTTACAAATTTACAATTCTTATGTCTTCCCAAAACTGATGAAAATACTGTAGAAAATACAAGTAATTTCTTAAGATCAAATTCGGGTAAGATATCAGCTGTTTTGTCGAAAACTTAGCAGCTTGCCAGCTGCCGTCCCAGCTGTTACTAGTCAGGCAATCGCAGCCACGAAGGCGGTTGAACTGAGAACATGATCAGCAGTTTTTTTTCGGCACGCGCTTCAAGCAACCAGCAAGTTTTCAGTTTTGTGTTTATTCTTATTTTTGTGATTTGCCGATCTTCCTATTTTGCAAGTCCTCTCTCAGTTTGAAGTACGTAAACAACGGTGATTTCAGTTTTGAGCTACAAGTTTACAACTATGCCACGAAATTCAAAGCAAAAACCCGCGGAAACCCCACCCGACGATACGGGGAAGAAAACCCTGAAATCCGGAGTGCAGGTATGGTATCCGCCAAGCATGTACAAGAACAGTAACACCAATGCGAAAGCCGAAGAAAAGCCTCAGACTTCCGCCGACCCTTCTCCCACCACATCATCCAAGGAGTCCAAAGCGGCGAAGACCCGAACACGGATTGTGTTCGATCCGGACGATGACTCTCCTCCGAGTACTTCGAAGAAGATCAAATCCGGACATTCCACGGAGAAAACACAGAAAATCGCGAAGCCAGCCAGCAGTCCCAGCCTGACGAAATTACCATCCGGAGTATCGGTGTGGTATCCCGAAGCCTTATACCCGACATCCAAACAGACCGTTAAACCGCTCACCTCCACCTACTACAATCTCCCATTGCGACTGCAGCGCAAAGGATGGACGATCATGACCAACAAGGAGACCAAACAAAAGTTCTTCTACAATATGAAGACCGCAGCAAGCTCGTACGAGCGTCCAGATGACTTCACCGAACCCGATTCCGTGGAAAGCGATGATGATAGCAAGCTGCAGAAGAAACCAACGAGCCGATTCCCGCGTCCGCGAGCGTCCAGTACATCGGCGACCTCGTCGGGCACTGTCGCCAGTGCGCCGAAGGTCTCCCGCAAGATCATCGTGAAAAAGCGAATTCCTTCCAAAACAAATGTCATTACGCTGCCAGACGATGATGAGGATGTGGAGATGGAGGATATCACGGAGGAGACGGCAGATGGTCCGGAAATGGAAATCGATCCAGTGGAGACCATTAAAAATCTACGCAATGTGATTGTCTACAATGCGGAGGCGGCGCCCAGCTTCTCCGTGCCAGATGCTCCAGCACGCAGTGCTGGCAGCAATCAGCCCGTGTTTGATTTGGTGTTTGACACCAATGTGCTCTTGAGCAACGAAGCCGGGAATTTTTTGGTTGATTTTGCGTTAAATAAGTTGAAAGCATTGCCGGCTATTCGCATTCGTATTCCGCATATTGTTTTCGTGGAGCTGGATCGGTTGAAGACGCGGATTGGGAATCCGATCGCGATATTGGCGGTTCAAGCGATTCGGTATGTGGAAAATAGTAGCAATCTTTCGCTTTTGATGTATCACTATGTGTATAAGAACTCGTTTACTGCAGCCCGTGCATATGCAATGAATGAAAAGTTGATACTATACTTACAGAAAAAAATAATTTAGTTTTCGAACAAAATTAATTATATGATATACAATAAAACTGAGTAATATTATTTTATCAATTCTCCATTACTGCTGTGTATACTTGAAGTAAAGTATGTATAGAATAGTCAGTGGTTTACCTTTATGTACGTTTACTGTTGATAAGTAATTGTTCGCAAACTTCCCATACAGGTTGTTTGCGTAGAAGATTTGCCGCTTGTGTGTTTTGATCTTGGTTGCACCTTTCAGTCAGTTCAAACACGATTCTATCTTGCAGTTTCTTGAACGACATTATCTTGGTGCGCAAAGATCCTCGTTTCATTGGCCAGACTGCGCAGGAATACAGCCGCGGCATCCATAATTTCCCCGCGTCCATGAATGACGATCACATCCTGGTGTACTACTTGCAGATCCAGGACCAGCACATTCCTAACAACCATATCGTCTGTATTACGAATGACGTCAATCTGCAGACACGAGCAGCGGTGAATAATGTCCGGGCCATCAACGGGGCCAAGTTGTTTCAGGAAGTGGACAAGAAACTCAACACGCAACCGTCCATGTTCGATGTGCCGGTGCAGAATTTCAGCGTGCCATTGGTCAGCTTGGCGGATAGTACGGTTCATGTGGGGAACGGGAATGCGGGACTGTCGCTGGATGTCTGCTTGACTGTGCAAAAATGTGTAACCAAAATACTGCTGAAAGTGTTGTCGGCATTATTGGAAGCGAGGATGAAAAGGGTAAGAAATTAATAGTGTTTCGCAGTCTCTGTTTTTGTCGCATCAGTTCTTTTAATAAATTTTTTTAAATGCTGTGCTTATTATCTGTGTCGTACTTTCTCGCAGCTATACGACGATCACTGGCTGGATGTGGTTAAAATCATACCACCATGGGTGACCGTCGCAAGCGTTACTGAAGCGATTCTGAAGCATTGGATAGCTGCATTTGGCGATATCTTCTCAGCTGACGATAAAACCCTTCTGTCTTCTTTGTTGACGATCTCGAATAGCACTTCTATGACTGTTGTCCACACCGACGATCTACTGTTGCACGGGATTAAGGCGCTGAATATTGTGGCCCGTTTGCCTATGGACATTCGCGCTCCATTTGATCATCTTGTGTCGGCGGGACGGATGTTTACGGAGCGCTGGCGGGATATGTTCGATCGTGCCCGGCGTGGACTGCAGCCAGTTGATCTGTTGGTGAAGGACTGCACGGAGTTTCTGCAGAACAATGTTTGAATTTCGGCATGGTGTAGAACACCTGAGACCAGTGTCTGCTTCTTCGTTTTTAACTTCTAATTGAAGCAAACCATAGTTTGTATAGATCTGCTCACATCGTTTACTACTGATATTGGGAATGGTGATGGGAATGGGTTTTGTTTGTACTACAGTAATACAAATACCTTCCGCTAAATTGCGTTAAATAATCGGTTGTTTATCTCTGGAAAGTTTCAGTTGTTACAGATCTTAAGTTGAAGATTTAGTTAATGGTTGTGTGTTGAAAGTTGGAAATAACTGTTTACGACAAACAGACTAATAAATTCTAAATTCAATACGGGTTAATTAAAGGTTGCGTCTTGTGTTGCGACAAATAACGCAGAGTACTTGGGATTATTACGATGAATGATTAGGTGATAACAACAATGCAAAGAATTTTGATGCAAACTGTAATATGTATTATGTAAGCAACATATTTTACAGTTGTGAGTAGATTTAGATTTATGAAAAACGCTTTACTGAATGAATGCCTGGGAAGCTGGGATTTTATTGACAACATTTATCGAATGATTGGAATTTTTTTATTCTTCCGCGTATGTAGTTGACATGTACGGTATGCGTGTTGCATGTATTGTACAGTACGTTTGGCATAAACTTTCTACTTTCATTCGTATTAATTTTTCAGTGCAAGTGAGCAAGTGACAGAGAGTCACAAATGCCAAATTCGTTCAATTTTTTTCGGTCCATAGTTATTTATCTTCTTTCTGTTTTAAATCGCCATGATTCATAACGAGAATAATATATTTTATTTTCATGCTGAGCGGCCTGATTGTGAGCAGATCCGCACTCTGTTTGTTGCTCCCCAAGCTGTATGCGAGTACAACTTTGCACCTATCTGTATCTGTATGTCAGGAATTTCTACAGCGACGTTATTGACAACCTCTACTCTAGCTGTTCGCTGATGGTATCGAAATCCAATGCATTATGCATCCAGTCCCGCAATACACGAAATTCCTCGGGTATTATCCCAGACTCAGATAATCTGAGCCCGGCCATGCGATTCTTCTGGCGGAGATGCGCTGCCGTCTGCGAAGTTCCTGTCTACTCGTCGGCGCGCTCATCACCGTTTGGGTGACTCTATCCCTTTTGATCTTTCGCCATTCCCTGTATGGCTCCAGTCCGGAGACGGTGGAGAATATATCCGACGTAGTGAAGGACATTGAGTCTTCCCCCGCCACCTCCACAACGCCTTTGAGTACGACTACAACGCTGCCACGCTTTGATACATACGTGCCTTTGGTTGTGATCCTCTCGGGACCAGGAAAGGTGGCCGTGTTGTTGAGCGGAATGACGAGTTGTTTGAAGAGCGTTATTGAGAGCACCAACGCTCCGATCAATGTGATTCTCGTGTGCGAGAGAAAAGTCTTCGAGCTGGCCGAAGCAGCGATTAAACGAAATGTCACCAGCGATAGAGCGAAATTACGGGTAAAGTTTGGGTTATGTACATTTATCACCTTCACTAAATGATAAATCTGTCAGTCTGGACAACTGCATGGCCTTGCTGTTATGTATTTCTTGTGACTTATTAAGATATTTTCTTGCTGTAATTTTGTTTTTAATAAGCGGTAGCCACCCGAATACTTCACAAAAATGCGAACACAGAGGCAGGCACGTCTGTTCTTAATTCCAAAATTTCCGACATTTCAGCAATCCGCGCTGCTGTAATGTTGCGTCTGTTTTTAAATTCTCTATCAGGTGCCGATTAGTCGTTACAGTAAAATTGGGATTATAAAATTTCTCTGGGGCGATAGATTTATCCTTTCCTTGGATTAAAAGTTCTGGAATCAGTATGCTTGATTGAACTAGCGAGAAAAATTGTAAAAACAAACGTCACAAACCTGTAAGACTCCGAAGTTATATTGTCACAGTAAAATGTAGTGCAATGGTCAAGCTAAACTGCTGCGTCCTCGCTGCGTGCTTGAGGCTTGGAGCATTCGCTTCAAAGCGTGACTAGTTAAAAACTATTCTGAACCCCGCGCATTTTTTTCTAGATGTCCTATCTGAACATGGACGATGCATTTTCTATGGGAAAAGAGACCATGTCCTCGTTAAAGGAACAATTTGGAGCTAAGGGCGTCAATTTCCCATCCTCAGCGGAATTCCTCCCGTTAGTCATGGATCAGATCCTGCCGTTGCATCGCCGTGCCATTCTGATCAATACCAACACCGTGTTCGATTGGGATGTGCGGGAGTTGCTCGATAAATCATTCCATCTTCCGGATTCGCGACTGATCGGTGTGGTGCGCGATACAGTGGCTCTTCCGTCCGGGAATGCTACCGGCTTCACGAAACCAAAGAGTTTGTACAGTTTTCAGGCGGTGTTTTTCGATATGGACCGCATGCGTCACAGTGTAACATGGCCCGAGGCCATGATGGCCAAGAGTGTCGCCAATCTCCTCCACAAGTATTTTCATGCTTCCCGAGCCAAAGATGTGAGTTTTGGTGATATGTTGTTCATTTTGAGTTTTGAGCATCCGGAGTGGTTTTATTTTCTGGCCTGTGGTAGCTATGGGCACGGCTGTTTTATAGAAAGTAGCATGTTTCGGGAGGAAGATTTTCTGTGACATTGTTGTAAATGCTGTGTTGTTGCCAGTTGGAAAGTGGCATTTGCAGTGGAATTTGGTTTTTATGGTTAGTTGTGAACTCTTTAAGTAGTATCGTTGTTATTCTTATTGTACAGCAGGCTTGTGGGCAGTTTTGATCGTATAATGAAGCGACAAAAATAAAACTCCTTACCGAATTAAAATTTTGGGTTCTTTGAATTTCAGGTTAACGTTTAGGCTTTACTTTACAAGTAGATTTAAAATTTTTAATGGGCAGTTTTTAACAGCACCTTATAATGAGCAAAATTATACTAAACGGCACAATGCCTTGCTTGAGGAAAAAATTACGGAGTTTTATACCAGACTTACCAGTATACCACCATGTTTATGTGCTCGCTACCGGTTCGCTTTTGTTTTGTTTTAAATCGCCGAAATCATGCAATTTGTGTACTTAGATTGAAGAAATTTCGAGAAATCATTTTCGGACAGAAGGGCCATTTCCAATTTTCCCGTAACTGTATTGGCATAATAATATTATAAATCCCTTTGCGTCAACACTTTCTTGTATCACGGTGCATGTATGGTAGCCAATGGCCATTCACCGCGCTTATCGGATGCTGTACGCTCGTACGCAATCAATCATGCCCATAGCCGGTAGTATCCGCATTTAGTGTATTTAAGCCCAGCGGCCCGTATCCACTCTCCACATTATTTTGTCAGTGTGCGAACTTTTTGAATTTTCGCAGGGCATTTTTTCCTTTCATTGCCTTTGGTCTTTGGATCTGCTGCCTGCTTCGATGAGGAGAATATCTTCCTTTCAGGGACCTAGTATAATTTGGTCACCGGGAAGCATATTCTTCTCCTGGACAGGCCTGCTCGTTGAGTGTAGTGTTATAGTTTTGCTGGATTCGGATTTTCCTCTGCATTCGTGGGTTTCGGTGAGGCCGTGGGAAGTGTCAGATCGTAGTCATGGGGCTGACGCTTTTTACACCTGACTAGATCTTGACTCTCCCCATGGCCACAACTGGAAGTGTGCAAGGACTGCATCGGAGAACTTCGAAGTTACAGTATGGGACGATGGCACGTTTCATATTCGATGCAAATTGATGGCGATTTTTTTGTACGTTAATACAGTGCTCAGTTTTCAGTAGGATTTACGGTTGACCGTATAAATCGGAACTCCCAATTTTGTTAAACATTTTTGGGGGTAGCAAATTAATTTGTCTTTTAAATATTTTTATTGAGCTAATCATGGCACAGATTCATAATCGCGCTTGAACACGAAAAATTAATGAAGGTTAGTTTCAAAGTTGGTGCGAGTCGGTCAGTGTTCTTTGGTCTTTTCGCTCACTCATCACCGCACCTTTTTACTACGCCGGTACCGGTCCGTGCGTACATAGTAACATATATCACAACGAGCTGCTGCTCGGCACGTGCAAAAATAAGATAACCGAAAAACATTTTTTAAATTTTTGGACAGAAGTGCTAGCAGCATTGTTTTTGCCAAGTTTTATTTTTTAGAACGTTGGGATTTTATTGTTTTGGTTAATTAGTTAACGCCCGCGTTCCACCCGTTCCGTTCGTGTAGATACGTTTAGAGTGAGAACGTTTGTAACTGTGTATTCTCACTATTCTGTTTGAGTGCTTGGGATTCACAGTTTGAGTACAGTGTTATGTAGACCGCGGAGTTATTCATTTTTGCTGTCCGTTCTTGGTTTCCCTTTACGGAAATTATGCGGATTTGCCGATCAGTCTTATCGGCATCTCCCTGTCTGCACACATTCCTTGCTCGTCCTTTATCCACCCCCTCCGTGGCCGTCAAACGAATGGCCGCCGCGAGTCCGCCGTCCCTGGCCGACCAACTGCGCCAGGAGCGGCTCTTCGTCTACCACACGCCGGAGGATACGCACATGCTGCTGCGACTGCGCTTCCGCGGCACTCCCGCCATGGGCACGCTGCGTCGTGATCGTCTGTTCAACTTCCGTCGCCCCAAAGACGAAGAAGTGGGGCGGACGCTGGAGCGGATGGCGCAGAATTTAACCAGCAAAATCACCACCCGCATCAAGAACAAAAAGGCTAAAAAAGCCAAATTGGATGTTGCAGTTGTGCAGGAAGCGCCCGCAGAAGAGAGCGAGAGTCTGGCGGTGTCATTGCGACGCAGTGGAAAAGAGATCCCGTCGGAGACACTGAACGGGTCTACCTGGACTGAGGTACTTTGCGGAACAGTTTTTGAAACGTTTTTTGTTGCTAGAACCTTTCTCCCACAGATTTTCCGAATGTGCGATTTTTTCCATCTGCATTGTTCAGTTTACATTTCTGCCCAGATTTAATTTTTTAATTAATTTTATTAAGCGGTTTTATTTAATATTTTTTCGTCAAATTGTAAATTGAAAAAAATGAAAGCAGAGGAACTACCTAAACAAAACGAACCATTAAATTTTAAATTTTAAAATAAAAAACTGAAAGCAAACGAAGGAAAACGAAGCTTTAAATAATTTTGTTTTATAATTTCGACGATTTTATATTCGTTCGTTGAGTGGTTAAGTGTCCGGAATGACGCTTTTTGGAGTTAGCGAAATATTTGTGTATGTTGCAGGGAGATCAACTGTTAGTGGATTCAGCGGAATTTACGATCTGCGTTAATCCTCCCGTGATCCCGACTGGTAAAATCACGAAGCATATTTTACCGAATTTTCCCGTTGACGTGACGCTGGACTGTGATGGCGTTATCGAAGAGCAATCTATCTTTGTTTGGTTGAAACAGAAGACTGGAAAACGCAGTGTTGATCCAATTCCGGTAATGCGATAGTCGTGTTTTTCTTTTATTTATAGCGATAGCTTTTCTTGTAAAAATTTTTCGTGTACTGTATTTATGATCCGCGAAGATCGGAATTGGATGCACAATCATTGGCGCCATATATTATGCTAGCCCAATGTGATCTTTCTTAATTTGTCATTTGGTAATACAAGTACAAAGTCAGTCAAACTGCTGACGATGCGTTATTAGTGGCGTTCAGTTTAGACCTGCACATTGCGACATTCCTGCACATCGTGCATATGGTGCTCAAGTTGACTAAACCCGAGATAAGATAATGGGTCATAACTGGTCCGTATTGCGATGATGAATTTTATGCGCGTTGATGATCACGCCCCAATAGATGTATGAATGTCGCTTTAGAAAAAGCTACTCGAGAGTAGCTTTTTCCAGCGCCAAAGTCGCCAATTGTGGATATTTATCGTATAAGCTCATTTGAGCGCCGCGCTTTACAGTGCAGGAAGTACGGTGTTGTACACCTAGGCTCCGTACAATTACGACAATAATTAATGATAACAGTAGCCAACAATGTTACTAATTAGTACAGTAATTTTAGTATTTTACTAATTACTCTTATATTAATTAATAATTCTTGCATTAATATCTATAGTAGTTAACAATGATATTAACAATGATATTAATTTAATGATTAGATGTTGATGTTTACCTTGCGTACGTCCAAGCGAACTGATTAAGGTAATTACTATAACTAATAATTACTCATTAAGAAGATTGTCGCAGCGTTTTGCAGCAGTTGCGTGTGCGTGCAGTTTCTGACCTGATGAAGTTTTAGTTTTTACTACTCGTACTAAATGTAAAAATAAATCACTAATTAAGTAATTAATTAGTACCAACATTGGCTAATTAACTGGCGAACGGCGCATCTAATAACTTAAAGCAGGCTACGAGCTTAGTAAATACTCGCATGATAGATTGAACTGTGACCGATAACTTTTCACGGTAATATTATTTCAAATTATTCTCAAGATGCAAAGACTGCACTTTAAACGGTAAATGGCAGTGGGCTTTGGCGCTTTCAGAATAGCCCGCTCGATGCAAATATGTGAGGCATCAATGGCGTGCTCCTATCCGATATCTCTCGAAGTTTAAAGTTCAGTTTTTTTCTGCATGCGTCACAGATATATGGGCCTCATTTTTATACGTTTCAACAATGAGCCGAACTATTGTAATATCTGTTTTCCTTCCGAACGGGTCACGATTAATTGGAAGGCAGGATTGACTTTACTTAGCGGTTTTTTCGCAGTTTGATTTTATCCTGAGTAACGATGGTCAGAAAATTCCTTCGGACCTCATTGCTGAGGCACTGGATGATGTTTTACCACATCCAGGAAGAGACGGATGGGAAGTGGCATCTGTCGATAAAGAGTGGACACCTGGAAAAGAACATGTCGGGTTACTTTTATCGCTGCTATGTTTGCCTATCAAAGACGATGTGGTTGGAGAGCCTATTGCCCTGATAGCCAAGAATCCCATTGCTGAGCCCTTAACAGAACCGATACCGTTTATGCGGCGGCATGAGAGTTGCCAGCAGAGAGCTGGTTCCGATGGGTAGGAATTATTTATAGCTTTAAAACCTCTTGGAGTCATCTTTTTTTTCTACTGTATATTTTATCAAACGCTTCCCACGCGATGACAAAAAGGCTTTCTTTGATTTTTTGGACTGCTGCCGTCTTAACGGGCGGAAGGACTTCCCGAATACTTATGATCAGTGTTTCTGGATAATATTATGTTAAACGTTGTAGTTGACAGCGTTACTGTATTTTGATTTTTTTCTTTCAGGTTCCGAATAGTCAGCTACAACTTGCTGGCCGACTTGTACGCTGACCAGGAAGCCAGTTTAAAGGAACTTTTTCCATACTGTCCACCCGAATGCATTAAAGGCGACTACCGACGCCAGCTGACACTACGCGAACTGATAGGCTACAACGCTGACATCATCTGTGTGCAAGAGCTGGATACCAAATTATTCAACTCGTACTACTCCAAGCAGATGCGACGAAAGGGCTACGAGGGATTATTTTTGCAAAAGACCGGTAAAGCGCACGAAGGCATCGGGACGTTTTATCGCACGGATAAATTCCGACTGCTTAATCAGTACGATATTAATATCACGTCGGAGCTGTTTGAAAATCCGGCAAATAAAGATTTAGCGGATGCTGTCAATAGTAAAGCGAAATTAAAGGAAGTTATGATGACAAGAACGAATCCTTTACAGGTGAGATTCAACACAATAAATTATTTGCTATGCTCGAGTCATTGCGCATCCGGTGGATTTGTGTTCGACTGATTCAACTCTGCTGCTAAAACGCTACCAATTACAAAATATTAATGTTTACAAAATTACGCTTTTCTTCGATGCATCAGCTCATAATCTGTTTACAGGATCTTAAATTATGTTTTTTACCCGTGCAGGTTTGTTACTTACAAGATCTGGATGGTTCCGGTCGCAGCGTACTTGTCGCTAATACACATCTCTGGTTTCGTCCGCAATATCCACGCGTTCGCTTATTACAGGTAAAGGCAAACCACCTTGGATTTTTGATAGATTCAACCATAAATACTTTTTTGAACTGAATGAATTTTACGGTTTTGTTGTTTTTACAGATGGGTGTTTCACTGCGACACCTGCAGCGTATCGTGAAAGATGTCACGGCTAAAGATAGCACTACGCCGGCGATAATATTATGTGGCGATTTCAATAGTTCCACGGGATGGGGCGTGCATCATCTGCTCAATAAACGTTCCGTTCCCGTTGATTTTCCGGAATGGAAAATGTGTAAGAGTGTTTTGTAGCTGCCACTCTTACATTTTACATAGTGAAACTGCTCCTCGATTCGTAATCGGCACCGTAGACGGAAAACTCTTTAACTTCTCGAATTACAATACCGGTATAAGGCGGCTACGAATTGCAGTATCGGGATAGATGCTTACCAGAACATCTTTGTGACTTTGGTTTTTTTTTCTATAAGTCTGCACTGAAGATGATGAGTACGTGGAATTGGCTTTGGAGCATCCATTTCATCTCTTCAACGCATGTGGAGAACTGCAATACACGAACTATACTGCTGGGTTCAAAGCAGCCATCGACTGGATCTATGCCGATGCGCAACAGTTGGATAGCCGCTTCGTCATCCCCATGCCCACGGAGGACGAACTCTCAGCATTTACAGCAATTCCTAGTCCAGTTTTCCCATCGGATCATATTGCTATTGGCTGTGATTTACACTGGAAGGCATGATCCGTTTTGAATGTTTTGTTTTTCGGGATCGTGTTCGGTGTATTTGAATTTTGAATTGTTCGGTGAATTTTTTATATTTTTTGTTTCATCTTGCAGTTTTTAACTGCAGCTCCAGCCTGTGAATTGTTGTTACTTGAACGAGATACGCCTGAAAAACGCGCAGCCTGTGTTGTACCATTTTTAAATTATCATGCTGCCAGTCGTTAAACTAGAGTAGTTGCATTATACACGTAGATATAGTACGAGCTATGGTACGAGTACCGTATATCTAACGATAAATGTCAATTTGAACTGTTAAGCACTTTCCAGATTCTAGTTGCTTTCCCGCGTATCAACCGATTTCTTTTCATGGATTTAATCTACGAGAGTCTCATAGATGATATCATAATTATATAGATATAATACGAAGGTTTTATGTGCTCTCTTGAAGTCTTTCCTTCTATCAGTCGATAAAATCCATACCATTTTGACGAGTTTAATTCAAAACAGTCCCAGCAACACGGCTTAGAAATTTCTCACTTTTGGAAAACTGAGTGGAAACATAACACGATAAAACTTTAACAAATGGTGAAAAACATAAATATGGAAAGTGATTTGCGACGACATGGATTCTTTCCGTTGAGATAAGTAGAAAGTAAGTAAACTAAGCTAACTGAACATCGAACGAGGATCTTACGACATGGCTGCTTTTCCCAAAATACGAGGACATCCAACTGAGGTCGATCGATCATCCTTACAAGTTGTTGCGGACGTATTCGATGAGGCATTCCGCGCAGTCCTTCTGTTGTTTAGCATTGGCATTGCAGGTATCGTGCAGCCAGTCCTGGAACAGTTCTTGATCCTTTTTCAACACCAGAAACTGGCCCAGAACAACATACGCCTAAAAATCAAAATTATGAAGAAATCAGACACCTTTTCCTGATGCGAACAAAACTAATAATAAGTTTAATTCTACTGGTTAGCAAAATGACTGGCTACGTTGTCAGCACTCTATCAGCAGGCAGCACTACAAAATGCACAACAACGGTACTGTAATACAGTTTACGGTTCACAGAATAAAATAAGTACCTCTTAAATTCTCCTTCCTCTAGACAGAAAATGGAAGAGAAAAAGTAGTTCACACTATCCGTACCTTATCGTAGCCTTTTTCCACCAAACGTTCTCCCAGCACATCCCCAATTCCGGCCAACGCTGTCACGGGCTTCTCTCCAATGGGTTCATCCTGGAAAGCACGGTGTTTCTGACTGGTAGAGGCCATTGTTCACGCTGCGCCAACGGTAATACAGAACACCAAGGACTATACGAAATGTAATATCGCGGGCTTCCCCGATCTTCCCGTAATCGTCCGCCTGATCAAGGTAGCAGTCGCGGATTTATAATCTTATCAGATACTCGGATTCAGAAAAAAGTGAGAATTTGATGGCCACAGTTCTTTAGTCAAAATTATGATTTCAGAGACCCAAAGTGCTGACATCAGGCGTTATGGTAGTGGGCGCCTCGGTAGAAGCGGAAACGGCCGTACACGTAGACGCCGACAAGAGCGGCTGCCTCGTCGTATCTCGTCCACCCTCGGGATCCTTTCTCAGTCAAAACAATGGTAAAAAATTTTGTTTAGCATCTTTTAAAGTTTTAGACTTCAGAGTTCATTCAGTTATTTACCTTTGTTTATTTAGCGCTATGGTTTGGTGATGGATCATTACAATGCGTTGACTGCCGGCTTATTATGAGTTTAAATATAATCCGCTGCCTGCATCGGAAAGCATCTCTCTCGTTGTTACGGTATCCTTCACAAATCCGGAACAATTTCGTGTCACTAGCGACTGCCCGACTTCATCACACCACAGCATCAGTTGAGTCTGTGTTTCCTCTGGGAAAATCCCGTGTGTTAAGTGTGTTCCAGTCCAAGTGAGTTGAGTATCAGCCTCAAGGTTAGTATTCGTGTATCAGACATTTTTTGTTCGAAGGGTTTGTGCATTAACGACAATGGCTTCCCATCAAGAGAATCGGCTGGCACAAGAAAAATCACCTTATCTGCTGCAACACAAAACTAATCCCGTTGACTGGTGAGAAAAGTTGAAACAGTTACAGTATAATTATGGCAAAGCCGCAACAAGCACCGAATGGTTTCGGTTATGATTATGTTGCGAATTTTCCCGTGTTTTAGGTATCCATGGGGTGTGGAAGCCTTCGAGAAGTCAAAACGGGAAAATAAGCTGATTTTCTTATCGGTTGGCTACAGTACGTTTTCCTCCCTGATAATTATCGCTAATTAACTTTAAAAAAACCTACGCTGCATTTTTTGGGAAAAAGTGCATATATTGTAGTTAATCAGTGTAAACGAATTGCGGTCGTTCATTTTGTTTTTGCAATTTTTTACTCTGTTGGTGTTGTATGTGCTACATATACGTAATACGCACACAATGTATACTCGATAGTTAGTTTTTTCGTTTTTCCGAAAAATAGGTTAAATTTATTAAATACTGTTGCTGCTAAACGATAGTGGCAAAACTCATAAATGCGGTAGATTCTGTCCCGTTGATTTTAGTTTTTACTGTAGATTACTGTGCTATAATCTGTTACAAATAGCAATAAACGGTTACGATTCAGGTTAGCCGAAACGAAACTGAATTGACAGAAGTGCACTGTTTTGGCTGCAGATTAATTTAATTTATTTTCCAGGCACCTGTCACTGGTGTCATGTTATGGAGCGGGAATCATTTGAGAATGAGGCCATAGCCAAAATTATGAACGAAAATTTTGTCAACATTAAAGTGGACCGCGAAGAGCGTCCGGACGTTGATAGGATTTATATGACATTTATTCAGGTGACTTATGCTTTACTTAGGCTCTAGCTAAAGCCGAAGTCAGACGTCATGATTTTCTGAAGACAAATAATTATTGTATTATGAGTATCATACTTTTTTGCAATATTTGTATCTAACCGAGCTGCGTTGTGCAGAAATGATAAAATTGGAAAAATCTTAGTCTCATCCAGTTTAAACGGCGCTACATCACATACCCTTATTTAACGCCATCTGATAACATTCGCTTACACGGATTGGTTAGTATGTGACTATGTGGTGAATTAGCGTAGTGTAGTGGTCGCTAACGTTCCAGCAGTATTGTAGTTTGACTGCTGATATAATACTGATACAGATTACCCCTTAAAGTGTTATAAATGTTATAAACGCCGGTCTTTCTGTTGGTAAGATATTCGCTTTTTCGAATGCAAGAAGGTATTTTTTCGGGTGTCGCTTTCGTTTTTTAATGGGGCCTTCTAAAATTTCGTTATAGGCTACGCAGGGTGGCGGAGGTTGGCCAATGAGCGTTTTCCTGACGCCGGATTTGAAACCTATCACGGGCGGAACGTAAGCTGTGAAGTGCAGTATTTTTTATAAATACCAAACAGTGTTATGTTACAACATGCTGTATATCGCACAGGTACTTTCCGCCTACTGATCAGTATGGTCGGCCTGGTTTTCCTGCTATACTGAAGAGAATATCTGATGTGGTTAGTTTGGATTATTTTCCTATTCGAGTTTTCCTTATATTGCTTTTACCCAACATAGTCTGTATTCTGCAGTGGAAACATCAGCATGCAGATGTCCAGCGGCAAAGCACGGCGCTGATGGAGGCATTACGCAGTGGGGTCATCAGTACGACGGATCCTGATGCGCAAATGCCCACGGAAGCGACATTTATTCAGTGTTACAACAGTTATGCCAAAAAATTCGATCAGGCTCAAGGTGGCTTCGAAGGGGCTCCAAAATTTCCTTCACCCGGTAACATTTTTTATGAACTGCGTCAGAATTTCCGGGCCTTAGCCGATATGACACTTTTCGTTCTATCATTGATCCAGTCATTTAACGACATGTTTGCTCGTTATAGTGAATTTTAATTTCTTGTTTCGAGCCAGCATGCTGCCGGATGCTAAGACAAAAATGCCGAAAGCCAGGGAAATGTGCTACAAAACTCTGGACTGTATGGCTAATGGTGGAATATACGATCATATCGGATTTGTATGTTTGTTTACTTGATTAAATCAGACTTGTACGGATAGATCTTTGTAAATGGCAGGGTTAATGTAAATGGTTGATCTTAATGTGATCTACAACGTTTTGTTTTATTAATTTTTGTTAAGTTTTCAGTCGGGTTAACAGATAGGTGCAATGAGCATCAAGCTCTATTCTTTCTTGCATTGTTTTCAGGGATTTCATCGTTATTCTACGGATGGAAACTGGCATGTGCCACATTTCGAGAAAATGCTGTATGATAACGCTCAGCTTTTATCGTCATATATCGAAGCTTTTCAGGTACAGCGAATCTGTTTTATAGAATCCATCCGTAAGTTGAAATCTTTTATTTGTGATTACGACATATCTCGTGATGCGCTTTTGCATAGGTTCAGTTTGCCGGTGTACAATTAGGTATTGTTCGAAAATTCCAATGATGCTACTCGTATTTTTTCAGCTCTCAAAAAATCCGGCATATGCGGAAATTGCCCGGAATATTGTGGAGTATATTTCGCGAGATATGACAGATCCGGTAATGTAATTAATTTCTAATCTGATTTTTATATGTTTTCCTTGTACGTTATACGGTGGAAAGCGCGAAGTTGTTTTATTGCCTTTCAAATTTTTCTGTATTTACTGAATACTGACTTCATGCTTAACGATTTAGAGCGGGGAATTTACTCAGCCGAAGATGCGGATTCCCTTCCACCAGATGGAACTGGTCATAAGAAAGAAGGAGCGTTTTATGTTTGGACGCATGACGAAATTGATAAAGCGCTTTCCGAAACGGTGCTAACATCGACGGGCCAAATTACCCGTGCAGAAATTTTTAAGCGTCGGTTTGATGTCCAGAAAAAGGGAAATGTAGATCCACATCAAGTGAGTCGGTTAGGCAATGTCTACGAGTAGACATAAAATAATTAGCTTTCTGCTGTTTACGATTGGATTCGGGTAGGTGGTCGGTGGAACCTTTGTTCGAAATCCTACTTTAAATGCTTTCATCTTGTGCAGTTACCGTACAGCGTATTACGTATACTTTATACATGACATCTTTGCTATAAGTTTTGCCGTCTTTTAAGATGAACGTGTACATTCACTTGGAAACAATATAATATTGCTAGTATCTTTTATTTTTGACATTATTCAGTTTAGTTTCAATCTTTGCAATAACAGTTATTATCATACTGATCCGGATTATTGAATTGGTGCGTCGGCTTCTAGGATCCGCATGATGAACTTCGAAATCAAAATGTTCTAATAATCCGACACAGTGTGCACGAATTAGCCGAACACTTCGGTCTTTCCAATCAACAAGTGGTTGATATTTTGGAGGATAGCCGGAAAGTGCTCTTTGATATTCGCTGTCGGCGTCCACGGCCACATCTGGATGATAAGATGATAACAGCTTGGAACGGGTTGATGCTTAGCGGACTGAGTAAAGCTGCTCAGGTAAAAACGTTGTACTATTCTGTCCATTATAAAAAACGCTATTATTATTGTCAAAAACGTCATAGAAACTACTTTAGTAAGTACTCATGCAAATAAAGCTCTTACCGCTGTAGTTGTTAAAGATTGATTGTACAGTACTGTATAGCCGTTGTGCACAATGTGCAATACGATTGTTGATTGCTGCTGTATAGAAGGATTTCAGGGACAAATGCGGGTAATAGTGTGCTTCGTACTTGCGAGAATGATATTACGAGTACATCGGCGAAAGCGAAATACATGTAGATCTTAATTAGAATGTTAACGTTTGTATTATTGCCTGTTTTTCGATAGTTGATATTGTGAATATAATTTTTAGGCCCTGCAAGACGAGTCGATACTGTCTAAAGCCAAACAAATTGCGTCCTTTGTGGAACAGTATTTATTCAATAAGGAAAAGGAGATTCTGTTGCACAGCGTGTACAAAAGTGAATCGGCTCCTTCTCAAATGTATGGAATGCACAAACCTGTTTTCCACAGTCATTATAACGGAAGAATTATGTTGTATAGAAATCAGCCCATCGAAGGATTCTGTGAAGATTACGCCTGTTTTATTCGTGGTTTACTTGACCTGTACGAAGCATCGTTCCGGCCTGAATACCTGCGATGGGCATTCACGTTGCAGCGCAAGCAGGATGAACTGTTCTGGGATACAGATGATGGGGGATACTTTTCCTCGCATTCAGGAGACAAAACACTATTGTTGCGCTTAAAAGAAGGTTAGTCGGATTACGCTAGTATCACGGTAAATCTGGGAAATGCTAGTAGCTGCTGTTTTGTTTTCTCGATGTTTTTTATATTTGTTTTCGTGGTTTATAGAGTACCTTGGTCAGTGTCCAGTATGTTACTGAATGAATGTGTTGTGCATAACTTCGTACATTTTTTACGAGTACCGCATTGCGCAAAATTAAGCGAAAGTTGACGTAAAAGCAGAACGTGTTGTTTTATTGCAAAATGGAGATACTACAGAAATTTTAAATTATGCACCGAATGTTTTTACTGGTTTGTTCTGATCTTGGTTCGCATTACAGAATCAGACGGAGCGGAGCCGTCGCCAAATTCAGTGTCCTTATCCAACTTATTGCGCCTATCTCTAATATTCGATAACGATGACTGGAAAAAGAAAGCAGTGCGCATGTTTCTGGTCTTCAGTGATCGTTTCGAGAAGATTCCCCGTGCGGTACCGGAAATGGTATCGGCATTGATGTTTCATTTACACAGTCCCATTCAGGTGAGTGCGCGCTTGAAAAGAACTGCTTGGTTGCCTTTTGGATTAGTTCTGGAAATTTGTTATCGCGATGAAATCGTTACTTTTACAGTCTGACAATTGTTTAATAACGCAAATGCACCAAAGTAATGCATTATTTCGTTAGATTGTGATTTGCGGAGAACGACGTGATCCAAAGATTCAGGAAATGATAGCGACTGTTCAGCGCGCATATTTACCGTTTAAATGTTCGGTGCTGATGGACAAGGAAAATGTGGAGGTTTTGAAACCGCTGATGAACGACCCCGCCACTTTTGTGGCCGCGGGATCATCCGATGCGGCCAGTGTTCATATGTGCAGAAACTTCGCGTGTGGAGCGCCGATACAAGACATTAAACAGCTCGAGAAGCAACTTTCGCAACTGGTATGATATTGTGGTACTGTAATTCGAAAGTTGTTCGGAAATCAAACAAACTGTTTACTTATTGTTAGTCTAATGGAAATGTGCCAAATGTTTCGCAATATTAAAAGGTTTTTTTCTGGTGCGCTAGTCTGTAACACTGTTGTTGTTTCTCGATTTGGTGAAAAAGTACCGTAAGGGTTTTTAAAAAGTTCAATTAAATAGTTTGTAAAGTTATAAACTTTTTGTAAACTTATATCGCACTGGTATTCTGTTGGTAGATGTTTTACTGACTTGTGACCTACTGATTAATTTTATGAGTAGTTGCTCTTTACGTACTGCATCTGCGGTTTTGACAGAGAATACTTTCCTACACGTTGACACATTAGCTGAAACCAAACCCCAGAGGAGATTCAGAAATTCATTTATTGCCGCACAAATCGAAAACAACTACTGAGTAAAACATGCGCTGTACAAGTTATACAACCATGGTCTCAACGGACTCAGATCCAATAGATATCATTGTGGTTGTCGGCGCTTTTTAGGTTGTTTTTGACTAACTTCAGAGTTCATATCTGCGTCCATCGAATCCAAGGTTACGCTGAATTTCTGTGCCAGTGCAGACAATTTTCCCATTTTCTTTTTCATGCGGGCGTCAGATCCCGATTTCTGAGTAGCGTCTTTTTTAAGCTGACGGTTTTCTTCTGTCAATCGCCGGAACTCCGCATTCACATTTGCCACTTGCGTCTTCAAGGGTTTAACAGCCCCTTTCCACTTGGCGGCTTCAGTCTTAAAGTGGTTAACTATTTCCTTCGAATTTCCGGAAAGCTCTTTTTGGGACTTCTGAGACCACTTTAAATCTTCGGTCATCGATCGCACGTTGTTCCACTAGAACAGTTACAGGCCCGGATGATGATCACATTCTAGGTACGAATATAAACTACAAAGAAACTTTACCATGTTGACCAGTGCCGCCCATCTCTGCACCTGCGGCCCGGACAAGTGAATGTAAGTGCCGGCTTCCTGGGCTTTTTAGCAAAGCGCGTCCGAAACTATCCATTAATGTGGTGATATTTTTCTCCTTAACTGCCTGCTCCTCTTCCATGGGATCCATTTCTTCCAGAGACTCAGATATTAGAAAACACTGTAATCAAAATGTTGAATGTTCGTAGGGATTAGGGAGATGTTATTACTACGAGTCGTATGTACGCCAGCCGCAAGAAAGTTTTCCGATGACGCAAGATTTGGCGGGTTACGCGTAAAGTTTGGGCTCCAGTGCAATTCACCAGATAGGAAGAACAGGCCATTTGTCGCTTGCGCATCTAAAATTATCATCTACATATGATATTCACTTGCATGCCGACTCATATTGGCTCGACACTGGTTCTCCCTGCTTGATTAAACACCGCCTCCGTGCGCGCAAAATTACTGTATATGCGCGGTGATTGCGCACAGGCTACGTCCGCTAACCATCCGTGAGGGTTTTCAAATTCCTTTGACCTTTGAAATCAAGTTTCGCCGTTGATCGGTTTGGTCTAATTCGATTTGTTTGGTTTCCGTATCCCACATTGCACGATCCCGTTTCATTTGTTTTGCTGTATAATGATGGCGGATTGGGAGGAGCTGCAAGAAATCAGTCGGAAGGCACTGGCAGCGGTAAGTTTAACGTCTGGTACTGCTGTTTGGCGTTTGCTACCGTAGGTTTTACATTCTGTTACGGCCTTGCTGTTAACATTTTGACCCTTTTTTTCAGTTTCAAGCCCAAATGCGCAAGGAAGAAGAAGAGCGTGTCCAGGCTCTGGCTGAGCTAGAAATGCTCTTGGCTGAGGTTCGTAACGAAGTGAAGGAAATCGTTCCAAAGGCTCGACGACCAAGGATGAAAGATCGCATAAAAGACCAACAGCGTCGCAAGGCCAGATTGCAGAAGGATGAAAAGAGGTGGCGTCGTATGGAACGCGACTTGAATTCGTGCGCCGCGAAACTCCAGCGGTTTGTCCGAAATCAACGAGCTGCCAAGATGAAGCGTGCGTAAGCGCCGCAGTTACAGAATTTTCGTTGTAGGTTCGATGCGTTGGTCACCAACGCAAATCTTGTAATTTTGCACCAACGGTTGGTGCAAGATTACATAAATTTTTGTGTTATTTGAACAACTTGTGGTTAAGATTTGTGGTACAATGTACATATTTTATAACACATTTGGATCCCATTATGAGGTGTTTTTATTTTATTCAACATGTGAGATGGAACAAAATTTCGGAGATGCGTTATCATTCATGTACTTATTACTTGAATGCAGACACTTTTTCGTATCCGAATAATTAATTTATACAATAATCAACGCTGAAAAAAACTCAAACCAATTCACATTCACAACATCGCTACTCCATCACCATCAATCAACCACAACTCCAAGAGTGTTAGTCAATCAACATGCCATCACAGATCAGCTCTTCAAATGCATGTACAACTTCCCGTTGATATTCGTCTTTTCAGGATTGAGCCGTTTAATAATTTCGCCCAGACGACTTTTCAAATCCTCAGGTCGAATCCCGTGCTTAGTGACCAATTTCTTGAGGAGCTCCTTGGAAGTCAGAGGCTTTCGGATAAGATAAGACCGAATGTATGCTTCCAGTTTTCTACACAAACAATGCAGAACAATTTCCAAAACCGCTACTCTAAAAATTAGTAAAAGTTCATCCATACAGCCACGAAACGTAGCCAACGTAACGTACAAAACATAACGAAGGAATTAATTCTCATAACTCTACATAAACGACATACAACATTACCAGCCCCCGTTTCATAAAAAAACTCGCGTTATTACAACAGCAACTTCGTATGCATTTAGTATTATGCAAAATTATCGTAGACTCGCAGTATGACGCCTATTATTACCGTGCTACTTAGTCCGAAGTGTAAACGGTTTTCAAGACAACCAACAAAACAGGTGCACATGCAAAGTGCGACGCACAAAGTTTTTGTAAAGACAAGCTTGTAACTGTAACGAATGCAACTCTAACTAGGAGACATGTTTCAAAAATCTTTAGTAAAACAATTTTTAATCAGATACTATTTTAACTACAACATTTTATTTAATATGAATTTACCCGTCAGGAGTCGTAGCCGGGCCGCTAGCACCTTTTCCACGTTTACTGGCAGTGGCCGGTGATTCGCTTTCCAGTTTACGCTTGCCTAAATCGTATAAAAATTACATTGCAGAATGCACCGCTAAAAACCCAGTTCGCGGAAGCATACCTTTCCCAGTCGCGCTGGCCACACCCTGGGGCTCCTTGGTAATGCGTGTCGCTGATCCAGATCCACTGGCAGCGCCAGCGACAGTTTCCACACTGTCGATCTTCCTCTATACGAAACATTGCTACCCTGAATGTCCCTGATCATCTATTCGAAATGCCCTGTTTGCTTTACAATTAGATTCACTAGTTTCCGAAATTAAATAGTACAAAATTACAAATTACTCCATTCATGCCTAAGTCTACACTTTCACTCGTGATCACGTTTTATCATTAAACTACGAGGCGAAAAAAGTTGATCGTTTCCATCTTTACAGATACGAAAGCTTTACCGCTGCAGGCAAAACAGAGTCGGCCATCGCATCGAAATCCTCTTCCTCATTGTCACTTTCCGAACCAGCTATGTAAACAGACCCAAGAACGAAATTAATCATCCCAAAATACAAAAGAGTGACGGTAAAAAATCAAATTACCGTTATCGTCACCAGTTCCGTCCGCTTTATCTTTTTCGCCTTCTTCCTTCTCCTCGTCATCGTCGTCGTCATCTTCCATTTCTGCGACTTCCTCATCAACACCCTTCAAAGCGATATCTTCCAATGCTCGATCCAGATCATCAACTCTGTTGAACAGCATTTCGAGGAATACGGGATATTGTTAACTAACTCAGTTAAACTCGCTTACTCAGATTCCGCTGAAGATTCGTAATCCACTTCCCGATCTTCATAATCACCGTCATCACTCTCTTCCGCTGGCTCTCCATCTTCTTCATCCCCTTCTTTGTGCTTTCGCGATTTCTTCGGTTCTTTCTTGGGTTTGGCTTTGCCTTTTTTACCTTTCTTGGCGTCTAAACATACACATGCGGTTATTATTAGCTTATCGTTATTACAGTACTTACATATTTACTAATGTGTCACGTCTATAGATACGCGCTTATCTAATTACGAGTACCAATGCCCACAGTTTTAAGAACCGAATTTACTGTATAACAAAAGTAACAATCATTTAACTTTTACAGCAACAAAAATTCTTTAAACTGAACAATGAAGACACAGGAGACGCAAAGCATACGTCACGCAAGAGGGGACAAATTGGAAAATTTGAAGGGATTTCGATTACTGTGAGTGTTAAAGAAGAGGATTATAAAGAAAGCCAATCATGACTGACATAACCATTAAGGAAACGGAAAAATTTCTAGAGGCCCAGTTTTCGTAAGATGGATAAAAGCATACTTCAGCACAAACGCTGCGGACAATCTTACTAACCTCCTGAAATAGCTTCGGTGTCTCCTGCTGCACCTTCCTCATCCGAATCTGACATTTCACCTGGCATCAGATCGTCATCACCATCGCTAATTTTCTACCGAAAAACATGGAGTTTCACTAACCATAAATTTTTTATACGGTAATACCCGCCCACTCGTTAGAATTACTGCAGCATTATGTGAATTTTATAATTACGTAAATTCTCGCTGTAATCATTGTAATCACTCATACCAGCTTGGAGCGTGCACCGCGAACAGGCCCGCTGGCTGCCGCACTTCCTTCGCCGGTTCCTTCTTCTTCCCCTCTTCGTTCTTCCCGAGACGTTTCTTATACATGAGATTGAAGTAATTGAACACTTTGTCACGCCTAGAAATCAAACATATCTATTAATAACGTCACATTGCTGTATATACACTATAGAGTACATAAATAGTGCGAAAAGCAATATCGGACAGCAGCATTACAAAAACAATTTACAGGTTGCACAACTTCTTCTAACAAGCAAATACTTACTTTCCAAAGGCTTCTTCCGCTTCTTCAGCATCCAGTGCTTTATAGCGCTGTACAGGAACAAACGTATACCACTCAGAGATCGGATATGCTTCAATCACACCACCAGTTGTGGAAAACACATAGTAGGACGAATTGTCCTGCACGCCACCTTCCCGTGTGCCTTTGTACCTAAAATACACCACAAATGTTCAACGAAACGTTATCAATTTTCTGTGTGGTAAACGATTAAGTGAAAAACCAAAATACAGTTTCAGAAAACACCTGTGCGATTCAGGATAATAAGAAATAATGTGAAAGTGTGGAGAAGACGGACAAAAAAAATGGATGGTAAGAGGAAAACAAAAACACCACAGCAGTCAGAATAAAACGTAAAAGTAGAAAAAAAACAGCAGTGGAACAACTGATTTAATTTCCAATCTCCCATACGTAAAAGTGTTACGGTAACACCATTACGAACTGTACCTACTTCTTCTGCGACGAAGTGTCCGTCATGATCCAAGGAGAATCTTCATTGCCTGCGCGGCGGGTAAATCGCCGTTTTCTTGCTTCATCACGCTTCTCTTTACCGAATTCGCTGCCAGCGCCAACTTTCGGTGCTGCTTTCTCATCTTCTTCAGTTTTCGTCACATCTTCTGTAACGCGCTTTTCCTTTGCAAATTCTGGCGCGTTCTATATACAAATTTTAAAAAAAAGCGACATCAAATAAGTGGCCTTATTATTTTCTTGTTCCGTAAGTCCGTTTAAAATCGAACTCATTGTCAGCTACAATTCTGAATAACAAAACTACCATAAGAACACTGTGCATTATTGTATGATGAGCAAATCGACTGGATAAGTACTGTCACAGTGTCACTTAATTAATCTGATTCGTACACTTAATTAATCTGATTCGTACCTTTTTCCAGGTAGCGAAATCGATCCCGAGAGTGTTGCTGAATTTGGCCACAAAAACTTTCCGATCATGCTTCCTGAAAAAAATTCCATAATACCAATACCGCTAAAAAATACCAATACAGATACGAATTTCGCCTGGCAGAGCAAAGTTAAAAAGCGCAAGCTGGGCAAGCAGCAAAACGGAAGTCAAAGCTCAGCACATAATTTTAACACTTACTTCGGCACCCGCAGCTCGAAAGTTTTCGTATTAGCATTCGACTGGGACGACGGCATCGAGGACCCAGACGCTTGTGACTGTGAAGAAGCTGGAGTGCTCGCATTCGAAGGAGGTTTAGTAGTGGCCGGAGTTTTCGTGCTTGCCGACATTATGGATCGAAAACTGACGAAAAGACTGTAGGAAAAGGAAAACTACGATGAAATGGAAACCGCAGTGTCTTAGAGAACAGGCCCTTGACACAGTCCACCCGCTGAGAAATATGTGGGAATCTCAACAGAAACCTTACCAAGGGCAACAGATGTACGAAAACTTCAGCATAAAAAAAGGTAAAAATGATGACAGACAAATCCAAGTCACAAAACTTCGCGCGAGAGTAACAGGACGGAAAAAGTCACAACAAAATTTTTAAAACAAAAAAGAAATAATATCGAGGGTGTACAGGGTAACGGTGTCTGCACTACCAGTTTTGTTTCGTTTACCATTAAGTCATTATTTCTAGTTGGCTGTTGTCGTGGATTTCCGGTATCCAGGTAGCCCGTAAAAATAACGACCAGCCCAGTGCTTTCGTCATCGCGAGAATTTATTTACCGCGAACGAGCTCCACGTCGGCGCAATTAGCAACATATGCCAGCTGTGGAGTGTTGTTAACCAAATTTTTTGTAACAAATCCCTTTTTCCGCAATCGTCGACAACATGTCGAAGTCCGGCGGTGTAACGAGTAAACCACTGGATAATTATTCCGACACGGATTCATCCGCGCTCTTCATTGTTGTTGGTGTTCTCTCGCTGGTTGGAATTGCTGTGCTCATCTGTAAGCCGTAAGATTCCAGAATTCGCCACATCTGTTAGATGTGTTATTACTTATTACACTCTTAGAACGATTATAGGAATTTTTTGTGCTGGCTTGTTTTAGTTTATTATCTTATACGAAAGCAATCCCACAAGCTCCAGTTTGTTCTACTCATGGGAAGAAATGGCGCCGGAAAAACAACATTGTTTGCTAAGGTACGTCGCCAGTCTGCGAACATTTTAGAGTAGTGCCTGCTTACTACCTTCGTGTCTCCTACGAATGGTTTATGTTACAGTTGACACAAGATCGCAACGTCCTGACAGTCTCGTCTCTCATAAAAAATATCGGTTGGACTAAGAATTTGTTCCCAAAAGAAACGGTAAGCACCAAATATACCCAACAAAAAATTTAGTTTTTCAAAACTATTTCTTGACAGAAAGAACTGGTGGATTGAGCTCTGCTTTCCTGTAGTTTTTAGTTTTTTCTGAATAATTTATGGTTGTACGTTAAAGTACTGTAATTCATATTATAATGTTCGGTTTGTTGCAGTTATGAGTTATTATGAATAAGTGATCGAGCTGCACTTTCAGATGTAGCTCGTAATCATGAAATGGATAATTAATCTACAGCTACTCTGCTACTGTACGATGTATGTACATGCAGTAGGTGCTGTTTTATATTAAGTATTCAAGCATTTTGGATTTTGCTGCCCATTATTTGAAATTATTGTAATGCACATATGGACGCGTAGTACGTATATAATATGCTTATTTGGGCGTTAATATGATCATTTTTGTTTCTTGTTGTAGAAAAGAGAAGTGCAGCTTATAGATATTCCCGGATTTGAGCGAATTCGATGGGATGTCTTTGAAAGCAACAAGGCACTGTGCAAGTAAGTTCGCAATAAACGCCCTCTAATTAAACTGATGCATGTCACTCCCATTTAGCTGTGCCATTGGCGTAGTTGTCTTTATTTGAAGAATAATTTTTAGGGGCATTGTGTTCGTTCTGGACAGCGTGACGATCGCAAAAGACGCTCAAGAATGTGCAGAGTAAGAAAATAGATTTTCACGGTTTGCGGTAGCAGAACTTCATGGAATGGTTTTGCTTGAAGCATCCTCTATCGAATTCTGGTTGATCCTGATATTCAGCGCCGGAAAATTCCCATTTTAATTGCGTGCAACAAGCAAGGTAATAGGCGACCCGTATTTTAATCTATGATAAAGTTTTTAATTGTGGAATATTTGAAGTACTACTATCAGCATAATGAGAAAATCGGCATGCATTATGTACAGTACGATTTTTAAAAATTCGTCACAGAATTACGGATGAATTTACTTATGCGTATCGTACGGTGCAGAGTTCGAACTACGGTATGACTCTTGTTTTGCAGATGAAGTCGCGGCTAAGGATGTTGATGTCGTAAACGAGTTACTCGAAAAAGAAATGTGAGTTTACCTCCTCTAATAGGTTCCGGCAGTTTTTTAATGGGCTCACAGTTATAATTTGTATGTCAGCTTGTGATGGTTATTTTTTCTTTTTCAGGAATTCAATTCGTATTACGAAATATAATCCCTCTACGAAGAAAGGCAACAAAGCCGAGTTTTTAGGGAAGATGGAGAAAGATTTTGCATTTTCCCAGTTAACGGGAAATAAAGTCATGTTCAGCAAATGTATCTGCAGGAGCGAAGAGTCAAACGAGGGCGATGATATAAACGGCGTTGTGGAGTTTTTAAGAACGTTGTCATAGTTTCGTTTTTACACAGTTTACGTCTCTATTCGTAAATATTTTTGTTCTCGTGTTTGTTTCCCTTTGTTTTTCGGTTAAAAATTTTGTACATGGATACGCCATTACGAAGAATAATGCACGAGTATTGGCATGTTGTTGCTGGTATCTACAAAGAAAATAATATCCGCACAAAAAGTTCCAGTCGTCGGCAATGACAACAGTGGTGTTAGCATTTGCTAACTGGTTATTGCCTAAACGGCCAAGTTTTTGTAATTTTGGGTTTCCTGATTTTGAATGTTGTAATATGCAGCAGCCGATAATTTTTCGCTAAACAACCATGCAAAAGCAAGCACAGCTTATCTACCATTTTCGTTAGTGCCGTTAGCGTTTGATCATGACAGACTAACGGTGAGAAAATGGTTAGCATTACTGCATTAGTGAAACTACATCTGGTTCATGGCTAACTTTGAGAATCTGCGTGGATATTTTGTTGTACTGAAGTACTTGAGAAAATATTGTGTGCAAACAATATTGTAGAGTGTGTTACGCGAGATAGTCTTAGCGCAGAAAAATCACTGTCAAAATGTGTATGAATGACCATAAATTCTAGCATATACACAGCACTTATTACTAAATTAGCGGACGCTGTTGTAATACTGTACTCGTCCGTCCGATACGATATTTAATATGCTCCTAATCAAAACGCTACAGATACAGTTGCACATCCAAAAACTCCGGCATCGTTGATTTAAATCGATTTAGCAAATACAGGAAACGCTTTGTATTTAAGGAGTGAAATGCAGTACTTATGATGCCGAATTCCGTTCAAAATGCCGGTAACAGACAACTTTTTACATCACTAAAAGAGTAAATATCTTATTTCATAGGGTGCAGGCCAGTGGCTGTTTCTTCGAAATAACGCTGGAATTTATCGCGATGTTGTTCCTGGTAATAGGAAGGCCCACCACGTGCCCAGAAGTAACCCTGGTAGTCCTGGCGCTCTGTTTGCAGAGCATCGATCTTGTTTTCTAAACGCGACATCCGCATTTTGTCCATTTCCGCGCTCATAATATGCATCAAACGTTCGTACCATTCCTGTGGTTGTTGAATCCAGTACCTACGTCGGAAAATTAAATATTACAGACTACAGAGTGCGAATTCAGAAGTCTAATACTGTGTAAACTAGCATTATAAGTAATTTTTAGGAATGCAAATCTTTACCAATCTACTGTAGCACGCTTTTAAAGGAAATACAGAATACTCGTATCGTAGAGACGGTAGAGTGCGAAATACGACCACAATCCGACCACAATCCAGAAAATCCATATCATCAAACAATATGATTTCGTTTTCAACGAGTTAACTTTGCAAGTTTCAGTAATTATTTTTGTAAACAAAAACTGATTATTATTCAAAAGTTTATTATTTAAAACTAGATATGTAGCACATCCATAATCGAGGGAAAAGCGCAGTATATAGTTTCAACAAAATCGCTGCCTAAAATTCAAATTCTGGAATGCATTATGCATTATAAAACACTGAAAACTACAACTAAAAACTAAAAGGAAAAATTACCCACTAGTGACTAGTACATGCAGTACGATGTCAAATCTGCCAGAAAGCTATTTAAGAAATGAATGTTTAAGAATATTTCGCAGAAGAACTAGACACAAACTGATGCAGAAGCAATAACCACAACGACAAGCGAAAATTATGATCTAACTTACCACCATTCATTACTTTGGTAATGCTGAGCCAGTTAATCATATACACTCGTCACTCACTTCACTAAGAATCTGGAGGTGGGGTTCTTATGGTATTCCCACTCTTTCGGATAGTATCCTTCCGGAATTTCGGCCAGCTCCGCTTCGCCATACTTCATATTAAGATAAGTCGTAAACGCCGTCAGAGGAATTACACCAAGCATGATGAAGAAATGCAAGGATTGTTTCCATCGACGCCACACATAACGGGAGGGCATAATCACAAATAGACGCTTGCCAGCCATATTCCGCTTGAAAACGATGGGCAGAGGACTATGGTGCTGCGCCGTACGTATTGGTGCAAGCGGAGACAGGGATGACTGCGAGCGAAGAGCCAGGAGAAAAATGGGACGACTGGTCTGCGTGGGAGCTCGTTGGCTGAGCAAGCGAAGACCTTGCAAACATAGCGCCATTCTGTTGGTCACCGGATGCCTTTCTGGAGTAAATTCTGGCCCAGTGGCCCCAGTCGATCAAAACAAATTTTGCAAGAATTATAAACTAGCAAAACGAAGTTACTATGAGCCAGGGTTTCAGATGTTTTTCTTGTTGAATGTTGCAGAAAAAATCGTTGCCAACAACAAGACTCTGCCAACAACAAGACTCCTAGTACAGTTTGGAAATCGACAGCTGGAGCTGGCCCAAAAAGCAGGCGAGGTGTATGGCACAACGAGCCGAGCTACATTCTGGGCGGCTCGTGGGAATTAGAAACTGGTGCTTAACTTTATGCACTGTGTCGCAGTGCAGACCGCCTATGTAGTGGACTAGCAAAGGCAGTCAGCGCTACTGCCTGCCAGTGAAAAAGCAGCTGATCGACATATACAAAGTGCAAAGATTGCAATTCCGAACTGTTTTCAGTTTTGCTACATTTCGCTGGGTGCAGCCATAAGTCTGAAATTATTCGAATTCTGTTTCGACTCTGTTAGGAAAATGATAAAAGGGATCTCCGAATTTCTTATTCGCTCCGCTGCTCTTGTTCGTCCGATGCAGTCCGCACGAGCGCTAAGTGGATCTTCGCAGTCCGATGTACGAATACTGTACATCGGATTTAAACAGTAGACTTTTGATCTGCTCTTTAGCTCTTGATTTGCCGTCTGTTTTAAGCTGGCTTTGTTGAAATGGAAATTGCAGGTCTGGAAGTTGGGAAAGCTGAACCATGTTGCTGTTGCCACTCCTGACTTGAAAGCGTCGGCAGAGATGTACAAAAATGTTTTGGGTGCCAAAGTCAGTGAAGTGACTGTAAGCGAATACTGATTGTACGCACGTGAATTATTTTCCAAACAAGATCACGATAACTAATAACTCGTGAAATGCAGTTAATAATGAAGAAAAATATTCTGATAGGAGCTTCCTGAACATGGCGTGTACACAGTTTTCGTGGAGCTTCCAAATTCCAAAATAGAGGTATGGAACTATGGTGTAGCCATTAACAGACTGCGATTGCGATGCGGTGTTGGTAAGTACTAACTTGGTAGACACTACGGGTAGATATCTACTCGTAACAGTTGGTATTTTGTGTGCTTTATTACTGTATTCGTATTCTGGAAATAGCTGGAACGAAAATTGCATGAATCCATCATCCATGAGCCGTTTAGCATACTCGCCATTACTTATTTCCGGTGACATTATTGCTTTTGCGTTGCAGACATAATTTTAATTGTTTTCAGCTACTCCATCCTCTGGGGAAAAACAGTCCCATTCAGGGTTTTTTGGACAAAAACAAAAGCGGCGGCATCCACCACATTTGCATAGAAGTGGACAACATTGACGCGGCGTTGAAGTCAGTCAAAGCGAAAAACCTGCGGGTGTTGGGCGACGGCGGCACAAAGATTGGTGCGCATGGCAAACCTGTTGTATTCTTACACCCAAAGGATTGCGGCGGTGTATTAGTGGAGCTGGAGCAGGCATGACGCTTTTAACATATTAATCTCCGGTAGAGTTAACTCATTTATGTGCGTTTCGGATCCGGAATAAAATTTATTTCTTTGTTTTTAATTTTTACAGACGTTGTTATCCATTTAAGTTGCGTAGCTCAAGACAAAATTTTGCCGCTGGAAACGGACAAATTATCGAATATGAATAATGTAAGAAATGTATTAAATAAAAATAATGAGAACAAGAATGACTGCTTTTCTAATCCTGCCAGTGCTGCGGAATCTGTTTGTCCAGTAGATTCACTCGTTCGATGCCGGCTTTATTGATGGCTGCCAAACGAACAACTCCACCACTGGCGTTATCGCGATTCATTGCCAAACTCACATCTAAAACACATAATATTATTAAATACATAGGTAATACGAACGGGGCAGTGTCAGATGCCACCGCTTGTCAGATGCCATCGATGAATTTGAATAATACGAGTATTACGCAAAATTATGCATGTATTAATTGGAAGAAAACGATTGGCCACGACATCTATCAGATTCACCTCAACATTCAATTAACTCGACCTGACCACTTAAACGAAACTGCCGTATGCCGGCCCGAGGCTACAGCAGCCCAAGTAAAGACATTAGAAGTACCCTAGTGTACCAGCGAAATTCGAACAGAACTCCTACAGTAAAATACAATACTTACAGTTGGCCACAAACTGCATACACTGGGCCTTGTTCATTCCCTTGCGATAATTCTGGTCGACGTAACCGTACACGTAAGTACTTCCGGAACCTCCCATGGCCACCGGCTGCCGCATGCACATACCTCCAAGAGGGATGGTATAGCACTGCAAATAAGGGAAAAAGCGATGGACGTAAAACAACGCTTCCTTATATTCTAAGCACTGCGACACAAAATCAACCCCATACTTCCAAGTTCCGCGTATGACAACCAAAATACAGTCGTATTCTACGTACAACACATTCAAACTGGTGAAAAGGTTCTCTTTCGGGAAAAAACTGCTTGCGGAACGAAGTAAAAGCAATAGGCAATAAATAATTGCAAAAATAAGCACTTTTCATTACGACACATGTTTACTCGATCCCTATAGCCTGTACAACGTGAAATAACGCAACTACCACAAACTCGAATAGCACAGTCAAAAGATTATCGCACGACCTAAGGTCCCACATTTTGAATAATCCCAGTCAAGCAACAAAAATGTGCACTGAAACTAACTCAGTTACAAAATGATTTGCTTGAACTACAGTCGTGCATGTACATACCTGCCCGCCTTCGTAGCGATCCCATCCGGCACAGATAATCCCGGCTGTTAAATCATCCCGATTATTGTAGCACAGCTCTTGAAAAAGCTTCGCAGCAACCCGAACTCGTGGAGCTTCACCAGTTTGCACCCTGCATAAATAACACAGCTTCAAAAACTATAATTCAAAGCCAGCGAAACATTTATCCACAATGAACCAACGAAACATCTTATGCGTGTACAATTAATGCTATTGTGTTGGATAAATCAGTTAACAATGATCATGTTGTCTGCAACAACCCATAACAAAAATCATTCAAAATATCTACAGGCTACAAGCCTACAGTACATGCGGACTTACAGTCACTTACTCAAGAAGTCCCAAATGGTAGGATACAATATCCGCAATGGCCTGAGTATCCGCTGCTGAACCAGATCGACAGCAGTAAATGTTCTGTGTCACGTGTGTTAATTTGTCCGTAAATCGGTTGCTAACATAAGTCCTACAAAAATACACAATCTTAAAAGTTGGCCTGAGCAAATTATTGCATATTTTCCGCGCGTACCCCGATGTTGTTCGTGAGTCCGCACCAAACACCACTCCCGAATCCGTGCCATCATCGTATTCGACAGCCACGATGGTCGTCTGTTAAAGTTACAGATACACATAACTGTTTGATGTTTGATACGCATAACTGTTTGATGATGAATGTAAATGGATTAGACCAGAAAATACTCCATACCCCTGTGGAAATTGGTGTCATAACGAAATCATCTTCCTTCGCGAGATAGTTATATCCTACTACGGGCTCCATGCTTTTCTCCGGGGTACAGTGATAACCTTACAAAAATTTTCACGCACAAGCTCAAGCGATAGTTTAACAGATAATTATGTGGAATTGTCGATAATCAGGAGAAGATCAGTCATTTGACCATCGGCGAAAAGAACAAATGATTTGAAATCGGAATTTCTAAAACTGGCTGGCAGTTTGTGACAGAAAAAAAACTGCAAACAGCAAACTGTATCAGTTCAGAACTGCAAAATCATGCATGGTGGCGTGTCGTGATGATCCTTGCGCATCACATTTACTAGGCGCGTCTGCTGGCGGATCCGCGCTACTTTTGCATCCTTCCCCCGAAGCCTAGCTCCGCTCGGCACTCGCATTCTCCAGCTTTTGCCTTTATTTTTTACGTTCAAAAAGTTTATTTGAGTCGAATTGTTAGTTTGGTACTTATTTGATTTTCGTTATATGGTTTGCTACATCGAAGTGGCAAATTATAGATCCTATAAAATGAGGGCTTATGTTAGTTCCGTTTATGATCGGGGATTCTGGACCCTGGTTTTCATCAGCTTCGGGATTTCTCCTGCTGAAGCAGCGCTGAGCCTGACAAAATAATATCATAATAGCATTGTTACAAGTACAATAACATGCTGATGCTGGAGTATTTGCTAATTTGCAACTGCTAAAAGCCTGAAACTGTGAAATTTTCTCCTGGCTGACAACCGAGCGGCTAGAAAGATGAAGCAGTTTACGATTGCCGCTGTTTGTTTTGTTGCTGCATTCGTAAGTGTGATCGGAATTCTGTATTTGATGAACAGAGTTCCGCAGGAGAACGCAGCGGAATCAACGCCTATGCGTGATTCGGAAGAAACATTAATCTGCGAAATGGATGCCACCAGTCTGTGCACGCATCTTCCAGGTATGATAAAAGTTAAGGTCATGTTGATAAATATGCATGAGTTATCTGTGTGTATTTGTAGTTTATCTCATTTCTTCGCTTAGCAATTTTGCCTTTCATTTGCGTTTAGAAGGTTTAGTTTAGTGGATAGGGTTAAATTCCGTATACATATCTGTGTGAAAAGTGAGTAGGACAGTTTTGAGCTCTAAATTTGAAATAATTATTCAGTATGCTTACAAAATTAGTGACTGCGCCTGCACTTATAGCTGCAATTTCCTTGATAGTGCAAAACCACCCATTTTCATTTGTTTTATAGACCTGCGCCAGATTGAGCAGTCGGTTTTGAGACGACTTCGGGAATTGGAAAAGAAGATTGCATTATCCCTGCAGGATCTGGACGATCAGAATAAGCAGATCGAAGAATTCAGATTAGAAATTTTTCGACTGAATTCCACTAAACAAGAGCTGATCACCTCCATAAAACACTCCAAAATTGAGCAGGCTGAGCTGCAGCATCGTCGTATGCCGAAAGTTGAGCAGCCTCTGCGCTTAATCAGCCAGAACATTAACAGGTAAAACTGCCATCACACTTTTTCCGCTGATTTCACATTCTTCAGGAATTTGTTTTAAACTTAAGAGAGATTAGCGCATGCGTATGTTGTAGAATGATTTTCTACGAAGGTATCACTGATTATGGTTTTTTTCCGGTACACAAAGTGCCCAGGGATTAGTACATGTTCACTATGCTAATGTTGAAATCATTAAAATTTTACTGTTCTCTCCAGAGAAAATTCTTTGATCTCGTCCGCGAAATCTTTCCAGTCCTGCACTATGGATGAATGTTTTGATTACTCGCGATGCCCGTTATTCTGGGATTTTGCGTTCTACTTGGATAATCGTCTGATTAGTGGTTGTAACTCGCAACATGCTACAGCTTTTGTAACAGCCCTCCAAAAATCAGTGTATATTTCTTCCGATGCCAATAAAGCTTGCTTGTTCATCCTTCCCGTTTGTTCCAAATCGGATTTGACAAGAATCTCGACATCCGCTTACTGGAAAGGCGATGGTCGGAATCATTTGGTTGTCTTGCTGGAAAACGATTTGAAAGATGTCCGTTTTGATGCCGGCTTGGCCATGCTGGCCGGGGAAGGTTTGCCTTCCTTTCGCCAGCGTTTTGATCTGCCTCTCGTTTTTGACCATTTCGGGATGGTGTCCACAGGGATGGATTATTTGCCGTCGCAGGTGAACTTATGGTTAGATTTACTGTAGTGTACCCATTGGAACAACATACGATTAATGTTTATGCACACCTGGCAAACGTTTTCCGAAAGTTCAGCTGCAAGCCTATTGCGAAGTTTATTTGTTGGTTAAATACGAAACTTTTCATAAGCACATGTTGTGTCCAACTAAGTAACATATCCTTGGTTTAACGTATGCGGTGAGTCGGTACTCGCTAGAGCCAAAACATTATTTAATACGTGCATCGTAGTGAAATGGTTTGTGATTTCCACCGCCACCATTATCATGAACTGTACTGGTTCTAATGGAAATTAAGAAATGTATTTGTTAAAACAATCATTTTTGCGGCTGAGTTATGCACCACTAACGCAGCGAATTTTTAAAAAAAATATCGTAATAATTATGAGACAAACTGGGTTTAGGTATTTTGACTGTGTTGTATCAGATCCAAAGTTCTCTTTTATCATAGGTGCCGGCTCGAAGGCCGAATTTCATTTATTTTCACGCCCGGTACATGGATGTGCTTCCCTCTCCGCAAGACCAGACTGTAATTCGCGCTTTGAACACAACACAAAATCCTGACGATTCCGTTTTGAAATTCACATGCGAAGCTGCATTAAATGATTCAGCTTGCCATACCAACACTTGGTGTTACTGCGAGCATCCGGAACTGAATTTTTCCCGATCCACCTTCTCGCTGGTCTTGCCAACTTCCGAGTGGGATTCGGAAGCAGTGAAGTACATCATCTTAGGCCTGAAAACCGGTGCTATTCCGGTCGTACTTGGTGCCGTAAATCTGCCTTTCTCTGAGAATATTGATTGGTCCAAAGCGGTGATTCGGCTTCCTAAAGCCCGTGCACCAGAAGTCTTAACCTTGCTGCGTACAATTCGCGATGAGGATATTATGCGATATCGTGGACACGGGCGTCGGACGTGGGAAACCTATTTCTCCTCGCCCAGTGTCATTGTCAGCGCCATGATCGATACTATTCGTTTCCGGTTAAATATTCCCGCGAAGAGTGTGGCGGATGTGAAACTAGTGGATATTTTTAATAGCACGTTCCAGCCAGTATGGCAAACGGTGCAGCGATCGGATTTGGAAGAGAATGTCGGCCCGGTGGAGGCACCGTTACCGTCGGATGTGTTCCAGAGAAATTTTTCATCGACGGGACTGGATCGGTACGAAGCTTGGAATGTGTATTTCGACGCGGGAGCGCTGTTTCCCTATAGACCATTTGGGTCTGAAATGCCGGGGGATGCCAAATTTAAGGGCTCAGAGTTTGGGTTTCGGCCCATCGCTGATGGAGCCGGTGGATCCGGTGCGGAATTCAGCGAAGCACTAGGCGGAAATTCGCCGCGGGAGCAATTTACGGGTTTGTTGGTTTTGTGGTCATATATTTGTGCTAATTTGTACTTCACACATTACTGCTTGAAACTATATTCCATTTTGTGTTTCGTGTATTATTTTGACATGAGTAATTTATAAACTATTTGCTTTGATGCAATATGCATTTTTCGCCTTCTTATTACAGTTGTGATCTTGACCTATCAGCGGGAATCCATTTTGTCAGCCACTCTCAGTCGTTTAAACAATCTTGCCCATTTGAATAAGGTCGTGGTAGTCTGGAACAGTCCCCTGGATCCTTCTGAAGCGTTAACTCTTCCTAAAATTCATGTTGCCATACATGTGAGTCTTCATACTCGGCCAAGAGCCTTGACCCAAGACGACTGTAAAGCTGTTATTTATTATGATATGTAGTAATTAATTCTGATTATTTGTTTGCGACAGGTTAACTGTTTTGTATTTCTTAGATTCATAAAGCTGAAGTAAACAGCTTGAACAATCGGTTCTTGCCGTTGAATGTGATCGAGACCGAAGCCGTGCTCAGCATGGATGACGACATTCAGCTGCGTCACGATGAAATCAATTTCGCCTTCCGAGTATGGCGAGAAAATCGCGACAGGATTGTTGGGTTTCCGGCGCGTTATCACGCCTGGGATTCGAAATATGGATCGTGGTTGTATAACTCCAATTATACATGTGAATTGTCCATGATATTAACCGGTGCTGCATTTTTTCACAAGGTTCGTTTTAGAAAAAAACTGATATTGCTTCCAACTAACTTTACTTAATTTCCCACTTTTGCAGTATTACATGTATCAGTATACGTATGCCATGCCGGCTCAGATTCGAGCAAAGGTGGATGAATTTATGAACTGCGAAGATATTGCATTGGTGAGATACAGTATTTTATACATACATGATACATATAAATGCACTTAGTGTCAGTGTTGTGACTTGTAGAACTTCTTGGTGGCGCATATAACGCGGAGACCACCGATCAAAGTAACATCACGCTGGACATTTCGTTGTCCGGAATGCCCAATCAGCCTTTGGGAAGACGATTCGCACTTCACTGAACGGCATTTATGTATCCAGTATTTTGAAAAAATCTACGGCTATATGCCTCTTTTAAACACACAGTTTCGAGCCGACTCTGTGCTGTTTAAGACCAGAATCCCGGCTGATAAGCAGAAGTGCTACAAAATTATCTAGAAATGATCTCTGAGTTATTTGTGATATATTATTTGTTTGGAAACCATATCATTTGATGGTACGTCTCAAATTTCTGTTGTCAAAATTTCTTTGAACTTGTGGCAGTTGTTGATTTTATCTTCATTTTGATTTTTTAATTAGCATGGCGTTTTTGTTTTTGCTGTTTCTGTCTGCTCTGTGTACAGTCTGCTATATACTGAATACTACCAGTTTTTGCCAGTGTTCGTTGCTGGAACAGGCGCGCAGCGTTTTAATTTTTTTAAGCTTTCTGTCAATACCATACTCTAGCCGTTAAAGTACCGGTATTGGTTCTTTTCCGATAAAGTTTTGCCCGTGAATGTTGTTAATCCGAAATCTGAATAAATGTGGATAAAGTTATATAATTATGATTTAGGATTGTGCTGTGAGAACATTGAGTACTGACCATGTGAGCAATCCTTATGCCTGCACATCAAAATATTGCATTACATAACCCCTTCCGTAGGAGACTTTCCGCAGTGCGATACGAGAACAAAATCTCGACTCTAAAAAACAAAACTGTCATTTTAAGTTAAAATAAGTTTTAAACTAGCGAGTCAAAAAGTGAAAGTAAGTATTGTATAGATAGAGTGCAACATACAGCGAGTGAACGCGTTTAACTTTATCGGTACACTCTTGCCGGCACTTGCGCTAGCACTAGACGCCACTAGTTCATAACCGGAAGTCGGAGCGAAAGCGGCTTTTATGAGTTTTATCGTTTTTAGTACGAGTATTCCTTTGAATTGTGAAATAATAAGTTACTGTTCTTCATGAGTTTTGCTAAGTTTTATTTTGCACTTGGGTTATTAATGGGAGATCCGTTGTAAATCGTAAATTAAACTCTTGCCAAGTTTTTAAATTGATTATATTGTTGTGAATCCTTGAATGTGAGTTCAGCTACCGAAACCGGAACCCGCACGCCAAGTTCTTCAATCTCAGCATTCCTCTGGTCTTTTTTTATCATGGCGCAGGCCGACGACGTGGTCTGGAGTATTCTCAACAAGCAGTTTTGTTCGTTTAAAGTGACGACAAAAACGCAGAAGTTCTGCCGGAATGAGTACAACGTGACGGGATTATGTTGCCAGACTGCGTGCCCGCTCGCCAATAGTCAGTACGCCACGGTTCGCGAAGAGGAAGGCATCATCTATCTCTTTGTGAAAACCGCAGAACGTTCACATTTCCCGTCCAAAACCTGGGAGAAAATTAAGGTTCGTAGTTATTGGGATCGCTACTTTGAATGTGCAGTTGGTCGTGGCTTCAGTAGTTTAGCTGACAACATCCAAAAGTGAATGGGTTTGGGGAACCGCAGTATGATTTGCGATTTTTACTGATTTTAATAATAATTAATATACTGTACTTTAATTGTATTTTCATTTCGGTATATGGTCTAACTTAATGCAAAAGAGCCGCGCGGGTACAGCAAAATGTTGAGTTTTTATTTTTCTTGTATCGCTCTGGTTGGCCGTTTGTCGGTGTTATAACAATTTGCATCAAAACAATTTTGCTGTTTTGTGACATTTTCGCGGTTTATCGTTTTCTGTCTTTGACAATTACTTGCAGATTGTATGGCGGATTACCCAGATAAATTTGTACGGCTTCGATTTAGGTTATTAAATATGCAAATACTGGTATGCTTAATTAAAGTTTATGTATGCGTTTTTACGAAATGCGCTTGAAAGCTATGACAGAGTTTCAAGTGAATTTGTAATATATATGGACTTATTTTAGGCTTTAGTGGTTACTGTTGCGTAAAAATCTCTCGTTTCTTCGGTTATATTTTTCTTGCAGTTTGCTTGAAATGCTGGCCTATTGCGAAACTAACTTTATGGATAACGTTTGATAATTTCATTATTTATGGTTTTGATGGTATTCTTTTAGTTATCGAAAAGCTACGAAAAAGCCTTAAAGCAAATCAACGAGCATTTAATCTACTGGCCGAAATGGATGCGGCACAAGTGCCGGCAGCGTCTGACCAAAATCACCCAGTACCTGATCACCATGCGCAAACTGGTCCTGAAACGTCAGAAGAAACTCGTCCCCATTCAGAAGAAACACGAGCGCCGGGAAGAGCGGCGCGAAGAGAAAGCCCTCCGTGCTGCCAATCTGGAGAAGAACATCGAGAAGGAACTGCTGGAGCGGCTCAAACAGGGCACCTACGGGGACATCTACAATTTCCCCCAGAAAGTTTTCGATAAGGCACTGGGTGATTTGGAAGAGGTGGACGGGGATGAAGAGCAGGATATGGAGGAAGAGGAGGACGATGAGGATGTGGGGAATGTGCAGTATGTGGAGGATTTCGACGAGAGTGATGCGGAGATGGAGGATTATGAAATGGATGATGCGGAAGAAGAGGAAGAGGAGGAGGAAGAAGAAGAGAGGGAAACGGAGGTCGTGACGCCGCTGTTCAGGAAAAAACGGGCCCGGGTGGAGATTGAGTACGAGACCGAGCCGTCTACCAGTCGAACAAAGCAGAAAAATTGAAATGGTTTATGAATGTATTGATATGTTTATCACTGGAAACATTTTTAAAAAATTGGCAGTTTGAATAAGCAGATGCGGAGGTGAAGCAAATAAAAATGTTGTTGTTGGATGCGATTTGACCGGCACTCACTCATAATAATTAAGTTGTTTCTTTAACAAAAACTTTGAGTCTCTATTATTCCTGCTGGAAATACGACTGACTATTATTTACATGTTTCGCACTCTTATTTCACAACGCCTACCGGTTCCCTTCTGGGAATCTTGGGTTGATTAGGAACATTTATGCCTAAGAACAATTACTAATCGACATAAAATCAGGAAACGAAAGCAAAACAAAACAGCATTCAAGAAAGTTTTTAAAATTAATGACAGTGTATAACAATTGTATTATAAAAACATTCTAACTAGAAGCAAAATCAAAATATTATAATTATTATATGGAGGCAGGTCACAAACTATCATGCGGTGAAGAAAGAATTTTCAATAATATCAATGGGTAATTTGATATTTAAAAAATTAATTGTACAAAATGTAAATGTAATGGAAAGGAAGCGTATGCACGTGAAACGTCACCAAATTTCAGTATGATTATACGCAGCACACGAATCATCTGCGAATTTTTTATTTTCACTGCGAACACAAAATATCCCCCGACACCAAATCACCAGCTACACGAGAAGAAAATTCCTTTTTTTCCAGACATCGTTCTCATTCCTCAAAGTAACCCCGACCGAAGCCACGCAGAAAGGCAAAATTTATGTACCAACCATAAAGCCTTCTCTGAATTACAAGCACAATATTTGTCACATAAATAAATCATCGTCTCTCGACTCTCTCTAACCACATCGACGACATCCACGCCGTGTGTGGACGCCTCAGTGCGGCGCAGGCACATGCCCATCAACATAGAAATTCCGGGTGGCCGCTGGCAATGTCAACTCCATTCCCTCCAGTTCTTTGGTCAGCTTAATCTGACAGCCCAGCCGGGAATTCTCCTTGAGAAACGGCGCCATATCCAGCAAATCCTCCTCCTCCTCCACGGCCGGGGGTAGTTTATCGCCGTAGGGATGACTGACGTACACATGACAGGTGGTGCAGGCTAAAGAACCTTCACACGCGCCTTCCATCTCAATCTCATGACGATGCGCTAAGAACAGCGCATTATCCCCCACTTTGCCGCGCACCGGGATCTTCTGGCCCTTCTTATTGATGAACACAATGTTCACTACATCGTCCGGGGATTTCGGGTCGAGGCGCTCGTATTCGCCGATGAAACGGTGCGGTGTTGTGGAAAAATGTCGAAATTGGGATTGATAATCACCGGGAATGGATCTGCTCCGACTAAAAATGCTGGATGAAGGGGCGATTAGCGCGCGTGGTTTGGGGATAATATTGCTTGTGCTGGCACTGGAAGTATCAGCTGCGCAATGGCAGAAGCCTACTACGCGAATGCCCAGAGAACGGCAGAAAGATATCAAGGACGGGCTGGCTGCAACGGAAGAAGCTCGCGATGCAAACATACTGAAAGCATGTCAGTTTCCAGATTTAGAATGTAACTAGAGTTACTAGATCTACAAAAGGTAGCTTCAAAATGTACATAAAGCTACATAAAGAAGCAAGCATTTGAAATCATGCTCCTCGAAAAACAAATTAGCCTTAAAAAGTTAATAACTCGTATCACGTATGGGTATGAAAACTGAAAAACAATAAAAATTAATATGATCGAATAAATTAAAGTACGGTTTCGTTGATTCTCATCTACTCGTATAGAAGTATAAATAAAAAATATGACAAAACACCTTGCAGAGCGCACCAGACTAACCAGGGCACGGTCAGAGGTTCGCTCTCAGAAAAATTTTTTTTTTTTCATGGAGTGAGGGTAGGCCCAGGATATATTTAAAAAAATACTTTCATCGGCAATGATCCAGTGGGCGAGGTCAAACACGAATTTAATTGACGATTCTCGCCAGGATGGTACCCTGTGGCGGTTGGCAGCCGTGCGCCTACGGTGCGCCGGGAAGTCATCGTAGGCCCATAACAACAAGTGCTTATCCCGGCACTTTTTAAACAGCGCGCGTTCGCAAACTACGTTGTTGGTTAATTGGGCAGATACATGAAAATTTACAGAAAACCATCCTCTGCAAACGAGGAAAAAATGTGTGATAAAAATGTTTACGGCATTTTTAAATTTAGCGCTGGTGTTGTGGCCACTTTATTGCATTACCGCCTCGAAAATTCTAGCACACGAACAGAAACAGAGCGAATGCATAATTCTCCTGTTGGCGCACTCCAAAATCCCTGTTTGTTAGTGACGTCAAAATGACACAATGCCAGTCCGCAGTCTCGGCGAGAATCACGAATTGTTATAATACTGCATGCACATATACTCGTATCATTGCCGTATTAACCGTACAATGTTTTTTACTAATTAAACTTCTACTGAAACACATTTCATTTCCGAGTTCTGTGTTACCCGTTATCCCTGTAGTTTTTACTCCTCATTTGATTTATTTCCTAAATTACTGTTTTGAAAATTTAAAAGTTTTAGAGAATCTCGCCATATTGAGCTCTAAAATATTTGCAGCACGCGGGCGGTTCAGCACAGTCGACAAGGGGCGAGATTCTATAAAAATTTTAAATTTTCAAAACAGTGATTAAGAAAATAAAATTAAAATAAAGAAGAAAAAAACCACATGAAAATGGGTAACACAGAAGTCGGAAAATAAAATTTGACAGTTCAGTAATCAGTACTAGTGCGGCAGTACGGCAATGCAATACAAGCAATACCGGCAACGATTAAATACGTGTTTGACCAAGCCCACTGGACCATTGCCGATGAAAGTAATTTTTTTAATATGCCCTAGGTCTACTCTCTCTCCAGAAAAAAATTCAAATTTTCCGAGAGGCGAACCTCTGACCGTGCCCTGGTAAGCCTACATATCTGTACAGACTGTACTCACAGTCAGTAAGTACTTCTATTGCAGGCTGCAGCTAATTTTCCGGCAAAACAAATCATTTCCAACATCGAGAAGAGAAACATACGTATTAAATCGGCATTTCGCTAAAAAATGATGTGAATTCTGTCTAATTTTTTATGTTCATTTCTTTACTGTTCTTTTTTTGATATCGAAAGTGCGAAGGTAACACTACTAAAAATTGTTTATCCAGAGAATATAAGACCATGCACATCTGCCTGTATTTTATAAATCTATGCTTCGCTACTTTATAAGTGTTTATAGAAATTTTTCTACCTTTTGTTTACCGTGGCATAAAAATTACATAACCGGAAGTTTGCTTCAGACTTTGATAAGAAGAAGTGCAATGCACAAACATATGCACCCGAAAAGTCCAAAAACGCACATAGGAAAATGAATGCGTTAGGGTACTTTAATTTAATACATGGTTTGTGTGTTACCTTTTGAAGACATCGTACACCTTGTGGTATTTAAAACTTTCTTGAATTCTCGAATATGCACTGTACTTCTAATTTTCTGTCATCCCAAAACCGGCAAAAATTCTGGGCAGTTATCCAAGCATGGATGCCGCCTCATGCCGGATAATCTGCTCGTTCTTGCGGATAATATGCTTAAGCACTATAAAAACCCGCCCGGATAAGACATTTTAAGTATGCCGCCCTGCTGAACATGCAACCTTGAATGTTTGTCTTCTAACACTAACACTGTCAGTTTATTCCCGTAATCAAATACGTCCATTTGGACAAGGAAACCGATGTACACCCATATTTCCACGACTATGACAAAATTACCTTTATACCTAAGAATCTGGTTACATAATCCGGATGTCCAGTTTATATGGAGTAAACATGCCAGTTGTCAGTGGTCGCTTATAAAACACTTATGCAAACCGTATATAATAATGTGGCCAAGCAAAAGGGAACAGTTTGTTACAGTTTACCGCATTTTCACAACCATCCATATAATATCGCTTATTACCGTTTTTTACCTAATTGAAAGCTGTATATAGTATTTAGTTTTGGCAATAATCAGTAGTGTAAAATGTCTAAAACTACGCTAACGCTTGCCGGTCTTCTGTTAATTTTCGGTACGTGTGAATTTGTGCAGTTTTTATACTCGTATGATCGTATCGTATTATGTACTAAATCCTGATAATCATAAAAACAGTCACGATCTCCTTTTTGTACGCATTTTCGTGGTTTTATGTTTCGTATGCTATTTTTTAGGGTTGTTTAGGACCGGCATGTCCCAGACAACATACCTGTGCAACGGCATTTCTTACTCGTATCCGAATCCCGCATGCACATACGGGACAACCGGGCTGTACAATAATTACGGACTGGGAACGTACAACAATCCCTACAGCTACTATAATAACTACAACTACGGAGGATATGGAGGATACGGATATTATCCCTATAATAATGTATACAGTAATAACGGATTATACGGCTACAATTACGGCAATACGGGAACTCAATATCTCTGCAATGGCGTCCTATCTTCTTATCCAAATCCGGCTTGCACATACAACACCGGAAAATAGTTCTCTAATAATAATATTTGAATTACCTGCCGGAGTAACTATGTAATTCATATGGCAAACATTTGCTGCTTGTTTAATAATGATCAAAATAAAAAATGCTTCGCAGCGCAATAGTTATGGAGCTACAGTTTTTTTGCTTCGAATGGTTATCGCTTATCAGTAATAAAATTTATCACTGCAATAAACAGGACTTGCACTACATAACTCCATTCGTACTAATTATTATTGCATCAAGAACGTAACCTTTAAAACAACTATAATATTTACGGACAAGTACAATAATTGTGCACAGTAATCCTAAACATATTCTTCCTTTACTGTGGTTGCACTGGTTGCGATCCCGGGCCGGTAAAATATTCAGCGATCAGAAATCTTCGTATGAACAATCCGCATCGTACAATAATGAACATATCGCATTTCAGAATACAGGACCTTGATATTACTTTATAGGCACTGGATAGGCATGCATCAGTCTGTATCGATGACCAGAATTTATACTGCAAAAAATTAGCAGAGTATATGTTTACATTACCCACCGTGAAAAAAAACGCCGGCATGGCTGTTTTGCAGCAGAGCAAGTGAAACAGACAATGTCACTTCTAATCAGTCCAACAATTAGTTTTGATTTGCATTGTTACCGCGTGACATTACCGAAACTTCACTTAACAAAAAGTGTCGTCTTCGAAACTGGTTTATAATATAATATAAAACAATACAGGTCCAAAGCAAATAAATAGAGGCGAAATTTTAACGCCAAACAGCACATAAAAATGAAGCATTGATTGTATGTTCAGTTTAAAAGAAAACTGGGAAAGTATATATAAACCATGAAATATGTCAAGTTTTCAAATCATGCAAGTGTTGGCAAGTGACTGAACAAAATCCACCGTACTCCGTAATCAAAAATGGATCACTGGAAATTGTTGGTGCTATGCCTGGCTTCCGCTGGTGCGTTGCTATTTTATATACAGTACTTCAAATATATGGGAAAAAACTTTAAAAAACAATGCCTTTAATTGATTTTATTGAGTACTTGCAGGTTCGATCGGGTTGGTTTCTAGTCTACAGTACCTATGCAATGGTCAACTCTATTCCTATCCATATTCCGGTAAGGTTTTTACGATAATACTCGTACATTTACGGCTACGACGACTTAGCTTCGATTACTCAGATATTATATCCTTGGCAGTACGTATTTACCGAAATAACATTAAATTTTATCAGTGCACTACTTGAGCGTTGTTATTGTTAAACTATAGTTTCGTAGCATACATATATATTATATTTTAGTAGCATAAATAAATAAAGTTAAGTAGCATAAATATATATTTTTTTGCTGTCGTAAGTCGTAACGGCAAATATCACGGCGTTGTGCTCTGCAGGAAAAAGCTTTGTGCTTTTGAGGTCAGGAAAAAGCAGAATCATACTATCTGTATGCTGTGCATTTATTGTTGCAATCTAATCTTTAGTCAGTATCCACCTAACTACACTACATCTCGAAAAGTACCAGGGTAACTTTTAAATAACATCAAGTGGCACACTTTCAAGGTCACAAATGCATAAAAGTGAGGTACAAACAAATCATACGATTGTCTCTCTAGATCTGAGTCAAACATGTACGATATATCCAATAGTAGTAAGCGTTTTTTTATAGGATGCACATACAACTACGGGAATAGCTACAACAATAATTATGGCTACGGGAACTATGGAAGCGGATACGGAAACTATGGAAGCGGATATGGAAGCTACGGTAGCGGATATAGTAATTATGGAAGCGGTTACGGCAATTATGGGAATTCCGGGCGTTACTATCCCTCTTCCAACGGATACTATGGCAGCAGCTACAACAGCCTCTACGGTTCCGGCTATTCACCGTATTCTTCACAATATGGATCAAGCTTGTACAGTTCTCTTCTGAACCCCTACAGTTCTCTGAGCTCTCTGTATTATTCATCCTTACTTGGGAAAAAATAAGCAGAACTCCTTATAACAGATTAATCTGTCCTAAGGAATAAGGATAGATCAGTATTGATCTATCTGTACTTTTTCGCGGAATCAGTTAGATATCTTTTTGCGCTGGTTAACTGTTATGAATTTCAATTCGCATGCATTTAAAAGTAAAATAAAAAACGGAAAGAAAAGTAAAAGATGGGGAGGGTCAAGCCGCAAATATTTTCGATGAAAACCCCCAAAATGTGATGGCAAATTAACTCTATACACATAATATTACTATTCGGTAGAATTTGCTCATATACAATAAATAGAATGCAGTTGCACACCATTGCTTGAACACATGCTTAGGGCAGACGGCCAGCCGAATTTCGAACCCTTTTTAAATTTCGCTGTTTTTACTACGTACTTGTTTGGAGTTACCTATTTAAAAAATCGCATGCTTTGCAGTTTGTAGCAAAGCGGAGTGTAATACAAAAATGCGCTCGCGATAAGCCCAACAATCAGTTTTGTTTTGCATTGTTGCGAGACAAAAAAGCATGACATTACTGAAATTAGAGAAACCAATACTTCCCGTCTACAAAACTGGTTTACAATAATGTAAGGTATAAAAACAATGCAGGTTACATGCATAAGACAAACAAAAACACAAAAGGTTTAGCACTAACCAGCACAGAATTAGGTAGCAACTATTGTTAGCTTGTCGCTTTTTAGCCTCTTTAACAACTTGTATATAAAACAACGCTTATTATGAAATTTTTCGTATTACTTTTCACTGATGCAAATCAACAGGTGGCTTACTCTGTACACGAAGTACTTGTTCGTATTAAAATACTTACAAACAACCTGATCACAAATGCGCCACCGGAAATTGCCAGTGTTTTGCCTGTTATCGCTCGGTGAGTATACAATATGCGTTTTAACTGTCAGAATTAAAATCCAAATTCCGATAAATTTTTAACATATGCTGAAACCTCGATAATAATATAGCTCTTTTGTTGAGTATTTGCAGGAGCGATCGGGTTAGCATCTGGTCAGCAGTATCTTTGCGATGGTCAACTGTATTCCTATGCCTATCCCGGTAAAAGTTTGCGCAACCACTTTTAAAACCTTTTAGAAGCAATACTTATTATACAGTAAAGCTGTAAATTGTTATTTGTATAATAATGGCATATGCCATCGTTACATGCAAAGCGTTATTGCATTTCGAACAAACTACAAGCACCGCATATACGGTACGATATGGCATATCGGCTCATTTTAACGCCATTGCAAGACTTGATTAATCAAAAACTCCACGTGGCGATGCACCGGTACCTGTTTTTCCTAAGTACTTCGGCGTCCTAATAACCTTAAAACATATTCGTAGGGTGCACGTATAACAATTACAACAACAACTACGGCAACTATGGGAGCTTATACGGATCTTATGGAGGCTTTTCCGGTTCCGATTATTCGCCGTATTCGTCGTTGTATGGACCCAGTCTCTTAACCTCCCTCCTTAATCCTTACAGCTCTCGGAATTCTTTATCGGACTACAGCTCCCTCCTTAATCCCTATAGTTCTCTGAGCTCATTATCGGACTACAGCTCACTCCTAAATCCCTATGGTTCTCTGAATTCTTTGTCTGATTACGGTTCCCTTCTCAACCGCTACAGTTCCCTGGGATCTTTATCGGATTACAGCTCTCTTCTTAATCCCTACAGTTCTCTCAGTTCTTCAAATGACAACCGTTTATTGTACTCGCTGTTGCTGGGTAAAAAATAAGGAAACCACTGCCCATAACAGCCTGTTTTGCTTTTTCTCTTATGTTTTTCATTGCAGTTTAATTCGCACACATTTAAAAAGAGAAATAAAAAAGAGCGAAGAATACGAAAAACAACCAAGCCACAAATATTTCGCAGATAAAGGTCAACAAAAACCGTACCTCAAAATATTAAGGTACTGAGCAAATCCGGTAAAATGCATTTTCCAGAAAATACGGCACACGCGAGATCAACGACTATTATGATTCTACGGCGGCGGCATCATCCAGTTATCTATTCTACCGATGGCGCCACCGGTGCTTTTCGCCTTCGGAAAACCTCCCTTCTTCATCCCTGCCCCTGACACCTGGTGCGCATTTTCATTGTAAACCGCCGGCGCACCACTGGTTCCACTGAATCCCGACCTCTGCAGACTGCCTTGCCCATTCCGTCCACAAAACTTGACATTCGATGCACCTCCACTGCCTGCTCCCTCAGCAACCGCTTTCTTTTTCCATCCGTATTTTTTAAAATTATGATAGTTATTCGATCCACTGCCGGGTTTCCGCGGTGCACGGGGCTTCCGCGCTTTCCTCATCCGGGGCTTTTTGGCGCTGGGGGCTTCATCATCGCTCTGACTGATGCGTTTCTTCGAGTTCCCATCAAAATACGGTGACACTGCGTGTTCCTCGTCGCTATCAATCGGAATGACATCTCTATCCTCCTCATTTTCCGCATCCTCTTCATCATCGCTAAGGAACACGGTGGGACGGGGTTTGGGCGCAGCCGGATCATTTCTCCGTTTGGCTCCGCTTTTGGTCGGTGCAACAGGTGTCCGAATGGCCTGCTCACGGAGCTCCGCGCGCCGTTTGGCAAAATCCTTCAGGATCTCCAACAATCTGGGTCCGGCTAACGTAGCTCTGGCGTCCGTCATACCTTCCACCAAAAACATGTCCTCCTCGGTTACCGGCATATTAGCCGCTAAATCCGTGATGACGCCATCAGGAAGAACGTATTTGTACGACATGTAATTATGTTTTGTAGCCTGTTCCTGCATGGCAAGTTTGATTTCCGCCTCGCACTCTTCATTCAGTTGTTCCTCAGGCGTTAGTACGCCTGCGGTGACGTCTTGTTTGGTCGAGGGCTTTTCTATATGAATCACGACCTTTCGTTTGTTTGCTAATAAATCGGCAGCGTTTTTTCCTAAGCCGAGATAGCAGACGACCATCGGTCCGGTTTTGATCTGTATTGTTGTTGGCATTTCTTCCAGACAGTCGTCCAGCAGCAGTTTTCGCACAAAGGAGTCTGTTTCGGCTCGGCTCATGCTTGCACCTGTAAAAGCGCAAAAATTACGCCAAAGGCCAGATATTCATTTACACTAAAGTAGTTACAAGAACATGACATTATGTCGTAAAAGCAAAAAAAAGTAATAAAAATGCTTTTACGATAAAAATCCGCACCTGTTAGTTAGCATAAATTACGTTGCGAAATTTTATAAATTGCGAAATTTGCGTTGCGCATAAATTTCATTGCAAAGATTTAGCGGGGTCATGCTGTCTTGACACTTGGGGTCGACGGTCAAAAAATAAATTAACACTGAAGAAATATTTTTTATATCTAAAGTTTGTGAGTGATATATACTGCCGACGAAAAATGCTTGCACGAAAAATTCTAAGAGTTTCAAAAAGCATTCAAGTATACGCCATAAATGCGGTTTAAAAAGCAAAAACCCTGGCGAACGGTCACCAACCTAGCTTATAAATATCCAAACGGTCCAATCCTTTGGTCATAATACCCTGCGCAGCGGAGCCCCGCACAATATCCACCAACTGCAGCAGCGTTAATGGACTTTTGGGCCTGGATCCTCGCGGGCCCAAATAATTCATCAGACATTTGATGACTTTTTTAGCTTCTTCGGTTACATCCTTGGAGTGATAGCGATCCTGCATCTCGCAATTATCACACGGATATTTGCTCTGCGCACACAACTTCCGGTCGAAGACCTCGCCAAAGTATTCCATTAACATGGTGCGTCGACAGTCGGCGCGGGTTTCACAGAACTGCACAACGCGTTTCAAATTGTCCAGGTGAACTTGTTTGGTTTGGGCAGTTCCGCCCTTGTCTTTCTCCACCAACTTGCGGTGCCGGGAAACATCGTTGTAATTGTAGAACAGGATACACGTTGCGCTTTTCCCATCACGACCAGCGCGGCCGGTTTCCTGATAATAGCCTTCCACTGATTTCGGAATGGAGTAATGGAACACAAAGCGCACATCTGGTTTGTCGATACCCATACCTACAAAAATCCATAATGATTCCATAATTGACAGCATAAGCCGCTCAGTTAGGTATATCAAACTATGGTTCTTCGAAAATCGAAAACAACTCCAGAATCAAAAATTAAGCATAACTTCAAATCGTATTGTAGCCGTACAAATGAGATCTGTAGTGAAGATGTACACCTCATTGGGCTAGTTCAAGCGGAAACATCTGAATGTGTACTTGTACGAGATGACCACTTCTAACGTGGATTTTCTAGACTTCTGAGATTGTCTGAATGTTCTGAAATCATTCTTACTCTTGCCCTTGCCCTTGCTCTTCCCCAATGACTTTTCTGCTGATTACAAATGTGCGTGCACTTTGACTATCGCGCCGGCATCGGTTAACATGTTCGTAGTTGCATAATTGATTTTTGGGAAATTCGCTAACATCGTAAGATCACCGACGAACCATCAAACCTCGTTTATCGTGGTAAGGGTGGATTAACCCACTCCACTAGTGGCAGCTTGGAAGTTGCCGTTGTAGTATTATGCTACAAATTACAATGAATACTAATAAGTAAATATGTGGCGAAGTCAAACGCATTAAGCCCGAAACGATTTTAAATATGTAATTAAATCAGCGAAATTAACAATTAAGAATAATTTTGATTTTGCGCTGGTTAAGTTGCTTTTCAATTTTTTAAGCGAAACCAAATAAACTAATCTGAGAAAAATTTTACCAAATGCAATGGTGGCGCACACAACACGCGTTGTATTGCGCATCCAATTTCGCTGGGTCTCCGCGCGTAAATCTTTGTCCAGTCCAGCATGATAGGGTACCGCATTAATGCCCTGATTCGATAACTGATTCGCCAATGTCTCGCAATCTCGCTGCGCTAAACAGTAGATGATTCCCGATGCGTTCTTAAACTCGTCCTGCATCAGTTTCACCATCTGGTCAAACGCCGCCTTCGGATTTTTATTCTGAATTTCGTACTTCAAGTTGGTCCGATTGAAACTCTGCATAAACCACTTTGGATTCTTCATTCCCAACTGTTTCAAGATATCCTCGCGTACACGCGGACTGGCTGTGGCGGTTAACGCCATCATGGGCACAGCGGGGAACAGTGTGCGCAAACCACACAATTGTTTATACTCCGGTCGAAAATCATGTCCCCACTGCGAGACACAGTGCGCTTCATCGATGACAAACCGCGTCAGCTGACCATTCCCATGCGCCGTCATCAGTGCCGCACGGATCTTGGCACCATACTTCTCTGAAAGTTTTTCCGGTGTTAAATACAACAAAGCGATCTTCGGTTTGGGGCTGTTAAGATCCTGATAAATCTCGTTCTGCTCGCCGCTGGGTGTGTCGGAAGAGAGAGCCTTGGCGTTGATCCGCAGCACACTGAGATGGTGCACTTGATCTTGAATCAACGATTTCAACGGCGAGACCACGACGGTCACCCCACCGCTGACCAGCGCCGGCAGCTGATAACATAGACTCTTCCCGCCACCGGTTGGCATCAGAATAAAGCAGTCCTCGCCTAGGCAGGCCGCATTGACAGCCTGCAGTTGATTGGTGCGGAATGTACGCAGTCCAAAAGTGGCCTTGAAGACCGCACGCATTTTCGGCGTGTGACTGAAGTCCTTCTCGTAGCGCCCAGATGAGCCGTCATCACGGAAATTGCCTTTAAATTTACCGTGCTGAGATAGCAGAGAGGTGTTCAGAACTGACACCGATGTATCCGGCCGAGAGAGGGGACTGGGAAGGACAGCCGCCGGTCCATTCGGCTTCTGCGGTGATGTCTCGGGACTCGGAGAGACAAATATTGTCTTGCATGAAAGAGGAGCCGGGGTCCTGTGTAAAGGTGACTCCGACAGCGTGATGACACTAAGACGGCGGTCAACGGATGCTAAAGGTGGTGGAGGGGGATTCGGAGCGGGAGATGAGGGTTCAAAACGGGCACCATCGTAATCGTTCATGTCGATACCATCCATTCCGTCCCAAGGAAGCCATTCCTCTTCATGAGGAGTGGGCGGCATATCGGAAATATCTGACGCTGTAACAAAACACGACTGGTTCAGAATTCTGCTACAAATGAAGCAAACCGCTTTTCAGATCATCATTCTTATTGAGAAAACGACGTTAAACTCGTAGAAAAATATTCGCAAGGCTTTCCTCATTCGCCATCGGTCGAGGTTAACCTTAAGAACGTAGTGGAACATTGGAATCGCGTAAGCTTAATATTGCAGTTCTAAAACACCAGTAGAGCTACAACCAATTATTTTATCTACAGCCTGTAAAAAATGATAATAATTGCTTATTTACAGCTACAAATGCCGAAATTACACGGACCCGATATAGGTGTGGAGTTAGTGTTGTTGCTTGAGACAGTAGATGGGAAAGACGATGCATAACCAGATGATGTGTACGACATCCTGGACATGGTGCCATTAGTGCTCACATTCGTATCTGTTAATTTGCAGAATATAATTAATGAAAGAAAGTATATAATTAAAAAGAAACGATTGAATTAGGTGGAAATATTCGACTTTACCTGGTTTAGACGATCCCGTTGATACAGGCCTATTCCATGTGGTGCACGTCGAAGACAACGTACTACCAAAGGACACATGAATGTCCGAATCTAAAATGTGTAAAAGGCAATTTTCCGCGTAATTCCTTAGCGAAAAATCGCGACCGGTAGCTTATTACCAAGCATAATTATATATTTACATTAACAGCTTATTACCAACAAAAATTATTGATGTCGACATCAAATTGACTGAAATCATTAAGCTGGAACAATATCAGAAGCCATAAATTTCACCAGTTTGCGCATTTCAGTGCAAAATTTAAAATACGAACAAGAATGTAGTATTAGAAAATCACTACTTCTATAATTTATATGAGTATAAAGAAGATACGCTCGTTCTGTAAACTGTCATGCTTCGTTTTCACATACCTGCTTATTTTGAATTATTTTACCGAACAGTCAGCAAAAATTCTGACAACCGTAAATTATTCCAATACCTTCTTAAGAAAAAACGAAAATTACTATTAACGTTAAATTTTAACAAAAATGACATAAATGACCATCTCAGTTCTCCCAATTTTAATGGCGCAGAGAATCAGCATAACGCTGATGAAGTTAACAAACATATTTCGAAAAATAAAACGTACTTGCACGGGACAATTGCACGGGTTTCAAGGGGCTTTTCGGTCTAGCAAGCACGGACGTCATCATGGGTTTCGCAGGCTCGCTGTAGTCCATCTCATCCTCAAAATCAGCTAACAAATCGTTGTCCGACTGGCGCCATACATTATTTTCGTTGGCCGTGTCAGGGGATTCCTCTCGAATCTCATGACCAAAAGCATCGTCATCCTGAAGCTGTGGGGACGTGTCGGAGAACCACGGAGCGGGAGAAGATTTGCGAATACTCTCCGAAGAACTCGGATTCTCTTGGGTGAAGCGTTTCTTCAAAAGACTTATTTCAGTTTCCAATGCTGCAATTCGTGCCTGATGGGCTGCGAGCTGCTTTGCAACTTGTTTTGCAACTTCAGCTTCAATTTCACCTCGGATGGTGTTCAACAATTTAGCGTCCATGGTAAGTAATTTGAAATACTGCAGGATTCAGGAACCATCACCCATTTGAAGTACGCAGTAAAACCAATAAGTAAAGACTAAGTAAAGTGCAAAGATGCTGAAAACAGCCAGTCGAGCCAGAGCACTTTTGGCCTTCACAACAAAAAAGCTAGAAGTACTAATTTTCATCATTCAGCGGATTTCCATGGTAAAAAAACATATGCCTCGTACTAAAAATACAAAGGTTCCTGAAGATGTAGAATTCATAAACAATTATGATAATAATCAACAGTAATAGTAATTCATAAATCAAAAACTGCAAAGTGCAGGTAGGTCCGATCTGGCACAAAAAGCGCCCGCTGATGTCTCCACTCTCACAGTCAGCCACTATGCTGACTCTGCACGAAGCAACCTGTTTATCAACGCTTATCCTGTGCAACGGAAACAGGTAAATACTTCAGCGATTATACTTACCACCTCGGGGAGCGGCATCCTATAGTTAACGCAATTGTACGTGTGGTTCTTGGTTTTTATGAAGTTTCTCATGTCTTACAAAAGTTTTAGGAATTTTGAGATTCTTTTTAGAATGCAGAACTTCAGAGAACACAGCGAGTCTGCGATTATCGTTTTTATCAAATGTTTTTCTGGATAATTTTTCGCGTACGGATTTGAGGATGGATGGTCAACTGCTGCGCGAGTCAATTCCGACAGAACAACGCGCGTCCGTGTTAGATACTACGCTGATAAGCGTCATAAGCGTGATAATCCGCAATGAAGTCGCCACGCAGATCGCAGCAAACCACGCTGCGAAGCAAGCAGCTTTGGAGTCGGAGAAGGAAAATCGACTACTGAGTGGGTTAAATTCGGAAGAGCAAGGCGAATCTCTGATTGATACGGCGCTGATGAGCGCAGTCCGCAGTGAGGTCGCCAAGCAGATCGCAGCGAATACTCAGGAATGCCAGAAAAGTGAAAAACCTGTGGCGCACTGCGAGTGTGCTTCAAAGATCGCTGTTTTGGAATCGGAGATGGCCACTATGAAGAGACACCTACAACTGGAAGACACTGGCAGTGTTGTGGATTTTCAGCAGCCTTGTAATGCTCCACCTATCCGTGCGTTCTCGGATACCTCGTCCCTAACTGATTGTCGCGGTAATGTCTATGAATCGAATATGCGCGCGTAATCGTATGTGTGCCCTGTGCAGGCTACCATTAAGATGCATTTAAATTAATTTTCGAATAAATCCAACTATACTGAAAGAAGCTTTGCAATCATTTTGATTAACTAGTGAAAGAATACTTTTCTTAAACATTTTGTTCATCGTACTCGTATTTCCTGATTTTCACTATTGATACAAAAACAAATTTTTTATTGTCTGCGAATTCGTTTCTCGCGAATTTATTGTATTTCTCGTACTAAGCGGCTAAACCCTTACACACGTCTTGTCGCTGTTTATTTCGTCCAGTTATCTAGCCCGTGTTTAGTACGAGTATGTTGAAAGCCCAGTAACAGTTTTGAAATTAAAGTACGAGTATGTACGTTTGCGAGGTATAAAGGCTTATTTTTTTTTGTTCGTTTAGCGTCTGAAACGCCTGTGTCTGAGGATGATAATACGATGATAATGGAAGGAATGCCTGACGCCAAGATTTCGCTGGCGGTAACCAAACTGCTGCAAATGGTGCACGAATTATTGGGACTTATAAAAGAATTCACCGAACGATCGACGCCCGACGCAGAACTGGATCGGAAACATGTGCCGGCGAATTCACGTAAAAGAAAAAAGAAAGCAGACTCCAAAGCGTCCAAATGCCGACCCGCTGTATTGCGATGTGACCGTGCGGAGGAAACGGAGATTAACGAAGAGAACGAAACTAGCATGTTCTACGAGAGCGGTTGGGCCGTGCGGCTTTCCTCAAGGCTAAAGAACGTTATAAAAAAATATGAGGGCGAGGACAACTCACCGGCAGTGGATTGGGCCATCTTCGATGATAACAACGACGACTGTCTGGATGATAGTCAACGTGTTGATGGGGAAGATGAAGTGATTATGCGTTTGGAGGCTCTAGCAGCCGGCGTTGCCAATAGAGCCAGCAGAGCCAAAAGCAGTATTAGTATCGAAGCGCCTCCACTTCGATATGTCGATCCGCGCAGATCTGACTTTAAACACGGTAAGTGATCCTTACTGGTTACCAGTACTTTATTGTGGAAGTTCTAAGTTGATTATGTACCCGGCAAACGACGTTGAATGCATTCGGATGAGTAGGAAAAGGGCAGAGTTTGTGCAGAGTAAAATCATAGTATACTGAAATTATCATAGTCTGTTACATATATCTGCGGCATGCGCCTGCACTCGTACTATGAGAAAATTGCCCGGTCATAACCATCATGCTTGTTTGATCCTTATTGTTAATCAAAATATTTTATATGATGATGTCGTATAAAACAATTTTTGCAGAAGTCGCTTGACGACGTAAAACACTGCGCAGAGCATGCGCGCAAAATGGAAGACGTTTGCCCAGTTAGCTTTAATATTTCATGGAAGACGTTTCATAATCCTTTCACAATCAGACTCGCAACTGATAAAAAATGTTTACTTTATTTTCTATGAGCTGTACTATGTGGACTTTGTAGTGTAGACTATACTTCGATTACTGCCTTATATTGGCTCCCCTTATATTACTCTCCCTTATCTGGGCTCCCTGGCAATATGAGCAACCCTCTACATGGGCGGTTACGTTATTACTCACACTTTCGCAGCTGTATCAGTATTATAACTGACTGAAAATTTTGATTTATTTCAAAGTACTTATCTGATAATCAAAAAAATATTTTGATATGAAATTTCGGCATTTTTCAGTTTGTTCATTGGCAAATCTGGTTGAAATTAATGAAAAATATATATATAAATAATACATATAAATAAAATTCAGATGTGAAATTTCGGAATTCTTTGGTGTGCTCACTGGTAAATCCGGTTGAAAGCAGTAGGAAAGGGTTCTGCTATAAATCCGATAAACATAATTTGACGGGCATTGCTAACTAGCCGGGAGCCCAGATAAGGGAGAGTAATATAAGGGGAGCCCATATAAGGCAGTATTCGAAGTATAGATACAAGGTTTTCATATTTTACATGCGGTTCATGTAACCTCGTTGTGGTTTTACCGGTTGTTTTAGGGGATCGAGTATCCACGAAGCCGAATGCACCCTTACAACAAGCGGTATATCCAAAGCCTCGACATTCTTATCATCCTTTAGAAGGAGAAAAATCAGTTAGAAAAACACCAAAAATTAAGTTCCTCCAATGAGGAAACCTGTGGAGGCGCCCCATGATTCAGCTGCATGTACGAAGGATTTCTGCTTAACATGCTCGGGCCAAAAGTATAAAAAGCGACGTCTTGAAGACTAGCTTTATTTTTGTCAGTATTATGGCGTTCTTCCAGAATGTTGTTCTTTGCATAGCACAGCACATTTTATATCCTAATGGATATGTTTTTATGCGGTGTTATGACGCGTCATATTTCTGTTTGTACAATAGTTGTAATTATTTAAAGCCGGATATATTTCCAGTGTTTTGTTGAAATTCGTCGATGGTTCACGTCGTTAGAAAACGAGTTAATAAACAACAAACGGCAACTGCAATGGATCCAGTACGAAGATCATCACATCTCTCCAATTAACCAAAAAGCTACTAAAAACATCATTCGCTTACATACTATGCTGTTATGAGAATTAATCCACTAAAACAGTCAATTTGGGAACAAAAAACAAAATTCCACCAAGCATATCTCTTCGTTCAGAGGCTTCAGTAAGGTTTACTTTGCTGCGTCCGATGTTTCTCCTCCATTGATGTGGACTGCATATCGGTTACCTTGTCGCCAGTTTGGGTACTGGCGATGGATTCCGGAGGCAGCGGATGCACGCCAAACTTGGCTGGATCTGTAACGGGATCTTCACGCTGCAAGGGTTCCTTGTCGCCCTTGGTACCTTCGCTCAGTGTGTACTCCATCACTGTAAATCAAACATACAATCACATGTAAAACTTCAGCGCTGAGCGCTTCACACGCTATAACAGAACATAAACCGTACATACGTAATATATCACTACAGTAGTATACCCAAGTCCAGTCTCAGGCAAAATGATAACTGTAAAGAGTCACATTATACTACCTAAAGCTTCAAAGTCTTAACACAACAGCCACCGAACACAAGTTTTCATAAATCAGAAAATGGAGGAATCTTTACTGATTTTCAAACATAAAGTTAAATTCCTACTCCAAAGCAATGGATTTTTCCATAACATTAGTCAAGTGATTAGTGATTGCATACTGACAACACGCTTAAACTGACGCCGAAGCAGCTTACCTGCCGTTCGAGAAATAATCTGCTTGGGAAGTTGAAAATATACTCTCGCCGATAAACTGCGTAACATAAAACACAGCAGTAAAAAATAGAAAATAACTGCTTATTGAACTGTTGATTCTGACAAGTGACTTCGAAATTTGAAATGGATCGGCGTTTTTGTTTTGGGATTTTGATGACGCATTATTTGTCGGCAGCAACGCGTGCCTGTGCTCTGATCCAATCCTGCTGGAGGGTTGGGATCTGAGTTATTCACTTAATTCGGTTCATTTTACGCACTTTGCGTCTCGCGCTCAGTAGCAGTGTTTACAGCTGTACACGTCTCGACATCCATTGGAATTTGTGGTTTCTTGGTGTGTGTTGCATTCGGTTTTCGCAATCAGGTAATCAATGTTTTAAAAAAGTCATCCAAGTTATCACAATGTTCTTTTTTTGATAAAATTTATGTTTACATCCACTGATATCCGAAAGGTTCCAATTTACCACGGGAAAACTAAAATATAATATGAAATACTGGCACCTGCAGCAATATCGTAAAAACAAGTTCCTTATGAAAATTCAGCGACATGGAAACAGTAGCTTGTGGATCTTGAGCCACAAGGTTTCGTAGTTTTGTATTTCTTTGCTGAAAACTACATAAGGAATATTGTTGGACATATTGCTGGAAAGGCTCATTATGATGCTCCCCAGTCCTACAACAGCGGTAGTGAAATCAAGATGATAAAGCACACCTCATTCCATTTGTAATATGCTTCGGCTTGCCAGGACACGTTTGCAAATAGCTAAAATTTTAAGCATAAAACACTGTTAAAAAACATATTTTTTTGTCAGCAGAAACTTTTGACAGAACTAAGATGAACACTCGGGTTAAGACTACGCTTAAAACTAAGATCAGTAATTCTGATAATACTCTGATAAAACTAATATTTATACTCAGGTTTTCAAACCTCAGATAGCTTAGTGTTTGCGAACTCTGGTTATTTCTCCCAAAAACTCAAAAATTCCTCCGTCCACAAAATGTTTTAAACCTAATTGAATTTATTATTATGTTCACCAGTGAAGTTTATTCAGCCAGAAATACACTATAACAGAAGTTAGGCACTATAACAGAACTTCAAATTTAAAAATTCAAAGAAAATTTAATGGTATTATACATTTTATTTTGTAATATCTGTTTTTTGGCAAACCAAAGGAATACTAGAAACTGAAAATGACGAAATGACGTAATTGCAAAAAAATATACGACATTACTAATGACGAGGATTTAAAGCCTGAGTTTTGAATTGTTTGCACATTTAATTTTGCGCCGTCATTTTTCACAACAATTTTTCATCCTGCACGTTTGCTAAATCTGTTGTCTTGAAACACTAAATATGCGTTGACCAAACAGTTATATTTCAATTGAGAAAGATTATTAGAGAAAAAAAAGCAGAAAATAAAAAGTTATCTTAGCATACCATTTTTCTGGTTAAATATTTCGAAAAAAAATGTATATTTTTTTGTTTTTAGCTGATGTTGGAAATAAAAGAGGCTAGCGCTACGCTACTATATACTTCCACTGCCGAGTAGCAGAGCGTTTCAAATGTAATGGAAATTGTTGCAAAATTGTTTTAGAACGCATTATAGGTATTATATGCAATTATTCCGTTGGTCTGAAACTTTTGCCAACACTACTATGAGCACTCGGGTTAAGACCATGCTTTGAACTAGTATCACCACTCAAGTTTATACGTTGATCAAAACTAGCATTAGTACTCGGGTTAACACTCTCGTTAAAGCTAACACGAACATCTTTATTTGTACACCAAATATCATTCAATAATTCAGGAATCGTAACTGTTTCGCTACACATAATTATTTTTTGCAAAATGCTTATGAAAAAACAATTTTTCGCGGACGCTTTGGCATGAGAAAATTTGGTACAAAACATTTTGCTGAATCGCTACACAGACATTCGGCATGCTACTGTCTTTTTTTGTGTACGCTCTAATCTATAATCTCATTAGAATGTTTTCCTAAGTTTTTTTATATTTTACTTGTTTTTGTTAGCTTTTCTTGTGTTTTCTGAATATATTTTCGTGGTGTTCATAAGATTATTAGCTTTTTTGGCTGGCTTTAGTTTTTTTTTAATCCAGTATGTTTTTTAACTTTTCAAGCTTTGTTAAAATTGTTTTTTAAGCCAAATTGTGCTATGCTAAAATTGGTATATGCGGAAGAGTTTTATGCCCTTATGTTCTTATTCCGAAATGTACGTATATCATGCGCCTTCCCCTGCGTAGATGTTACTAAAAGCATTTTCAACGAAAAGGTTGATTTCAGTATTCTTAATGAAAAAAAAACGAAGATAAAAAAGAAATGAAGACATTTTCAATGCGAAAGTTTATTTGAGTTATAGTTCCGAAGAAGATTTGCAGAAAAAGATCGAGAGTCAGTTTGTCGAAAGGGGTTAAGCTAAAGCCGAACAAAACAGTTGATTCGTCTGTTGACCGTATTTTTAACCAGAGTCTTAACCAGAGTGCTGTTTTTAGTTTATAACCGAGTATAAACCTTAGTAATCTTGTTAGTCCAGATCAAAGTCTTAACCCGAGTGCACACATTAGTATCGTCAAAAGTTTTACTTGACTGGAGGTTGTAAGTTAGATTTGGGTTTTCAAGCTCATTTTGGAATTTCTGACTTTTATTTTGTGCGGGCGCGATTTGCAATGTCCGTTTAATTGGTTTGGAAAAGAACCGTCAGGGATAAATTTTGATTGCGTAGCATAACTTTTATAAATACTGTGCGTTAATGTATAAATATAATGGTTGCCTTGTATAAATTGTTTACTCGTGAAATATTATAGCACAGTAATGGTAAAATAAACATTCAATAAACATTTATATGAAGTAGTGCAACAGTGTATGCAAATTTGTGGATCAGTGTATAAGTTTCGCTGTACACATGAAGGTTCCTCACACTTAAATAAGAACTAATCTGAAAATGCGCATTTACAATTATAATTCAAAAATTTGATTAAGCAGTCGGCGATGATATTATTTGTTGAGATCCGAAATAAAAAACTTTGATTTTACCTTGTTGCATCACTAACATAGACGCGGCACAGCTACAATTTCCAATGGATTTCATGCGAGAGTGGAATTGTAATTGCTGTACTGAGCACGAGACGTTAAGTGCACAGAATGAACCGAATTAGGTGAATAACTCAGATCCCAACCCTCCAGCAGGATTGGATCAGAGCACAGACACGCGTGTCGGCAGCAGAGAAAACGCATTACAGGGAAGCTTCGGTTATAGCACTTTATTTGATAAGTCTCGATCAGCAATTTTAAACATGATACCCCGGTTATAACTAATAAAATCTGCAAAAGCGCAGATTATACTTAAAATCTCGAGCGCCATCATAGAAGACGAATAATTTAGCGTAAATTATTATCTGCAGATAATCCATGAACCGTGAAAAGCAAAAGTAAGAAAAACTCCAAAAGAATTGCGAACCGGAAGTTGTGTGCCTGATTAAGCGCATCCACTTCTATACCGCTTATCCGTATGAGACACTTCATAAACTTTGGCCAGTTTGAGTTGTCAGTCTTATTAATTTGAATTAGTTTTTATCGATGTGTTGGTTTGTTGTTACCACCTTAGTTCTCTGCTTTGTGGAAAGTGGTATATAACACTTTTGGAATGGCCGAGGACAAGGAGATCTTGCGGGAACTTTGGAATGGCCAGATTCCCGTTCAGTTTGTGTTGTCCTCGGATGAAATTACAGCTTTGGCTTCCGAAGCACCTCAGCCCTTTTTCGTAAGTCGTTTTGTGTGATATCCATTGTTCATTGAGCATCATTCTCACATTTCTGTATGATGAAGGAAGGATTTTAATCTTCTTAAATCATTAACCTGTGAAATCTGGATGTTCGAGGTTAAAATTTCAAACCCTAAAATAGATGGACTCTTGTGGTGTCTAATCTGTATTAATTTTGCAGTATACTGATTGACAGATTATTACTGATTCTTTAATTCACAGAAACAATATGCAGAACTGCAGTCCTGTGTAAGCGGTATTTATTAGGTGAATTTGAAATTCGTGGCATGCTACAGGAAATTTACGACCAGCAAGAGTCCAGTATGAGTACCTAAGTAAACTGTAAACTGCTAATGTTTTCATATTTCCAGGCTCTGGTTCCTCGGCAGACATACTTTCCTCTTGCACTGGATAAAGTGAATCGCCACTTCCTGAAATATATTTCACAGGCCGCGGGACAGGAAATGTGGCTAGAATGCGACGGCGCGCCACTGCGACAGTAAGTGGTTTTTATGTTATGGTTTAATTTTTGCTTGTTTTTACAGTTTATTGCACATTTTAAGGAATTTTGCGGGTATTTTATTTTTTATCCTATTTCAGCCACTATCCCGTCGGTGTTCTGTTTGATTTGTATGGCGATGAAACCAGACTGCCTTGGACGCTGACTGTGCATTACTCCGTAAGTCTTCACTTAAATTTAAATTAAGGACATATAACTGTGTGGCGGTTGATTTCCAAAATTATATCTGTAATTAATCGAAAAAATTTGGATAATATCTTGCAAATAAGATGATTTGCGAAAATTTCTGTAACTCACTGTCAGCTATGTTCGTGCGGCAGATCTGATAACATGAAATTAATGATAACTTAATTAACAATAACTGTAGTCTGTAGCGTGGCCAGGGTGTGTGCAGTACTGCGAAATGTACCGTTGTATACATTTAGACATCAAAAACATTAAAATACTTTGGTTAGTCTGACGTAGTATGCACTACTTGTATGGAACATTACTGTTTGGCAGATGAATACAGCAACTGACATGACTGAAAATTCCACAGAGATGGTTGCTTCGCTCTTTTAAAATAATTATAAATAGTAACTATTGTTGCTCTGGCGTATTCATATTTGATGATTGTAGAATTTAATTGTTTTAGAATTTCCCAGAAAGCGAACTAGTCCACTTAAACAGCCGCGAAGCAATCGAAGCCTTCTTTATGGCCACTCTAAAAGAGGCAGATGTGCTGAAGCATCGCAACGCAGTTATCACTAACATGCAGAAGAAGGATCACAAAAATTTATGGACTGGATTGTCTAACGGTAGCTTTGTATTTCAACTAGCGTTCTAGGTGGGAGTGTGGGAATTATGATTTATGATCGTTTATGTGTATTTCCAGATCGTTTTGATCTTTTTTGGAGTGTAAATAAGAAGCTTATGGAGACTTCCATTGAAATGCCGCATTTTCGCAATATTCCCTTCCGACTATATCAGCCAGACAAATCTTTTCTGCAAAAATTAATCAAACCTGTCGACGAGGAAGACCATCGCCTTACGACGCTAGATGATCTCTTGCATCAAACACTGACCAACATCAATGTTTCGTCAGGTATGTATGTTTTACATGTGATTTCCACCGGCAGTTACTGTAAGCTAGTATTTACATTTATTGTCGCATTTCGAGAGGAAATTTTTTTATCCGTGAGTAGTTCTTGGTTTATATTTTAAGCAAATCTGATAATGGTTTAATTCTGGTACTGCAAATTCGAGAATTTCTATCGTTTGCAGCTGTCGTCTTGATTCAAGGAATTGAAGTTCCAAGGGAAACCCCGTTACAATGGCTGAGCGAACACATGAGTTATCCGGACAACTTCTTGCACATCTGTGTTCATTCCGCTTGATATCTTTTTGTGTTTAACAGGCGCTTTAAAAGTTTACAAGTACTAGTACTGTTAACATTGTTACGAATGGCTCTTTTGAAATGTTATTAATGCATGCTGCTGCTAATATTTATTATCAGTTATTGTGGCTTGATAGTTGATGTTTGTAAAAATCCGTTTACCAATGACTTATCGGCGACTTGGTTTTTATTTGTCTTTCGCAGCGATCGCACCAATTTCGGAATGATTTTCAAGTGTCACGCAGTTTTTGTTCTCCATACCAGTGTGAAATACAAATGCTCTGAATAAAACTAAACGATAGAAACGGGAACGAGAAAGACGAGATACAAATACGGACTTACAGATACTCTGTGGTAATTTTTATAAAGACTGACTACAATAATGTGCTAGAAAAACTTGACACCGGAGTTTCCATCAATAGTTATTAATTCCGCCTTTTTTTGCCGTTCTAGGATTTTCAAAGCTTGTAGCATCAACTCCTGGTCCATACCGTAGAACTCTGTAAACGAAGCAGAGGATCAAAGCCAAATTAAATTTCCTAAATCAAGCACAGCAACGTTTGGAAGATGAAACTGCAACAGTAACAATCAAATAAAAATTACTATAACGAAAAGAAAATTCTAGAGAAATCTGCAGTAACAAAAGCCTGTACGGCAGCCATTGCTTCGGAAAAATGGCGAAAAACACTTAAAATACTTGCTATCATTTATAAACGTTTCAAATAAAAGCAAAGCGTATATTAAAAACAGAGCCATGATACTTCATGATAACTCATGATTTTTAATTTGTAGCATGCAGATGTGAAATGCAACAATCAGTCAGCAAGTCATATTTTATACTCCTACCGTTAGTTTCGAAAATAGCAATGTTTAAGAAAATGCAAACTGTAGTTCAAAGAGCGCAAAGCAATCCTGAAGACTAATCTGGTTAAAAACGCCTTTTTTTGAAAATAATAAAACGCTGTAAAATTGTAAATGCTCCCTTTACAGACGTACTCGTACCTTCATCGGCAGTATCATGTCCATGTATAAGTTCATAAAGAGTGCAAACTGTGTTCAGCATCCCACTGTCGACAGCCTGTAAGAAGTACATAATTTCGATTAAACTGGTTTTAAAAAAGAAAACATAAAAACGACACACCCAACGATAAATCACTTTAGCCCAATCGTCGACACTGCGCCACAATATCCAACATCGCCGCTTCTGCTTATCCAACCATTCAACATTGCCTGCGTCAGAACGTATAATCACAACTGCGTTTCCGATTCCGTACCAGAAGCAAACCGAGAAAACTAACCTGTGCGTCGAAGCTCGTCCAGGATAAGACTGATCACTTCCAGGGATAATTTTCCTACCCAAAATAACAATATATATACGATTACGAAAAACACACGCACGAAACTTTAACGTCTTCAACTCGATCTTACTGTTTATGGCGGAATTATGGAACAAGGCACCAGTCTGTGCTTCGTTGATATCCAGCACGTGAAGGCGATTCGCTCGGTGATAATTCAACACCAGCGCACACCACGCATCCAGCTGTAGCTTCCGCGTATCCAGATTTGGCTGAAGACTATAGGATTATGGAAATCAAACTGTTATCACCAGTATCAGGCATCGTGCGGAAGTGCGAACATGCCTTACGTGAAGAACGGGGGGAAATTGTACTGCCATGGCATCTCGAATGCAGCTGTTTTTCGAGCCATTCTCTGCAGATCCACTAATTATGTCTATGACAGTATGACTCTATGAGTCTAACAAATAACAATGTTAAACAGATACAAAATCAGCGTACTGCTGACACTGCTGCTTTCTGAGGAGAGTAGCTCCAAGGAGCAACATTAACCGCGCGTTATGCGTAGAAAAAAATTTGTAAGCACAGCTCTCCGGGAACGGCGGGAAGTTGGAACAAATTTGAAAATGAGAAAATTAGGTAAACTGTAAACACTAGGTAAACACTAAACTTGGAAGTGCGGGCGAATAGAAGTAACGTACGAGTACACTCAGTACAGTACACAGTATTCGAAAAATCTTTTGATAGCCCCCCCCCCCCTCATCCGGCAGTAGCTGTTTCTTCGAGTGGCCGGTGGGCGGTGGCTGCACTTTTGTACCATCATTAATTTCATATGGCATTATTATTACTGTATTGGCATACAATAAGGTCAGACACCGGAAAGAAGTTTATTCGACATTTCGATATCTATTCCAGTTGCCTTTAGGCTTTATTTTTTTCCATATTCTATCGGCATATTCTCCAGAAAAAATGCACCAATAGTCGGACCGAGAAAGTATACTGCAAAAAATTCTGCATCTGTATGACCATTACATCGATATTGCAAGCTAAACGCCAAACTCGGGTTAAAATATCCGCCCGTATATGGTCCACCTGAAAAACAGAGCACCAGTTCTAACAAGTACTTAATAATAAACAGCTGATAAGAATTTGATTATGAGAATAAAAATTTTCGTCAATCATTTTATTAGGTGGATGTTCTTTGCTTTACGTATGGATTAACACTCATTGTCAGCCGGATTAACACTCATTGTCAGCTGGATTAACACTCAATGCAGTTACGTCATTGTAAGTAAATTACACACCGAGATTCGACAGGCAGTAAATTTAAAAAATTTAAAAACCCATTCTTGATAATTTTCTCACCAATAAGAGAAAGGCCCAAAATAACAGCGCAGTGTAATAACAGGCCCAAGGGCAGCTGGCTTTTCCCATGACCAAATAATTTCGCCGCAAAGGTCAAAGTTGCCTCAACCGTTATTGCTAACGGCAATGGAACCTGAAATTGAAATCTGCTGTTTTCGGATGTACAAAATTGATAATAAATCGCTTTACTGTCACAAAATTTAAATCCAGTACTCGTATGAATTACTTCCAGTATAAAATTTAAATCCAGTATGAAGTCCAGTATGAAGTACATACACGAGTACATTTAATAAACAATATTACCGAGATTCTGATCCAAGTACAGAAGCATATTCAAAAAATAATAAAGGAAATATAACTGATTACCAGTAACATAAAATTGCAAACCTTAATGTCCGTTTTACAGGGACTCAGGGGATCCCAATGCAGGACCAACGAATGGAATATTTCCGACGACCATACCCAATTCACATACTGATGTGCCACTAGACACGCACTAATCTGCACCGACAGATGCACCGCTAACTCCAGCACGGTCATTCGTTTTTCATGCGCAAATTTATGGATCGTACTGGCGGAATTTGCATAAATATTGGGATAGTAAGTCATTGCATACAGCACGGTGAGTAAGAAAAAACCCACTGCATACGGTCCCGGTCCGTACACTTTTTTAATTACACCCAACTCATGACCCAGCACTGATGCTTGGAATGTATAGAAAAATTCCTCAATAAACGGATAACGGCCACCTGGAAGATTCTGAACACCTAATACCGTTGCTTCCGTTAACAATACCTGTTGGATAAACGAACCTAACGGGGTATTCACACCACTGCGGAAAAGATCTTCCATTACGTCCATAAATTCAAGGAACCTCTAAGCATTACAAAGGAAGCCGGTAAAATGCTGCATAATTATTTAGTACGAATAATCTGACTCGACTGTTCCAATTCCCAAATTTTCTTTCGCATTTTTTACGAATTCAGAAAGTACTACAGCGGATTATTGCAAACTGGACTTGACAGTCTCAGCGCTTTCCACCCCACGCGCGATCAATGAGAATAATTTTAATACCATTGCTTGGAAACAACACTTCTCTCGTAACATTTGTTTTTACAGGTGAAATGCAAAATCCGATATCAGCAGAAACACTGTAAAGAGGGAGTGCAACACAGAATTCAGAATCCACAAACAATCTGGGCATATAATAACAAAAAAAAGAACCAAGTTTTAGCAGCAAAAAAAAGGAAACAGAAGTCCAGGATCATAATAATGCGATCGACAAACTGTGTCAAAAGCTGATTTTACCACAACTGCCAACTAACCCATACAATGAAAACGCGACGTCGATGAGCGATTCATCCATTAAAGGCGATATAAATTCCGGTAAATCCGAAACGCTAATGAAGTGCCTGTTGATTATCATCCACAAATCGGCAGCTGAAAAGCAAAATTTTACCATTATAACAGATTCAAATACTTATTTCCTTTCCTACACTGAAAAAGTAACAGTCATGGTAATAATGCCCAGCAGCTAGCACAAACTGCTTCGGTTGCTGCTAGAGCGATGAGAAAACTTGCAGAAAATGGAAATAAGCGACGAAATTAAGATTCAGCAACATTTACCGTTTGCAATTAGAAGCGGCTTCCAAAGCGGCTTCTCTGTAGAAAAAAGACGCGTTAATATTTGCAAAGCTTGTTATTCAAAAGTAGGAAAATTTTGGTGTCAGTATCCACAGCTTACCGATTCGCCACTTCCACCAGCAGATGCCTGAAAAACAGCGACTGTATAAAACTCTCACGGTGGTTTTTTAGGGGGTAAGAAAGTAATTGTTATACTTACGTTATCATCTTTACTTTCGCTGCCTCGATTTGAGCCAAAGCGTGTACGAGTAGTCTGAAAAGGAAAAAATAATTTACAACTCCCTACGCACGGAAAATTTTAAACTGTTAATGTAATTAATTTTAAAACATAGTAAAATTTAACAAAAATGAGTAAATAGAAAGCCATACTGAGCTTGCCGCTGAGCCAGGCGCCTGAAAGAACGAAGACAATCTTTAAGACACTTGCATTGTTGTACACCATTTTTCAGATACATCGCCATGTGCTAACACACCTCTTCCTTTTGATCGTTGCGACCAGCATCGCTGCGGGACTGTGAGCGATTTCCCTACAATATAAACACTGTTCACCGTCACAAATTTAAAGACAGAATTCGAACGCAATAGAAATAAGCTATGATATCACTCATCCGCAAGGTACCGACTTGAATTCGAAGAAGCAGTCGTAATTCCTAAACAAAACTCACCTCGCCTTCCTGGTCACGATTTGCGGCACCAGAATCGCCGAAACGTCTTCGTTGTGGCTGCGACGCTGGCTGCTCCTGCACAAAAAACCCATTCATGTATTTACTTCACGAATTATCAATCCCATCAATCCAAAGTGACCTTATCAGACGTTTCCCATCGGCAAGGACCAGACTCCTTCAATTCATTACACAAGTGAAACTGAGATCGACACGCTCGTAATAAGTAACCGCTGCTTCTCTTACCTCTGACTTATCATCTGCAGGGAAGCGCTGCAATCAAAATAAAACAACGCTAAAAATATCTGTGCTAAGAGAAGCGAACAAAAAACAGAATAATATGGATGTAGAACGATGCAACATGAAGCTGGAAGATGGCTTACAATACTGTACAATATTATTAGTCCGCATTTTTATATATTCTGTACCAAACCACTTATTTTCTTACACGATTATCCTGGGCGCCAAAACTTTTTGTCGCTGTTGGCCGCTCTCCCGTCGGTGCCGGGGGTGTCATTCCCGCTTCATCATACAACCAATCAGGACCACGTGCTCCCGAGCCGTGGAGGATGTCGATCAGCCGCGGAGCAATGTTGACATCCCGAGACGTGTAGAAAGTGGTAGCCATACCCTGGTTGCCGACGCGGCCAGTTCGTCCAATACGGTGAACGTATTCGTCCATATCGTCCGCACTGCGCGGCAAATCCCAGTTAATTACATGCTTTACGTCCGGAATATCAAGACCTGCAAGAAGAAAAAGCTCATTAAAACGTCTTCCAAGGTCACATTTCGCAATTCTACGAGCTTATAAAACGTTTGGATTTTTTCCGTGACTTCCGCACAGCGTCATGTAATTAGACAACAACAGTACAGCGTATTTAACAAAACAGTAAAACACAGCTCACAAAGTAACGGGATTGCAAAGAATTAATTTACCAAGACATGCAATTATGTCCGAAGTTACTGAAAAAACACAGTTACAATCGGAAGCGGCAAGAATATCAAGTTTTCTTACCACGGGCAGCAACGTTAGTGGCCACCAGTACCGCCTTTCGGCCGGACTTAAAATCAGCCAAGGCTATTTCGCGTTGTTCTTGAGTGCGACCTCCGTGTATGGTGGTGCTGGAAATATTGTTGCAAGCAAGCTCGAGGCCCAGTTTATCGGTCTCTTCTTTTGTTTGAACGAAAATAAGTGTCTTCTCATACTGCAACAAATGCCCAATCAAAATTAATCTTGACAGCAAGAACAAGTTCACCGCTTGAACTAATCGTAATATCAGAATAGTAGAAATCCATACCTGGCCATTGTTCAGCTCCTTTCGTTTCTCCAGAATTTCATCCAGTTTCTCTCTTTTTTCGGACCTTCCATCACATTTAATAATCTCCTGTTCCACATCGCAGCACGCGCCGCCAAGGATACCGGTGGCGATGAACAGATAGTCTTTACGTAAAAAGTTCCGGGCCAGCGTCTGAACCACTTCAGGAAAAGTCGCGGAAAACATCAGGGTCAGACGATTTTCCTTCTTGGGCATATTAGCGTTCTCCACGATGCGTTCGATGTCCTGACTGAAGCCTGTGAAAAAAACGCATATCATGCCATGAATTAAGTGGTTCAAATTCCGATTAATACTTAAGTACGTATTCTCCAGGAAAAGTATTCTAACAAAATATATTTACCCATATCCAGCATGCGATCCGCTTCGTCCAACACCAAATACTGGAGGTTGCTCAAATTGATCATTCCCCTCTCCAGCGTGTCTTTCAGGCGTCCGGTGGTGGCCGCAATGATGTTGACTCCCGTCCGCAGATGGTTGGCCATGTAACGCACATCGGTTTGGCCGTAAACCGCGAAAGACTTCAGCCCGGTCCCGTGCGTGTAGATTGCCGCTTCCTTGTCCACCTGGGAGGCCAGTTCACGCGTGGGGCACAGAACCAAGCACTGTGGATAGCTTTTTCCTGTTGGCTCAGCCGGCTGGACGTTGTCCTTGAGCATGCGCGAAATGATCGGCAGCAAGTAGCCGGCTGTTTTCCCTGATCCTGTCTGGGCGCAGGCCATTATATCCTGACCGGACAGAATGGCAGGAATGCAGTATTTTTGGATCGGCGTGGGAATCTCGTATTTCATGTACTCCACTGCTTCCAGTACGGTCGGATGTAAGCCTGACTGTTTGAAGCTGTCCACCGGCTTCTCCAGCATGTTGCCGGAAACGTTAATAGGAACATTTCCGTACTTTTTGAAATTGATGCCAGCTGTGGTGTGTTCCTTCCGAAGATCATCACGCTCCGTTGGCCGTTCTGGAGGAACGTAGTTCACTGGTGCAGGGCGAGATTCTATAACACAAAACAGTAATTAAAAACGATTTGCGAAAGCCTAGAATTCTAGCCCTTTTGATAAACCTTCTAGCTGAATTCAAACCATCCCTTTTCTTTTTGTTTTAACCTATCATTTCAAAATGCGATACCTACTGGCCGAAAATCTACAAAAAATGCTCATAAATAAGTTAACATTCAGCATGCTCGCGGTTACTCTTACCAGCGATCCGATACAAATCTAATTCAATCAACTGTCGGTCATTATCCATAAATAACCATACATCAATGCCACACGGAAACCATTGTTTTTTTCGAGCTACAGTAATTTCGATATCTTGTTACGTATTAATTAATTTAAAAATTATTACCTACATATCACTGCTACCTAAATAAATAAATAAAACATACACTTGCTCTTGGTAAAGTTCATAAGCCATATATGCATTTAATCAGCACAGTCAACACCCGTAAATTAATAGTATGTCAATAAATGCGCTAAATTAGTTTTTATGTAGAAAAAACGACATTAATTCAAATGCAATCAGATTAAATGCTAAGATTTACAATTACCTATTACAATATTCCATTTACAATACTCAATAAAATGCTAAGAATATTCAGTTGAAATAATGAAAAATTACTAGTGTTGATTGCCGAGGTGGAAACAAAAGTACAATGGAAATTCTAGTTGCTGACCTTGCCCTTCCCCGCTTTCTCCTCCGCGTGCTGGTCGCTCCCCACGGTCGCCATCTCCTCCCCGGGGCGGTCGCTCGCTACGGTCGTCATGCTCGTTGTGGCCCGAACGGAAATCACTCCGATCCTCATCACGGTTGCCACGGAAACCACCCTGCTCGCGGTCTCCCCGATTCTGCTGGCGATCGCCGCGGTCCTCTGAATTTCTTTCGAAACGAGATCCCCCGCCCCGATTACCGTCGTCCCGATTGCCAAAACGGCTGCGCGGCTGATCTGATCGATTGTCATCCGCATCGCCACCGCCGCCAAATCGGCTGCCACCCCGTCGGCCTTCGCTGCTGGAATTATTCCCGCCCGCTCCCGTATCCGTCTGGCCAAAACGCGACGGTTTCCGCTCTTCCGCTCTATTCTGATCCTGCGAACTACCACCGCCGCCGCCGAATCGCGAACGCCGGGAGCCCGTATCGTCTCCGGAACGATCACCACCGATTTTCGATTCTTGGCTTTCTTCTCCACTGGGCTGATCACTGCTACGGCCGAAGCGGGACCGAGTGGGAGGAGGATTGCCGCCGGAACCGCCAAAACGCGATTCTTTGGGTGGATCCGCTTCGGCAGCGCCGTTGCTGGCACCGAAGCGGGATCGCGGTTCTGAAGTGGCTTCCGCTGTCGCTGTGGTGTCCGACGACCCAAAGCGAGATCCGAATCTACCTGAAAAAGCGAAACCAATCATCGTTACTTTTGACAACTGCAGAAATTAGCAATGTGTTCATTGTATCGGGGTCCTTCGTTTGTATACTCATGTTTGCGCTCCGGAGAGTTAAACTGCAAAAGGATGATCACTTAATTGATTAAATAATCTGCGTTGCACAAAAGAGCAGATAGAACTGTAGAGCAAACAGATAACTGAAATATAAAAAGTGGGGACTTCCGTGTTTGGAAAATCAAGAGATCAACAACCGGAGCTGAAAAACGAAAAATGAAATTCTGACAAAGCAAAATTTTCGAACCGAAAGGGCACCGCTGTCAGTTGGCCACTCTACTCTTGCCGAACTCGAGATCGATATCGAGTCGTCCACGTACAGCAATGTTAGAAGCGCGCCACACTACTGCTCAGCAAATTAAACGAATCTTTTCGTGGCGCGCACTGGAAAAGCCCTGTTGGCGAAGCGGAATACCGATTTGCCCAGTGAGTGGAATGGGCTTTGCTATTCGACGTCACTCGCATCACCGTGGAAAAATGCTTGGCAGCTCGGCAGACACCAGCTTCCTCTTATCTATTCGATCTCCTTTGTGGCTTTGTCTGCACTTCTCACTGCTTGCTTTTAGAGCTTTTTGGCTTCAAGTTTTTTCTCCCAGGTTCGCAGGAATCGAAAATTGTGTGCGTTTTCGAAGAAATTTTGGTATCAAGATATCATCTATGTAAATTCATGGCTTTTTACGCAACTTTTGTCAGGATTTGAGCATAGCTTGGTTTGTGCTATTGATACGATCATACGATCATACGATGCCTGTACAGCTGCGCCATGTTTCGCAGTTGGACAACAGGCGGTTTCTGGAGAGTCTGCCCATTGCACCTCGACAACGGGAAGACGACGAACGTACGAAGGATTACGATCCAGGGCACCGTTTTGTCACGAATGGCGCCAAACGATCCAACGGGACCGGGTCATCGACGCCGAAAGGCGGCTATGCGCGTTTCATCGCGCTTATGGTGGAAAAAGAGTGCCGACGCGGCGTGCGACCAGAGGATTACGCGAATGCCAGATATGGCAAAATGTGGCAAGTAGGGTGATTCTATTGTATTCGCACTTCTGCACATTACAACACATATTGTCATATCTATAGTCTCTATGTTGTATTGTACTGTACCTAAATAAAATTAAAATTTGATATGAAGCATCGTAAGGTTAGCGAAATTTTGCTCCACGCTGCTGTTTTTTTTTCGGATATTTTGGTGATTTTTGTCAGTTCATTACGACATTATTACTTTAATATAAGTTATATTATTTTATAAGTTAAATTGTACTTGTTTTAGGAGTTTACTGCTTCTACACTACAGTACTAGCTAAATTCTACTACATTTAAAGTTACTACTTGAGTTTTCGTTGAAGGATTGATGATTGTTGAATGTTTTTGTTATGTTTTACTGTCCGAAAAATATTTACGTACCGGTTGTACCACTGCAGTCTTTATAATAATTTCCATTCGGCTATTTTTTGCTGTGAAATTTAAATTTTGGTGTACTTCCATTTGTATTGTTGTTCCGTTTTGGTCAGCGTGCGTTTTGTACTTAAAATCACTGATTTTAAATAACCCGTTTGACAATTGCAGGGAATGAAGAGTGAAGAACGGGCAAAACTTAATTGCCACTCACCGGAAGATAGCGACACCGAGGAATTACCAGAAAGAAAGCCCGAAGAGATCCTTGCTGAATATGTAGCAAAATGTGATGCTTTGGACGATGTGCGGAAGAAGGTCGGTCTGAAGGGGATGTCGGATCTGGACGCGATGGAGCTGTTCTACCCGTCTGCGCCGTCGGAATTACCGTATATTCGAGGCCGTTTTGCTGCGGAGGATGTTGGGACACTGCGAGCGCTGTACATTCTTGAGCAAGCGGAGCAGAGGGATACGGAGGAAAAGTGGATGGATCAGCTGGCGGAGCGATATTTACCGCACAGTAATAAACCGAAGATTTTACCTACATTTTGTAACTTATCAATACTTATTAATTTATTTTGGCATTTTTCAATTGGTTTAATACGATTATCTTCCCGTTAACTTGCTATTCATAAATTAGTTATTCGTATTCTGAAGTTAAAATTTCGGAATTTTAGACGGAAAATAATTATTTAATGCGAATATGGTATTGTAGACTGCAGTGTCGAGCTCAAGTTTTTTACTTGTGTTCTGTAAATTTGTGGTAGTTTAATCACTTTAATGTGTATTAATTCTTACTTGTGTATTTTTGGTTTTAGATTTCCTCTCTCAGCGTATTTTCGTGTTTTCATGTATTCCTTTGAGCAGTGACCCCAACCCTGTGAGGTGTGTGCATAATCCTCTGGAATTTTACTTGACTTCGTTTTCTCTGCAAAACGGATTGGATGATTTGGCCTATCATTCGTTTGTGCTGGCCGGCGACGCACTGGATTGGATGGCTTATCAAAAGAACAAAGGCAACACACTGAAAGCGGATGAATTCAAACGGGCAGTCGAAAAGGCTAGTGAAGCCGCTTGGAAACAGGGTAAATAGTACAGTCGAGTATACGAACAAGAATAGACAGTAAACATTTAGAGTAAAATACGGTACCATGAATAGTTGTTAGTTGCTTTCAGTTTTTTAGTGAGTAACCGTTGCATTTAAGTCACATAAATTTTTTTTATTGAGTTGATTCAGTTTTTCAAAGAGTAAAAGAGGTTAGTGTGTTGTTTGTTGACTTTAATTCATTCATTTTTTATTGACACAGCGCATTTTCACCATAACATCCTCTACGAAGGTTTCATTCCGTTTCATCCACGGTATGAACTGGACTGCATCGAACTGGATCGACAGTACGATGGCTGGGACATCGCCGCTCTCAAAAGCATAAATCGCAGCTGCAATTATGTAGAGATGTTCCAAACCATTACAGAGTTATTACGCGACAGTTCCGGAACCGATGATGTGCCACCGTTAATTTTTACGTTACTAAAAGACTGTGAGATGGTGAAGGAGTGTTTGGTATGGCTGCGTGAAAGAGCTGTAGAACAAGCAGAGGCCAATAACATTAAGACAGGTACGTTTGTCAAAAGTCCGCATAACCTGTATTATTTCAGCAACGATAATTTTGGTTTATTTGAAGCTCATATTTCGACAGTTCGTACTCAATTCTGTAATGTATGTATCAAAATATCACTGAATGAGTTACTGGAAGAAAAATTAATTAAATCACGAGATTTTAGATGTCATATTGGATTTGCCATTGGTGTGTTCTCTGGAACATCTACTGTGGCATATCTTTGGCTTACTCGGTATATCGTGTGACGAGAAGACGATCGAAGAGGGCGTGAATGTTGAGAACCTCAAGGAACCCTTTGGATTGCAACGGTGCGCCTTTAATTGAGCCAACACTAATAAGAAATGCCAATTAATTTAGATTTTGCATAGGTATTTCTGCTTTTTGTAGGTGCGCTTACCACGAAACTCGCCCTCCTGAAATTGTTTGTGCGCGTTCCAAGGCGCTACTCACTGTGTAAGCAGAGTATCTAGTTATTGTTGTACATAACATACCGACTTTTTACGTTTTAGAAAAACACCATATTTTTTATTGTATATCAGTCTTTTATAGTGTCAAAAATACCGAAGGAATGCATGCATGCATTAATTTTTGATTCGACAGTATACAGTTCATGAATTAAGTATGCCAGCTTAACCAAAATACAAAGTACAATATATTATGGAAAGCATTAAACATAGTTGGACTTAAGGAAAGTATTACATTTTTACGCAGTTCCACGTCTTACTTTTAGATACAATGTGTTCCAGCTGATGAAGGACCAAGCAGGAATTTCGCTCTCTGTAAAACATCGTCCGGCGGGTGTAGATGACGAGTGCAAGGTAGATACGGACGAAGTTCGTTCAGAAAGTGAAACACTGAGTCTAATTTTGGATGTTTAACGACATATTGTATTCGATTTTTATCCTGATGTCATTAGCCTCAAGTTTTATGCTTTTAATCCCCTTACAATGGTACGCAGTTATTCTGTTATTAAGGCTTCTCTTTTGTTTCGATTGAGTTACAGATTCTTACGTTGTCCACATTTGCCACACTGTGATAACTTTATTACGATCTCGCTAACGTTTTTATATTTCTGGAAGTCAGCCGACTTTCGAAACGTGAATTGTAACTGATTAAGCAGTGAAGAAACCTGTATGAATAATAATAAATATTTCTTCGTATGAATACGTACGTACTTAAATTCGAAATCCGGCTTTCCTACAGTGTACTGCGTACTTTGTAACACGGATGGTGAGAACATTTTAACGGTGCAATTGAGTGGAGTTCGATAAACAGATTCGCGAACAACAAAATATTTTATCTATTTTTATTGTTACAAATACTCGTATTGGTACAAAATGGACTACTCGTACCGGTATAAATACAATTTGTACACCATAATGTGGTTCATGTTCTTATACACACCAGACGCCAACGCGGTGTTCACTGTTCACTATTTAGTAAATCATGTTAGCATTCCATAACGACTAAGAAACAAATGTTCCCACAGTGAATTAAAAGAAAACCTGTTAGGATGTTACGGCTTGTTGGTTCGCAAACCATTCGATTGATGAAGAAAGTCATTTCTACGTGTTTGATGTAGTGGATAACGCTGATAACTATAAATAATTAGCGATTGCATAATATGAATGAGTGCAACAAGAACATAACCAATGCGATACAAAGTGCACTGCACACTGCAAGGAAAAAACGGCCAGTTGAAATTCTGCAGTTTTAAATGTGTGTTGTGGAAGGGTTTTTTAGCTGGTCCTTATTTTACGAATAATTACATAGTGAGGATCACTAGAACACGAACGAGATTTTGTTAATTATTGTGAGCTTGGAGGGATTGTACCGGTCAAGCGAAAGATGTTGTGGTACGTTGCCGGCATCGTTCTGTGTGCGCGCGCGGTATTGTCGATGGTCATCAGCTTCCCGCCTTACGCAGCATTACGCGAGGGAACTAGTACGTTCGGAGCGCAAAGCTTGGATGATCGCTACTATTCATGGAGAGATCCCAGAAATATTTTATACTATATTGATGATTCTTACAGTAAGAGGAATTTCCTGAAAAATAACAATCAGTAACAGGAGCAACTACCGGGTTTTGGGAAATACCGGGTCTCGACACGTGATCCGCTAATTCCGGTTTAATTACCGCAGAAAAATCTTTCGGGCACAATTATGATAATAATTATGGTATCCATGATCGAAGCGTATGTAACGATGTTAATCGCTGTAATTAGCAAGATGCTGATTATAACTTCTTAATATAGTCACAACATATTGCGACTATTTTGTAAAAAAATATTTACATTCCTACGATCAGGTGCGAGTAGCCTTCTAGACATTTGCATTGCTAAGATTCAGAATGTCAAATACACTTGGTATTTGATTACATAATTCTTTTAGCATTTGTCTAGATCTTTTATTATCGAATTGGTTTTTGCCATCGAAAATACTCAAAGAACATATCCGCCATCCGTAAACGAAATAATTTATTTGTGGCAGATGAAGGCGAAGCAGTGATGTTACACGGCGCGATGATGTCGGTGGCGGATAATACGAATCAATGTTTGCACTTCCGTGAGTACGATCCCGATACGGATGCCGGAAAAGATTTTTTATACATCTCCAAAACGCTGAATGATGGGTAAAAGGATTTCACAATGAATTCCATATCCTGAGTGTCTAAATTACAGCGGTTATTAAATCAATATTATATCAATACTGCACCAATTGCAGCACCACACCGCCCACCTGTGTGACGTTTCTGGGTCGCGTGAACCGCGCGGCGGGTCATGGCCAGAAGCTGGTGATCCACAACGGCGAGAACGGATGTATGGGATCGTTGCGGGATCTGATGCGTATCATAGTGAATGCACTGGGACTGCGCAATGAGTATCGTCGGCCCGACCGCGATCAGTACATTGATGTCTACCCGGATAACTTAGCTCCTGGTCAGTGTTTGTTAAATTAGAATTTTATAAGCGAAATGCGTACAAATTGATTACCGCGATGGATTGAACACAATGCACAGTATACAATGTTGCACAGTACATTTATATCAGTCTTGCACAAAACAATAGATATAGATATAATAAATAATGGCGTATAAAAAAAAGTATAATAAAGGCGGTATATATGTATGCATTTAGTGTAAATAAGCAGATGTTCCTCATTTTAATTAAAACTCGGTGGGATTTTCAGTGCGAGATCTCTTCCACACCCTAAGAATTAATTATATTGTGCAATACACAGGTGCAGCAAACCTTTTGTAAGTCGATATTGCCGGTATAGAGATGTTTATGGATAGATTGGATTTAATTGAAAAACATCTTTTCTTTGTCAATTTGCAATCGTCTCAAATTAATCAGGCGCGTGCTTCACGAATAACCGTTGCTGAAAAATGTGATAATATGACCCTGAACTGCTTTGTCACCGGAGCAAGTGTTTCCACTTTAAGGAGACAAATCAACACTTCCCTGAACATCAGTATCCTGCAGTAACGATGCTGTGCCACTTGACTCAGGTGACTCTGTGATTTTTTGCTGCAGGTTTAAAAGGTAGCTCATTACTGGATGTGTATAATGAATCGGATGCCTATTACGGTAACTTCCCGTTTGATTATTTCTCCATCACGATGCCCTCCGTGACTAAGTACGCGGCCGACAACGCCGTCATCTACAGTCTACCGGGAAATGGTACCATTGCTTACGTGGAACATCTCAGTCGGGATGACTGCATGGGATTGGCTTGGATGTACGGCTGCGACGCACAAAATTGCACAGATCGTAAGAAACATGGATAATCTGATAATTATAAAATCTAGTTTTTGGGTACTATCGATATCTTTTACGGCATCTTCCATACAGGTATACGTATGTTCGCAGATTTGCTTGTGCATGGTCCACACAACTAGCTGTATATATGCAATAAATTCAGCAAATTGCTTAATTAATAGTTAATTAACTTGTTACTAACTGTCGCGAAGAAAACTGATAATAAAAGTCATTGTTTAAGAAAAAAAAGAAAATAAAACCAGTAAATAATAAGATAAAGATTATGCAGATAAGATAAAAAAAAGAAATAATAAGATAAAGATAAAGGTCATGTAGGGCTTTGTAACCGTAGCGTACCAAGATGTGGATGTGAATTTTTCGCCGCCTAAAACTTCGGACGAGCGCAACGTCAGCTATGTACTCCTGGCACCGGCGGATACAGTGACCACCCTGACCCCACCATCCGGAAAAGACGACAATATGTTCCACGTCATGGCCCTGGACAAGAAGACTTCCAATATCCTCGGCAAACAGATGGGTTTGTCGGGTGACGCCATGAGTGGACAAGTGAATGTGACCTTTGTCACGACCGGGAAAAACAGTAGTGCCGATCAGAATAGCTTTGTGCTCAACAGTCAGTCATCGGTGGCCGGTGTCCAGCCACAATCCGGCTCAGCGGTGACACTCAATTTGAAGAACGTGTCGAACGCTACGGCGTTGATTGGTACGTAATTTTGTTGACATAAAGCACAAATCAGTGACAATAATAAACACTGACTGAAGGAAAGTTGTAAACTTGTATTTATTTTGTCACGGTGCATGGCTTATCTTTTTTTCGTGTAAGAAGACCCTTTTTGTGCCAGTAAAAAGCTTTCACAAATAGTGGCCAGCAATAGCAATAGCAATAATAATAGCTTTAATAGCAATCTTCGAATAACTCAAACCAGTTAACAGTTTATGCCGGATACCGGATGGTGTCTTAATTAAATTGTACAGATATATCTACCTATATAGGCATAATTGAAAAAAACTGATTTTCGCGCGTACACGCTGTGTGCATTGAGAAAGTCACCAGGTCAGTACAGTACTACATGTTTACGATGTCATTCGTTTATTCTGGGTACGAAAATTACTCATTTTTATTCCTGCGTCTGCAGTATTCTATGTTTTTGTTTCTGATTTTAGGTATTTATGCACCGACAGGATATAAAGGCGAAGTAGCGTCGCCGGCCAACAGTTCGGCTTTGGTGGTTAATTTAAGCAGCACGGATCTGTTGACGACGCCATCGACAACTCTGGCCGCCCCGACACAGGCCACTACCGTCAGTTCCTTTTCCCAGCCGCTTCTTCCCTGATTTCTTTCACTATTTGGAACAATTAGTGCATTGGTAAAATTACATACTCAAGCGCGAATCGTGCATTGCAGTACAGCGTTAAACTCTCTAAGACAGCGATTAAATACTATCGACTAAAATATTCTAATGATGTATACGTATTTTGTCTATATTTTACAAGCGGATGCGAACTTTAATTACTCGTACGTTAACATGGTGCAGCAAATAAACCCATCGCCAGCGCAACGTCCTTGTGCAAGTGAATGCTTAGCATTTAAATAACCGTTATGGTAGTAACAGCGCTAGTTATTAAAATTTTTAACAACTAACAAGAGAACTTTGACTGCATAGATATTTTGCATGCAATATATATGGCGGACGTTTATAGCGAATCTGTTTAACTATATAGCCCAAAATAACAAATCATTATATTAATGTGCACATGGGAATGAAAAAGAAACGACGGCTCTGTATGGTGCGTAAACTGAATCAAATGACAGGCGGTATATAAATATTGCATTGCGAGGTGCTATGTGCTGCACTGAGGAGAACTATCCCAGCGATGTAAACGGTGCATGACCTTTAAATTGCTTATTTATCCCCGGCCCGCCAAGCACACATGCATATATATGCAAGATGAATATGATTGTGACCATATGATGAACACACAACCGGAAACGAACTGCACACTGTCCATTAAACGCGGATCGAGCGTCGAAAGCGATAGGCATTCCACGGATAATTATTAAGCGGATTGTTGTTGTAGATATCGCCAGCGGCCCCGGTTTCCGTGTCGTCGAACAATGGTGGAGTGTTCAACTGGGAGTTTCTCCATGGGTAGAAGACGTCCTGGATATCAGGGCTGTTGATATTGGAGCGCTTCTTGAAGTGACCTTAAGCACATCGTATAATCCCGGTTCAATATATCGGCTAATTTTGTGTGCATGTGTAAATATTACATTTATGACAGTTGCGCTTGATGAAGTATTGTGTGTATTAATGTACGTCGTGTGTGTGCGCGCGCTTACCTCCCAGACAGGCCTGGCCCCACAAAGCGCATCCCTTGGACATCCTCCTGACAGCTCTGACGTTGGTGTACTCGCCGGAGTTGGCTGAGCCTAAGAGTAAATTACACAATACGGTTACGATACTTCACGGTGCAAGCGATTCACAAAACAGAGTCAGTGACGTTTTTTCCACGAAGTACTCGTACTTTGTACAGTATGATAAAAACTGCACTGTGGGCTTTCCACAAAACGTTCAAATCCATATAAAATTATTATCGATACTTATGCGCTCAGTACGGTATTATGTTGTAAACATAATAGAGTAGTGACCAATTATGCGCCGATTTATAGGTGTTTATGTAAATTGTATAACTTACAATGTCCTCGTAAACATTCGAATGCAGAAAACAAAATTACGATCTGTATGTTGTGATATACAGTTCATATATCGTATCGTAGTGTTGTAATAGAGATTATGTCTTAGCGTTATCGAATATTACTGTCTTAAAATAAGATACTTTAATTTTGTGAAAGTGAATTCTGCGAAAAGATTAATTGAAAATCATCACCGGAATTAGTACATAATCGAGTTCTAGTAACTTTTCTATATTTTCTCCTTGCGAGTGCGTCATGGGGCCATTGAATAACACAGGGCTTAATTAATTTTCAAGGATAACGTTAGACGCATTTTGGCAACCTTGAAAATTAAGGATGTGTAGAAAAATTAACAGCGTCTCCCATTACCGGATACACGTGATGCTAGCAGCCATTGTTTTGGCCTAAATGCATAAAGTCTTAACAACACAACATCTTAACAACAACCCGGGAGATTCTTAACAACAGTAGCGCGACTCCAATCTCATACACCCGGTCCACGCCTGTGTGTCCGCGTGTCATCGTTACACACGCTGACACATTGGACAAACTGCTCTCCTGGGCATCGTATAACACAGTGCAATATTTCCGCTAGTGGCTCATCCTGCAGTGTAATTATCAGCTCATTACGACGGCGATTTGTACCACCGGCATGCATCGGTACATATGTTGTCGCCTGAGTATCAGGAAGTGAGTCCTACTTGGGCGAGCATGAAAAAACACTGCACCGCCCAAATCAAATGCTAACTCGAGTCTGATCTTCCCAACTGGTAGATTTCGTGCTCGCCTAACTCGGGTTCCCACTTACTCTTGGTGAACGTGGTGTTCCGATAGCATACGATTATGTACACTAATAATTATGTTAATTTATAACATAGGCCAGACATTAGTTGCTAATCAGGTTCATGTCAAATATTTACAAAACTGTTGTGCAAAGCCTGAATGCAGTAGTACCCGTACAGTTGTACCTATACGCAGTTTCATTTTGTGCTACGTAAAACCGTACTTGGGAATGCCAAAGCTGTGACCCGTTATGATGTTGTAACGAGGGCGGGTTGTTGTAATTTAACATAATCTGTGTTGGTTGTAGTTAAGCATTCAGCCCGGCGGCTTTTGCATTTGCACCAGATTACACGCGATTATGCGTAATCCGGAGGATAAATTATAAGGTCACGGGATGGGTAAAGTCCAGATCAAACAACAATCAATTTTATGAGGAGAAAATAATTTAAATTGTCTGTACTGAGGCAGTAATGTAATTTCGTTATTATTTCTGACCTTACAATACCATGCCTATACGCTTATTTAAGGTCAGTGAACCAATTGTAGGTTACGAAAATTCATCATGTACACATAACACGTACCACAGCTGAATACTTGACTACTGAAAACGCTTTATACTATTAATAGTAATTTATGTTTTGATAATAGTAGTAATAGTAATTTCGTAATCAGTCAGTGTCTGACAACTGCATGATCAGTGTTTTATTATGAACTTGCACCAACCACCAATATATATACTGTATTTGACAGCAAATTATCAATTAGCGGATTTGCCGTACCGAAATGCTATAACATTTATCACCAATAAGGCCATGACCAGAGAAATACGCGCTTTAATATTATGGTTGCAATCATAAAAAAGTTCAGAATTAATTAGACTAACAATGTAAGTTTATCGAATGACATACATGTAAGAGCGCATGAACTTACATTGTTGAGCGACGAACACGAGGACAATCAGGAACGGGCAAATCAAGGCAACCGGGATTCTGGCCATTTTGACAAAAACTGGCAACACGTTATCCAACGTGTTTCGCTGAGTCGAAAAACAACGCAGGTATTTAAAAGCTCTTGTTACCGGCTACCACTAGGAGAAAAGAATTAAGAAATTTTCAAATTCACAGTGCCGGTACCGCAGAAATAAGCAAACAGAACGAACATCCCATACTGAGCGACGTACACCGGTATATATACTGCTCCAGCTTTAGGGAGTGCAGTCGGCATACGTATTGCTGATGTCCTTGTCCCTGTTCCTTGACGTAATTGATGCGTTCCCTTTTTCTTTTACGGCAGCCGAATCAAACGCGTACACCCCGGCGTACATGTACATGAGCACGCAGCATCTCTTTGTACGCTAATTGCAACACCATTCTATGCCCAATTTTTCTGTACATATAACACTTGACAATTTTTACACTAACTGGAATGCTGGTATAATAAAGATGCTTTGCGGGAAATATACCAATGTATGACGCGTTAATTTTGGGGTTGACGGAATTAATCTTTATTCAGGTTACCGGTACAAGAGTGTCCGTGCGCACATCGCGATGGTGCGTCTTGTGATGAAAGGACACTTTACCATCCTTTAGCATGCACACCCAAATTTCAGCCATGTTCGATGGTCAGTTTACCGAACTTGGCGACACTTGAAATGCCAGACAACGGTACAAAAATAACTTCTTTTATTCAAGATGATTTAGGTGCCGTTAAAGAAATTTTCGGATGTACACGTAGCGGATAACTTTGTAATACAATGCGGATATATCGAGAGAAATTACGTACAATTTTGCAGTCTTATATAAATTTCAACAGAATAAACTGTGCGCATACGAAGTTATTAGATTCGAACATAGAGCTTATACTGTTAACGTTAATTCATAACACCCAGACTCTCACGCACAGTAACTGCGGAAACAACAGTGCTCAACAAAATGACTGGTGCGGGCAACAAATTCAAATCAACAGTAGAAATTAAGCGCGCTTCGTCGGTTTTCGTTTGGAAAGACAACCTGCAAGTAAATAATACATAAACACTACCATTTCCAGTTAAAGTCTACTTTGTAAAATTTCAGGACTGTCGTCATGCTCACAGCACAGCGAATCCTTGTAGTGGGAACTGTTTGACATCTACTACCAAATTTGGGGCAATGCTGACACCCAGTAAACGATCTCGGCAATTTCCTGTAGAAAAAAAAAACAAAATTTTAGAACTACTACAGTAAACTCTGTGTATTCAAAAAACAACTGCGTTGAATTTGTCGACGGCCAAAATTAGTGTAAATCTACATACCTGCGTGAGCAATTTGGTTGCTGACGCCCAGCTTCTTTCCATTGCGTGTCTCCACAGCTGCAACACAACTTCGATAAATTACACTTCGATAAATGCTTCTTTATAAAAACTAAATATCTCCGCACAACTTAAAGATAGCGGAATGCAGCAACCGATGAAAAACTTTATTTTTACTTTGTTTCTCACCATGAAAGGATGCCACTTGATAAAAGATCAGATTACTCAATGGAACAGTCACAGTAAACTTAGGTCGCCGGACGAAAACGCTCTGCACCATGCAATCGCGATAATCTCGGCGCGTTTCAATAGATCGCTCCGCCAGACACGTCGGCTTCCGGGCAAACAACACATCCAGCAACACACCGTGATCAGCTGCCCATTGGCGAAACTGGTGGCCCAAATAAACATTTTCCAGCGCGATCACTTTATCCACTAAAGTAAAGGTCACACCAGAACACGGATTATCATGTGCGAAACAATTTGGAAAGTAATTATGCAGCTCAAACTTCTTTTATAAACAAACAAATAATGCGCAGTTGCGCACCATATAACTGAAATGCGTACACCTATCAATAAAACAACACTAGGCTCCGCGTTGTAAGAATGATAATGGAAATGATGTACTGCAGTATAATATCTATATGTAAATAATATATACGCAGCAAAACGACAAAAGAAGAAATCACCGCAACCAGCATTACTGTTTTTTATTATACCTTGAAACGCTTTGGCAATTTCCAACAACAGCAGGAACCCGTTACTATCAATCCAGCCGGCAGTATTGATGATGGCCCCACTGGCACGGAGATGGGCATTGGAGAAACTGGACTGGACAAATTCCGCCAGCTTCCAAATCTGCGCTTGGTACAACTTGCAGTCTTCGTTCAGGTTAACCCGTCCGAAAGGCAAATCCACCCGCTCAGCATGGTCTACCTGACCCAGTTCATTGGTCCCAGCACGCAAAATGGCCGACGCTAAGCAATGTAACACCAAATCAGCAATTAACGTACATACACTACGTTTGTAATATTCACCACCATTTATATAGCTGAACCCATCACGCACACGAAAAAATATAAGAGCAACGATATCATTTAAGTAATTCCTCTGTTGATACTTACAGAGGGTGCCAGGCAGTGTCAAACCTTGCTGTCCAGCATCAACATCCACAAATGTCGGATTCCATCCGGCTTGGACAGCGTAATTCAGCAATGCGCGACAACAGCTGGATTTTCCGCTGTCCATTGGTCCCACCACCAACACCTGCCAAAGATGCAAAAGCAGATTCATTTCCAAAAGATAAATGCAGTAAGACCAGTTCCATTATTAATGCCAAACTGTAACCACATCAGTATACTCATTGTACTGCGGCAGGAAAAAGTGTATTTACTCATAAAAGAGAAGGTAATGTATGGTTGAACATTACAGATTACTGCCGCAATGTTGACTTCCAATAGTCCAAAGGCGTACAGTGTGCCCCTACCGTACAGCATACGGCACCCTGTATATTTCCCGTACCTTCGGTCCAACCACTTCCCCAGCGGATTTCACCGCATCCTGGCGTTGCTGTTCCAGAACAGCATGCATAGCGCCCACCAACGCAGGAAACGGATCATCCTTGATCACCTGTACTTCCAGATCGCAGTTGTCCGCTTCCACCGCAACGCGGCAGCCATCGTATGTGGCCAGAACCGCACGATGCGGATAAGTGAAACAGTAGCGTTCATCAGCGCTCATGAACATCCCAAAAATTTCGGCCTGCCCTTCGACCAGCTGCATAACAATACATGATATCCACAATATCACAATACAAAATGTGTTTTCCCTGTCACGGATGTACCTCAACATACACCGAGCGTTTGTAGCCTGGAATAATGGCCACTTGGTGTCCGTGCAACAGGTCCAGTTCCTTCCGCGACATGTCCATGTTGAATGGAAGGCTCAGCCTCAGTGTTCCACGGACTACCAATCAACCGATCAACCGCCGGGGTTACAGAGGGCAATTAAGGACCCAGAAAATGTCTAACAAGACTAATGAGCACCATAAAATCGTCTGAAATAGTTCAAATAAATAAAAATTAATAACGAACGAAACAACATCAAGTTCTGCGTCTGGCAAACATTGTGGTATTGATACTAACGCGTGGCGAGACGAGCTGTAATCCTGCACACGAGTGGTGCCAATGTATGGAACGTATTGTCAGCGTAGTTGCAGTGTAATTACATGAGGGCACTACTTGTTACTTGACTATGTTAGTTGCATGAGGTAGCCATGGTACTGTGGTCGCCGAGTTGGTTTAGTACTTTTGGCCCGTTTTGATGATGTCTATCATTTCAGTTGAGCAGTTTGTCCAATGTGTCAGCGTGTGTAACGATGACACGCGGACACACAGGCGTGGACCGGGTGTATGAGATTGGAGTCGCGCTACTGTTGTTAAGAATCTCCCGGGTTTGCACGACTTTATGCATTTAGGCCAAAAGTTTTAGTTTTTCTTTCAGTATAACACTAGAAACTATAACAGATTCGCTGGACATCATTAATCGCGTATTAGCACAAAAGCACGCCGTGCACTCGTGATCGTAATGCTTGTACATGTATAAATAATCAGGTAAAAGTTTGCGAAATAGAAAAGCAGAACAACGACGAACATATGCATGTTGAGCATGGAACTGCCAAGTGCCCACGGTTAAATCAGTGCCCTTTAATAGGCCATGTGTGATTTGTAGTCGTGATAGGCCGGTTGGTAATGATGACCACGAATATGCGGAGTGTGTACCGGATACCTGTTTTGCGGATGATAGACCGTGTCCTTGTTGTGAGCGATCGGAATCAGATTCACATCGATCCTCACTGGATCTTTCGAGTGTTCTTTAGTGACGTTGCTCTTTTCTTTCTCCTTGGAGCTGACTTCCGTTTGTTCTTTATGGTCACCTTTGCCGGTCGGTACTTTCCTTTCGGGTCCCGCAAAATGGCTGTGTTGGTGGACTTCAGTGTTGAGTTCAATGCCGATTGACTTGTGTGGATGGCGATCTGCATAGAGTTTGTCGGCATCATCCGACTGCTGAATTTGTTTATCGCTGTAGGATTTGGGTTTGGAGCTTGATTCGTAAAAACGGCGGTGATGTTGTACGGGATACAAGTCCACAATTGTCGGATAGCTTACTGCAAAATTGGATTTAAGATTGGTGACCTTTTCAATGCACTATGTCTTCACTTAAAATTATAAGTCAATAATGATATAACATCATTAAGGGCATCGTTACTGCTTACTTGCTGGCACATGATGCACATCAGGAACATTTCCGGTGATTTCCACATCACGATCCGGATGGAAATCTTTAATGCTGCTTCGCACTTTTTCGGGTACACAGACACAGTCTCGTGTTGGCGGTTTGAGTTGGATAACCGGTGCCGCGGTGCGACTAGGTAACACCGGCAAAATAGGCGCTAACGCTGGGAATGCTCGATGCCGGTGATGATGCTCCTCGGAACTGCTGCTATCAGCGCTGCCAAACGGTAGACAACATATCGCCAGAAAAGCAATCAGAATATTGCGAACACCGGTGATCGATAGCCACGAAAATGCAAAGGATTTGCCAAACATTTTCGAGTTGCAAATACGATTATATAAAATTGAAGATTTAAGGTCTAATTTCAAATAAGTACTTTGCAACTAAAAACGAATTGATAACGGTTTGGTTGGTAGGTGCTTTAGTTCGTAGATATTACAGTTGTCAAGCCAAAGCGAACTGTACAATATGTTTGAACAATTTAAGCGGAATGAGTTTATATAGCAAAGCGTACAATAGCTTTTCAACTCATGCTCATAACTGTTACATAGTTTCTTTAGTTATTATTTATGATGTATATTTCAGCGTAACTTAAAGCACGAGAACGTCGTATTAATTTCTGTTGAAATGCTACTTTAAGATGGCCGATACTATTTTCCGGAGTTTCTGAAAGATGATCCGTGAAGAAACGTGATCACAGAGTTTATTTCATTAGCAGAAACAATTGAAGGTGTAATGTAGAACGCTATTTGAGTGTCCCAGAGAAACTGCCGCCACTACACCAGCTCAAAAACTTGCAATACAATAATGGTAAACTGTCGTGCTGGCTGCAATCATGTTACATGTTACACAAAACAAGTATTATTTAATTCTTATAGCATGCCTTGCAAAAAAAGGTAGTATATAAACATAATGTTTCATTGCGGAAGTCTGTTTGCTCGAAACCGATTCGAGTGTGTTACAAGTTTAATATAGTAGTTCAATATTATTAATAATTTGAGCACAAACAGAATTCGCTTGTATAAATTTTACTGTAGTACGAGATGAACGTTAATACTTGAGAATGTTAGTTCACCCTGAAACAGTTACTCGTTGAGTAGCTAACCTGCCACAGTTCACATATTCAACCAGACAACTGATCACTTGAATTAAACTTACTGTTAGTCTGGAAAGTTAAAAGCTCTGTTCGTAGTGCTAATTTCATAAACGGACCAAAACCATAACAATGCTTATCCTCGATGTAGCCAGCAGAACTTCGCTGAATCTCATGCAAAACTGTTCGATTACTATGCCGAAACGTGCGTCATGCAATGTAAAGTTAATAAACAATTCCGGTTAATCCAGGTTCATGTGACGGGCAAACCAGTTACACACATCTTCGCTAACCCCGATTCGGTATAATCATTTTAATAATGTCCACTTGCCATGGCTTCCCGAAAGCATTAGCATTTCCCATCAACATTTCAATTGCTACAGCAGTATATTCGCGTTTTGCAATATTACGCAGCCGAAACCATATGCGCTAGCCAGGGCACGAGTCCGTCGTAATCACGTTGCAGCGTAACCGGAATCCAGACGGATACATTAGTCTAGCTTTCCTGTAAATAAACCGGAAATTATTCCTGCGCCGGGAAGACTGGCAGACAGGGTGAAAAGTTAAATTTACCCGGTTAAGACGCTGACTTTGCGCATTGAATGTATTGTACGCAGCATACTGTACGTACTTAATGTGAACAGAATTTTTGGCGGCCGGATCGAGCTGCGCTATGATTGGCTAAGCGCCTTTATACACTATACAGTTTAACGCGCGAGAGGCGGTGTTACATCCAGCTTCCGGTCAGCGGCAAACGCCGCTGTGTCGTCCAACCATTACGGCGCATAACCCTAATTCTAACGCCAGAATTGCACCTTTGCTACCTTCCATAAGCTCCGTGTTTACCGGGTTGACTCCCAGCGTCATCGATACGTTAGGGGATTTGGCGGCACGGATTACGATTATTAATGCCGCAGCCACGCACCTTTATCGCAATCTTCCGTCGTGACAGGCGGGCACATCGCTGTCTTCTACGGGTTCAGTTAAATAACCCTTTGGATGTTTCCTGCGGGCAGATTATTCCATTGATATTTAAGGGATAACAAGAAGATTTCCCGAATGTCAGGAAAGCTTTCTTTCTTTCAGTGCTATCTTACTTGTGCAATCGTACAATGGCATTTCTATAGGAAATAGCTAACACTTTCCATAAGGTGAAGAATTTTATTAAACCATACAAAATTACTGGTGTTGTATTGAGCGGAAACGTTTTAGGTTCGGATTTGCCAACTATGGAGATTGCCGTGGATTCCAGGGAAAGTGAAGTTAACGGTTCGTCCCACCCGGATAATGTGGTTAAACAACTGGAAGAGCTTAGCGGATACGGTGTCGATTACATTTACGGGATTGGAGTTGTCTACATGCTAATCTGTGTGGTGGGTCTGGGAGGAAACATTTTAGTGGTAAGTATAGCTCGCGTCGACAACACCGACTGGTAGGAAAGATATTTATTCAACGGCAATAACTAAGTACACACGTGCACGTTTGACTTGGGAAACACTTAATAACAAGTAATCTGAAAAGTTTTTTATGGAAAATGTCGCTTTGTATGAGTCAGTATGACCATCGTTTACTGTTGCAAGCCATACCTTTTATAGTGTAACAAGTATAATGTTGTACAGCCTCTGTAGTCTGTACAATTGTATATAGATATCTATTTACATGTATACACCGCATATCCGGTCATCCACACGAAAAGCCGGTCACGCACTGCTCTAAATTTCATACATTAATCACAAAATATGGATATTTACGTAGTGTTCCAAATATTTAGACGCGCAGAAAATGACGCAATAAATTAATGGAATAGTATCGTGAAACACTAAAATGTCAACTTTAGAAAGAAGGTTGATGAATATTGTAAAGTTTTACAGCACGAAAAGCTTATCCAGTAACCGGCTTATTGATATCGATACATCGCGAATGTGGGTGATACCGTGATAGCACTGTAGTGTTTGCTGGCACTGGCTAGACAGAGTTTTAGCTTCGTTTTTGAAATAAATCGATAAGCACTACTAGAAGTGACCGCAAATCGTTGCAGTTAAGGCAAATAAAATTTGCATCACAAGTTTTATATGTCAGTATAATTTGTATTTTGCATAAGTTAAACTTCTTGGGAATTACTCTCCGAAGTCTATTTGACGACGCGTGCAAATCTGAAGGGTACCTCGTATATTGACAAAAGCGTACCCAGGGTCGCTAAAAGACTAAATTAAGTACAAAGCACCGGCACATCTACTGCAGAATTGATTTTCATAATTAACTCAGTTTTATGCGATGTACGTCTAATAATACCGCAATATAAAAAATTATACAATAAATCCAACTTGCCTAATACGGTGATTATGACGTACAATGTTTAGCGATGTTCTTACTTCTTAGCATTAAGATGGTGTTATTGTAAGAACATGCTACGAACATATAGAAATGGTTTTTACTGCGTATTCGTGCACAAGTACTGGGTAAATGTGTCAATTACCGGGTGTTGACGAAACATTCATACATCCATAAAATATGACCAAATGGGGGCTTTTACAGTTTTATGTTATCCTGCGTTTCTCGGTTATGCGTACCGTGACCAATGTGTTCATCCTGGCTCTTGCCCTGGCTGATATTGCCTTCCTGGTGAACATACCGCTCCTGGTGGTCACATCCATAATCGGTAACTGGCCATTTGGCAACATTTATTGCAAAATGTATGTCAGCCAGCAAAACGTTTTCCCTCTGACGCATGACGGTTAACACGTTGATGTCAGCTTAAAATGCATCTGGGTGATTTTATATTGCAGATATTACTCCGTTAGCACCATTAACCAGTTTGCGTCCAGCTTCTTCTTGGTGACGATGAGTGCAGGTACGGGACTAAGCATTACTTATAAAAATGGACTAATTTAACGGTGTATTAGATGTTGTTACGCATGTATTTATTTGTAGACCGATATCTGGCGATATGGTAAGGGGCGGTTAAATGTCACAGTTTTCAAGACAAATTACAGATACAAGGTAGTGGAGGGGCACAATATTATTATTGGTCTAATTGCACAGCTGGCCGATCTGGAGTCGTCGCTTACGTACAACGGGTGCGGCTCTGCTCATCTGCGCCTTTGTTTGGAGTTTGGCCATGAGTTTGAGTATGCACACATATTTTATTTTTTGAAATAATTCACTTAATTTTAGAAAATTAACTATTTCAGTACTGAAACTCAGGTTTTCAATCTGACATGAGCAACTACAGATATACCATTGCAATGTAGCAGCACTATGATTTTGTAGACTTCATTTTTTGTGAGCCAAGCATTGATGGATGACTCATATTTGCTTGTAATATTTATTTACGTCACTGTTTAATGTCTGCTATAATATATGCTATGGTTCTAATATAATAATTTCACACCGATATTATACAATATTTCACACCGTAATGTATAATCTTCACCTTTATATGTAAGCACACGCATATATTGTACATATTGTGTTAAGTATAAGGTGAAATAATTACTGTTTACGCTTATGTTGGGTCATCTTTCCTTTAGTGTATCCCGTTTTTGCGTACTCCGGAACGCAGTCATCTAATTACAGCGATGGCGGAGAAACAACCCAGTGCAATATATTCTGGCCGGGCTACAATGCCACCTCGCTGGTACTGGATGGAGAAGGCGTTTTTGCGTTGTATTGTTTTATTTTGGGCTATGCACTTCCGGTCATCCTCATGATGTTTTTCTACGGGATGGTATTGCGGAGCATACGTAGCAGTCATGAGAAGATCGCCAGCACGAATATGGTGGTGACGACGACAAGTGCTTCTCAGAGTATTAAACGTCGAACGGACAAACTGCGTCGAGTGACCACCATGATATTTATTGTAATCCTGGTATACATTATGTGCTGGACACCTTACTGGTAAGTATCTTTTGAGGAGGAGTTCATGATTTTATACCTCTATGATAACTGCAGATTTTATATTAAGAATTTGTAAAATTCAAGACAATCGTAAACGTTTTAAGCGATCCGGTAAAAATTACGGCAACAGTATTCGCCAAGTACACCATTCAGTACCCGAATTTAGCTGTTGGTAATCCAAACACATATAATGTCTAACCATAAAAAACGTGTAATATTATATTGTCTGTGGGAGCATTTTATCGTACACTTTCAGCTTTTTACCTTAAACATTATTGTGATATTGTAACATTGTTTCAGGGTATTTCAGCTATTTATTGTTCTATCTGGCGACTACCTGGAATCACTGCGACCGGAAGATGGTCGCGTGGTAGTCGTCGTCTGTTTGATCCTGCAGTGCTTCTGTTTTGCCAACTCCGCCATTAATCCCATCCTGTACGCGGTACTGAGCGATAACTTTAAGCAGAGTTACTCAAAAGCCTTTAAGCGTTCTCGGAAATGCCATCCGGCGGCCAGCGGTGGTGGTGGCGGCGGAACAGCCAACAGTAAATCCGCCGTCAATGCCACCATCCTCATCCGCGAAACCAACACCCTGCGGGAATTGACCGGCACCGCGGCGACCACCAGTCAACCGCCATTGTCCAAGACCGGTTGCACACCTCCGCGGCCCATTCAGATCTGGTTACGGGGCGACGCGCTGTACCAAGTAGGCAGCGGATTACTGGTTCTCTTATAAGAAAACGCAAATCCCTCGCACGTTTCGCACTGCTTCCAAGATAATCTGCGAAATTTCTGAATGGGTTGTATATTTTCCAAATGTACAGTTTATCTTTCTTCCACGCTTAACCTTTTCAAATCAGATTAACGCATTTATACTGATCATTTTGCATACGTTCATACAAATGCCCATTATTCGCATTAAATCTGGTATACTTCCACGATAATGACGTCCCGCACAAGTTGCGTCAGCAAGACAGACGAATAAAATCCCGACAAGTAAAAACAGTGGAACAAATATACAAACAAGTCAAAACAACAAAACTCATGCCGCTAAACATTAAATTAAACAAATCCCCAAAGGGGTAAAAGAGGGTCAAAACAAATTCCCTTCTAAAGAGAATACGGACGACCAACAAGTGGGAATTGTCGATGCACACACAGGGCGCGATGGTGACTGTCTACTTGATATTGAGCGCCTGCTCCAGTTCTTGACGGCGTTGTAAGAGTTTATTGTAGAAATAGCGGTGTATCGCCTCCCGCGACCAATCCCCGATATAATGATCCGCCCGTCGCTCCTGTTCCGGCACACCGATCACATCGGTCATAGACTTCAGATCTGACGCCTGCGACTGAATCCAGCGGGCAATGAATTTCTGTGGATCACTGGCGAAGCTCATGTAAAACTCCCGACTTATACGCAGCTGATTAATGTGTTCCACTGTTTCACAAATCTGCAAAAAATCACCGTCACTTTACATCCGAAATTCTATTCCACCGCATCATTATTTCAAGCAGCCGTAAATATAATTTATGAATTTACCGTTTCCTAATCTACACTGATTTCGGTGCAGCAAAAGATATTTAAACTCTGAAATGCCGACTACGTTTTACAGGCTTAATCTGATTTAATAAACTGCCAAAAACGCAACGAAAACACAAGAATTAACCCGGGTCCAATTTGGGATGATATATTGCTATGGGCCAGGCGCGTCTAAGTACCTTGTTATCCAGCTGCTGAATCTCTTGTGTCTGTGATACGCCCTGGAAGAAATTGGTCATATGGGGCTTAGCCGGATCATCAACATCCACATCAACATCATAACAGGCGGTGCGCCGTCCTTCGCTATTATCCACCCTGCGCATTACACCCAATTTCCCATGTGAAGACACCCAGTCCAGCTTAGCCGGTATTTCTACACGGCAAATTCCCGAATTTCAATATACTCACGTAATCATATGATGAATGATGATGGGATCGGGGGAAAACAGCAATGCCTGCAGCCGCTGCGCCACTTCTTGCATTCGAATCTGTTTGGTGCTGAACAGCTGAAAAGTTAAGAAGACGGAAGATAAACAGCAAAAACAAAATGCTTATTCCAACGCCGCAAAATTTGTAGTGAATTTCCAATGTGGTGCGTGCACAACACTTGTCACGATAGCCGATAGGCATAATAGTACTTACCTGTATATAAAATAAAAATATGAAATTTGTTAATGTAATATTACGCGAGTCACAAGGCGATAAAAAGTAGCATCAAATGCAAAACAGGTAACAAAATCTCAATCACACACAAGGAAGTGCAGCAACAATACGTACCACTTGTAACGGGGCATCCAAATTTAGATAGTCGGGATGAGACGGATCTTGCAGTTTATTCCGCTTAATGTATTCCCAAAAATGGCTGAAGATGCTGATTTTTGTGCCCACATATAAGCCTAACAACTTCGCTAACCGATTGTCCAGTTTGTAGTAAGGAGGCTACAGCCACAAAATATTAAAGTAAGTACGAGTAAACTCAAAGTGGAAACTTCAAACGATTGCGATGGCTTACTGTGTAATCCAACATCAGCATGATAACGCACTTAACGTTGCGATCGCCAATGCGCTTCACCTGAAATCCATCTGTTTCTTGAGTGCTGGCCGATCGGTGCCACTGTAACATAAGAAAGACATTAACACACGTATTCACCGTTTACTGTTATGCGGTGCGAGTTTCCTCTTCAAGAGTAAAGACCATAACAAGATACCAAAACAATATTAGAAATACGACAACAATATTTTGTGACAAAATTTAAGAAGAATTCCCTCACCATGTTTACAATTTTACTTACATAGAAACAGATCATCTCGTCCGACATGCTGTACGAATTCGAGACGATATGACACCCTATTTACATTTTTCGTTCCACATTTTAAAGAAGCAGTACAGTAATTTTGGCATCCATTATTCCATGCATTCTTCACTTGGCGACTACTGTATTCTTCGCTACTGTTTTACAACTACACGTATACGTATACAGTAATTTAATTTGACCACCTTTTCAGCTGTGCACAGGGATCATAACCAGAAGGCAAATGCTTTAATGCTTTACCTCGACAAGGTGATTATCTGGGCCATATAACTCCCGATCCAATTCGATAATCAAGCTGCGGAAGAACGAAGAGAATTTCCGTCGAGATTTGGGTGCTTCCGGAGCTGGTGGCTTCGCAGCGGCGTCTGTGCCGGCAGCTTGCTGCTTCTAACATAAACAAAGAACACAAGCTACATGTCAAGTATTAACACTACTTCTATGAATCCACATGAAAAAATGTAATCACTACATACTGACAAAGGAACAATACAAATCTGCAGAACACTATATGCTTACGTTAAGATCCTCCAACAATCGCCCTTCTACGCGCAATTCCCACATCGGATACGACCCGTCGCCAGCTTCTGTTTCCGGCTTCCCAGGCGTAAAGGTATGTGACACAAAAATTCGCAGCTTCTTTTTGATCTGTATAATTCACAAAGAGAACTGCAATACCACCACACTACCGCATATTAAGAAGCTCTCTGGCTGGAATACAGATAAGCAACTGAAACTATGGACCAAAACTACCTTCTGAGGCTTGCGTAAAGCTTCTTGGATTTCAATCTTTTTGCGAGATATGGTACAATCCAGTTTCTTCTCGAATTCCAATAAATCCATATAGGCTTTGGACTCTGGTACAATATGCTTGATCTGGAATAACAGATGCTTAATCAGGCAACGTATCTTAAGCAGGAAAATCGAATGTAATTCGAAATTCGAACAAAAATCCGAATCGCATCGGCAATGAATTTTTTGCTACAGCAAACTGTTTTATTACGAAGTGCCTATTATCAGAACGACAGAACCTATTCCCGGTATCTGAACGGTGATAAGGTAAATCACAAATTAACTTCAAAAGACTTAAAGAGGATAATTATTCGTATAAATAAGAGATAAATTATTTATCATAATTATCCAAACAAAATCAAACTATTCACAGTACCCCAGGATGGAGACTTTTGTCGGCCGTCTTGCGCTTCTTTCTGGCAGGCTGCGCCGGGCCCGAAGTACTGGCCGCCGGAGCAGGCACTGGCACGGCGGGTGCACGATGCATCATGGGAGTGGGGAATGGAGCAGTGGAAGAGCCCGGAGTCCCGGCCAAGGGGGGCGCCCCGGCTGCCGGGGGTCGTTTCAGCGCCGCGGTCAGCGCGGCCCGTCCTCCACTGGGACTGTAGGGCAGAGCAGGCGGGGCATATCATTGCGGACCGGTAGTTGGGGGGTGAACGGCTGGGAAGGAAAGGATGACGCAGGGCCCCCGGGATAGGGTGGCCGTGTGAGGGGGGCCGCTAATGGATTGAGATTAGTGGCGGTGTTGATGGGTAAGGCTGCGGCGGATGGTGCAGCAACTTGGCCCTTTGGATAAGAAAAATCAATAATTATACAGTGGCACCCAACAAAGAGTAACGGGAGAGTGAGACGATCCTGAGAGTATCACCATCTCTCCCGTGATAGAAAAGACAGCATCCTGTGCGACTGCCGTGAGAGGCTGTGACTTGTTGTACGCGAACAAACTAATAAAAATAGACTAACAAACCTGATAAGCCGACTGCTGAATTGACATATTCGTATGAGTGCGCCTCTTTAACCAGGCCAAACGATGGTCCCCTCGGTAATAATAATTTTCTGTGTTGATTAAACTTTCAACTTTGAAAAGAGAGACAGACGGCGATTATGCTCTGCTGTGTGCGCAATGGGTAGTCAATAATACACAGCGGAGATTTGCGCATTCTGCATCCTCTGTGAACAAGCACAGCCATATCCAGGTCAATAACGTCGATAGCTACAGGGACGAGCTGGATGTCGCCTTGAATAAGTCGGGTATCCGGACAAGGTAGAAAAGTCACAATCAGTTATTAGGCGGATTCAGTTACTTACTGATGGTTCGCACTGGCCTACTATGGGCGTTATTTTTCCAGCTTAAACTTGTCATGATTAATACTTTTTGTAATAATTTGTATTTTCTTAGTATGAAAATTTATTGTTATAATTTTTTATATTAAATTTTCATTACAAATTCGAAAGAAAGCACACATTTAAATTGAACATCCACAATTTCGCTTGACTACAATCTTGACTACCGGCTGTATCAACTAAGTATCAATATCATCTTGACTACAGACTACAGAGTTTACCGGCGTATTACAAGTTAGGTACAACTGCAGTTGTACCTAACAGTTGTAAATTTTAATACCGGCAGCAGCTGCTGCCGGTATTAAAATTTACAACGTTACTGTTAAAGATAACTTTTCTGTTGCTGTAACTTTACTGTACTACCCAAATTAAATGTTCAGTTTCCGTAGAATAAAACAAATCACTAAAACTTCTTAACCGGTCCATGCTCTAATAAACAGGATTTGTAATTTTAAAGTTTAATTTGCACTCTAGCTACTATGAGCACGGGCATGAGGACATTTTCAGATTGAAAGGTGCAAACTTCGGCCATGATATGGAGGGAATACTGCATTTCGGCAAAATTATCTTTCCAGAAAACTGGTTTAGAAAGGTTAAGTTAAAGACGGGCGGTTAAGTTACAGTAAAGACGGGCTTTGCATACACTTCCTGTTTTAAATTTTGCTCCTACCGGTAACCGGTACCGGACGTACCAACTACCAATAACTTCTATAAAATTTTTCTAGTTTTGTATTTTGTTACCTAGTGGGCACCAAAGTAATATTATCGTTTACCACTAAAATATTAAATTTTGCTACAGTCGCTGGATAGCGGCCAGTGTCGCTCTGGCCCACCCACTCCATTAAAAGGCCAAAGTTTGCGGTGCCAAAGTCCAAACGGGTTACCATTGTGCCTGTTCCGGTGTTACGGCGCCCGGCTTGCCATACCACATTGAAATTTACAGGAAGAGAAGTTTATTTTTGAAATTTGTTGATTTTTGCTGTTTGCATCATGCATGTCTACTTTGTACTGTACAAGCAGCTGTGTGTTTAAACTTTGTTTGCACTTTGCGATTCATTTGTTTTTTGTTTATTTCCCAATTTTCTGTTTTTATTGTGCTGCTTGATTCCTGGTTTACGTATGTAGTCAACCAGTCAACCACGCCGCTGCTGCCAGTGCTGCCTAGTCGTGGACTCGTGGTGCCACAAAGACTATGTTTCTGGAGAATTCAGTGTGCATGTTGCTCTGGGAGTTCTGATTTCAGTGATTTGTATAAGGTTTATCACAACATTATACAGGAATTTTTTCGCAAACTTATTCAGTGCGGAGTCTCCTGACCATGAATGCGCGCATGAAGTTTGAGAAATTGGAGAAAATCGGAGAAGGTGCGTTGCGTTTTAACTGGAAAGTGGAAACAGTACTTTGTACTTCGACTGTAGGGATGTAAGAATTAAAAATAAGATGCTTGGTACGGACATTACTCTGAAATGCAATTTCAGGAACCTACGGAACCGTTTTCAAAGCTCGAAATCGCGGTAAGCTGGTTTCATTGCTATTTTCTTGTTTACTGTTTTACCCGCTAGGCAGTATGCAGAGCTCGGGTCTTTTTTTTGCTGTAGAAACGCATGATGTCGTCGCTTTGAAAAGAGTCCGTCTCGATGACGAAGACGAAGGTAGGATCCCTATGAAAGCTAAATTTAAATTGTAATTTGAAGGAAATTGTTATTTATCGGTTTTGACAGCTGGTGCCCGGCTGCAGGATGCGTTAGATGTTCATTGATTTTTAGTTGTGGCTTCGGTTAATTACGCTGACGGTGGTTTATTCACTTTACTGGTTGTCTAGGTATACCATCTTCCGCGCTGAGGGAGATCGCTCTTTTAAAACAGCTGCGCCATAAAAATATCGTGCAGCTTTTGGACGTGCTGCACAATGAGAAAAAGCTGACGCTCGTTTTTGAGTACTGCGATCAGGATTTGAAAAAGTATTTTGATTCGCTGAATGGAATAATTGAACCAAAAGTACGTGTCCCGTTTTTCTCGTTCTTTTGGATGTCGGATAGCTTTTTTGGATTTCACGTTAATTAATCAAATTGACGATAGTGGTTGACGATACAGGTTTAACTAGTACTTCTACGGAGTAATTTCGATTGAGTGCGCTATAATGCGATATGTACTACGAGTGGGTTTCCTTTGTTTCTAACTTGTGTTGCAGATAACTGTTGTCTGTTGTAATATGTTGTTATTGTTTTGCTTTTTTGACAGATTGTTCGTTCGCTGTTCTACCAGCTGCTGTGTGGATTAGCGTATTGTCACCTAAAGAATGTGTTGCACCGCGATTTGAAGCCGCAGAATATTTTGCTGAGCAAGGTATGGTTTTATTTTGTCCGATTGATTTCGGGGTGCATATCTTATTTGAATCACGGTGAACTGATGTTTTAAATAATCGCAAACCAATTACCAGTATATTTGTTTCCAGAATGGAGAGGTGAAACTGGCTGATTTCGGATTAGCTAGAGCGTTCGGGATTCCAGTGCGGTGTTATAGTGCCGAAGTTGTCACACTGTGGTACAGGCCTCCTGATGTACTTTTGGGTGAGAGATAAAAGATAGTTAAAGCACTGGTCACTCCCAATGTTTTCTACACATTTGAGAGTCAGTAAATATATTGATTGGTTTTGAGTACGATTTTTTGATGCGGGCCATGTATAACTTCAGTTTTCCTGAAACACGTCATTGTCAAGTACAGTACTAGCGTTTATGATTATGGTGTTGCGTAAGATCAGTTGAACTACATGTATTGAGCTTATGTTATTATACGTGATTGCGAATGGTTATTTATTTCTTGTCCGAGTGCTTAATTTTTTGTTGTTGTGCAAGACTTTCGCTTATGACTGATCCTTCCTGCAGGCTCCAAGCTGTATAACACATCCATCGATTGCTGGTCGGTTGGTTGTATCTTTGCCGAATTGGCCAATGCCGGTCGTCCCCTCTTCCCAGGCAGCGATGTGGATGATGAACTGAAGCGGGTCTTCAAACTGTTGGGCACACCGACCGAAGCCACCTGGCCCGGTATGTTGCAGCTGCCGGATTACAAGCCTCTTCCGGAATTCCCGCCGGGAGATTTCTCCGTCGCCGTACCCACACTTAGCGAGTCGGGCTTGGAGTTATTGCAGCGATTTCTTATCTGCAATCCCGAGAAGCGCATTTCCGCCGCCATGGCACTGAAGCATCAGTATTTTACGGAGATTGACGACGATATGAATCTCTGAAGCCAGTTTGCTTGGTAAATGAGGAAGTTGTGTTTGTTATCAATGATCTCGACACTGATATTCCGGTTTGGTATTGTTTTATTCTTAAGAATGATTTTTGTTAATGATCAAACTGTCCAGTCTAAGAATAATTACAAATGTACTCGCTCAGTTTTTCTGTCGTTTTAAATTGCCGTTTTGGAGATTCACTTTATTGATTTTGTCATAGTTGTTTCTCCATGGAATAAGTTAGTAAAAAATACGTAATCGTATAAAAAAGCTGCGATTTTGTTGCAGAATACATTTGGATAGGTTAGTTCATTATTTTACTAGCTGGACAACATACCAGGTCAGATCTGCTTAAACAAAAATAGAAATGGAAGCCTATCACTGAAAGCAAGGAGTGAGATCGATAAAATCATCATCGGATTCATCATCGTTGAACTCCAATCGTGCTTGGCTTAAAAGTTCCGGGGCGGGCGGCGGTGCTGGTACAGACGATGTGCATGCGGAAATGGAATTTGCTGCCTTTTTACGTCGAATCAGATTGGAAAGGGATGATAGACGCGGGCGGATAGCATCTTTGAGATGTGTCAGGAAGTTCTCAGAGTCCCTCTCATCGGAATCAGCGTTGACAGAAGGTGAAGAGACCGGAAGTGCTTCCGTTTGGGACACCAGTGGAATGTGGTCAGTTTTAACGCGGTAATGAACAGCAGACATTCCCAACATTTTCGGCTGTGGTTCGGAAAAATGTATTCCAGAAAAAAATAACTCGGTTACTACAAACTAAAATTAACCAAACGTTGATTATTCACTTGTAGGTTGCGTTGCAAGCTGAGCGTATTGCATGAAAGTGCTGTTTAAGTGCATTATAACCGTTCGTTATATACGGACAGATTAGGATTATTTTGCTCAGATTATTTGCCTACGGAATAGTAGTTTTCGTTGCTCCCGTTTCGGCAAAATCCACGTGTTGATAAGACGCGCCAGTTTCTCGCAAATGTTGTGATTGGATGTACTGTAAACTGATCGACGTAGAATGACCACTAGTGCATGTGTTTGCATATAACGTGCTATTTTCACTGATAAACTCTGATTCAGAGAATGTGCGTAAAATTCCCATGATTCGTGTACTTCCACCTTGGAGTTGTTTGGCTTGCAATCGATGACCTTTGTACCACGTAATCACCGGTTAGCAGTACCGTCTAGCTGCATTACAATCCTACATTTTGTAATATCTATATCTTCATGGAGTGGAGAATTCTACGCTAAGCTTTCAGTACAATATCGGTATTTATTAGCACTGTTTTGCAAGCACAACAGGTTTCGCCTAGAAGATAAACAATCTGGCGTTATGCAAACATAAACAATCAACATAATTATTACGTAGGTATAGTTGCCTACTGTGCCGTCGAATCGCATGCAATCCATAGATCGTTTCTATTTACTGTACTGTACTAAGAGTAAGAGTTATTATTATTGGGGTTACGGAAATACTTGCCTTGCTTTAACATTTTCAAACAGCATCCGATATGTCTTTGTAATGCACTAAATGCAGTACTTAAGGTTTGTTTTAACCACAAGCGTACGTTTAGACCAACAATAGGTATACCAACTTAAAATTGCTTCTATTTACTATGTATTATAATATAGACATACTATAATCGACTACGAGTAGATCCGGAGCGCATTCGGCGCAACCTGCGCAGATCTTATTTTAACCAACGACAATACAAAAGGCAATGTCTGTTCGGTACGATATCCAGTTATAGAAGTATTTTATTTTTATAGAAGCTTATTATTTACCGTATAGTTATAGAAGCTTATTATTTACCGTATGAATTTGATTCAGTAATAACATAAACTCAAAACGCACTACAAAAAAATTGCTGCTGCGATCCGGTACAATACGAGTACACCAGATTGTAAACCTGCAAGTGCTTTTACACCACTACTGTAGTACTTTGACAAGTAATCAAAATTAAATATGCTTGATCCGTTAGAAAAACTTAGAAACAACGCGGTGGATATCGAAAGTTCGATATGTACAAACATATTTTGCAATTAGTACGTCCTGTGCTTACTAGGTAAATTTACTTATAATAAATATCACACTTTACAAAATTTAGTATTTACGATATTAATACAAATATATGTTGTGCGATTTCCACTTTAATCGTTTCGCGGCAACAAAAGAAATTCATGTTTTGAGTGTATAATCAGAGCTCAGAACACAGCTGTACAGCAAGCCCAATTCTGTTTATCTCGTGTGTGATCGTTTTGCTCGTTTGAACTGCAATCGAAAAAAATTTTGTTAAAGTAACCACGATCCAAATATTAACCTGCGTACCACATTTGCAATGGACCAACACCATCGATCCGAGGTCAAAGATGCCGGTCAGCGATACTTCAACAACCAGTTCGCTGAATACTCCAACCAGCCTCTGACCGACCAGTCCCAATATATGGACCAGGCGCTGGGTCTCATGCAGGATATCTACACATACTATACATCTAATCCCAGTCGGAAGCGTCGTGACCTCTACACCGGTGGCGCCGGTATCGCCTACGCCTGTGTGCGATTACTGCAGCATTTGCCGGATGATAATCAGGACCGAGAAAACATCCAGCGCCTGTGTGCTAACATTATTGATTCAATATTAACGGAACACCGCGCAACACTGGGCCGGGACAAATCCCTGATGAACGGGGATGCCGGAGTATGGATGGCGGCAGCCCTGGTCTATGCGGAATTGGACCGGATGACCGACGCGGAAAAGGCCCTGAAGGAGTATGTGGGGTGCTGTGCTGGGGTGGAGCGGATGACCTTAACCGGATCGAGTGGTGATGAACTGTTTACGGGACGGTGTGGGTTTTTAGTTGGGTTTCTGGAATTATGGAAACGTTTTCCGGAGCATTCGGTAAATTACAAGTAGAACTGCTGCTGCCTGCTTGTAGAAGTAGAACTGCTTGTACTATACCTATATGTAGAGCAGAAAGGAAGTATTTTATATAGATTTTGTTTGAAGTGCCGGTTGCGGGAATTATCAGAGCCATACTGGCGTCTGGACGAGAGTATAGTAATATGCGGGGATTCCATACGCTAAGTCCACTGATGTTCCTCCATTATGAAGCTGAATATGTAGGTATGCGCAACAGGAACAATTTTATTCTCACTTGTCAGTTATTTTATGGTATATCAGTAATCGGTTTATAGCATAACAGTCAAATAAATACAGAAACATTATACATTATAATTATTTCCTGTCAAAATTTACCATTATGGCGTAAATATTTTGTTTTTCTTTATTACAATAATGTTATATTGTGACATTAAAACTTGATCACTACTGTGAGACTTGATCTCTACGTACTGACTGGTTGGTAATGTGGTAGACCAAAACTGTACTCAAGGGGTTAGCACTCCTTGAGTGCTAACCCCTTGAGTACAGTTTTGGGTAGACACGGTAAACTGAATTTGCGCTGATGATTTATTTTCCAATGTATGACCATGCTGTTTTGAAATCTACGCTGATACAGTTTACATAATTATTATTTTGATAGGTGCGGCTCATGGAATTTCGACTATACTGCAGTCACTTCTTGGGTTTCCAACAATTTTAGCCGAAATTCCAGGAGCGATTAATGATATCAAGGCGACGTACGAGTATCTTCTATCCAGTCAACGTGATAGCGGAAATTTTCCGAATATATTTGGAGCAGTTGAGGATGAAACATCGGAACTTGTGCAGTGGTGTCATGGCGCTGCCGGTAAGACTGCAACTGCGCTTATATGTATTGCTTCTCATCGTTGCTAGTGCGGCGAAGAATGCAAGCTGCAACTGCAATACTTTTGCACTACGAGTACGTACCATTTATTTAAATTGAACAAAACAACAAGTTTGGCATCGTTCTGCAGGTGTGATATATTCCCTCGCAAAGGCATATTTATTTTGGAAAGAAGATAAATATCTGAATGCTTGTAAAAAGTGCGCAGACATACTGTGGAAAAAAGGCTTGTTAAAAAAGGGTTGGTAAAATTCTATTAGGATATTGCATGAGTAAATCAGTACACGGGATATAATTTATTTCACGTCGATAAGCTAAATCACTACTTGTTGCCGATTATTACAGGACCGGGTTTATGTCACGGAATTTCCGGTAGCGGTTACGCGTTTCTACTTATCTACAGAATTACAGAAGATGCGGAATATCTCTATCGCGCGAACTGTTTTGCTGATGTGATGTTTCAGCCATCCATTCGGGAATCATCGCGGTTGCCGGATCATCCATACTCGTAAGAATTTTTACTAGAAGTATTTGTAAAACAGCATAATACTAATTCTGAGGTAGCAATATACTTATATGGATGGGATGTACAGTAAAATACATCCTTATTCAATTATAGCAGTAGAAAAAACCTGGCAAAAGCAGTGACGATTATAAAAGCTTAAGTTAACCGAAAAATTCTGTAAAACAACATGCAGCTTGCACGCCAAGAAATATATATTTTAGGCGTACACCGACCGACAGTGATAGAGTTAAGTTTTTTTAAAAAAATAAACACCCATAGATTGAAAAGCTGCACTTTTCAGATTATACGAAGGAATAGCCGGCACACTGTGCTATTACGTGGATTTAGCCGACCCGATGCAGAGTGCGTTTCCATTATTTGACGTGTTGGTGGAATGCAAATCGACTTTAAAAAGACGCGTAACAGGAGACAATAATTTACCAAGCATGTACCTGACCTCGGTTTCTTAGAAGTACCACGTAAAACATCTTGTTACGCGTGTAAAATTCCAAATTTGCAAGTGCTTCTTTGGTCATCACACACATCGTACTGACACTGTACCTATTCGACAATGGACTTACTTTACACTGCGCTTGGCTAATGCAATAACATTAATTATATGTAATTAGCGAATTTTACTGGAGTCTGGATTTGTGATAATTATTTCGCCTACGTTGTTACATTAAATCACACAACATCCCGTGTGTGGCATGTAAAATTTGCAGTCTGCGTACACAATACTCGTAGTTTTGTTGCATTGTGTGACGTTTCTGATCGGATATATATTGCGCTTGTGCTTTGCTTTCTTTGTCGTACGTGTCAGTATTATTGCATTTTAATACCTGTTACGGGCTATGTGCTCAAATCGGAAGTGTTGGGATAAGGTCACAGTAGTCACAGCAGTACTCCTTGGCTTGTTTCCCACTTTAACAATAAACGACATTCCCAATGGCGCATCCAATGAACAAATTCATCCATTCACCCTGACCACATTATATAATTTCATCAAAAACGGTCTGACGGATTTCGACAGGAAAAACGATGCCGCCTCTGCGGCGGACTGGCTGCTATTACTTCTGGACGATCCTAACATGCAGCACTTAGCGGATGTCCAGTTCACATTTCCCAACAGCGATGCAAAATGTTACGGGCACAGATTGATTCTATCAGGAAGAAGTCCGATATTCCGAAAAATCTTCTCGGATATGCAAACATCTACTGCACAAATTTTAATTGATGATATGGAAGTCAGTATTTTTCCTGCCGTTTTGCGATTTATCTACGCAAAAATTATGCCATCGCAAGCGGACAGTCAACAGATTTTTGGGATGTTATATGCTGGACAAAAATACGTTGTGCCATCCCTGGTGGAAGCCAGTATGGAAATGCTTAAAAACATGCTAAATGCTGAAAATGCTGTATACATTTTGGAACAATCTACACGAATGGATCTAAAGGTCAGCGGTTGCAAACTTGCATTGATGCATTCAAAGGAAAATTATTTATGAACCGGTGTCGTAGCCACCACGCAAACGAACAATTCATTACACGAGTGAAATTATGCACTCGGAAATTTATTGTTAATACAATTTGTGCATTTAAATATGTTGTAATCTGCAACATTTTTTATATAATTTTTGTAACGATATAATCCGCGCATAAAATTACGGTATGAATTTGCTTAAAAAATAATTACACAAAGGATCACTTTAAGAATTGTGATGGAGAATGGAGAAGTACTAGTGTTATTGTACACCTAATAAATGTTGCTAAATTCGTCATAACGTTTACATTCGAACTCTCCACAAAGTTGCATAGTTGGCAAAGGTATTCGGGAACAACGGGTTAGCCGTTGTATCTGTTTGTTAAATCATGTCCAAGAAATTAACCGGATTCCGACCTATCTTGAACTTTAATCTGTTTGTTGCAGGATTTGATGGGAAAAAGCTGGGAAATGATTCGTTCACAAGCCGTACACATAATCAACAGTCCAGATTTCGAGAAGGTGACGGTGGGATTTCTCAAGAATTTCATGCAGCAAGATGAACTCAAAGGCTTATCGGAATCTCTGCTATTTGACCGCGTACTGGCGTGGGCAAAAGAAAAACTCGGACAATTACCGCCGTCGGAAATGCTCGCCGTAAATGTTCCCGAACGGTCTCTCGTGGGAGGCGGTTCTGCAGTCAACCAACGCCTACGAGCAGTGCTGGCCCCGGTACTATTTGAATTTCGTTTTTTATCCATGGACAGCGAGGAATTCGCCAAAGGCCCTTGTATGTCGGGAGTGCTAAGCAAAGATGAACAACTGGAGATTTTGCTGAGCATCGGCAACGGTGATGGGGGAAAGCACTGGAAATCCAGTTTCTCCAGACTGAAGCGGTCAACCAAGTGACCACCACACAGCCATACTTGGACATATCACCCAATAGGAAAACAATACTGATTTGATTAACTGAATTAATTTTTTTTACTGTTTTTTTCAAAATTCCAACGCATGTTACACCGTATCTGTACGTCTATTCTACAGCCAAATCATGCCTTTTATGAACCACAGTCGTGCTCATTAATTAAAATAGGTAGCTGCCGCATTCAGGTAACCAGATTACTGAGATTAGAAGACGGCTACGACCATAAAACGAGAAAAATGGAACTCAATTAAAAAGAACATGCAAAGCAAAAACCTCACCACCAGTAAATCCCCAAAGTATGACTTTTTTCTTGCAATCTCGCACAAGTGCAAAAAGTCAACGTTCAGCACCGCCACTGCACTGGGTCATGACTTGCCTGTCTCCAAGTTGTTTCAAACATCTGAAGTTAAAAAAAATCAGAGTTCTTTAGTAGCGATAAATGCAGAAACACATAACACTAAAGCCAGAAAACATATTTTCTTGACGAATGATCATGACTGCACTGCATGGTCAGCGAAATCATAACAAAAAATTTCAAAAAGTGTGAATGTCTCTTGTTCAAAAAACTGCGAATGTCTCTTACTAGGCACTTACGATTGTGTTCTTGAGCGCGACCGACATCACCAGCTTTTCCATTCTGATGGCGCTTGAGCAAATCAGACGTCTGACATATCATAAGGAAAACGGTAGAAGGAACCAACACTATCCCGGTCACCCAAGCCGCCTCCACACCGGCCAATGGAGCTTCCTGTGAATCTTTGGAATATAGATATTTCCAGGTCATATACTCATACGCACGCTGTCCTACACCAAATCCGATATAAAATTATTCTGATGAAAAACCAGCAAGCTAAGTAGGTGGTCAGATTAGGAGACCTTTAACTAATTATAAATCATCTCTTCACAACAAAAAAACAAAAACTATTATTATTCTACAAAGTCAAGAACTTCGTAGTTATAACAATTTATATTCCAGTATAAAACAGTTACACGAAAATTTCTTAATAGAATCAAACAAAAGTCAGCACTTGCCCACTTTTCCAAAAGTCCACGCCAATGAGAACATTAGAAATTTGGATACAGTCATGGTAAAAAATTGATCCAAATAATGGATGTCCGCCGGTTCATCCTGAAAAACACAGCCTTGAATTATTTCAAAAATTGACAAACACGGAATACATGCTCGACAATCGTCCACAAAGTGTGGAAGACCGGAAATGCCCCTCGTTGAATACCTACCCGTGGTCTGTCATTGTTATCCGAGCGGCGCATGAACTTCAGCTTCAGAATCGTATAAATTCCCAGAACAGCATACATCACGATCATTGTCCACACCGCTCTTTCACCACCCAGCGGCTCTGCTTGCTTGGAATTCGGATTTCTTGTAAGTTTCCAGGACATATACTCGAACGCGAGAAACCTAACAAATCAACCGATTCTAATTTAACAAGCGCCGACAGATACCATAAAATCCCTAATACTTGATCGGCTAAACTGTATATGTAACGCCAACCGGCAGTTAGGTATAAAAATTTTCACATTTTCATGTTTTAGAAAAACGGTAAAACTAACGCCAGTAATGTTTGCACACTTATAATAGCGCTTGGAAGTTGCAGCTTGACGGAAGTCACTTACCCAAGTTACCAGCGATACAAGACCACGTCAAGGGAACCAATTTTGATAATATCGATGACATGACTGCAAATGCAATGTCAAATGCAATGTGGACACTTTGGACAATGGACAGTATCAACCTGCAAGTGTCTGTGGCTGTGAAAGGATAAGACTGATCGCAGACCGCAGTGGAAGACTTCAAACGTGTAAAACGTCTTGATTTTGTGGAGCTTGTGGAGATCTAGGGATCAAGGACACGGTGAAAATTTATTGGTCGATCTAAGTAAGTACGGTATCCTGATTCCTGATCTTATCGCTCTCTGTTCTGCACCGACTCGGCTCCCTTCGGCTTCTACTGCGAGTACTGCCTTCTAGCAAGTTCAGGCAACCACACAAAACACCACTGTCCATAGCTGACAGTCATGGGCGGCTGTGCACTGCGCAGTACGCACGTACGTACAACATCAACGCCACTTGCATAATCCTTTAATACTTGGCTTTGCGCTTCTCTTTGTCACTTCGTGGTTTCAAGAAGGTTTCAAAAAAATAGAAGTCTAGACTCGAGTATGGTAATTTTATCTAAATCTAATTTTAAATAAATTTTTGTTTAGATCCATAAGTAAGTTTGCGACACGTGCAGTAAACATATATATAGTATGAAAAATACTTTCAAATTGGCAGTATTCCTTTTACCATTGGTTTTATTCCGTGCATGCATGCTGTGGAACCATCGAAACGATCGAATGCCCGCAGTATCTGCATTTACAAGGAGTCAAGGAGTACGCGCTGGTACCCGCGGCTGTTGCATCTTCCTCGTGGTGAACGGCGACTATGGCTTGTGAACAAGAAAAACGTAAACGCCGAACATCAGACTCCAGCAGTGATGATAGTATTCACGAGACTGCGCCAGTCAAGAAACCATCCTCCGTTGCCTCGACAGCGTCCTCACACGCATCAAGAACGACTGGCGTGGCCGAACAGATGAAGTTGGGAAGGGGTCGCCAGAAGTCCACACGGACATTGTTTCAGCTGGAGGAAGATCTGGCGATCATCGAATTTGTGGCGACGCATAGCCATCTGGGCGGAGAAAAAAACACCGGCGGCACGATTGCTGTGGCATTGTGCAAGAAATTTCCCAAGGTATTGTACAAAAGTCCTGATGGCAGGAAGTACTTGCAGAGCTCAAAATTCACCAGTGTCTGGTTGTTGCCTTGTTGGTGAAATTGGCATAGGTGCTAAAACCAGCTGATGCTGCTGTCGCTGGATTAATTTCTTTTATTTTTCACTCTACTGTATCAGTTTTGTGGATTTGTGAAATGTGATTTGGACCCGCTAATTTATTACTGTATTTATTTATTGCTGCGATCGCTGTTGATTATGCTAGGTATTACCGTACTCGTTTTGTTGTAATTTTAATTTTTATTTTTGTATGCTTAGCCTAATTTATATTTTTGCTGTATTAACTCGTATTAATGGTTGTTGCAGATTGCTCAACGGCATACACCAGTCAGCATTATGGCGCGACTGCAGATTATCAAGAAGAACATCGATAATTATAAAGTACCTGTGGAATATAAATATGCCCTGACAAATAATGCGCTTTACGCAGTGATGCTGGAAGAAGAGCACAGAAAGAATAAGCAATCAGGTTAGAGACAGCTAGCTACATATTTGCGTGAAGCTCCACACTCACACATTTTTCCGTTTCGTTGTAAACGTTTGTGCTTCTACAGTTGTACTGGTGATATGAGCGTCGACAGGTTCGTGTAGTTTAGCTTCAGAAACTTTCAGTTTTAATTTTTGCTTTCGGGTATTCCTTTATTTGTCTTTCAGTATCAACACGAATATGAAGTGGTTTTGCTTATACAAAAGCTAAAAACAAAAGCTTATGCAAAAAGCGCCGCATTGCGTCAGATGGGATATCTATATTTGTGAATAATCGAGATGTTCGTTTTTCAGGAAAAGTGCTGAAAGATGATCGCCCAGGGACATCGCTGCACGCGAAAGAACCGGAAGCCGTTCCAGTAATTAAACCCCGTAAGAATGGCCGCATTGCGTTTCTGTAAAGACCGTAAAGTGGAAGATATTCGTTTCTTTGGTTTATCTCACTTGTACTACTAATTCTGGCCTGTGTCTTGTGTGTAGAGGTATCTTGTATGTATAACTTGTATCTTGCAGAGGCTGTTTTCCAAAACAAAAGGAATCCGGTGCCTGCGGAACAAGTTTTTCTTGACGGCGACGATGACGCAGGTACTCATTTCTAGACTTTCACTATGAAACTCGTAATTGCTCTTTACGTAATGCCTATCCAGCAGAGGTTATACGTGTACTCTCGTTCCGTTATTGTTTGCAATATGGTTTTTGCTGGTAGTAATGATAAATGAGGACGAAGGCATACGTTCGAAGCAAGAAAGACTGAAAATGCAGAAGTCGAAGAAGGGAGACGATGCTCCAGTTATCTCTCGCCCGGTTGCAGGTATGTCTTAACCTGATTATTGTGTTTACCTGCGTACTTTTTACTATATTATGCTTTGCTTTATAGTTTCGAAACCATCGAATGGACTGATTGCTGGTGAAGTGGAAAAGAGTAAGTTATCAGTTGATGTTCTCTAGCCTTCTCATGATGCGTTGTTGCCTACTCGTAAGTCATAAGCACACATTTTATCTACAGTTTTTCGAAACCCACAATTTCTGTAATTTGTTTGGTCAGCCACCAAATTTTGCTTGGTGAAATACGTTTTAATCGTCTTTGTAACATACCTACATGAATTCGATCCGGAAGGTAAGAAGCCGAAATATTGTATTTTGCATAGTTTCCATGCACTTATTGATTCTTTGCTTTGCTGTTTAGCCATATTCCACAAGAAGCCACCAAATGGCGAACATCCTTTTAGCAGCCAAGAGAAAAGGCGGAGAAAACCTGACAATCCCAAGAAAAGAATCGCGGGGCCTGTTCCAGGTAGAATGATAAATTTGTTTCTTATTAAAAATGTTTGATGTCCATTATTTTATTATGCCGATTGTTCGTAGATATTGATATTGTGGCTAAGTCGAAAAAACGGTTGACGACGTATGGTGAGAAAGTTACACTACCGTATTTTAGCCAGTTAACTGAAGTGGTTGTTTATTGTTAGTTAAGTATCTTTTTAGAACTGAACGATCCCGCCCCTTCGAATGCGCCACCCGGAGAAATGGCTAGCAATACCAGTAATGCTCTTCCGCCCACTGAAGTTAGTGCGCCCATTACTCGTCCAGATTCCGAAGAAATTCCGGAATGCCAGCCGAATATAACCGGTTCAGGTATGCTGTTTTATAGCAATGCTTTATTAGTGCTGTAAACGAAGAACTGCGTTTGCATGCAGAGCCACAACCAGTAGAAGTGGCGGTACCCGTACAGTTCTCGACGAGAACTGTGGCCTGTCAGGCGAACATCGCGTGGTTACTCGCAAACCAAAAGAGGGGCCAGGCAGGATCATCCGGACAGGACGGCCAAAACGAGAAGCCCGCTAGTAACGATCAGGCGTGCCAGGTGCGAATGCAGGAGTCCACGGAGAATGGAACAGTTCAGACGGATCAGTCCTGCCTTGGGATGGTTGATCAGGCTACGCAAACCTTCCTAAGTCTGATACCGGTTATCAAGGTCGATCGAGGATGCTCGCCGGTGCGGTTTCCTCAGCAGAAATTGAAAAGGGTTACATTCGCTCCCATTCCAGATACTGTTTCGGATGATGGTGAATAACGTTAGTAAAATTGATGGGTGGACACAAAGAAAGAAATAACTTGGTTGTTGTTAACAGAGCTACCGGTTCCTGTTTCGGGTTTTCTTGTGAAAAGGAAAAGGGTGGTGTCGAATCAGAATGGCCTGAGTGGTGGCTCGGAAACGGTGCGTGGAATATTAAGAAGTCCAACAGCGGACATCGAATCCAAAAGGGACGACCCAGAAATAATTCCTAGCGAAAGTACGTATGCCGCCTTTTTACAGCTGCTGCAAGGGATACTTTTACAGATATATATTTTTGTTATGTCCATCCTGCACACACTGTAATTTGTTGAAAACAGCGTAAACGCTGATACCAGCTGTTTCTTTTGCAGGTGTCGAATCTCCTGATATGTCTTCGAAATCTCCGAATTCTGGATTACCATTGGGTGAGAGTTCCTTAACTGCTGGATGCTCTTCAGTCAGCGAAACTCCAGATTCCCTTTATTTACCCCTGTCTCCACGACACGATTCTGCGCTATCCACCTCACTGCGAGACTCTCCGGCTAAAATTACCACGGAAGGTAGTGATGCGACGGAATTATTGCCTGCAGAGCTGTGCCAGCTTACGGCTGTCACCAACGATGCATCCGGATCGGAGGCAGCTGCAGCGAAGTCTGCTTTGCCAGGAAAATGCGTGGACAGCGAGATTGTCTCTCCGTCAGAGAGCCCGGATGGCCTGCGTACGGATACTAAGATGGTTGTTGATCTGGCTAGTCAGCATGGTGTATCTCCAAAGATCATTATATATGCGCTGCTAATCAACAGTGGCTCGGTCGGCGAAGCTGTAAGGAAAAATTGCTCAGTTGTACATTTTTTTCTGACATTCACTTTTTTTTCTATTAAAGTTGTTCGGATTTTCAGATTTTTTGACTTCGAAAATTTAACGATACGACGATTGAACGATAATCGGCTTCGAAAATTTAACATTCAAATGGACCTCGAACGTTTTAATTATTTTAGTTTTGATGCTGTATGAAAGAGTACGAGTTTATTTTCAACATTACAAAGAGCGAAGGGGAGTCTTACTTGAGTAGGTATTTGCTGGATTCGGATATGATTAAATTTTTTCAGGTTGACTGGCTTGCGACAATGTACTCAACATCATCCTCGTCTCCCAGTTTCAGCTTTGTAATCGATCGTGCACTGCTGGAAGAGGATTTTGAGGATGTTCTGAAAGGCCCGATTGGACGTCTCCGGTCACCTGAAGTCTTACGACATCGAGCAGCATTTTTGAAGCGTAGTTGCGAAGCACTGAACTCTGGTTTGATAAAGCGAAGAGCGGAGGTGGTGGACATGATTCGGGAAATTCATAATGCTCGACCGGGGTTTGCGCAGGAGGATTGATGTAAAGAGTTAAAATTTGAGGCTTATGGGAGCACGAGTGAGAGTTCGGTGAAGTTTTTGAACCAAAAACTTTCGTTATGATGTTTACTTAATTAATGGCTCTTATCTTCATTCATATGATCCCAGTTGTCTTCTCAAAATAAAGTTTTCTTGGAATGAAACGAGTAATGTAGATGCTTTAATTTCGTGTGAACTGTTATGCCTCTTAAATTCGTATCGTCAACGAAGTGTTGTATTGGTACATGTGCCGTAATTTATTCAGAACCGAAAGAAATAAAATGGAATTTAAATATGCCGCTTTTCACTAATAAAACGAAGAAGAAATCAAAGAACATACTAGTAAGTTCAAGCTAGTCATCTCACATTCTCCGACTTCAGCATAGTCACATATCTGTCAAACAAAGATCGGAAAAAATCTACAGAATCTGTGCAGAACTGACCAGATGAACTAAGGGATCAAAAACTTTTGATCAGCCGCTCAACAGTGTCATCGTGCAAACGCTTGGCACATGTAAGCCAATTCGACAGAGGAACACTCAAAGCTTCCTTTTGCTCAGGATCCTCGGTTTCTAAGATCAATGTCTGCGAAGGTTTATGAATCAACCCCTTGACAACACTGCAAACAAACCATGAAGAAAATTAAGACACGCAGTCACCATGCCAAGACGCAGTTAAACTACTGCTGCTCGAAAACTGAAATAAGAATTAACCATTGAACTCAAATAAGAGGCATATTAATATTAAATCAGGTTGCAATAATATGATAAACGGAAATATTTAAAACTACTAACCCGTCCAAAATACAGGTTTTGAGCAGATTCTCCACTTCCTCAATGGGTGAATTGAGCTCTTTAGCAATGTAATCCAACGATAAGCGCTCGTAGGGCAGTATCAATTTCTTAAGGATTTCGGTGCGAATGTTGCGCAAAAGCACTAAAAAACGAGACAAATTACAGCACAAACATTTTAACACTCTCACGGCAATCAGCAGCATGCACATGTCCGGATAATCAGTTATCCTTCCAAAATGAACAGAAATGAGGAACACGTTTTAGTATACACACTCTCAATATGTTCCCGTATGAACTCATCCTCCATTAGGTGATTTCCCGATGTCTTCAAAATTTTTTCAAATCCATTGATATTGTGCGCCTGATAAGCTCTGGAAATATAACCGCAGATGCGGTTGCAAATCACTGAATCAGATATATGGATCAATCAGAAACATAGTATGAGTAGCAAAATTGAAAGACAGAATTTAGAAACAGACTGAATAATACATTCCACTACGATAAATTTTTTTCGGTCAATTAAGAAGTTTGAAGAACAGCCAAAAAGTTAAAAATACCAAACCAAATAGACTGAGCTAAATTGTCAAAAATAAAAACTGAAAATCTCCACGGAGTAATTAATATATGAGAACCGAAACTCACTCAATAAGTTCCGTCATCGCCAAAACCTCCTTATCATTGCGGTAAGCCTTAGCTTCCTGTGATTCAAAGGGATTGATAGCACTCTTCATTAACATGGATGCCAGGACCAAGTATTTCAGACACGTAATACGTCGTGGACTTCCTGACTCATCGTAATTTTTGAATGCCTCAAAGAAGTCAGTGTGCGCTTCATCGAAAGCCCCTTCACGCAGATGCATTTTACCGCCACATTCGCGAATGACACCCATAATGTTCGGATGGGGAATAGCGGATTTAACACGTAGAGACTGTTCGTACAATGTCTTCAGAGCTTTGTTGTTCTTCTGCGCGGTGTGCATCTGGATTTCGAGGGCGTAAATCTCCAGCAGCTGAGTTCCTGACAGAAAAGCAGATGTAAATGAAAACGAATTTATTAACACGATACCTGACATTACCTGCATAAGTACAGTATCACAGAACATGTACAGTACTGGCAATGTCTGGCATGTCACAAAACATGAACGGTCAAACCCGGACGATAAAAAAAGAACTCCAAATTATATTACTTAAGTTAAGTAACTTACCCTTAATAGTTAAGTAACTCATCCATTTATTCATTTTGAAGGTGATTTTGTTAACGTTCCACACTCCACAGGAGGTATCACAGTCAAAATCACTTTCACGATGCGAATTTTAACATGAAGTAGTCACGTGACGCTTTTAATTTTCAGAACACTCGGAAAAAACAAAAAAAATCGCAGAATCGCCAGAAAAATTATTAGTTTCTGGAAAATATTTTGCAAACAAACAACTAGTATACTGACGATGCTCGTACCTTAATAAAAAATAAATCATAGAAAAACAGACTTCATATTGCACCCTTTGACACTAAAATTGGAACGAGCACAATGCATTCACTTTTCAGCACGAAATCTTAAGCGAAAAAGTTGAAAAAAAACGGTTTGCCTTTATTGATGAAGAATTTAACAGCAATCGAAATACCATGAAAAAAACTACTGCAAAAACCGAAAAAAATCAACAAACTCGCTGCACGAACCTTTTTTGAGATCATCCTCGCCGGACTCATTCAAGCAGCTAGCCCGCAGCTGTTTAATAATCTTCTGACACTTGACATACTCTCCGCGTTCAAAGTACAGTTTGCCCAGCTTCATGAGGGTCTTATGCCATAATCGTTCGTTCTTAGAGATCTTCAGGGCCTCCAGCGTTGTCTGATAGAATTCCTGCAGCAAATCCATGTTGTTGGATGTGGATACATAATCCAAGATGCCATTTATGGACTTTTCCGAGTAGTTGCGGGTGACGGCGCTTTTTGTGTACGTCAACAGCTGATGATAGCGGCGCATCATCTCCTGCTGATTGTTCATACGGAAATGGATCTTGATCATCTGCTTGAGGGCTTTGAAGCCCCAGTCGCCCTTGTTGTCGCCTTCCAGCACCACAACCTGTCAGAAGAAAACGATGCAGAGGATTTTTAAGTGCGAAAGCGATGCGATTTGATTTGCACATACCGATTGGAATTGCTCCAGTGCCACACGAGGATCTTCTTCCTTCATGGCTTTCGCGTTGTAGTAAGTGTTCTCCAGATCCACGTCCGGTTCTTCCTCTTCTTCCTCCTGATAGTCGAAGTCTTCGTTCTCCATCATGAAATCATCATCGTCAGCCATGGCGTCGGTTCTGTGAATATTTTTTTAAATAAAACTAGTGCAGAACTGCTCAGATCGTTTAAAATTAGCTACGTGGATCGTGGTCGTACCTAATCAAAATAATTGAAAACTAAAAGACAACAGTCACAACAGCACAACACTGCGAAGCCTGCCAAAAGGCAAAAACGAAGGAGCCAACAATTTTCTGGCACGGGCGGCTTACCATGACCATGCAAAAGCGCCAAGTGCGCGGGCGATTGGGCCAATAAATTTTTGAAATTCGAAATCTGAAGTGTGAACTGTGAACTAGGGTTGAAATCACAATTTCAAACATTTCACATTTCAAGCTTCAAATCAAATCATTTCAAATTCAAACGAGGGTCCGTTTGAAATGTGATTTGAAATGATTTGAAATGTGAAAATTTGAAATTATGAAACCACCTGAAATGCGTTTGAAACGACTTGAAATGGAAAAAATTTCCTTTAAAGCGTTATTTAATTACTTTTGAGTGGAGAAAACCATGAAATCTGCTTAAAAGTTCTTACAATAAAGTGAAATTGTTGATAAAATCTGTGAAAAAACTGTTATTGTTAACCATTTAGTTAATATCCCTGTTTATACCAGGAAAAATTTTTCGAAATATCCGAATAAAAAATTAATAAAATAATTCATTTTTAAATTTCAAATTTCAAATCATTTCATTTCAAATCAATTTCATTTCAAATCATTTCAAAAACGGCCAAAAGTCGTTTGAATTTCAACCCTACTGTGAACAGCGAAGTGGGAAGCGGGACCATAACAGTTGAAGATACTTACATACCATTTATGCCGGCTATGCGCAGACGCCGCAGAGTAACCTTTTTGTTTTGTTCTATAACTTCTGTTGGGTATTGTCAGTTATCCTCTTCTTTCCTGGGTATCGCGGCAATGGCCGGTTCCCTCGCTGGTGCATTTGACAGGCAGGGTCCGATGTAAAATATATGCCGTAAAATACAGTATGACTGTATGTACTCGTAGTCTCGTACACATACTTATTTACACAGACGCTGCTTTTGACATTACAGGACCCTGCAAGTTGGCTGGTTTAGTTAGGCTTGGAGTTAAATCAGTTTATACAAATTCGGGACTCTTAATTTTCTCCTATTGGCGAAATATGGGGCCAAGGTAGGGGGAGGGGTGAAGGAGAGGAAATATGGGGGCTCCTAATGTCGTGACATGATTAATATTAATGACGTCATGCAGCAACAACCGGAACCAGATGCAGATCATGAGAATGCGCTGTCCGGAGAATCTGAATGGACACTCCATGTTTGGATAACACTGGAAGATTTGGAAAATGCACACTGCAGTATGGAGCCGCCAGCTGAAGTGGGTTATTTTTCGCTGACAGCCGATGAAGATGATCCCCATCAGCACCGGCGGAAGTACCACAACGATCGCCGCTGCATATCACAGCTGCACCGGCGCGGACCAAAAAACGCTGTTATTCAGGGTCTGTCGATGCCGTTGGATGATAACTATACGAATCTTTCACACCGAGAAAACCTCTTAGTGATCACCTCCTTACCTGGATTTGCCAGCACTCACAAGAATTTCTGGCATTCAGGTTCGCATTTGGATTGCGCACTTGCATGTGACTTCAACTTGTTGCAAATGGTGTTTGTTAGTATTAGTTTCATCGCAGGTCGGAAATCGTTTGTTGGCGCGGACATTCGGATAGCATCATGTCTTCGCCTTTTGAAACTGCCCAGCTGTCTCGTAAGCTTGCATTGTATTGTAGCGATAGTATTTGTACGAACGATAAGACCGCCTAGTTATGATTCATTCCATCGCGTTATGAATTTGTGTCCACTTTACCGGCTAGTTTCCTTTCTCATGAATTTCTAGAATTCAGCTTGTGCTCAGCTTGCTACAGCTTGCATTTACTTGATTGTTCCTCTTGCTGAAACCCTTGCTAACAACCTTGCTCCGTTTCTTGAACGCCTTGTCATTAAACATGCCTTGAGTTACGTTGTTGTGTTTGACCGCTTGGGATGAACTAGCGTCATCCCAATCGGAGCCACCTGTGTAATTGCGTTACATCTGTAAGAGCGTCCTCGGCCAGCATCGTTGCCGGCCGTGCCACCTTTCACACCAACAGCCGTTTAATCGTGGTAAAGGCTGATCGCCACCCCACTAGAACAGTAGCCAGATAGGCCACTGTTACAGTATAGTTTTTATATCCGTTATCACATATTATATTATGGAACGTTTTCATTACCTTTATTACAATAATTTGCGCATTTGCAGCGGGTTGGATTTTGAGTGCCTGCAAAATAGATGGAGTGATTTACTTTACTAATTTTGATACCGTCAGGAAAAGGAATGAAAAAAGCATCCCATCAAGAGCAAGAGAAACCAAGAGCACCTCCAATACTGGTAAAATACTTTTTGTTATACTGTAGATGTTACAATTCTGTTACAGAATCTCGCCCACGACCAGTGAACTACGTTCCTCCAGAACGGCCAACGGAGCGTGATGATCTTCGGAAGAAACCCGCCACAACAGGTCCCAAAACAAAAGACACGTTCCGATTCCCGTCAGTTTGCGTGTACGTGGTGACGGTAGCCAAGGGAAAGGTCAGTACGTGTACTGTAATTAGAATCTCAATTCTGCAGTATCGTATCCCGACTTCTAATTTTATTTACAGCTAATCTCGGCACACATAGTTGCTTTTCACCAGTATTTTTCGCAGTTAACCTTTCTGCATTGAATGAAATTGATGGTTTTTACTTTAATATAGGGAACAATTGATTTGGATATCATTTGATTTGTATTGTCGTACGTGACCAGTCGAGATACCCGTCAGCATGTAAGTACTTGTTCCAAAATTATTGACTAGGTTATTATCTGACAGTCTGGTATATTGCCTTATTCTGTTGTATTTTTTGCAGTTTATCCCAGCCGTTTAGTTGGATGTCTACAGGAACACCGCGTCCTGTGCAGTTGGGATACTACTTTAGTAGCAGATCAACAGCGGTGGTGGTTCTGTCTGTTTGGACATCAGAAGAAAATTCCTGACGCGTTTCTCTTGGACATTGAAAATAAAATGTAACAATTTACAGATTTCGTTTATTATTGTCGTACATACTTAAAATACTACGCAATACGTATATACTTAAAAAAAATTATGCCCGTGACCTTGTTTTCGTTTGATTCACACCGATTATTTCTAGTTTACTTCGGCGCTTTAACAGATTTTGCGCTTAGAGCGAGCTGATTTGTCAGTGTTTTCGTTTTTTTCCCAGATTAAATTCAACACTCTGTGAAGCTCACGACAAATGGACTTACGATGATTTAGACTGTTGTCGATGTGGTGAATACCCGCGTAGTCAGCTGACCAACGATACTTATTATTTTTACTCTGGACAACATTAAGGGGATTGTTGACGGATTCAGGGGGATGGTTCTTGATGCGCGACCGGGGTTTTTTCTCCAGATGTGAGTCCCATTCAGTGCTGGTTCGCCCTACTGTCTGTCGCGACCGTACCGGGAAGTGCAGATTGCTCCTTTGGCCAAGACTGGTGTTTGCATAACTTTGTGGTTTCAAGTGAACTGGTACATTTTATTGGTCGCAAAATTCGGGATTAAACTGGCGAAACGCGTTCTACTGCTTTTCACAAGCTGCGTTTTAGTCTGGCTGTTGTTAAAAGAAATGCTACGGCACTTTTGAGTACTCGTACTTTACCTTTTAACCCGAGAGACGACAGAATTTCGCGACGATTACATTGGCAATCTGGTAGTGCTGTTGTCTTGAAAATAGCTCAAATTGCACCATTAGAGGCTTTGCCCAAACCATTCCAATTTAGACACATATTCCTACTACGCTTCAGTCATGCAGTGCCCACAAAAGCGAGTGCACTTACCTAGTATGCTAGAAGCAGCCTGCCACCTTTATAACACATCCAAAAATGTTTGCAGACTTTCGCTTTTTATAGGTTGTACCAGGACAAGAAACCGCGATTCTGGGATTCGATGTATCGACGGGGAGATCCACGCAGGCCTCTAATGAAAACCCTACGGCTTTTCTGAAACAGGAGAAATACGCGACCACCAGCTATAAACAATAAGGTGAGATTGACTTGCCCTAAAAAATAGTCGTTCGTTCCCATCTGAAACGGGAACTTCTAGTTGCAAACGGTAAACGTTGCTAAATGAAAATCGTATTTTCATCGCTTATTTCCACTTTGTTCAAGTTCCTGCAATGTTTGTTCGCATTTTGTGCAAGTTTGTTTGGTTCTCATCAGTCCAGCAGCAAACGAAGCAGTTTTTGCTAAATAGTGGACACGACCATGACTGTTTCTTTTTCAGTGTAGCAAACAAATGTGTTAAATCTGTTATAACGGTAATTTTTTGCATTTCAGCTGTCGAATCGTGGATGATTATGAACATGCACTTCATTAGCGTTTCGGATTTTCCGGAATTTATATCGCCTTTAATGGATGGATCGATCATATCGACGTCGCGTTTTCATTGTATGGGTTAGTTGGCAGTTGTGGCAAAATATGCTACTTTTGACACAGTTTGCCGACTGGATTATTATGGGCTTGGACTTGTGTTTCCCTTTTTCTTGCTGCTGAAACTTGGTTCTTTTTTGTTATTATATGCCCAGATTATTTGAGGATTCTGAATTCTGTGTTGCACTCCCTCTTTACAGTGTTTCTGCTGATATCGGGTTTTGCATTTCACTTTTAAAAACAAATGTTACGAGAGAAGTATTGTTTCCAAGCAATAGTGCTGACTTTTGTTTGATTCTATTTAGAAATTTTGGTGTAACTGTTTTATACTGGAATATAAATTGTTATAACTACGAAGTTCTTGACTTTATAGAATAATAATACTTTTTGTTGTAAAGAGATGATTTATAATTATTTACAGATTTCCTACTCCGACCAGCTACTTATGGTTAGCTTGCTGGTTTTTCATCAGAATAATTTCCTAGTTTTACTAACATAGTTCGGTGCATTTTCCTAGTTTTACTACAATAATATATCGGATTTGGTGTAGGACAGCGTGCGTATGAATATATGACCTGGAAATATTCCAACGAGTCGCAGGAAGCTCCATTGGCCGGTGTGGAGCCGGCTTGGGTGAGCGGGGTAGTTTTGATTCCTTCGACCGCTCTCCTTATGATCTATGAGATGTCTTATTGGCTCAAGCGCTATCAGAATGAGAAAACTGCTGATGCCGGTCGCGCTCCAGAACCCAGTTGTAAGTGTTTAGCAGGTGACATTCGCACTTCTTGAAATTTCCTGTTGTGATTTCGCTGACCATGCAATGCAGTCATTGGTCATAAAACGGCTTAAAAGTGAAGGTACCGCAAGCGTGGCCTTTGATGACCAAAGGTCTAAAAGGCCATGGGTGACCGAAGCCTCAAAAAGCCTTGGTTACTAAAAGTTTAAAAAGTAGGTACCGCACGCGTGGTCTTCGGGGACCGGAGGCTTAAAAAACCTTCGGTGAGAAAGGCTTGAAAGGCTTCCGGTGGCTATAGGCCCAAAAGGCTTCGATTACCAAAGACTTAAAATGCCTTTAGTGACCAAAATCTTAAAAGGCCTTCGGTGGCTAAAGGCCCTATAGGCATTAGTTGACCAAAGGCTTGAATGGCTTTTGGTTAACGAAGGCTTGAAACGCCTTCGGTGGCCAAAAGCTTAAAATGCCTACGGTGACCAGTGGCTTAATAAGGCGGGTACCGCACGCGTAGCCTTCGCTGACCAATGGCTTAAAAGCCTTCGGTGGCTAAAGGCCCAACAGGCATTCGGTGATCAAAGGCTTGGATTGCCTTCGGTGGCCAAAAGCTTAAAAGGCCTTCGGTAACCAGAAGCTTAAACTGCCTTCAATGACCAAAGGCTTGAAATGCCTTCAGTGACAAAAATCTTAACAGGCCTTCTGGGGTGATAAAAGCTTAATACAGTGGGCCCCGCACCCGTGGCTTTTGGTGGGATCTACCAAATCCGATACTAAGCTTTGGAAAGCTTAGTAAAGACTAATGCGTGTAGGCTACAGCTTTTTTAAGATTTCCAGTCCAAAAAGTCGTTCGGCTGCTTTCAGCCAAAAGGTTTTATCCGGCACACGCACCTTTCGGATACAAAAGCTAAACCAGTTGATCGCGCACGCGGTTACAAAAATCGTGGTTGGGTAAACCGTTTACCAGAGTAAGCCTTCCAAAGCTCAGCACGATTGCTATGCATTCCTTAGTAATCGAAATAAACCTTTAAAAACCTAGTAAAATTACTAATTTTACTAAGTTTTCCAAAGCTTAATCAGTTTGAAATCGAAACTTCTACTGGTTCTTAGTGATCTGGTAGTTCTGAATGATCTGGTTTTTCTAACTTATCTGGCAGATCTGTTAGCTTTGGCTGATCTGGTAGTTCTGGTTGATCAGGTTGTTTTGGCTGATTTGGTAATCTTAGGTGTACAGGTAGATTCAGCTGAATAAGGAAAGTTTGTTACGGTACTGTTCTAAGGTTTGAAAAGCTTAGTGAATACCATGTCGTTAAAGCAATAAGTTCGAAGGGCTGCGAACGCTTAGAAATTGCAGGCGGTTTTGGCCAATCAGAAACGAAAGACTGGTTCCGGCCAATCAGGAAAGCAAGGCTGATTCCGGCCAATCAGAAAGGTTTGGAGGTGGTCGGTGTTCCGAACAGAGAGTTCTGCTTTAATATACTGGAAGATTTAGTGGCGGTGAAGGGTTTTGCTTTCCATATTCTTTTTAATTGAGTTCCATTTTCCTCATTGTATGGTACGTGTCCGTCTTCTAATCTGGTTAAATGCGGCAGCTACCTATTTTAATTAATCTCTAATCAGCAATACAGCCAATACTGCGGTTCACAGATACGGTTTAACATGCGTTAGAATTTTAGATAAACAGTAAAATAAAATTCGGTTTATAAATAAATAAATAAAATAATAAATAAAATTTGGATAAACAGTACCTGGTCCAGCACTGCTCGTAGGCGTTGGTTGACTGCAGAACCGCCTCCCACGAGAGACCGTTGGGGAACATTACGGCGAGCATTTCCGACGGCGGTAACTGTCCGAGTTTTTCTTTTGCCCACGCCAGTACGCGGTCAAATAGCAGAGATTCCGATAAGCCTTTGAGTTCGTCTTGCTGCATGAAATTCTTGAGAAATCCCACCGTCACCTTCTCGAAATCGGGACTGTTGATTATGTGTAGGGCTTTTGAACGAATCATTTCCCAGCTTTTTCCCATCAAATTCTGCAACAAACAGATTAAAGTTCAAGATAGGTCGGAATCCGGTTAATTTCTTGGACATGATTTAACAAACAGATACAACGGCTAACGGAGTTCCCGAATACCTTTGCCAACTATGCAACTTTGTGGAGAGTTCGAATGTAAACGTTATGACGAATTTAGCAACACACCGTTCGGCGCTGAATTTCGCTCGATAGCTTAAAAAACGGCTAAAGTCCTGTAGTTTGTCCCTACAACTTTAGTTTTTCGATCTTCTCTTTCTTCGAATTACGAAACATGACTACAACGAATTTTCCTGATTGGCTAATCCTAAAATAATTACTGGCGGATTGGCGGAAATGCGTATATTTTTGACCGGAAACTGCTGACACAGCATAGCTGTATAACTGGGGCATAAAAACTGCGGCACATTAGTAATCAGTAAAATTTAATACTCCTGTTTGTCGAAATTTTGGAATCGGTAGAGCGATCGGAATCGGTAGATAGTACATTATAATTTTTTTGGCGGAAAAAGGAAAGGGCAACATTATAACGTGATTATCTGTATGGCAACGGGTAACTTACGTATAATCGCAAAAATCGTTACTGCGTATTAGATTGTGGTAGAAAGTTACTTCGAAGTTCCAGACACCAAATTTCATAAAATTAATTGCGTAATTTTCCTGCTTATTTGTACAGTGGCTTCGATTTTTGCACGTGACATTCTGATTTTTAACAATTCGCGGTATGCTAGAGATTATTAGTAGAGGAAGAATTATTGTTCGAGTGAATTACTATTCTTATAGATTATTAATTAGATAATTAATTATACTACTGATTATTAGAAGAGTGGTGTTTCGGTGCTCTTCCATTTTTTCATAAATTTATTTCAGCACAAGAAATAAATTTCATTATGCTGACATTCACTCGCTGCATCAGGCTGGACTTTCGCCATACCATTGTTACTTATACGGTTCCGCAAACTAAAGTTTAGTTTAGCACAAAGTTTAGCATGCGGAAACTGCAACAAAGATTTTTGGCCGGTTAATGGAGAGAGTTAGGGATTTTCGCCGGTCAGATAGGGGTAAGGGTTTTCCCCCGTGAGACAGAGGGTAGAGAATTAAACAAAGGGTAGAGAATTCGCCGGTTAGACAAAGGGGCATGGATTTTCGCCGGTTAGACAGGCGTAGGGGTTTTCGCCGGACAGACACAAAGGTAAGGATTTCCGCCAGATAGACAGAGGGGTAAGAATTTTTACGGTTAAACAAAGAGGCAGGGATTTTCGCCGGATAGACAGAGGGGTATGGATTTCCGCCGGTTAGACAGAGGGGTAGGGGTTTTCGGCGGTTAGACAGAGGGATAGCGATTTGCGCCGGTTAGACAAAGAGACAGGGATTTTCGCCGGTTAGACAGAGGGGTAGGAATTTTCGCCGGTCAGACAAAGGGCAGGGATTTTCGTCGGTTAGACACACGGGTAGGAATTTCCTCCGGTTAGACCGAGGGTAGGGATTTTTGCCGGTATGCAGAAGGGTAGCAGTTTGTCATATTACAGGCTTTACAGTAAAGTTTGCTAATCAATAATTCCATAATCATTATCAACAGTTATAGAATAAAACAATAATCAAAATTCAATCCTACATTTTCCCGACCGAGGCCGAAGGCCGAGGTTGGGCTTGTTGTATATACAAAGCTAACTGAGCCGTTTTTTCGGCCAACATCTCCTCCTACACCGTTCGACACTAATTTTTACGAGATAGCTCAAAAAATCCCTAAATCATGTAGTTTGCGGCAACGACTTTCGTTTTTCGATCTTTTCATTCTCCGATTTACGAAACGGCTCCAAAGCGAATTTCGCTGATAGGTCGATCATTAAAAAGTAACAGAGGATTGGCGGAAATGCGTAACTTTCGAACCTAGCCGCTGACTCATGGCATTTGTACGAGCATATGTATAGGTACTATAAGGGGCAAAAGTAAACGCGTTCCACCGTTCCCCTGTACTGCTGCCGTCACCAGCCTGGAGTGTGACGTTACGGCAATACATATGGTTAAATCAGGCGCGGTACATAAGCGCCTTGTTCAGCCACAACGTCAGACTCCAGCCGGGTGACGGCAGCAGTACAGGGGAACGGTGGAAGATGCCTACTTTTGCCCCCTATATATGCATATTGTTAAACCAAAGGGCATAGATTTAGCAAACATATACTGACACACACATACGTACTCGGTTTGTCCACTCGTTTGTCTCATTTTACGGGAATGCAAATTTTGAATGCAGCAGATAAAAATAATTATTATTTTGAAACATATATACTCGTATATATATATAACTTGATAGCTCGAAAAGCGCTTAAAAGCGTGTAGTTTGCGTCAACGACTTTTGTTTTTCGATCTTTTCGTCCTCCGATTGACAAAACGCGTTCGAAACAAATTTCGCTGATTGGCTTATCGTTAGAAATTCATGAGCCAAAGAGCACTATACCGTTAGTTACGAGTTAACACTGTTAATATTGTGGATATAGTGAAAACACAGAAACGCGAAAGGCGTAACGTAAAACAGACTGATTAATGTGACACTACCGTGGGGGGTAGCCTGGTTCTGTACATGTAGTCATGTACATATTTTTGCAATTAGTATTATTTATTATTTATATACAGAGCGAACTTGGCCGTCTTTCTTTATGTTTCTCCTATCCTTTCGGCGTTGATTCCCCCACGATAGCTTAAAAACGCTTAAATCGAGTTATTTGTCCTTACAGCTCGGTTTTTCAATCCTCTCGTCATTTCAATTACAAAACATGACCAAAAACGAATTTCGCTGATTGGCTTAACATAAGGTAACTAATAGCTGTTTGGCGAAAATGTATAATTGGTGAGACATAGGGGAAGGAATTTTCGCCGGTCAGAAAGAAATACAGGGATTTTCGCCGGTCAAATAGAAGTACAGGGATTTTTGCCGGTCAGATAGAAGTACAGGGATTTTTGCCGGTCAGATAAAAAGACAGGGATTTTTGCCGGTCAGATAGAAGTACTTACAGGGAGTTTCGCCGGTTAGAAAGAAGTACAGGGGTTTTCGCCGGTCAGATAGAAGTACAGGGATTTTTGCCGGTCAGATAGAAAGACAGGGATTTTTGCCAGTCAGATAGAAATACAGGGATTTTCCCCGATCAAATAGAAGTACAGGGATTTTTGACGGTCAGATAGAAGTACTTACAGGGAGTTTCGCCGGTCAGAGAGAAGTACAGGGATTTTTGCCGGTCAGATAAAAAGACAGGGATTTTTGCCGGTCAGATAGAAATACAGGGATTTTCCCCGGTCAGATAGAAGTACATGGATTTTTGCCGGTCAGATAGAAAGACAAGACTTTCGCCGGTCAGAGAGAAATACAGGGATTTTCACCGGTTAGATTGGAGGGGTAGGGATTTTCGCGAGTCAGACACAGGGGCCAGGATTTTCGTCGGTTAGACAGAGAGGATGGGTTTTTTGGCGGTTAAACGGAGGTGTAAGGATTTTCGCCGGTCTTACAAACAAAAACGAATTTTTTCGGTCAGACATCAGGATTCGCTCGATATGTTATTAATAATATTTTTGGCCGATGGGTTATTTGGCTCAACCTTCTTTGTAGACGACGATTTAACGATGGCACTTCCATTAGTACATGTATATGTTTAATATTTATGGTTGCCTCTTTATATTTAAAGCTCTGTTTATTATATTTATAATAAGATATTAACGCAATTCAGTTATTGATTTACACAACATACTCTTTATTGCGCAACACAAGGTTACTAATGCGAAGCGCAATTTTGCTTTACGCCTTGCAACGTGGTTGTACCATAACGGGAAAACGCAGTAAAGCAAAAAAAATTTACATTTTCAACCGTCTACCGAAATAATTAACGGACTTAGCTAAATTCTATAGCATTGTGTACTTAATGACGACAATGACAAATTCAAAACAAACCACATTTCCAATCCTGTTAAATTCCTTTTCCTAAATATTTATAAAACTACCCCATTACTTTCTTCAATTCTAAAAATTCTCAACCGAGGCCGGAGGCCGAGGTTGAGCTTGTAAATATATATATCCGATCAGAAACGTCACACAATGCAACAAAACTACGAGTACTGTGTACCCAGACTGCAAATTTTACATGCCACACACGGGATGTTGTGTAATTTTGATGTAACACGTAAGCGAAATTATTATCACAAATCCAGACTCCAGTAAAATTCGTTAATTATAATTGATGTCATTGCATTAGCCAAGCGCAGTACAGAGTAACATAAGTATTAGGTACAGCGCCAGTGTGTGCGCGTAACCAAAAAAACAAAAAAGCACACACTTGAACATTTGGAATTCTACACACGTAATACGGTTTTTTACGTGGTGTTTCTAAGAAACCGAGGTCAGGTACATGCTTGGTAAATTATTGTCTCCTGTTACGCGTCTTTTTAAAGTCGATTTACATTCCACCAACACGTCAAATAATGGAAACGCACTCTGCATCGGGTCGGCTAAATCCACGTAATAGCACAGTGTGCTGGCTATTCCTTCGTATAATCTGAAAAGTGAAGTTTTTAAATCTATGGGTGTTTATTTTTTAAAACAAAATTGAATCTATCACTGTCGGTCGGTGTACGCATAAAATATATATTTCTTGGCGCGCAAACTGCATGTTGTTTTACAGAATTTTTCGGTTACTCAGTAACTTTAAGCTTTTATAATCGTCACTGCTTTTGCCAGGTTTTTTCTACTGCTATAATTGAACAAGGTCACAACTCACAAGGATGTATTTTACTGTACATCCCATCCATATAAGTATATTGCTACCTCAGAATAAGTATTATGCTGTTTTACAAATAGTAAGAATTCTTACGAGTATGGATGATCCGGCAACCGCGATGATTCCCGAATGGATGGCTGAAACATTATATCAGCAAAACAGTTGGCGCGATAGAGATATTCCGCATCTTCTGTAATTCTGTAGATAAGTAGAAACGCGTAACCGCTACCGGAAATTCCGTGACATAAACCCGGTCCTGTAATAATCGGCAACAAGTAGTGATTTAGCTTATCGACGTGAAATAAATTATATCCCGTGTTGCTCATGCAATATCCTAACAGAATTTTACTAACCCTTTTTTAACAAGCCTTTTTTCCACAGTATGTCTGCGCGCGCACTTTTTACAAGCATTCAGATATTTGTCTTCTTTCCAAAATAAATATGCCTTTGCGAGGGAATATATCACACCTGCAGAACGATGCCAAACTTGTTGTTTTGTTCAAGGTAAATGAATGGTACTCGTAGTACAAAAGTATTGCAGTTGCAGCTTGCATTCTTCGCCGCACTAGCAACGATGGGAAGCAAATCAAGCAATATAAGCGCAGTTGCAGGCTTACCGGCAGCGCCATGACACCACTGCACGAGTTCCGATGTTTCATCCTCAACTGCTCCAAATATATTCGGAAAATTTCCGCTGTCACGTTGGCTAGATAGTAGATGCTCGTACGTCGCCTTGATTTCATTAATCGCTCCTGGAATTTCAGCTAAAATTGTTGGAAATCCAAGAAGTGACTGCAGTATTGTCGAAATTCCATGAGCCGCACCTATCAAAATTGATTACGTAAAGTGTATCAGCGTAGATTTAAAAATAGTATGGTCAGAATTCGGAAAACTAATCATCAGCGCAAATGTAGATTACTGTGTCTAGCACATTCGTAACCAACCATACACGATCAAGTTTTAATGTCAAACCATGCAATATAAAATTTTACTGTAAATAAAAACAAAATATTTACGTCGCCCTGATTATAATCTATTTTTACAAGAAATCCTTTCCAAAACGATATTTCTGTGTTTATTGAACTGTGGTTCGATAAACCGATACCCCACCATAAAATAACTGAGAAAAATTCTTCCTGTTACGCATACCTACATATGTATTCAGCTTCATAATGGAGGAACATCAGTGGACTTAGCGTATGAAACCCTCGCATATTGCTATCCTCTCGTTCAGACGCCAATATGGCTTTGATAATTTCCGCAACCGGCACTTCAAACAAAATCTATATAAAATACTTCCTTTCTGTTCTACATATTAAAATTATTTCGTACTTTTAATTTACCGGATGTTCTGGGAAACGTTTCCATAATTCCAGAAACCCAATTAAAAACCCACACCGTCCCGTAAACAGTTCATCACCACTCGATCCGGTTAAGGTCATCCGCTCCACCCCGGCACAGCACCCCACAAACTCCTTCAGGGCCTTTTCTGCATGCGTCGGTCATCCGGTCTAATTCCGCATAGACCAGGGCTGCCGCCACCCATACTCCGGCATCCCCGTTCTTCAGGGATTTGTCCCGGCCCAGTGTTGCGCGGTGTTCCGTTAATATTGAATCAATAATGTTAGAACACAGGCGCTGGATGTTTTCTTGGTCCTGATTATCATCCGGCAAATGCTGAAGTAATCGCACTCAGGCGTAGGCGATACCGGCGCCAACGGCGTAAAGGTCACGGCGCTTCCGACTGGGATTAGATGTATAGTATGTGTAAATGTCCTGCATGAGACCCAGGGCCTGGTCCATATATTTGGACTGGTCGGTCAGAAGCTGATTGGAGTATTCGGCGAACTGGTTGTTGAAGTATCGCTGACCGGCATCTTTGACCTCGGATCGGTGGTGTAGGTCCATTGCGAATGTGGTGCAGGTCAATATGTCGATCGTGGTTACTTTGTTGTAGTTTAATTTACTTACAGTTCAAACCAGCAGAACGATCACAGAAGAGAAACACAGAAATGGATGTCTGCATTGTTGAATGTCTGCATTCTGAGTTCTTCATACACTCAAAACATCAATTTCTTTTGTTGCCTTGAAACCATTAAAACGGAATTTCGCATAACGTATTTATTTAATACAGTAAGTACCAAATATGTACGCTAATCCACACAGCAGCTGGTAGAACAGCGAATTAACGAACAATCTGCCAAAAAAGCAAAATAGTAAAAAAATTATTAATAACAACAGTTTTTCGCAACACAAATCAGAAATATATTAATCTGCAATTTACTAATTGGTGCATAAAGAATTGCGCTCGTAGAGTCGTAGTATCGCAGTGCAACATACTTATTCGAAACTAATCGGTTCAAATTAAATTCTTTTTATTCCAACGCATACGTCGGGTGAATCTTACTTTTTCACCAACAACCATTATCGGAAATTTGTTAACGTGTAATTTCATAGGAAGCTATCCAACATCCAAAAGAAAGAGGAACGGGACACGTACTTTTGGTTCAATTATTCCATTCAGTGAATCAAAATCTTCAAATCCTTGATCGCAGTACTCAAAAACGAGCGTCAGCTTTTTCTCATTGTGCAGCACGTCCAAAAGCTGCACGATATTTTTATGGCGCAGCTGTTTCAAAAGAGCAATCTCCCTCAACGATGACGATGGTATGTATACCTGTGTGAGCGCAGGCGTACTCAGCGTACACCCTCGCTTGGCAGTCTGTTGTGTTTTGCTGCACGCCCGCCTTACGCGTGGCAGTGCCTTGGTGTTCTTTGTGCCACCACACAGTGTGATTGTTACGTGCGCTTGCTGTAGTCAGCAATGCGGAGTTGCACATTCTGAAATTCTATCGAATTTAGTCTTGGTAATAAATCTCTAGCAATCAGCCCATTTTTCGCTTTCCATAGCGTAGGCCCTTATAGCATTGCCAGATTTGTTTGGTAGACTGAGTTACGTCAACTCCGATTCTACGACGTGAACCTTGCCAAGTTCCCGTCTCATATGGTAGCAGATTGCGTGTTCTCCCGGATTATCTGAAGTGTTTCCCCGTCTAACTGACGGAGTGTGTGAAGTGTGCGAGGAAGGGCTCGCTGACGAAGCAGTCGGAGAAGGAAGGACGTTGGATCTCGACAGCAGATCAGACAACGGTGCATCTCTACTGCGTAGAGTGCACTGTATCTGTCCTGACGCGAGCAGGGTTACGGCAGTAGCTCTGTTCGGAGGGGCACCAGCGTCGAAAGCACAAGCGCGAAAAAGAACGCCAGAAGAGGCAGGAGCCCGAAGGGGGGCACGAGTGGGCAAGCCACTTTTGGTCTATCGGGTGTGGAGTTCAGGCGCGACTCTACTGCTTAGAGCGTACACACAATACGCGTTCCCCCAAAAGGGTGGTCGAGCGCCCCTGCCGTTTGCCAACGTCAAGGCACGGCAGAAGACCCGCAGCCAGCAAGTCTTCTGGTCGACGCACCGCTGCGTCCCGTCGATCCGAGACGGAAGGGGTTAGCGACTGGCCCAGGAGAAGGCAGTATAATCGCAGAAGGCAGTATAGGGGTTAGCGACTGGCCCAGGAGAAGGCAGTATAATCGCTGGAAGATTTGGAGGATTCGCGGAAGGACGCGCAGGATCGATTTCTGGATTCGGAAGACGAGCAGGTCAGAATTTCGTTTGTTAATTACGCCATTGGCTGAAAGGTAGAAGTAGCAGTTTTGATTGGTCGGTAATGAGCTGAGCAAGAAAGAAGGCGGTACTTTTGCGCACGGCGCGCTAGCAAAAATTTCCGGTTTTGGACGTGACGTCACTCTGCCTTATAATTCGAAAAACAACGATTCTGATTGGTCGGTTATCCGTGCTGTGATTGGCGCAGCGATAAAGCTAAAGTTAGCTTAGAATTCAGCCAATTAGAAGCTGAAATTTTGAGACGAGGCGGAGATTTTGCGCACGGCGCACAAGAATCTGACGTAGGTAGCTGGAAATTTTTACTGAGTCGACTGATGAAATTGTGACCTTTACCAAAAATTTGACCAGAAGGATGACCTTTACCGAAAATGGATAGTTGATGATAAGACGCAAGTTTTACGTTGAGTTGAGTTAAGTTCATAATAAAATCCAAAAATTCGTCGAAGTATTCAGTTTTTGACATAGGTTGTTTGTGACCTTTAACTAGAAAAAGTTCCTAAACCGAAAAATGACCTTTATTAAATCGGAGTAAATGTTAAGCTGAAACAGCTGATGACCTTTATGAGTTGAGTTTTGCTGAAGGAAGTGACTTTTGAGAGAACTTGGTGTAATTTCTGAAGAAAAGGGTGACCTTTAGAAAAGACAGATCTGTAAAAGGCAGAGTGACCTTTAGCAACCGAGCTCGTGACCTTCAGGACAGCGCTTGTTTCTGTTCACTTGTAAACGTTTGCATAAACGTAATCTAACACACGTGTGAGAAACCTTGACAGCATCGTCCAAGTTATCCGATCAGGCGATCACCTAAATCAAGCAAAGACATGGATCAAGACAGAGACGGTAATGAACCGATCTCCTCCGGCAGCTCACAGGGAAAACGGTCAAAGAACGCCTCGCAAGGTGCGAGTGATCCCTATAGAAGGGAACTGCAGCCGTTTACACGGCCAGTAGAACACGATCGAGCAACTCGAGCTCCGAAGACCTTTGGAAGGAAGGACTCTAAAGGCTCAAAAGCCACATATCAAAAGGCTCTGAAAGAAACTCAGAACAAAGAGAGCTCGAGTGATGGAAGCGAAAACCCCGGACGTCAGGTCGGAGGCGGCACGGTAGACCAGTCAAAGGTCACCGATGAGAGAACGGCAGTTATCGAACAGAATCAATCAGACCTAACGGCCGAGACCGGAGGAATGTCACGGTCGGCTAAAAAGGTCAAGGAGGAAACCGCGGATCAGTCAAAGAAAGGTGAAGACGAAGTCAGTCAAAAGGTCACCGAAGGGGTGACGAGGTCAGCAACGAGCTGTTAAACCAAGGAAAGGTCAACGTTGATGACCTTTTAAATAATTCTATGGACTCAAAGGAGTAGCTGGATGAGAATGGTACCAGCTTCGCATCAGGCGACGAGAAATACTACACTGATGATGAGGACGAAACGATAAAGATGTCGTTTCATACCGCAATGAAAGAAGCTAATCTAGCGGGTGGAATGATCAAGATGACCTTTAACGAGAAGTTGGAGGAGACCTTCGAGGGAATGGCGTCAGGAAAGGCTGATAACGAAAGGTCACCAACTCTCGAAACTCCCGTATCAAGTGGAGCGAAGCAGCGAGTCAGAGAGCTCTAACAGCTACTCGATGAGAAAGAAGGGCAAGCATTCGCTGCAATACGGGAACAGAGGAATAAAACCTTTGAAGCCGAAGCAAAAATTTATGCTATGGAACAGGAAAAAGTCACGGTTGAAGACGAAGCGCGACAATGGAAGGGCAGATACGAAGTGCAAAAACAAGTTGCAGAAGTACTGAAGAAACTTGTTGACGATAAGAATATGGAAGGCTTACTCGCAGTAGATGACCTCAACAAAAGTATGTCCGAGGAAACCGTGGAAAGGTCACGGGAGATAAACGAATTGAAAGCAGAACGTGACCTTTTGAAGAACAAGGTCAAGGAAGCTGAAACTCAGCGTGATGAATGCTTGGCAAACGCAACGAAGTTTACGGGAAAGGTTTCGAACTTGACAGCGGAGATCTCAAAGTTGAAAGATGACCTCAAGTCGCGAGACGAAAACATAACAACGCTGCAGGCAAAATTCGAGAAGGGAAGAAAAAACAACACGAAGCAGAAAGCCAGAGGGATCAAGCAGCACAGAAGCTCTTTGAACTGGCAGAAACGACGAAAAGCGAGAGCAAGCGAATAAACGATGCAGTCGAAGGTCATGAAAAAGAGGCTCATAAATGGATGACTGAAGCAAAACGAATTGATGTACGCATCACGGCCTTAGAGATCTTGAACAAGGAAGGGCAAACGGAGATCGAAAGGCAGAAGCAAGAAATCGTGAAATTAAGCAACGAACTTCTGGGAATGACCACTCAGTGATGGAAAATGATGATAAGACATCTGAAAAGGAAGCTGAACTAAAAACGGTAGTTGAAGAATGCGACGCGAGAGGAAAGACCTCCAACGCAGGGCTGACCAAGTAACCCGACTCGAAGGAGAACTCGAGATTATGAAGGCAGCAAAGAAAGAACTTGACAAGACTCTCGATCAAAGGGCGGCCACAATCATGGAGCAGATGAAAAAGGTCACCGAATCAAACAAAGATTACGAGAAGTTGCGGAAGGACGCAAACGAAACAGTAAAACAATTACAAAAAGCAATTAAACAGAAAGATGAGGAAATCAAAACCCTTAACAGTTTGGCGAAACAGAAAGAAGAAAAAGCTCAACGTTCGCACAAGCGGCCAGAACGAATCGAATCTCCGCCACCCGAATACGGTATTCGGAAGTTTCGATTGGTATTAACTTGTCTGAAACCCACATGCTTGGAGATGACAAAACTGTTTCAAATCACATGCTCGTGCCCGTGATTATGCACCGTATGATTGTCCAGAAAAACGGCTTAACAGTGCCGTGGTACTCTTACCACATTAAATTACAGCACACCGATCACTGGAATCTAAATAAAATAGAATACAAAATTACGATTTTTTCCGTTGTATTTTTCTTGTTTTTTTAATAGTGCTCTTTGTTTTCGAATATTGATATTCGTTAGTAATTTGTTTCGCTCTTGTAATTACTACTACATTTATTTCTCAAACGTCTCAAACCACAGACGCATCCGGTAGAATCGTGGAATATGCCTGAACATTTTAATCTCCACCAAAAACAAAATTCTCTACATAATTACCAAAGCACAATGCATTACCATCCGCAAGCTACAATACATTGCATCGTTGCGAAATACAACAAATCAGGCTCAAAAGATTAATGTCGAACCATCCGTAAAGAGCTGAATACTTTCGACTGAATACTGTTAAAAAAACAAAAAAATAATAAGAATATACGAAACTAGAAAACTGCCTGAATACAAAGGCATGACAATTCAAACTTAATGCCAACGGTAAGATACGGAAATAATCACTGCGCTGAGGTGTGTTGTTCTTGGGAAAAACCAGCAGTGTCATCGTCTGCGCAATCCAATCTCCGTAAAAGGTAACTAAAATTCCTCGTTGGCCTCCCCGTGTGGTCCGGGATTCTGCTGGCCCGTGTAGTGACAGTCGAGTAAAATTTGATAAAAATTTAACAGCAATAACCAACCAGTTATTTCAATCTTTGATTTTCTTCGTAAACTCTGTTTACCGAAATGTGGCAAAATTGCTGGTATACTACTTGATAGTTAAAATTTAAGCAACAGAAAATATTTTAAGCAGTAGCTCATACCAGTTAAACTGGTCAACCGGATCTTGCTGGCCGTGCTGTAGCAGCTGGATTTGTTGCCGCAGTCGCGCGATTTCCGCATCTTTTACCTGTACGGGAAATACACCAGAATTACGGAACTCTCCAATATTTCTAAAAATTGTTACAAGTAATAGCAGTAACCCACCCGTTATTTAACTATTTAACTTACACGAGTTATTTTCGAGTTATCGAATTACAGCGCAACTCTGAAGCGTAACTCGCTTACCCAAAAAGCTTAGCTCTTTTGAAATACACAGAGAAATTGTATGTATTGTCTATTGCAGCGTAACATCTCAATAATTCGAAACTCGGTTTATTTGCTTGAATAGCGGAACTCGTAGCGTAACTCGCACGCTGCCTATAACTCCTAACTTTAACTCTGAATGAATTTTCCATAACTGCACAGGCCGGTACTGAGCACAGACAGAAAACACAGTCACTAACAAAATATTTCAAAACTATTTTTTTGGCAACTAACCTGCATCTAGTGACGAACACTAGCCAGCGCCTTGTCCTTTTCGGCAGCATCCCGCCAGGCGTCTTCCAGATCGCCAGACTGCTCCCACTCTTTGTAGTAGAGTGCGCGATACTTCACCATTACCGAAGCCAGCCACTGTTCAACCTGTTTCCGCTTATCCGTAGCAAGGCTCTCCCAGGTGACTGGACGCTGCAGTTCGCGGATAGCCAGCAAGACACGCATGAGGTCCTCTTCGACATCGTCGACAGGTATCGGAGACCGAAAATCCATCGCTGTTTATATTCTGTATGAAATTCATGTTCTTTTTACGTATGTGAAATTTTAGTTATTCAACGCTATTCAATTAACAGAATCGCACGCGACTTACCAAGAATGAATACCAATAAAACAGGGAACAAAATCTAAAAATCTAAAATTTAAAAATCTTGTGAAATAAAAGTCAAGTGAATACCGGCGTTGCATTTTTTCACTGCTCTAGTTGCAAACATTCTCTAGTTTGTGACAAAGGAGTGCACCAGGCACTCAATTTTTTCTTGTCTACAGGGTTTTTTAGGGTTGCGTCTAATTTATGGTTAACTATATGTACACTCGAGGCATTACGAAAGCTCTAAGGCATAAAATCGAACTGGCAGCCTGTACGATGACGTCACGGTGGAGGAGACCGATCTTGCGAACTCCATAGGCTTGCACGCTCTTTGCGTTCCAGCAGAACGAAATTTCCTTGCGTCTAAATGGTTTGTTTTTGTTTAAAACTGAAAAACATGATGTTTCGTCACTGTCCCCGAAAATTCTAGCGGTAAAAGTTGAGTTAAAAGCAGTTTGGCCTCGCACATGGTGGATCCAAGAGCCAAGGTACTGGTGTGTCTTCAAAGAGTGGTTAAGCTGCAACCATGGCCGTTTTCTTAATGATTAAAGTCCAGGAAACAAAGTCAAGTGAAAACATAAATTTCTGGACTCGTATTTCAGAAAGTGTTCACATACTGATAGTGACAGATAGTCAGCAACTTAGTCGGAAGACTGCAGCCGTCCACAGTAAATCCGCACCACAAGCATAGCCACAAGTGCAGGCTTCTTCCATAGACTTCCATGTTAAATAAAACACTCATATCGCATCTAATTTGCAGCGGATCCGCGCTAACTTAGTATCAGAAGAAACAACAAATTATTCTCTTTCTTTTGAGATGTCCCTGGAGACTTATAAACAAAGGTACAAGGAATTCTAGAATTTCAAAGTTGAATGTAAGTCTACGGGCGACACAGTACATCGTCTCCACTATCCTGACACCGTCGCAGTCGATTTTATGCCTGTAGCTTTCGTAATGCCTCGGTATACTATATTTACCAACGAATAACCAACAATCTTCTGTAGTCAGTTGTTTCATTCCTTGTTGTCTTATTACAAGAGATTGGACTAATTGTTTTTCACAAAAAAATAACAAATTGGCCGCCGGACGGCGGCAAGCACCACATACACAGCAAACGATTGTATGAGAGCCGTCCACAAAGCCAACAATTCTCCCACATTGACACACAGCTCGCTTAAAATTGCCAACAAGGACAGCATTAACAGCTTTAACTTTGATGATAGTCCGCTGTGTTACCGGTGCAGCCGTCGTTGGTGCAGGCGTTGCAGATCCTTCTGTCGCACGGACCACCTTCCGCGGGTGCGAAGACTTTCTTGGTCTTTTCCCAGCCGGCGGCTCCGGTGCCAACGGAATCGATCGAGGCGCTCTCAGATGCGGCTTTCGTGGTTTCTTTTCCGGATTGCAATTTTCTCGGAGGTGGCGGCGTAGGCCCCGTCGCACCATTTCGTTCTTGCAAAAAAGGCATGTGACGCGATCCATGTCCGCATGAGCTTCCTTCATATGACGCCGCATGTTATCCACGCGTTGAAAAAATTTTTTACACTCTCCGCATTGGTACTTGGCGGAATTCATTGTAAGAAATAAAATTATCGTCCACACAAGAACAGAAATTGAAAATTCGATTTACTCACACACACTGATTTGGAAGTTGAAGAAGAGCAAGGTTGCAGGTGTTTGCACCCGGTACCAACGGTGCCATTTTCCGTTAGCCACTGGACCAATTACGTAATTTTAAATTTTGAATTTTAATATTCGATTGTTCGGCTTGGGGGCGGGGCTTATCCGCAACCAGCCAATCACGATTTTTCTCGTCGAATTATCGAAATTATTTTTTCACGCTGGAAATTCATTTTTTCATCGAATTATTAATTCTATTTTTTATTCAGTGGGTCGATTCCCATGGACGGTAACCTGTTCCCAGTAAAAAAAAGCTATCTTTGCTGCTCCGATTTTTTTACTTCAGGGTACTGTGTGTCTTGATTGATCAATACCAAACTTAATTAAATCCACTTTGACACTCACAAAGCTTTTGACGATCTGCCGCATAAATTGGACAACGTCGGGATTCGCCAGTCAGTAATTTTAGGTATTTTCTGTTATTCCGATATTTTATGTCCATCCCTAAAAATATCAAGCTACAAGTTGGGAAAAATTAGTATATTTCTGTTTAACACCGAGTAACCATAGCGCATGCTTAAAATGTTATCTGCCAAGGTAAAGTCGGCGTGGCCAGACGTATATATAATAGGAAGAACTACTGTACAATGTTTTTCAAAAATGGCTAGGTATGAGTGGTCTTCGCCTTCGCCTTTTGAGCGGTACGCATTCGCCTTCGCCTTCCAAAACATGCGCCGTCTCATTGGCCTTCTTACGTTATTATATTCCTGGATAATATTCCTGGGAGATGTTGCCAGTTTCTTAGGTTTTCTTATGTATTTTCAGGTTTCTTAGGTTTTCTTATGTATTCTTAGGCTTCCCAGCCTTAATATGGTAAGAAGAAAGACAGAACCGGCTGTGCGTTTTTCAATGGCAAGCCCCCGCTGCGAAACTTAAAATTTATTAATATTATTTAATAATAATTATTATTATATTGTAATCTTATCAGTACACCCATCTGTCATACTGAGTGACTCATGCACTCACACATACACACACCGGCTCATGGGGAACAACCGGTTTGCACAAACAACGGTTGACCGGCTGAGTCACCACACTACCTCTGTACACAACCACGCTGGCCGGCAACACTGGCATTAGCCGGCAACTCCGCTGGTCATTTATAGCCAGCAACACCACACAGACACTGGCCAGTCTAAACACTGACAAGTGACCAGTGTAAACAATAAACTAGTCAATCGCCTGCCGCGCTAGCACACACACACACACACACACACTTACACACACACGCTGCTTGTGCGTGTAATAATTGTACATGTTTAAAATTTAAACGAGCTAACGGCTGACTGCCTGAGCTGTATAGCGCGGCGGGGTTTATTGCCCGCCGATTTCTATAGTTCGGCTGGACATGAGTGACCATCGGCTCGTGCCCAAGTGACCTGAATTATTCTTAACACACGCGGCATCACTTCACAAAATGCCGATACACTCATTATAGTAATTCCATTGTGCGATACGCTCATTATTATTAGTAGTAGTCTTACAATCGCTTCACGTTGAGCCGTTATTTTCAAAAATCGTATACAATGGGGCGTAAGCACAATCGCACCAACCGTGTATTCTCCCAGTGCAGTCAGTGTAAAAAAACGTGTTAAAGGGAGCATGTTCACACACTTCGAATCGAAATGTCAACTGTTTCGAGTTGCGTGTAAGAACGTCCGCGCGGACAAGAAGACGAAGGAGCATTTTGTGAAGGGCCTTAGTTACTGCGCCAACTTACGTATCCGGGAGCCGTTGTGACCAACCTCCAAGATACCGTTACCGATGCCATTGCCGGATTGAACAGCATTGCTACGGCAAAAGTGTTGTACTGTCATAAGTACAATATTGCCAGTGACAACTTCTGGGTTAACGATTGGGATTTACCATCTCTGGCTGCTTCTGGACTCGCCTGTATGTGTCATCCCGCTCAAGACTACTTAACCGCAGACGCATAAAGAATACGAACACCTTTCCGTATTGATCGTTATCAAACGCGGTATGAATGAAATCATTATTATCACTATTGCTATTATTATTTTATATATTAATACAATGTTATATTATTATCAATTTTATTCTTTACGAAAGAATTATATATGTTGCACGAATTATATCTTTTATACAAAAGTTAAATAATTTCAGAGAATGCTACGCACTTCTGCCACTTCTGCAGTAACGGCACACTCCTGTCGATTAATCCCGATTGGACCAACGTGTGCTACACGGCCATTCTCAACCTTATAGAGCGAGTGCGCCGATACACAACCAGCGTTGTAGACCTGCAATTGTTCGAGAAGTGGAGAGCCGGATGGGTCTTCGATCGAGCCATTCTATGCTCCCTCAACAGCATGAATCTGCAAATGGGGCACAACATGCTGAAAGGATCGTGTTCTGTCTTTACACGATGGTACATTCATGAATTCCATAAAATGGTAAATATAATCTCATTATGATATTATATATATATATATATATATATATATATGTGTGTGTGTGTTACACATATTATATTATATATTATTATATTAGATAATATTATAAATTATTATATTATATATTATTATATTATATATTATTACATTATATAATATTATATTATATATTATTTTATTATATATTATTATTATTATATTAATGTTACACATTATATTATATACTGTATTATATTATATATTATTATATTATATATTCTTATATTATATTATATTATATTATATTATATTATATTATATTATATTATATTATATTATATTATATTATATTATATTATATTATATTATATTATATATCATTTTATTATATATTATTATTATTATTATATTATATATTACTATTTTATATATTATTATATTACATATTATTATATTATAAATTATAATATAAAGGTTATAAGTTAAAATTGTACATTATATATTATGTTACGCATTTATGATCTATTATATTATGATCTATTGATCTATTATTCTGTGTTATGTTATCCTGTAATATTGCATTATGTATCATTAATACTATGTTGTACTACATTATGTAACATTATATCATATTATAATATTATATTATATTAAGTTTATTTATAACAAAATATTATGTTATATTACATTATATTATATATAAAATAATTCAATTATTACAAGATATTTTTAATATTCATAAATAAATTTTGATAAAAAATAATTTATGTTTCAGGTTGGCGCAGGCAGGGCCCCTATGGGGGCGGCAATAAGCGCATGCAATCAAATTCAGCCGAAGATCTGGAGGGTCGTCCTAGACCAAACCAAGATGCATGGTGTGCGTAAACTGGTTCTGCGTGGCGTGGGATGTAGCCATTTTTAAGCGTTCATGTTTTATTCAAGTAGTATATGGGTCTTAAAGGTGAACAGTAACAGTAACATGTTACTGTTTCAATTGTTAACTATTTGTTTGATGTGTATCAATATTGCATGTTTGAGCGAATATGTTAATAAGTATGAATAAAATAATCAGCGGGAGAACACACACATACACACACACTCACCCACAGTAGCATTCAAAGGGAGGCTCTGCCCCATCTGGTAGACATAACGCGATACGTTAGTGTTGTAAAGTCATCATAATACATCTTTATTAGCGTAGAATATCTTGGGCTTTTAATGGTAATAACTCCATCGTCCGAAAATATTTCCAATACAGTTCCTTCTTTCAATCGGTTTTCCGCTTTTAAACCTTGCACAGTCAGGCGTTTAATAATGTCAAGTACTCCGCGTTCGCGAATCATCAATAAAAACTTTTTCTCTGGTATATCCACAGAGTTGTCAGGGTCAGTTTGCAGGTCTGTGAACGTGAGTCCTCGGGTCCGGCTGTCAAACGTGGCAAGGATGTCTTCGGTCTGGTACACGACAACATCGTCAGACATTGTTTAAAAATAAATCAGTCAGAAAACTGATTTCTCTCTTGTTCCAGTTCTATCCTTAATGATACTTGGCCATGTTCAGTCAATGGGTCTGTGTCAGTGTTAAATGAAATGGACAGCGAGCAGAAAAGCTGAGCATGTTCTCACTACTCAGCTCCCGGATAAATGGTGATTAAGTTAACGTTGGTGTGGTAACAGTAAAATTATTATCACCGTCCAGCATACTGGTAATGCTAGTGGTTGTAGCCATGACTGCGCTTAAGTTACTGGCATCAGCCATCATAGTAGAGAATAGCGCGGTAGTTAGATCTTTCGATGCTTTGAGGTGAATATCACCTACCCTCTGCTTCACAAAAACTAAAATATACGAACACATTAACTAAAACCAGCATACACAGTGCCACGATAATTTTTAAAATGCGCTCCGCTAATTCTTTATCCATTTTTCAGTAAAGTTTTAATAATCTCTTGAACGCGTACCCAATCAAAAAAATTTATTAATAAATTTACAAACAAATTTATCGTTCAGAAGTTTACTTTTTGTAAAAACCGATACAACGTCAGTGTACGTGAATCCGTACACCCTTAATCAGAGCGTTCTTTTTCCTGAAACAGCAGCAATCAATCAATTGTTTTAATTTTCAACTTTGCTTCTGCAGTATCGCCGGATATCCGGGCTGCATTGTGTATTGAAACTAATTATTACCTCCAAAGATTCCTTGAATTTTTCTGCTCGTTCCCCGTCACGGGGCTGAAATCGGCGACTGTTCCAACGGCGGCACTGACTAGTAGTGTGCCCCGTGTCCGGCTTTCGGCAGTTGAAGCACACGTATTGAGTTTCTACAATAGGAAGAATTACGCCAAAAAGTTAGTAACTTCTAATAATTTCGTACCTCGTTGCACAGCCGGATATCCTGGCTCAGCCGGAATGCCAGGCTTTGCGCGCTCATTCGGCGTCTCTTCCTCTTCGCTTTCTGCTCCAGCCGGAATAACATCGGCGTTCGCTGCAGCCATCCGCTTGAAAGCTGAACCACAAGTTTTTATCATTAACGCAAACACGATACAGGCACAGGTTAAACCAAGTCTTACCTAATTCCACTTTTTTAAAAGCCTCTGCTTTGTTGTCGGACATATTCCACTCCTGCATGAGAGTCTCGATATCAACGGAAAAGCAAGTGCAAAAGCAAGTATGTGCAAAGCACTGTACGATAACCGAAAAAATTCATTTCGGAAACCAGTCATTTCGGACACCAGTCATTTCGGAATCCAGTCTTCGAAACACAGAAATATTTTTTGAATAAACTTACCCGTTGTATCTCACGAAACGCTGGCCGTATCAAAACGTACGGACAAACGCGACACGCTGCGGTGGAATGAACACCATTCTGAATCCGCCGACCAGAGCTTCTCTGCTGATCACACAGCTCAGATCGCATACTTTGGAGATAAAAAGTCCAGAACTACACCACAACCTAAAGATTTCAGATGACCGAGTTAAGATGACCGAGAATCAGATTTAAACACCGGGAACTTACTGCTTCAAATGAAATCAAAAACTGACAATTATATTCGACAAATTTTCAACATTGACTGGCAGTCAGATCGGTTACTGGCCTGTGTACGTACAAGGTAAGCCTCGCGCTTTCGCTCGGCACGTGTGTATTGGAATGGTCAGGTATGAATTTATGGACTGCTCCGGCAGTCGTCCTGCAGTTTAAAAATTGAATTACTTAAAAATCCACCCTTACCTTATTACTGTACTGACCAAAGTGTACTTACAGATCCATATCCACGGTTACAGTACCGTATGTATTTTTTACATACTAGTACTCTGTGCTTCACAATACTTAATTATTCTTGGTACTGCACTTTCGTTTCGCCATACATAAGACCTTACTGTCGTTATTGGTGGAGACCCTCGGCATAGACGCCCCGGAAGCGGGCCTTGCACCGTTTGGGTGCGCCGCATGATGCGCTCTTTTGATAAACGGACAAACGTTCTGCTATTACTGGGGGCGCGGGCGCTGGTAAGGCGCGGTTGTGGCTCGAGGTAGGAGCGACAGGAATGGTCTCCATAGTCGAAGACAGCGTTTTTGGGCACACATTCTTGTAGCCCCCCATCCATGTAGCTCTTTGCCACATCGCGAGCAAGAGAACAATCGCGGTGGCATGTAAACACTACAAATCGAAGCAAAAAAGCAGAACAAGAGCTCTAGGAAATATAAGAACGCGACTGAGTATCGTGGTAACGACATACCCACATTACTTGGGGTTCATGTAAGTTCCCCCTAAGTAACTCCACTGAGGGCCCGAATAGTATCACTGTCACATGGCGATCACACACGATTGACATACTTGAGTTTTGAATTATTGGTCCCCTGTCACAGGGGACAACTGCTGACCAACTAAGTTGCTAACCCTCCAGTTACCCATTTCCCTTCTTTTCGTAAGTACTTCGTACTCGTTCGACCTAATGGAAACGGAAGAAAAGTTGCACTGGAACTTGATGGAATTGGGTTGGAGAAATGTAAAAATTGGGTTGGAGAAATGTAAAATCAGCGTAAAAATAAAATATGAGTCGGAAAACTCGGAATATTATCTCTAAATAATAATCGCGTAAGCTTTAATCTTTGTTGAGTCCGTCAGCTCGACCCACTGATTCAAACTGTCGTGACTATGTATCATTCAAGAGCCCTTAAAGTGTAGATTTGCCATCACTAATCAGTTTTAAAAAGAGATACTTTAACATACAAAGTCTATGGGAAAAGCTGAGAACTCACCACTGCTAAACTGACCAACCATCACTGTCTCAACAGCCAACACGCTTTACTGACAGTTTCGCTGCAGATGGATGGAACTATTCGTTCAATAACAGATAATATTCCATCGTCTTAATGTATATTTCTCCTCAAAATTTGGTTTTGAGAAAGAAAATAAAACGAAAAAAAGAAAACAAAATGGCCGCGAAGATTCTGCAACTGTAGGACGGTTCTGAAGCCTGATTTTAAGAACGTACCTGAACCCCGCAGTGGTTTATTTAGCTTCCGCTTAACGCGAAGTGGCTAGCGAATTTTCAAAATAATTCCCAAAAATTACCTTTGCTCATCTTATAGAGCGTTTTTTATACTACATAAAGCGATAATTGTAGTGAGTATATCTTCTTTCGTTAACAAGCAAAAAATTAAAGTTGTACGGGTGGTAGAGGGGGGCACGTAAGGTGAACCGCAAAATAATGGGTTGCGCCGCACTTATTGTGAGTGATGGCATATTCCTTCAATCGCCACCAACATCATTGGTTGGCACTGAACTCTGAAGTAATCGCAATTAGGTGCGATCAAAATCTGCAACTGCCCCATCCAGCTTTGTTGAGCTTGTTGACAAGAAAGAGAAATAAAAGACGCCATAAACGCAAATCTGCCGTCTGATTGCGGTCTTTTGTTTTAGTGTCTATGACTGCATCAGTCTGCATGAATGTTATATGGCTGCCTGCCTGTTCTGCGTTGCTCCACATGTGCATGTGCTTTTGTGTGCGGCAGCCAGCACCTCTCGGTACCGGCACCAAAGCCGTGAAAGAGGTGTACGTTTTGCAAGCTAACAGTGAACAAAACGTAAAAAAACTTTGAAAATCAGCTGTGAATACATCTGTTTGCCAAAAATTACGAATAAAATCGCATTAAATAAAATACCGCAGGCTGAGCTTATTATACGGACAGAATCTCAGTTTAGGGTTTTGTTCGGCAGATATGGTCAGAAATATCCAGGGGTAAAGTGCCCCAAGCACTTCTTTGGCACCCCCGATTTTTTTTCTTTTTCTGTTTTTTATCAATCAAAATTCTGTCCGTATAATAAGCTTCTAATACTTCACTCTACAAAACTGCCGTTTCAGAATATTTTTTTTCACATCTGTACTCTGTAAAAATCGACTTCAAATTTTTCACTTTAAAAGCTGATTTCTCAGCAACAACAAATGCGTTACTATTACTGAACCCATTTTAAAGTACAAAAATCATTTCTGTATGTGTCATATACTACTGTTTTGCCTAAAAGTGTAACGCGTCGACGGTATGCCCGTTTCCGCAGCAGGACCGAGTTGCTAGCCACTTCGCGTTAACTACGCTGTAAACTTTTCCCTGACGGGCGCGATTGCCTTTCTTGCACAACTGCCTTAAAGCAAACTTGCTACGCTTCCGTTTTCGATAGATAAGGCAAGGTGGTGTTCGAGAAAGGCAAACGGAGCAACTTGGAATTTCAAGATTTGCTCCGAGGAACAGCAAGCTGTTTGCTTCGCGTGTTACGTGGTGTTTAGTTATATGAATACTATACATCTCTTGCAGGTTATCTGCCTCTCCTCTTTGTTCTCAATGATCTCAGCTCCCACTCATCCAATTTTCTCGCTTTAAAATGTTCTGAAAACCGCTCGGTCTAGCGGGTGATCTAAGGCTAATCGTTGTTTGCTAAATGCAGAACCTCAAGCCCAGTGGTCACTCGAAGGCTTGTTACCATGGAGGCCATAGCGCTAACATGGCTGGTCTGTTACCACGGTCACATTACACTGTACTTACTCAGTTAGCTCAAACATAAAACAGCTTCGGCTGCGCCTCTGCGTTTCCTATGTTCCGTGGGCTGACTGTACGACACTTCGTTGCTATTACAGTTTCGCGAGTTTAGCAGAATAAACAGAAAAACAGCAGCCGAGCCACAAAACGACACAAACTCTATAAACAAAGGACAATAATCTAAGAACTGAACATTAGTAGCAAATGGACTGAGAGACCCCGTTTGCTAAAGTTATACCCGACAATGACAGCAAGCGTCCACAGGTTGCCTAATCAGTAATCACTAAGCCAAACGACAAGAAAAGGAAAAATTCAGCTGATACAACCACCGCAGAGCATTCCCTGTCTTTTGTTAAATCCGATAAACTTAACAAAATCTGTTTTCTTATACAAAAACCAACTATTTTCAAACAAAAAAAATGACTGTTACTGCTTTCTCGAATGGGCTGCAACGTATGAATTTTAAACTAATTTATTTGCCCAGTCGTAAGCCAATATTCATCCGTGCTCATCTTGTTATCTACATCCGTAACCACGTATACACGATTGATAATGTAGCCAATGTTTGGGCGAACGGCTGAACCGATTTCGACGCGGCCAAGTGCGATAAATTCGTCTCAACGGCACGAATGTTCTTACGCTATTGCGCCATCGATACGCCCCAAAAGGGAAGGAGTAGCCCCAAAAAACAAATTGTAGCCATGGGCCCCCATAGACATACATGGTAAATACATTGTCTGTTTGCGGACCGTTCGGAAAAACCGAGACAGACCGCGGCCTTCGGCATCGGCACGTTACAAAGTATTGAAAATTTAAGAAACATGTGCAAAAATTAATCGCAGTCAATCCCACCAGCGTGATCGGTATACCTCGTATTCTTTCATATACGATATTTCTTAGGTTTCTTAGGTTTCTTAGGTTTCTTAGGTTTCTTAGGTTTTCTTAGGTATTCTCAGGTTTCTTAGGTATTCTTAGGTATTCTTAGGTTTCTCAGGTTTCTTAGATTTCTTTGGTTTCTTAGTTTTCTTAGGCTTTCTTAGGGTTTCTCAAGTTTTCATAGATTTTCTCTTTCTTACTTTTCGTAGTTTTCTTAGCGGCTGGGACCAATGCGATCAACCGTTGCGAAGTGTGCATTGCGTAATAAACTTGCGCCGCAAAAGTTTGTGTACGGATGTAGATCCCGTAAACTGGTTATATGAATACTAAACATCTCTTGCAGACCTTTGGACTCTGCTGATTGTAACGCGTGATCTCCGCTTCTGCTCAATCGATTTTTCTGCTTTAAATTGCACAAGAATCCTCCCAGTGCGGGGAGTGTTCTTAGGCTCTTGACCTTTCGCCTTTGCGATCGCGGTAGGCCCAGTGGTCACTTAAAAGCTTGTTACCATGTATGCCATAGTGCTAAGATGGGCAGCTCTGTTGCCACAGGCATGATAAATTTGAACAAGAAAAAGTTTTGGCTTCGCCTCTGCGTTTCTTGTGCTCCCCTGGCTGAGGAACACTTAACAAATCACTTCGCCCACTGATAAGCCACTACCGTTGCTTTTCAGATTCAGTAGATTTTAGTAGAAAAAGCAGAAGCTTAGCAGCTGTGCCATGAATCAAAAAACTTTAGGGGCAAAAGGTCAATACTCCACGATTCTCACCGCAGGCAACCATCCTGAATACGTAGCTGTCTGGCTTTGCCATTCTGACTTTGCAACACAATCCAACACATGAAGATACGACGTAATTTTAAATAGTCGTAAGCCAATATTCATCCATGCTCATCTTGAATAAAGAACATCTGATGGACGAGGACAGAACAAGTACTGTATCCTAACCCTGCACTTGAAGGAAATTTGTACAGTGCAGCCACATGCACTTGTACGAGCCTATTCGCCATTCACATACGCGGCTTGCAGCTAGCGCGTGTTTAAACGTGAATTGGTTGAATGTTTATCCGGCTATACAGCACCGTGTCGCTCATAGCGTACAAATTTCCTGGTACAGTATCTTCGGTAGCGCGTTCGCAAAGTCGAGACTCTTTGAACACTGTCTCGACTGACACCATTAACTTAACAGCCAAACGTGGTAGGTTGCCACTTTTCATTTAACTTAACTCTCAACCGTGGATGGGCGCAGTAACAGACAGCGCGCATTTAATTCAAAATGTTTGGATGTGTTCTGTGGTCAAAGCAATAGTAAAAAAGGAACAGTGAAAGCAAGTAGGAACAATTAACCTGTTAGTGTACTGGTTTGTTAAACTGGAATATAAAGGGCACCAACAGTGTTAGTGTTAAAATTTAAATTGGGATTTCAAGTACCTTCTAATAAATTACGAAGTCCCTATGCTGCAGGTGTACGAAATTTAAATGATTAACTGATAACTGATCTTAAAATATAACTGATCTTGAAATTTATAACTGATCTTGAAATTAAGAAATAGGACGGGAAACTAATGAAATGTCTCCGCCTTAAGGCGCAAAATTTCGCATTTCAATTTTCTAGGTCATCTCTGCAGTCAATTAAAGCGACAGGCCAAATTTTTCGGTAGACATTATCGCCATCTGTGGACTTGGGTATGTTGTAAAATTTTACACTTCGTCCAAAAACCTACACTCTACCTGCAGGCTGCAGTCATGGGTTTTAATTTTTGCATTAGGTTATGATTTGTCCGGCTACCGATCACTTCAGCCGTTTTCATTTCGGCCGCGTTCATTTCGGCCAAAGTTTTTCGGCCGCCATTCACTTCGGCCGTCATTCAGTTCGGCCGCCGATCACTTCGGCCACAGTACATTTCGGCCGACGCTCATTTTGTTTTCATTACTTTCATTAAAACGTTACTTTCGATATAAATTTGTCGGAAACTTTAAACCGTCGAATCAAAAGTGATAGCAATAGGGCCGCATTCATATCGTTCTGCACGCGCAATTTGTTTGATCAGTTCTTGAAGCGTTAGTGTCACCATCATGTCTCACTTTCGAAAACACGAAGCCTACCGGGAGGGTACTGAAAATCTAACCGTAAGACATCTAGGAAAACATAAAAAATGAATGTATCATAAATCACCTAAGGATAACCTAAGTACACCTATGAACACATAACAAAATCAAAGAAAACTTAAGAAACTATAACAATTTTAAGAAAACCAAAGAAAACCTAAGAAACCTAAGAAACCTAAGAAACCTAAGAAACCTAAGAAACCTAAGAAACCTAAAAAACCTAAGAAACCCAAAAAACCATAATAAACCTAAAAATCCTAGAAAACGTAATAAACCCAAGAAAACCTATGATGGCCGAAATGTCAAGTTGCCGAGTGAGCGTTGGCCGAATTGAGTGTTGCCCGAAGTGAACCTGTGCGGCCGAAATGGCTACCGAAATGTAACGCGGCCGAAGTGATCGGACGCGGATTTGTCCTGCGCATTAATTATTCCGCGCAATTTGCGCGGGGTCAGCTAGTTATGAAATAATTTTGTTTTCTTAAGTTCGGTAAGAAGATGACAATAACAACCATCTGAAGTTTCAGTTAATTGTTACAACTTACCGCCCCGTTTCGCTAGCTATCTTCACGCCCGCTCTACAGGATCTTTTTTGGCGGCCAACGTCGATTTACAGTAAACATTTATTTAGATTTTCTTGCTTGAAGAAATGATTTTGATTGATTCTGAAGTTACAGGATGATAAGAAAATGCCTGGCAAAGTAAGAAATGAGGTATAACATTACTGACACCACAGTACAGTAATTTTTTTTGCACAGAATGTGCCTAGCCGGGCACCAATAAGGCCAGAGTTTGCATGAGCAGGCACTTGGTAGGAAACCTTGTGGAGACATCTTTCTTGACGTCGTCCAGCAGCTTGGGCGTTTCTTTGCTCCATCTACACAACAATTTTGCACGAAACAGTTTAATTTTATATCCAGTTTATCGACGAACGGTGTCATAACAACTGTGCATAATTCGGACAAATCTTATTTTGTGGCGTAAACATGGTGACGAAGTGATTTGTGCTGTACGTCTACTGACCAAGCGAACAAGATTCGAAAGCGAAGACACCTGAACACAGTAAACGGTCTTATTACCCATTTTAGAATTTAATAATAAGATCAATACGAGTACGCACACCAGATAGAATACTAAGCACGGTTTTAAATTTTTATGGCGCAGCGGACATACTTTTAAAACCATCCTGTATATTAATTCTCTAAGCCTTAGCGAATTCCATTCTGTCTCCCTTTTGTGAGCGAGCCATTGAACCAATCTTGGATGTCTATATGTCATTTAATAGCGGCGAGTTTGCAGATTTGCAGAAACCAGTCAGTTTTTTGAAAGTATGTAAAATTTCAGAGAAAATCTTAAAAGAACAGAACATACAAAGTCTACGGGAAGAGTGGAGAACCCACCACTGCAAACCCGCCCACTCCACCACTGTCACGAACAGTATAGGAAACGCATCCATCTGTTGTACACTTGGTGGCATTTTGGTGTCCAAGTTATCCGACCGCCTTTAGTTCATAAGATTTTTACTAAGGGTTAATTTTTAAAAAACGTAGGCTTTGAAAGCAATACTTCTTAAAGACTGAACACGCGAAATCTCTTGGGAAGTGAAGGGAGCAACTCCAAGTATCAAGTATTGTAGTTCCCGTCCGCAACGGGTTGTATTGAAACTGCTTCCACGGGGCGGTTGGCTTTGGGAATATTGTACTAGCTCATGTGAAACTTGCCAATAAACATTATTTTGTGAGAGACTGAAAGTCGATTTTTGGAAATTTTGGTGTTCGACTGGAAATGTTGTGGACTGTTTGAGCAAAACAACGAGTCCTAACTCATAGTCCGGACGCACGGATTTGAGTCTGAACACGCCCGGAGGAAGGCGTCCGCACTTCGCACGGGAGGGGAGGTTAAGATATTTTTCCGAAAGAAAATCAAAGGAACGTAGAAGAGACGGTTTTATGAAAATTTAAAACGCATATTCAGTTTTGAAAAATCTAAAATACAGAAGATTCAAAAAGCCAAACATATCCGCTTTCTGATTTATCTTTGTAAGTGGTCAAAAGGGTTACATAGGTGGTCGTACCGTCCGCCGTCGTATCACTGGATCATTATTGTATCGGTCACAACGGACAGACTAAAATTTAACGAAGCTCCGAATGGTATCTTAACCAGCAGAAGTAATACGACTATGAAAATTCCAGTAATTATTGAGGTGTTTCTTATTCGTAGTTCTGGGCAACCGACCGGCATTTGCTGCTGATTGGTTTGGGAAAAGCTTGAAAAGTTTGGTTTATAACTGCAAATAAAAAGGGCATGTTTCTGGAAAATTTCAAATTTTCGGGTTTCATTTAAGGTTATTACTTAAGTCAGCGGGACGGGACAATGTTTTTTCAAAACTTTTTTTAATTAGTAAACTGGATACCGGCTAACTGTTACTAATCTGTCAGTGAACTATGGGCAAAATTAAAAGAATAGTTTACAGTAATCAACCAAATAGATATATTTTGGCAAATATGTACTATGTGTACCCGGCAGTGAAACTACAGTATATTATTATTGTTATACGTTCCGCTCAATAAATCTAAATTTGTAGTCGTGGGTTTGTGGTTTTCTTAAATAGCATTTTATCGCCGATTTATTCCGCGCAGTTTGCGCGGGGTCTACTAGTATTTACAGTATAAGAGGGAGTTTATAGCGGTTGCTACAACTTTGTGGCTACGTGCTATCCCTTCCCCCGATGCACAAATGCTAGTCTGTTCGCATAAACTCGTCGCCAGCTTGCTACCCTTCTAGTTGATAGCAAGAAAGTAGCCAGTTCACAGCGGCTTGCTACGACTAGGCGGCACCCGCCCGGTGTGACCGTAGAAGGCAACCGCCCACAGTAACGGCAGGTAGCAACAGCAGCGCCCGCCCACCGCTACGGCAGCGGACAACCTCTTATGGTGGCGGGTTACTTGACTATGGCAAGCCGATATTAGGCTTATGGCAAGCCGACATTAGGTATATGGCAAGCCGACATTAAATACATTATGGCAAGCCGATATTAGGCGTACTCGTAATATTGCTATTTTCTGGAAATTATTTTAATCCGCTTTTAACTTTTTAATTTATTGTACATGTGAAACATTTTTTATTTATTTGATTTGTTTCAAGATTTCATCCTCAAAATCTAAATTGAAATCTTTGAAAATTTTAATTTTGAAATTTCAAGTTTAGTTGTAAGTTTAAATTTAAAAAAATTTAAGTTCCAATTTGAACTTGAATTTTAAAAAAAAAAAGTTTAACTTTAAAATTTAATTTAAAAGTTAAAAAAATTGAATTTTAAATTTAAAAAGTTTCATTACATGATTGTGTTTGTTAATTCGAACTTGGTTTCAAACTTTTTAATGGTTATTGTGTACTGTATCGAATTTTTCCGCATTATCTGCGAAGTTGTTATATGGATTAGCAACCTCGAGAGGATACTACATGGCTTAACCATAGTCCTTACGAGCTAGCAATCTAGTCACGACTACCAATAGCATCGTCTGTTTATGCAGACAGTTGCGCTACGTAGGCGGTGCTACATAGCCAGCTACGTAGCAGTAGTCAGCCAGCATAAACTCATTTTGTGGAACTACTTGCTACCAAAACGGCTACGGGAGACCACGCCTGCGAAAATGGTAGCAAGTAGCAAGTAGTCAGGTCCGATAAACTGCCTCTAAGTGTAGCAGTCAGTTGACTGACTGGTGAGATCAGTACAGATATGTACACTATGGAATGACGGTTGCGCATTTCAGCACTCGCTTTACTTGCTGCCGTCAGCCGGCTGGAGTTTGACGTTGTGGCTAAAAATGGTGTTTATATACCGCGCCATATGTATTGCCGTAATGTCATACTCCAGCCGGGTGACGGCAGCAATACAGGGGATTACTGAAATCAATGCCGTTCGCTACGACAACACCTTTTCATATACGATTTCGTATGATTATCGTTATCGTAACGAAAACTGAAAATCGGGTACTTTTCGTTTTCGTAACGAAAACGAAAACTTTGGGTGTTTCGTTTTCGTTACGAAAATTAATACGGAAACCTTTTTATTCGGGAGCACTTAATCAGGCGACGTGGAAATCAATTCAGTGATGGGTTACTGCATGAGCTTTTTGGACCACCTGCTTACTTTTATTGTTGTTTACTTCTGACTTACATTACTGTTACTTTTTCGCTGCCGCAAACGCTACTTTTACTTCCTGTTACTTACTCACAATCAGTAAGCCAAGTACTAATAACTAAAGCTTATGTAAGGAAGCAAATTTTGCGCGAAGCGCGAAGGTGACGAGAAAATTTATTGCGAAATCGTAAGAAATTCCAATAAAAATCGTATTGTCAGTAAAAATATTGCCAGTCAGAATTTTTCCCTACTTTTAACTTACTTTTACTGTTAGTTTGAAAATCTTACTTGCTGTTACTGTTACTGTTACTACAGGTCTAAAACGTTACTCGTTACTGAATGCTTAATATTAGGCAGGCTACTGATTACTGAGTTAACTTTCTTTTACTTAATGTCTACTCAGTAACCCATCACTGGTCACATCATATTAAATTTCATGTAGCAGCGTGCTGATAAAATTTTAAACTGAAGGCTAAAGGTCCACCGACGATCAGGTATGTACTAAAGAACACAGACTCACTCTTAAAAGCAGCATGAAAAATGTTTTAACATATTGGCATAGGTCAATTGCTCTGTGTAAGCCTTACGCGACGCGCAAGCGGCGGTCGGGTAAAAAAACATGACGTCACGGCGCGTAAGCAGGTAAACGATTTGATTGGTGAAAGAGAATTCTGGGATGGGTTTTCAGTTTACCCGTCCGTGTAACCGTTGCGCTTCGACGTCGAAGCGCAACCGTTACCCAAACTACGAGTAACTCGCACCTCTCCTGCACAGATCAACAAAAGTTTTGTTTGTTTGAACCAAAAGTGCATCCAGCGACCCAGATTCACACTTCTAAACTCAGAATAAACATTTTTTGGACGTAGTACCACACTAAAGTATCAAAAATAAATTTTTCAGTTTCACTTCAAATTTTCAGTTGTTCAATTTCTTTCTTGACACGGAAGCGTACTCGACTCACGATTGGACGATAATTTTTTCGCTGAGTCATGGATAGATTTTTACGCGTTCCTCCTTTACCCGACGCGCATCGGTTACCCAAATGCAATTGACCTATACCATTGTCTATTAAGTTTCGTACCCAATGGAGTAACCTTTATAAAAAAATGAAATTGTTGCTCATAAATTATGAGCACCCCAGGGGAAATGTTGTTTTTCGGATTTCAACCACTGATTCTAGTCAAACCAGGTGCGCTGATTCAAAATCTCCCATTAGAAAAATTGAAAAACCACTCATTTACCAGATTTTTAAGTTTTGGAGACAGGTCTAAACTAAGTGTGTCGAGGTCCCCGAAACTTGTGACCGAGTCGCTTTATAATTTCACTGATGATGGATTCAGAATCAGCGCACTTGCTTTGACTAGAATATGTGGTTGAAACCCAAAAAACAACATTTCCCCTTGGGGCGCTATTACGACCGCCGGAGGTGGCGGTATTGTGTGGGGCGCTGGACCCCTCAGGGGCGACATTTTATTTTTCAAGGTGGGATAGTTTTTCTAGGTCGAAAAAATTTGCTGTTTCCGAATCTGCAATCGGTTTATTCAAAAAACCGAATGGCGTGTGGGGTGTCGTCTAAAAAAGTCCGTGCTCATAATTAATAAGAATGAAGCTCTGATCCGGGAGGGTTAATTTGATGTTAACTTTTATTATTAACCTGTAACTACAGAGTACTTAGTATTTTGCTTTTGCGACTTAAGCTTTATTTTGCGGTAGCAAGTCAGACTTCTGTAAAACAATCGAAGTGTATGCAGTAATTGCAGTTCAAAATAAATTTTAAAAAAGGCAGATAGTTACACGAAATAAAAGAAGTAACATGTTCTGTGCCATTTACTGGCCAGTGGCCACCTTTTATCCCTTTTAAAATCGAATTACAATTTTTTATTATCAGCGTATGTGTCCAGCAACTGTTGCATTTATAGTTTTTGCGCTGAAAGCATGTCCAGAATTACAGTAAGATCGAAACTAGAACGGACCAGCTTCGAAATGTAACTCTACCCATCTGCCCGGGGATGCAGCTCCCATTTCACAAATCGTTTATAAATTCCACACCTTTCCTAGTCTAGACTGATTAATTTCATGGTATTGGCCAACCAATTCTCTTCCAGACGGCGCCTAGCACAGCCCGATTTCTACCAAGACTACATGACCTTTGCAGCCTTTCTGTGAGGACCTCCAAAATGTGTGATGACCTTTTTCGGGCGCTCGGCGTACAGCCGTGAGAGGTCGTATCTATCCAATCTTGATAAAATCTTGTTTATGGATGACTATCCGTCTAATCTATGTTTTCCATTCCCACAAAAAACCCGATGCGTTTCGTACCAACGAATTATGATATCAATCATAACATTTTTAGTCACCGCTTTGTTAGATTCTTCTTCCAGTTGTCCGGCACTTGCATCATCCCGCATGTGATAGATAGCTGTCAATTCATTAAAATCTTGTTACTGGACCCATGTTTCATGGACAACTTCAAATCTCCCACATTTGTGCGCTAGGCAACCGCGTTCGTTGGCAGGTGTGTTATAACATACAAGTCTATGGGAGACAACCTTTGAGGTGAGGTCACCAGACTTACCACTAAGGCCGATCGCGCAGGGCTGATTTGCTGAACCGTAAAGGACACCCTTTGAGCAGTTATATAGTTTTCAAAAAAATGCACTGAAAAATTCAGTTTCGTGGAGTTTCTAGAGGGACGGTTAAAAGCGCCCTAAAAACGACCACTGCCCCGCCCACTTAATCACCGCCTACCTGCTTAGCGATATATCAGAAGATCCCAGTTTTGGTATTACTAGATCCGCAATAAAAAGTCACACTAGAAAAGTGTTAAAAGAGAAACATAATGACGAACAAAAGTATTTTTTAATTTATTTTATGCAACTGTCCAAGCTTGGCGTGGCCAGGCTGTAGTAGCAGAGCCTGAAATAGTGGAATTTTAAAGATTGACACCCCCTGGGGGCGCAGATTTTGTAAACTTCGAAAAGCATGTACAAATATTTTTGTGTGTATTGTGAATGCCAAACGCTGTACATAAGGTTATCGCAACGATGCGCGTTGCGTATTGCTGTTAATTTTCGTAACTTGAAATCATAGCATAATCCCCTGTATAAAAAATGGCCTACTAGATAGCCTAAGAAAACATAATTCTGTAGTACTGATGGAACAAGAAAAATCTGATGGAACAAGAAAATTAACGATGCACACCAATAGAATAACCAGTATCTTTAATCGGTGGTTTGGTCTTTGGGCGCGGGTTTTTCTCTTAGCCAATTAGTGGCCCAAAGCCTAACAGCAGGACGCAAACCGAACTCAGCTAAAGGCGGCATGTTAATCTGGACGTCTAAGTAGTTCCGCTGCGTTTTGTTACTCACGGTACTTCTATAGCGAAACGAGTCTTTGAAAAGCTTGCACACTGATACAAGGCGCTACGGTACATACACGAATGCGGGGTTGCCTCCCGCTACAGCTCGAGCCGGCGACGACTCAGCAGTCAGCACTCCCGACCAGCATTCAATACTGCCGTTCGTTCGAAACAATAATATGGCTCTGTGTTGTGATATGCTCTTAGAAACTGAGCGCCTTATGCTGATGTACAGACTAATGATTAAGCTGGCAGTGCGTTTCGACTTTCGGGCAATTAAATGTAACAAATAATCTATAAACGTGTAACAAATAATCTTATAATCCACGTTTATAGATTATTTTTTTAAATCGCAGACCCCCTCTTTTTTTCGTCTATCAAAGATTGACAGTTTTTCCCGTAAAGCTTGACATACAGTTTTAAAGATTGACACTTGTGTCTAATAATTGACACTATTTTAGGCTCTGTGTAGTAGACTACCATGATACACTTCAAAAGCATGGGGAAAAGGTCGCAGCCAAGCAAAATTACTCGTGTATGCGTACGCGGTATTACATAGTACTACAATGCAGTCAACAACCCGGTGGCTACGACTACGCGTGATTGACGCGATTGACGCGTTGTAGTCATAGTTCCCATTTCGAGGCTGCAGTTTGTTGAAAAATTTCGAATTATTGTGGACGTTCGAATTATTAGGCCATCAGTGTTCATTGTTCGTGGTTCGACAAACCGAATGTGTGCATGTGGGTCAGCGCAGCCCACTACCGTTTTCCGAGAGCAGACAAAACAACAACTGTCTCTATCCCATTTTCTGAGCTGTTTGTTCGCCTGGTCAGAAGGGAGATGCTGTCGTAAACTCGAATATGTACAGGAATCAAACTCACAGTTCATAGCACAACGAAATGAAGGGCCAAATACATGATTCCCTTCTTAGATCATCTGCTGTTAGAGAACTCATCCAGTTCAAGAGGGAAGTGGCATCACTGTCCGGAAGATCGGGACAGAACTGTTCCAGCGCTGCTCGCAAGGATGCTGACAATGTACACGTAGTTGATTTCGCAAAGTTGTAATGCCAATAAGGAAGTTTAACACGGAATGGCTTCTGACAGCAAGCCAGACAGGAACGTGCGGCCGGGCTCGCATAGCTTATTCCATTGTAATCGTTCAAAAAAGATATCGATTTGAAACATATGGATGGTTGGCTGTCAAAGCGGCATCTTTGAAATAGAATGTTATGGCAGACTGCGGCATAATCAGGCGCCCGCCGATATGTTCCCTGAAACGTTATGAAGTTGTCATTGGTGTGCAGCATCGGCCATCGGTTCGGAAAATCAAAGAACTCGTTAAACATTAGTGCGGAATTTTCAGCGATGATTAGCCAATGGAGTTCCACACGCAGAAATCGCAACAGCAGTACCACTGTGTGCAGGCATTTTTTCCAGTTACCAATGAGATGAACAAATCTGACTTTTTTCGTTACAGTAGTGCACAGTACGTGAGTTACAGTCGTTTGGTGTTCGTCCAATTGCTGCACTGAATACAGTTGTAGAGTTTTGAGCACATTCGTAGAATTCAGTGGTAAACATAGGCTCTGCTGAATGGTATCACAGCAAAGTAAGTGATTGAACCACTTACACGTCCTAAAAGTAAAGAAAGTAAAGTACTGTAAATTTTGCAATGTTATTATTTTGCAGAAAGCGGAAATTAGCGGCAAATGGGAATATTTTATGGTACTTACAAAGGACGTACCAAAAGTAAGTTTCTCTATTTTGACTCTCCCAGCGCAAATGCTTTTAGCTCTTATTATCCCTACAGATATGAATGTCCTTCACTAAGGAAAAGAAGTAAAATATACCTTGGTCAAAGAGCAATCAAATGATTCAAATCGAGAAGAAATGCCTAAATATTCGTCGACCACTTTTTCGCACTTTGCCACGGATTTTACCAGGACAGTTTTTGCAATTTTTCTCAAACATCCTGTTAACTTTTTGTAACAATCAAAGCGTCTTCAAGTTAAGTACAGTATTCTTCTCTCTTCTAATCTCAATTACTAAACAAAACCAACTTGTTCATATTGGTTTGCCGGAAAAACAGAAACTATCGGTGACTAGGTGCAAAAACCACGAAATTGCCCTACTTCTAGACGGTGAAAAAATAAAAATTTCATGAAAAAATTTATTGTCCTCGCTGTAACTTTAACTTCACTGGTATCTTAGATGCGCAGTTACTTAGATGCGCATAACTGCGCATAAAAAGTTCTTTTCATTGATGCAAAGAACCTTGAATTCATATGAGCGAGAAGGCTGAATAAGATAAAATTTGGTGTCATGAGGAAGGAAATTTTTACTCAAACCCCTGAACTTCCCAAAAAGATCTGCCACCACAGAAATATTAAGGATATTATTTACAATTAACACTTTTATTTTATTGCCAAAAATTGGACTGGGGAAGCGAAAGTGACACAAAAGAATTAACAGGTTTTTAAAAGGTCCGTGGAATAGCTGAAAAAGTGGTACAAGTCATTCTATTTCTCCTTTCTTCCGTTCCTCATCAAACCATTTAATTCTAATTTTCCGGGGTATTTTACATAACTGCTTATTTAACAAAAATTGTATCAGTTGTGTATTACTTCAGATGGCAGAGAGGCAAAATCGGGAAACTTACTTTTGGTACGTCCTTTGTACTACTTATACTTTCACAAGTACAAAGAACGCGAAACTGCCCTAAGTCTGCTTGCAAGCACCCGTGGCCCAGAGTTACGTTCAAACTGGTTCACTGACAAAATAACGGCAATGCTGTTCACAACGGTATCCTGGCATTTCGGCCGCATGACACTTCCGATGCCAGACACTTCGGCTGCCTGATATGTTTTTGTTTTTCTTAGGTTTTCATAGGGTTTCTTAGGTTTCGTAGGTTTTCTTACGGCCGAATCGAAGAGGCGGGCGAATTGTCGGGCGGCCGAAGTTTCGGGCAGCCGACGTGTCAGGGAGCCGGTTACATTTCGGAATTTGCGATAAGCAAGCGGCTAGTACCCATGCTATAGATACTATGACTCGGAGGCACCGCGTCATGCGTTTGAAAGGGATGCTTGCCTCTTTCGCCTTGCGAAAAACTGCACGCGCGATGGACCGGCCACGGGCAGACACAGGGCAGACCAAATTCTCCCTTCTCCTGTGATTCATCCATCGTTTTACCTCTCGCATGTGCATGTGCACTTACCGCCTACCAGTTGTCACTTTTGGTAGTCGGGCCCGTCTCTGTGACCATGCCTGTTCCTAGTTAGCACAGTCTTAATTACTTTTTAATTACTTTTTTTGACTTTTGCTCGCGATTTTCGGGCAAGCGTACTAGTCCGGTCGCTTATCGCAAATCAGGTATTGTTACATTGCGGCCGCATGCGTTCACAGATCGCTTAAGATCCTTTTGTCTACCCGTAGCAGATACCTTTTGTGGCGCTCAATATTTTCGACAAAGGTTTACGACAAAATACCACCTGGTCATGTGAAAGTTGAATAATTTTAAAATGACCACTACAACTCCCCCCTCCTGAGACTGAGTGAGACTTGAATGACATTACAGACATCAAAAGACACGCCAAAAGATTTCGATTCGCAGTAAATTGCCTTCGGTTTTCCTCATATTTCGGTCACTTCAAAAACTTCGTGTACGTCTGCTTGTTTCGGTCACCTGGTGTTAAAATTTCTTGACAATATGTGATTAGTGACAAACAAAATTACCTGGCAAATAAAACCAGAAATAAGTAGTTTTCATAGTAAAAAACTTCGCTCAAGAATTTTGAAGCATAAACTTTATAAAATTTCCATGAAAAACCAAACGAATATCAGGCGGACGAGCCTGCGCGTGGTGCTCCGCCCATACTTGGCGTACTTGCATTTACGCACATGCCGTATTCGCCTCCCTCTTGTACGTACGTGCGCTGCTGCACTGCACTCTCCGCTGAAGCGGATATACCGCACACACTGAGCTGTACTTGCTCTCTCGTCCCTCTCTCGCAGCACCACTCAGCGGTCATACGCTCGCGTTGGATGGAGTCCAGTCTGCGCATCACGTAGCTTACGTCTGGCCAGTCCGACATGCCGTCAGCATTCTTTCACGCATTTACAGACGCTCAAAAACTGACTTCGCGAACACATTGCACTTTTTAGATATTAGGCCAGATTGGCTTCTTTGTTCTCTCCCGCAGATCACGCGGTATTTGTATGGTCTTTATTTGTCAATAAAGCTTCGTAGTGAGTCCTCGGCACTTCTCTGTTAGATAGTAGCAGATTCATATTGGTTTTCGATCTCACGAACCGTCTGAGGAGACGGTACAGGCTTTATTTCGGAGAACTCGAGAGGAACCCACACGGTTGTTGTCGGATTGACTGCTAAAGCAGCCTCTGCTTCAACCGTTGATCGGACTCATCTTGCCGTCTTACAGCTGAGGGTAAACAGGTTGACCGCTGAAGCGATCCCTGCCACAGCTGGTGAGCACTGAGCACAGTTCCTCAATCTTCCACAGAAGAAAAGCACTCATTCCCGCACGTGCGGAATTCCCTTCCCACCCCCAACTGACGGATCAGGCTCGAACGAGAGCCTGCAGCGCGAAAAAATTTCTCCTATCATACGGGGACCTTCGTTTTGAACAGCGACCCGCAACTTTACTCGCGGATTTCGACCAGGAAACGACGGATTTCGACCCACAACAGCGGATAGCCGATCTCTACCGACACCGAAACCGTAAAAAACCTGTAAAGTCGCTTTTATAAATCGACATTCGTCGAAATTCGATCGAATTTCAGCTCTCTAACGGCTGAAATTCATTTCTAACTACTAATTTTAGTTTTTCAACGGACGAAAAGTAAATTTTTTTGTCGGAGAAACCGACATAAAAACTTTACTTTTACCGGAGAAACCGGAGTTTGTTAACTTAACAAAGGCTAACCGACAACAGGTCGGCAATTGTTCTGATTTTTATTTCTAACGGAGCTTCAACCTTCAGAAACATTTTAAAATTATTAAAACCTATTTCTAACGGGCAGGATATAAAATCTTGACCAAATAAACTTTTTAGCCGACCAAAAATAATTTGTTTTTCTCGCGGAAAATAACGCAAAAATTCTCAAACTTCCTCGTGACGTTAGAAAGCCCGATTTTCAGTACTCAGAGGGCAGCCAATCAGCGTGCAGGGAACATAGGCGTGAATGCGTGCAGGGAGCATAGGCGTGGCTTAACATAGGCGTGAATCATCATTTTTCAAGACTTTTGCACGCGGCTTGCTATCTGTGACGTAGGCAATAAAGTGCAAGACCACTTAACCCTGTGACGTCATACTGGTCAGCACAGCAGCATAGGACGTACCCCACTGTACTACTATAGCATACTGTACTGTACCATAGTACTGTATAATAACCTTGTGTACTGAGTCACACACAGACACAACAACAGCAACAACATCTCGTCGGACGATCCTGACCCTCGAAAGATCCTGAACTAAAAGAAGCTGATTTCATCGAACGTCCCCATAGAAGGGATAGTTCGATTTTACGGTTAAAAGCAACAAGTCTTTATAGGCTCCACCTGAACCGACTTGATTCGATAACAATGTCGAATCCGAAGAAGAACGAATATGCCAAGTAATACAAACCCGATTACTCCCGGTGTGCAACAACGATAGCGCCGTACTCCGGTACGCCGGTCCGGACGGCAATTAAGTCGGCTGAGGCAAGGGAGAAGCGAAACGAGCGGATCCTCCTCGCCGACTCCAACCCCACATCGGACGACAGCTTGGACTCGGCAGCCGCGTCGCACCCGACCGAGGGGGGGTGTGCGGCACAGCCGCAGGCTGAGACGACATTGTCTCATGCCGGTCAGGAGTGCCCACATGGTGCACTAACCACTTCAGATCCAACCGAAGGAACTCAGAGGAGCTCACATAAAGCTCAAGACCCGGTAACGGCTACGACAGCCACCGTGGTCGGACGCAAATCACACAACCAGACGGATGAAGCGCAGGAGTCGACCTCGCCGCACATGGATATGGCGACTAAAGAGGTCGGCCAACACCAGCTGACCCAAATGGTCGGTCAACAGCAACCGACCACAGAAGCCGGTCAGAAGGAATCGGTCAAACCCAACCGACCAGTCTGGAACAGAAAACAACCGTCAACAGGTCTGAAATTGGAGTCGAGCCGACCAAACCAACGGTCCGAGTGGAAGAAACTGAGGCGCCGCCACGAAGCGGTCCTGACCCAGACGACCTGGCACCTGGTGTCAGACGACCTGGCACCTGGTGCACGACCGCATGCGCAGAAACTGAAGAAACAGGCAGCCAAAGCAAAGAAGTCCCAAGCGGAACATTCGGTTCAGGAAACAGAACACGACAGCACATCTCAACGAAGTGGTCCGGCGACAGCAAACCGAAAGAGGTCCTCCGACGTCCTCATCGCCGACCAAAACCGGACGTAGGCGAAGAAGACTACTTCTGTGGAGATCTGCCGGTTCTTGCTAACTTGGGATAAGGACTGGTTCCCGCAATGGAACCTAGTCTCCCATCCGGAACACCCAAGGGAACTTTACGCCGAGAAACAGCATCCTCGAGAAACGACACGGAACTTGGAATAGACACCTTTCTTTTGTTATATGAATACTGTACATCTCTTGCAGGTTTTCTGCCTCTACTCTTTGTTACCTATGTTCTCGGCTTCCACTGGGCCGATTTTGCAGCTTTAAATTTTCACAGAATCTTTTCAAAACGTAGAGTAACACAAAGCTAGTGGGTTTTTTACTCTCACAAGTAGGATAAGCCCAGTGGTCACTCAAAAGCTTGTTGCCATGGATGCCATAGGGCTAACATGCGCTTGTTTTTCACCACGGGCAAATCAGTGTTTAACAGCAAACAGCTTTGGCTTCGCTTCTGCGTTTTTTGTGGACCACATACCGAGTGAACGAATGATTCAGGTAGTTTTAAAATAAAACGAAAACAAGCAGCCGAGGCACAAACGAAAGAAACTTTAATGGCGAAAAGTCAACATTCGAAGAACCTCGCATCAGATATTGGCTAAACGACCTCAACTCATAAG